ATAATATGAAGTATTATATACCATAAGGTTCAGAAAATTGAGGTCTACACAATGGTGCTGTTGGTAGGTCAATAGGATGCTATTTGCAGGTATACATTGGGGTAAATAGATGTTTGGGTCCAGATAATGCAGTTTATTTGATGCCTTGCTAGCACAATCTTCTGCCCTATTAACAAAAGTGTGTTCAGATGTAATAAGGAGACCGACCACATATAATAGCCAGCATGAGAGCTATCAGTTATGCATACAATCTGGTAATGACCTTCAGCCACAATCAGCATTTGGGGCATTAAAGGCTGTATATTGCATATAATAATATGATCACACCACCATTAGATGCACATTGAAGAGACCTTTCTAGTGGTATATCATTGTCCCATGGTGTGGTGCAAAATAAGCCAACAAGGGGCAAAATGAGTTGCAGCTGTGGCTGAGAACAAACAAGACCATACTTCGTGGTAGGGGAGCCATGCTCTGCGTTCCCCTGCCGCCAACTGTGGTCTTGTTTGGTTCCCACTACAAATGTCTCAATATCTTGCCTCCTACTGGTCCATATCTCATAAAACACACATCACCAGGAAGCTATGGATGAGCAGAATCCAACTATCCAAAAATGATTTGGATGTGGGCACCTTTGCTGCCACTATGCACAACACAAAATCCTATTAGTGCCACAATCGGAAAAAGCGCCCATGGCACATGACCTGATGACATCATTACCTCACCCCCTACTGTTGTATACTACCAGGTTCAGAATATTGATCTCTATTCAATGGTGCTGTCTATATATTTCTTAACTGAACCTAGAAGGAGCTCAGACTATCATAAGTGCAGTATTACAGCTAATGTGCACTATTGGACCATAGATGGTAACCTGATCAGGTGATGAGATTACATAAGCATGTTCAACTTTGAACTCTGACATGCACACATCTCTCTCCTTCACTTCTTACTTTCACCATCACGCACTATGCAAACCCAACACATTCTATATTGGCTGCTGTGGTATGGTAGCCTTCTGGCTCCATGCCAGTGGCTGCTATATCACATTGCTGTAAGCAATATTAGCAATCTGGCTGCCACTGGCCTACAAGGTGCATTCAAGTCTTGGTCATGACTCTTGTTACCCTAATATACAAACCATTCTTTAGGGACACCTTTTGGTAACCCCTCAGGCAGGGTCACTACTACATCACCCTATATAGGGTTACTGCTGTACAGTTGTGAGGTTTTAAGGGACACCTCCATGCCAAGTTCCTCATATCAGTTGCCCTGCAGTGAGGTTTCAGGGACCACCTCCGTGACAAGGTCCCTGCACGCACACAAGGGTTTAAGGGACACCTGCGTAATAATAAGTCACCTTTATGCACACGTGGGTTTCAGGGACACCCGCATGACAAGTCACCTCAATGCAATTCACTTTTATAAACACATCATAATCTGTTATGAATCATGGTTAAAATCTGTCAATACTCAAGCTAAGCAGGTAAAATGTCTCTCACAGCATAGCTGTTATTGCCATCATGATTTTGTTATTTTCTATCACGAATATCTGGGCTTGAATGTGTTGATCCAGCTGAAGGGTGGCAGTCTACATAATCTCCATCCATATACCACCATACCTGTGCTAAGGGGAGGTGCTGTGATACACAAGGACAGGTCTGCCAATCTACGGACATGTGAAGAGCTACAACAATTTGTGCATAGCACCCACCCTCCCAACATAAGCAACAACTTGGGTGGAGAGGGCCATGACTGGCAGATCTGATTGATGAGGTGGAGGAAGGTGTGGCTTTCAGAAGGCTTCTAAGCCATACTACTGCAATAATGATGGCTGTTCTACCTTGTAGGATCAATTGACAAATATATCAGCAATGTCATTGAATGGAGATTGAAAACTGAATCTAGTGGTATATAATACTTGTGGGTGAGGCAATGATGCCATCAGGTCTGTGCCATTGAGCACTTATTGCTAATTGTGGTATTGATAGAATTTTGTGTGCACATTTGGATTCTCATCTATAGCTTTCTGATGATATACATTTTATGACATATGGACCAGTAGGTACCAGATTATTGTGAAAGTTGTGAAGGGAGCCCAACTGCAATACAATATGTGTACTGTTGGCCCATTTTTTACCATAACATGGGATCAACGTCTATCTTCAGAAAGCTACTTTCAATGTGGATCTGATGGTGGTATAACCATGCCATTATATGCAATATGCAAGTGTTAATCTGCCAACCAGTTCATTTAATGCATTGGTACCAACTATCTTTTGTGATGGTAAGACTAGGCATATAATAGACTGAGCATGAACACTATATGATGTGCATACAATCTGTATTATCAGGACCTAGAAATCTATTTATGGCTTTGTACTCCAATTGATGCCTCCAAATGGAAACCTGTTAGCACACCGATAGCACCATTGTGTGGAGCTCAATTTTCTGAATCTGACAGTATATAACACTTCATATGTTGCTTAGGCATTCATTGATCTAGACCCACTTCAATCCCCTATTAGTGACATTTGTGACCATATGTCACTTATAGCGGTTTGTTTGGCCCATATTTCCCTCAGATGCGCTCACAACAATATACAAACAACCCCATTATATCCTGCTGTTTCATAGCTTTCTGGTGATACCACATTTGTTTCATTTGGTGAACATTGTGTGAGGTTGTTAGACATAAATGCTCGGAGCCACACAGGTCACAGTAGAGTCATGTGACTGTGCCACACGGCATACGCCTGCGTCGGATTTTCGACCCAAGCGTATGCCAGGTGGCAGGATTCAATCTCCGCTCCAATTTGACTAGTATCATTGATAAATGGGCTACAAAAGTGCAGATGGGTGGATTCCTCTGCTATTCCTTTGTCAAATATACATGTGTTATATACCATCAGAAACCTATTTAAGAGCTCTACCTGATGGTGACACTCACAAGTTTTTATCTGATCTCTGTAGTGTTCAAAATCCAAGACCTCCTGCAAACCAGAAGACTAAAACAGGTGTTGAGCCCACATTTCTGCCAATTGTGATGCTATTCACATTGTCTCTTTTCTAATGTGTGTATTCCAATGTGTAAGATAATATTCCAATATAAAGTCATCAATTTAGTCAATGCTTGGCTTTCACAGCAGATAATCAACAAGTTGCAACAGAGTTATACAAAAATACACAACATTGTGTTTTATGAGGTGCTCTGATTACCAATAAATGGTGATTTAAATTCCTGAAGAGCCCCCAGTCTCAGCATGCGTGATCAGTCCCCTGACTCCAGGTGGGCTTGGAAGGCAGCTTGCACTACTCTGACATCCCTTCTGCCCTGTTCATGCTACAATGACAACATGGATGCGGTAATCCAAGTGTTGCTGGCCAATAGAGTGTCTCATGCATCTGCATCATTCACATCTTTAAGAACCTTGTGTGGTGCTGGCCCTTCTATCTTGCATGGTGCTGGTCCCCCTTCTGTCTTGTGAGGCGCTGGTCCTTTGTCTACACCTGCTGGGGGCCCCACTGTGTCAGTCTCTGGAACTATGTCTGCGTCAACATCTGGCCATTTGCAATCACTGTCAAGCTATGAAGATGACCTGCAGGCAGCACTCGAGGTGTCTCTCTCTAACAAGTTCTTGCCATGTTTGATCCTCCGCTGCATGGAGCTAGGACACCCAGGCTGCAACAACAACAACAACAACAACAACAACAACAACAACCATTTGGTGGCACTGGAAGCATCTCTTGGGATGCTCACCAATATTGATCACCTGTCACCCGCACCACCATCTGCAGGTAGACCGTACCTAGATGCCCACGGTCGAGAGATGCTGGCAGGTGTTTGTACATCTATTGCCCATCTACACTCCGAAACCCTGAACAGCCTATTTGATGAAGACCCTGACAACAAGGAAGCCCCTTCCAATGCCAACACCACGCTGCGGGACGTGCCCGTCCTCACCTTCAGCAGCAGTGAGTCTGACTCCCCACAGCATAACCAACCATATCCGCCCTGCATCAACATCAAGCAACTCAATATCAATCTCACTCTCGATGACTCGGAAGACAATGATGTGGTTCCCCCACCCCCACGGGCCCCACTATGATGGCAGGACACATTGCAATGGCAAGTCAAGGTAGAGTGCGTCAATATTGACCTTACTCTGGATGATGAGGATGTCGTACCTGTGTAACTTGTTTGCTCTTTACCTATCCCTTGTTTTGTTATGTATGTTATGTACTGGCAGAAACACATTGTTTTATTGTCTATCTTAATGACATGCAACAGTGTACAATGGTGCGTGACGAGGGCAAATATGTGCACGACAATGTGGTGACATGCATGCACAGTCACACATTGGTTGCGCACAAAGTGGTGTAAGTGCGTATGACAACACAGTAATGAATAATGGGAGGTGTATGAGGGCACGTGCGAGCACACAAATAATGGTCGCACATGAGGGAATAGTGCACAATGAATGTGGTGCGCAAGGAGGGAGAAGCTACAATGAACATGTTGATGTATACAATCACGGTTGGACTATGTAGGTACCCAGGTGCTGGCAAAGCAGAGATCTCAGCAGTATCCTGGAATGCAACCCTCTGCCTCCAGCTTTGCCCATGTCAACTTGTTCTTTTGCAATAACATCTCATCAAGGAAAAACTCATACTTCACCACCCCCATCTCCCGGACAATCATGTGATACCCCCCAAACCAGACATTGGTCTGTTTGGTGCACGATGAGTTGAAAAAACCAGGTGTTGTCGTCCTTGAGGAGCTCTTGAAACAGGTGTGGGTTGCAGTGGAAGGAGCACTCAATATCAGTCTTCTTATGCTTGCACTTCCAGTAGAAGATGTCCACCGTTAGGCCAACATTGAGACGGAGGTGCTTGCCTGCCCGCACAGTGCAGTACTTGAACAGGCTGCAGTTGTTGTAGTACCATACATAGCATGGCATGGAGTTGGGGACCAGATGCTTCTTCTTGATCATGTCCTGCCAAAAGATTAGAATACGGTAAGTGTTAGAGAGGAAGCACATACCACGACTTGGGGAACACTCTCAGTGCCATAGAACATCTCTCGGGACGTGATGATTCCACACCGATGTACTATTAGTTGCTTGTTGTGAGTCTGCCGCCATCTAAACCGTGCCCAGATGCAGCGGTTCCCTTCTGCTGTCTTGTCGGGACAAGGGCCAGGTACCTCGGCCTCAATGTTCATCAACAGTGGCATCCAGGGCAATGGTGTCCGTGGGATGTGCAACTTGTGCCTACTGCAGCCGTGCGTGCAGCATGAATGTTGCCTGGCTTGTTGCCAAGAAGTGCTCCTCAACAGACACATGGGGCTCACAAGTCCGGCAGCCCAGGACATGAGGGACAGAACAACCATCAACCACACAGAAGAGCTCCCAGCTCTGGTGACCCACACACCAGTGGTCTTGAGGTGTCCATAACTCCCGCCAACAGTTGTGAATGCCGCAGCATGGACACCCCATGTTGATGCTGTCTGTTATAATGCAGTGCACATACTCTAGAGACCATTGTAAGTGAATGAGTGCAGCACAGTGTCCAGGGACATATGTGTTACACCGTTGGCATTGTCAAAATGGCAGACACATTTAGTGCACCACTAACCAGTATGCTTCCTCCGGCTGCCCCAACTGCTGAATGTGTCATGTGCGTGCTTGCATCACCGTTGTAAAGCAATCCTTCTGGTGTCCACCATTGGGTACTGCGGGAACCTGCCCTTGATTGGCGCTGTCTAGCAGCAGCGCCAGAATGAGGAGCCTGTTGCAGTGTAATAAATGCAGGATCAATGTGTGTGGATTATCTGGACCCAATTTTCTTACATGTGCAGTGCTTATAAGTGTGTCCAACATGTTTAAGCTCATTGAGTATAAGTTGCTTGGTAGGGGTAGCATCAAGGGAGATAATGATGCCATCAAAGGAAGGGGGAAGACCAAGCATGATTGTGAGGATCTTGCCTTACTCACTGACCAAAATGCCCACACCCTCCATGCTGAATGCCATGCTCCGGAGTCCACACCTCTCCTACCTAGGCTTAAATGGTCTGATGTGGCCTCTTCTTTGCCATCAGAAAGCACCACTTTATTGCCAATTGTGATGCCAGGCCACATGCCTTGTGGAAATCAGTAAGGACCTGCCAAATCTCCATTGGGTTGCAGGATCATATGCATGCCAACTGACCATTGTCAACATACATCATCAGTTCTGCTCTCACCTCCACCATCTGTTACCCCACTCTGGTGTTACGCCCCTCCTACTTGGCTCCTGTACTATATTAGCACCCACTTCCCACCTGCTTCACAAACTTGCATCCCGCCCGCTCCCCATTCAGTTACTGCCTGCCTCCCGCTTGGTTTAATATCTCAACTTCAATGTTGTGATCTGTTTACGTATAATTGGCCCAGTACTATATTGTCCTTTTGAAGTGAGATCCGATGAGCGTGGACACAAGAAAAGCGAGTGAATTCAAAGAGATACGCACTGTACGAGTGAGTACCAAGGGCATCTACTAGTACGTATAGTAAGGTTCAAAGTCCGTTGGGGAAGTCCATAAGGTACGCGACGTACAAGACGCTCATATCACAACAAGTCCCACCTCATCTACATTCATTGCCCCATCTTACCATATATGGCAATGAAGGTATGTCTGCTTCACGCTCCTTCTGTATTCATAGATCTTACCATACAGCAATGAAGGCTTGTTCCCATATTGGTGCTCAGCCTGCTTCAGTGAAACCGCCAACATTGTGGTGGTTTACACTGTATATGCTGGATCAGACACCGCTGCTAGAACCACTACACCAAGAGCCAGGATAAATGAAGAGTCACCTCTTCAGCTACCATGGTGTATATATGCACTTCCAGACGCTATGCTTAGCCACCAGGCTTACACCATCTTCTGCACAGACCTCTTCTTCTTCTTCTTTTTGTACTTTTCTTTGACCACCTCCACACCTCAGCCCATTATCACAACAGTGATCTCTGTGATGCCATCCCAGAGCTTCTTGCAGATCAGGTGAGTGTCTATCTGCAATGTCTATTTGGTTGGTTGATGTCATCAAGCTTCACAAAGCTCAAGTGGTTGCTGGTGTGTTGAGACATTGTGGGAAGGGAATCAGAAGAAATTGTTGTGTAGCTTGTTGTCAGATAGTTTTGTTGCAATAAGACACAGCACTGGAGCTGTCTCATAGCCCAGGCAGTGAATGCTGCAAAGTGTAGTAATGAGCAGAGGGCTATACAGCATATTTGTGTTGAGGCGAGGGGTTTTTGAGTTGTTCCAGGGTGTAGGGAGCCTGCATTGCAAACACATGGGGAGTTCAATAGTGCTTGAGTAGGTTTAAGTACTGTACAATAATTGCAGAATTGATTGAGATGGTGCACGCACTGGCTTGAAGCTGCCACCAGCTTGCCCTCCCCAAAACACGTGTTCTAACATAAAATGGAGAATTTAAATGATATGGTAAGCAAAACGAGGTTCACCATTCCACATCTGGTTGCCAAAGTGTTAGCTACCATAAGGCTCTTATAACCTAGTGCAGTCAGTAGATAAAGTTTGGATCAGCACCCTATTCAACCACATGTAAGACACTGTCAATTGGTGGTGCATTATTGTGCTATATTAGTGGAGGAAATTTCCTGAAGATATGCATGTGGTGTATCTTCAATAGAATCTGCCACACCAAGAATTGAAATTTGATTAGTGGTTGCTTTTTGTTGCATCAATAAAGGGTTAAATCGAATAATGCATATTTGAATCCTCAAAATATAATTAGAAGCACAAATAACTGAGTGTTAGGATAGCTGAATACACTTAGTAGATGAAAGCAGCAGAAAATCAATGCTTGTGAATGATCTGAACTACTTGAAGGATGTTACATAGGCTCATCTCTGCTAAATGTATTTTTACAAATGGCTGTAAAAGGTATATGACAAATCCCAATGTGGGATATAGAGTTGTCCAAGAAGCTGTTATGTTACGATTGATGAGGAACGAAGAAATTGTTTCTTATGGGGTGACCTTCCTGCCGACTCAAGTCATGTACGTGGGAAAAAAATTTAGAACCCAGCTGATCAAAGGTTAGTTTTGAAATAGGCACCACCTACATCCTTTACTTACAAAACTTGGGTTAGGGTCCCCCTTGATTAGCACAGCTTAGGGTTAGCCTTAGGTCAGTTCTAATTACAATCCTTACCACAGGTAAAGCCTCTCCCTGGGCACCTGTGTAACTCTAAGTTGCACAGCACATGTGCCACTTACTGCCCACTATGCATATAGGCTATGCATTGTATCAAAAGAGATCTTTAACAAATGTTATAGTGTAGTTCAAGTACTATACCCTTAGTTTCCTTTTAAAGCAATAATTTGGTAGTAGTATATCTATGCCACATGCCAGTAAAGGAGGCTAGTCAGCTATCACCTAACATAGAGCATGATATCTGTTTTTGTATGTTATCTACCATTGCCAGTCACTGGAGTGATTGATGCATCAATAGGGTGCTAATTAAAGGCATAAATTGGAGTAAAAAGATGTTCAGGTCCAGATAATGTAGTTTCTTCAATGCCCTGCTAGTACTATCTTCTGAGAGTGTTCTGGAATGCTATAACGAAGCTAGGAAGATCAAGTAGTGAGCACAAACACTGAGTAACGTGCATACAATCTGGCATGGACCTTCAGCCACAATTGGTGTTTGGTGCATTAAAGCTTGTGTATTTGATATAAAACCATGATTGTACCACCATTAGATGCACATTAGAAGGCCCTTTCCAATCATATATAAATGTCCTATGTTGTGGTGAGGAATGAGCCAACAGTGTGCAAAATGAGTTGCAGCTGTGGCTGAGAACAAACAAGACCACAGTTGGTGGCAGGGGAACACTGAGCTGCGTTCCCCTGCCACCAACTGTGGTCTTGTTTGGTTCCCAACACAAATGTCTCAATATCTTGGCCCCCAGTTGTACATATGCCACAAAATATGTATCAACAGAGAGCTATGGATGAGCAGAGGCCATATATTTAAAAATGACCTGGATGTAGCCAGTATTGCTATCACTATACACAATACAAAATCCTATTAGTGCCACAATTGTAAAAAAAAGCACCCAAAGCACATGACCTGATGACATCATTACCTCCCCCTAAGTGTCATATACCACCAGACTCAGAATTTCAATCTCTACTCCATGGTACTGTCTATATATTTAGTCATAAAATCTGGAAGGAGCTCAAACTATAATAAATGCAGTATTGCAGCTGATGTGTGGCATTGCACCATATATGGCAATCTGATTGGGCAATGAGGTCACATAATCATGCTTATAGAGTGTGTTCAATGGGGTAATCCATGTTTGAAGCATCAAATGATCATAAAAGTGCCTAAACACATTGTCTTGCTGAATAGTGCCCTGTTGCCCTTCAAATAGAGTGGACACTGAGCATAAAAGAATTACTTCCCAAAACTTCAATGAAATAAATGTATGATAACATGATTTCCATCTAAATAATACAATCAGGCCATTTATTGAAGGCCTATTCAATCAAGGTCTTTGATCACGGTCTGTCTGATCCATTACATGGCATAAAATTAGCTACCAAGATGAATGTCTTAACCTCCTACTTAAAGTTGCCTAGGCTTAAGGGCTAATAATTACAGAAAATCAGCCTCAATAAATGTGTCAATGGCATGACCATTATATAAAATCAATAAAACTACACTCATGGTAGTAATGTGACTCTAGTTACTGATATTGTTTGGATTATAAACTGACCTGCTAATGCTGAGATGATCAAGAAATGCCATAAGAGTCTTCTGCAGAGAATAGAATGAAGTCTGGGTTGAGCCATGTTATAAAATGAGAATATTTGTATCTTGGTGAGAACTGTCAAGTGACACATCTGATTGTTATAGCTGAGTACCCTGGGCAGTTAAGGTAAGGTTGGATCATTGATCTACTTGAATACTGTGACATCATTATACTATACCAGTGGAGGAAATTCCCTGGTTTATTTATGCAGTGCCTTTGATAGCATCTATGTTAGGATGCATCAATTCAAGTGCTATATCAAGTAATGCATATTTTTTGAACACCTTGAAGACAATAAAAAATGCTTAAAACCAAAAATGGGAGTTTGGATGTCTGAATTTTTTAGTGGATGACAGCAGTGGAATTGATACAAGATCAATGCATATGGATGATGTGGATTGTTCAAAGGCTCATATCTACTACATATATCAAAACAGCATCCATAGTTTGCTCTGGGCCAGATCTAAATGCATTATCAATCTGAATTCTTAGCCCAACTATATGAATTATACTAAGATATATGGACCCTCATCAATCGGACCTGCCAGTTATGGCCCTCTCTCTAGCCAAGTTAACCAATAGGGTGCAGCCCTAAACAAAATGATTGCAAACACAGTTGCAATGTAATCTTCTGTATTGTTGTGTTGTCTCTATCACAAAGACAATACTGCTGTACCACATGGGAAACATGCATTGTATCAGTACTGTCATCAGTAAAATAATACAAAGTTCAAAGTAAGAGTAGTACTTTGATGTAATATTCTACTAACAATTCATACTCTCATTAATCAGACCTGCCAGTTATGACCCTCTCGGGTCTCCCCCCAAGTTTATGTGGGCATTATGAAGGTGATGTCCTTGAGGTGCTCTCAAAAATGCACTCAAATCAGCCTAGCTTTGCCTTCAAGGGCTTAACCCTCACTTTTGGTGAAACATTTGTGCTGGGATTGCAGTGTTGTGTCAGAGGCAAGGAGCTAAAATCTAACACCAGTGTGCAGCTTCTTTTGAGTGTTGTTGTATGTTGCTGTATGGGTGATACAAGGATACACAATCAGATATCTGACCTTAGTGACAAGTTTAGAGGTCAAATAATGTATATGTATGTGTACTTGAAGGTTGGTTATTATGATTAATGGAGTAAGTCATAGATTTGTAAATCATCACTATGCTATCAACCCAATCTAGTAAGTTCAAGCCAAAGCTAAGGTTCAGGCATTATTTGTTACTGGATTCTTTTCAGCCTTACTTCATTATGCCACCATGTATTGCTGTGCTCAGCTACAACAGAGCATATCACAGAGTGGTGTTCAGGATATTTGGTGCCAAAAAAACTGTGAAGTTAATCCCAAAAAATATGAGTACCTCTACAATGTCTCACTGTGAACATTGTAAAGGACATCAAACATATACTGTGTTAATGGCAGCTCTCTTGACAATCCTACAATCACCTCACAATATCCTTTTAATAAGCCAGGTTTAAAAGTGTATTAGCGTTCAGAATTCCTTTACTATCTCTTTACAGTTTCCTGCCGAGAATATTTTCAGCTACACCCTGTGTATGGGATGAAACTTGCTAAAGATAATATCCCCTTTACCTATTAGGATCAAGAGGTGACCTCATCTATGAGCACACGGAGTTGTTGGCTCATTTGTTTTGGTGATGATACTGATATATGAAAGCCAATGCATACTTGCATACATTTATGAGAGAGAATGCGATGACCATCCCAAATGCTTGGTGGCTTCTTTAACTAGTGCTTATTCAAGTGTCCAAGCAGGGGCCCGTCTGAAGAAGCAGCGTTGTCCTGCGTCAAGTCAATGGGTCAATGAAAGTCAAACTCATTGACTGACCGCCAACTGACCGGTCATTGACGGGAGTCAATGACCGGTTACGATTGATGAGGAACGAAGAAATCGTTTCTTATGGGGTGAGCTTCCTGCCAACTTGCGTGACGCCAATCCGACCCCGTGGGAAAATTTTACTTACCCATCATTAGCTTTCTGATAGGCGCCACATACAAAATTTTGTAATGTTCACAGGGTTAGGGTTGGATTCCAATAGCACAGCTTAGGGTTAGCCTTAGATCATTTCTAATCACAATTCTTACTGCATGTAAAGCCTCTCCCCAGGCGCTTGTGTAACCCTAGCTTGCACAGCACATGCGGCGCTCACTGCCCACTATGCCTACAGGCTATGTCCCTGAACACATGATATAGTGTAGTTCAAGTACTATACCCATAGTTTCCTTTCAGAGCTATGATATCCTGGCTTGAATTAAAAGGGTACAAATGAAGTATGTCTTGGATGTAAAGTGCAATTTGAAACAAATGAAAACCATAATAGCACCATGCTGTAGAGCTTGTGAAAAGTTCTTGGATAATGGATAACATATGCTATGTGGATGAGAACTGGTGAAATAGTAAATTCATTCAGTATTGTTAGAAGGCTAAAATTGAAGTATTTCCTTGATGAAGAGACCAATTTGATCCTCTTCAATGCCATATTGTAGAGCTTGTGAAGGGCTTCCTGATGATATATAATATGTGCTATATGGATTAGAATTGGTGAAATAGCAAGGGAAATACTGCCAAAAAGCGACTGCTTTTCAAAAATCTTTATAAGTACCACGGGCGCTAGTAGTACGCGCTGGCCTAGCGCGATCTACTAGCGCCCATTGGACTTCACCAAATCACGCTTTTTGCGCTTATATGGCCCACAGGATCCGGCCCTATTAACCTTTCTTTAAAATACATTATGTAGGGTATATATGACCCGGAAAGCACCTCCATTGTGTAGAGCTTGGCCAGCAGAGTCCAATGATATATAGATCAACATTTATTGATAAGCAGATCACTGCAAGAAATCTGATTTGGCACATTTTATACCACTTTGTAGGCCAATACTGCTCCTGTGTTGTTCATAGCCCAGATTATGCCCAGGTATCTATGATGTGTCTACATGACATTACTGTCTTGGTACTGGGATAACTGCAGAAACAATAATGTATATATATTAAAAACTGACAGAGATATGGTCATGATCATGGCCACTTACATCTTAAGTGGCAGTAAAGGTGGCCACATCAAAATGTTTCACAGATATATGGATTCCCCTCATTGATAGATTTCTGCTGATACTAATCTTGTGGCATATGGACCAGTGGGGGCCAAGATATTGAGACATTTGTGTTGGGAACCAAACAAGACCACAGTCTGTGGCAGGGGAACACTGAGCTGCGTTCCCCTGCCACCAAGTATGGTCTTGTTTGTTCCCAGCCACAGCTGCAACTCATTTTGCCCCCTGTTGGCTCATTCCTCACCACAACATAGGATAATCATATGCCATTGGAAAGGTCTTTCTAATGTCGATCTAATGGTGGTACAATCATGGTTTCATTGTGAGTACACACACTTTGATGCACCAAACACTGATTGTGGCTGAAGGTCATTGCCAGAGTGTATGCACAATACCCAGCCTTTATATGCTCACTAATCCATCTATCAAGCTTCATTATTATATTGCAGGACACTTTCATTATATAGGGCAGAAGATAGTGGTAGCAGTGTATTAGATAAACTGCTTAATCTGGACCTGAACATACTTGTACTCCAATTTATGCCTTCAATTGGTACCCTATTGACCTACAAGCCACACCATTGTGTAGAGCTCAATTTTCCGAACCTGACAGTATATAATACTTGACATTATGCCTGGGAAAACACTGACCTAGACCCACATTGATCCCCATTAGTGACAGATTGTGACCCAGAGTCACTTATGGTGGGTTGTTTGGCTTGTAGCACTCCCATATGTGCTCAGTATCCTATACAAACACCCCCATTGCATTCTCCTCATCAACAGCTTTCTGGTGATATATAATAGTGGTATGTTACACCATACACTTGTCTATCAATAAGCACATTATGTTGAGCTGTGGCTGAAAACAAACAAAGCCAAAGCTAGTGGCACGACGACGCGGAATCGCGTCGGCGTGCCATTTGCTTTGGTCTTGTTTGGCTCCAAACAGAGAAGGGTCAATATCTCAGCTTCTGCTTGTCCAAATGGGACATATAATATATCACCAGGAAGCTGTTGACAAGGAGAATCCATCTCTGCAAAGAAATCAAGGATGTGATGACAGTGGAATAAGATGTGGACCAGATGAATTCCTATTAGTGCCACAATTGGTAATAAGTGCTAGTGGCCTGGCATATTCATGAAATGGTCAAGTATTATATACTATTTGGGTTCAAAACATTGATCTCTATTCAATGGTGATGCTATGATACTAGTGTACCTAGAAGTGCACCATGTAGAAGATGTTATACCTCAATATAATACTAGATGCACAACACAAAATCCTATTAGTGCCACCATTGGAAAAAGAGCGCCCAAGGCACATGAACTGATGACATCATTGCCTCACCCTGAAGTGTTATATACCACTCAGTTTAGAATTTTGGTCTCCATTCAATGGTACTATTGATATGTTGAGTCATAGAGCTCATAAGGAACTCAGACTATCATGTGTGCAGTATTGCAGCTGATGTATGCTATTGCACCATGTATGGAAATCTGATCATGTGATGAGATTGCATGATCCTGTTAAGAAAGTGTGTTTTATGGTGTAACCTATGTTTGAAGACATTGAAGAATGATAAAAGTGCCTATAAATATTGTTTTGCTGAATATTGCCCTGTTGCCCTTCAAATGGAGGGGATATTGTAAGCAGTAGAGAACAGCTTCCCATGGAGTTGAGAAATGAATGTTTTTGCAGATTATATCCATCCAATAAACAGGATCAGGCCATTTATTGAGGCCTATTAATGAAGGCCTTGATCAAGGCATGTCTGATCAATGGCAGCTATGAAAGTAGCTACAAAGATGGATGTCTTGCTGACATTTCCTTAAAAATGAAGTAAGTGGTAGGTATGGGTAAACTCTTACTTGGAAGCTGTCTAGGCCTTCAAAGGGGCCAATAATATTAATAAAATCAACCTTAATCAATATGTCAATGTAATGACTGCCAGATAACATCTATAAAACCGCATTTATGGTGATGATATGGCTCCTTTTGCTGATGTGGCTTGGTTTAATGAAATGACCTGTTGATGCTAGAGATGACTGAGAAATGCTTCAAATGTCTTCTGCATAGCTGAATAACCAGGTGTGGAATAAAATGAAGTCAGGGTTAAGCCATGTTATAAAATGAGGATATTTGTATCATGGTGAGAATTTTCAAGTGACAGATCTGATTATTATAGCTGAGCACCCTGGACAGTTCAAGTGAGCTTAAATCACTACTCTACTCAACAACATATGGAACCCTGTGATGATATTGTACTACACAAGTAGAGAAAATTCCCTGATGATATTTATGTTGTATCTCACCATGTTAGGTTGTATCAATTCAAGTGCTATATCAAATAATGCATATTCAAATACTGTGAATATAATAAAAAAAACTTGTAATAAAAATGGGAATACTCTTAGCAGATGAAAGCAGTGGAATTAATGCAAATCCAATGCATGTGGATGATCTGGACTAGTTCAAAGGCTCATATCAACTACATATATCAATACCGTGTCCATGGTTGGATCTGTGCCAGATATACATGCATCATTAATATAAATTTTCAGTCCAACTATATGAACTACACTGAGAAATATGTACCCTCATCAATCAGACCTGCCAGTTATGGCCCTCTCCACCCAAGTCAACACTTATGTCAGCTGATCTAGTTTATGATGGAATTTCCTGATTTGGAAGGATCGCTATGCTACGCCCGCCCTCGTCTTGGAGCAATAAGATGTAATGTTCAGAAGTCTCGTTGGGCTACATAAATCCAGTATGAGCCATTTAATTCCATTCCCCCCTCTCGCTGTCTCTGCTATGCCCCCAAAGAACGATATCTGGAAGCTTTTCGAGGAGCTGAAGGATGTGCACGGAAAGTCAGTCAAGTACCTCACCGACAAATCCCACGCCTGCGCATGGTGCAAGGCATGGCTCGACGAGTGCGTCAGAGTAAGGCACGCCCAAGAGCTTCTAAGAGTTGAGCGGCATGAGCTCAATGAGGCACGCACTACAAATGATCTCAGGCAGGCTTGTGAGTTCGCAAATGTGCCTCTTAGTAGACTAAGGTAGCAAGAAATGAATATCTATTCACAGTGAAAATCCCCGGGCTCGCCTTGTCTGCAGCGACATGGAAGCACAAATCTAATATCGTGGACGACCATTCTGGGGTCATACCAATCTGCGGGAAGCGCGAGACTATGGCCGCTCATGCCAAACACTGTCCATGGCAAGGCCCGCTCGGATCGACTTCGCACTCAGGGTCGGGCTCCTCGGAGGACACCGAAAACGAGCCACCTCCACACTCCGCTCAAACATCGCTCACTCTTCCCGCATTGGCTCCCGGAACCTCTCCAATCACCATCAGGTTCTCATCTCGTGGAATTCCTCTTGCGAACCTAGCGCCGCTTGCGCTGCAGACACTCAGCTCATCTTCGACTACTAGAGCTCCTACCATGGGAATGTCTTTGGCTGGAACACCCGCAAAACGCGCCCGGACACTGCCCAATCTAGCGTACGCTGATTCGCCTCCAGAAGCTCGCTTTCACAACACCAGTAACGCTGCCATCCCGACCCCACCGCTCGAATCCTCGGGCCTTTCCGGAACCTTGCAAGATCTGCTGTGAAGCGCATGTGCATCGTGCCCCTGCCACCAGTGGGACAGTGCTCGCCAACATGACTTCACATCGGACCTTCTCAAGCTGTTTGTGATCTGCAACATACCGTGGAACGCTGTAGATAACCCGCAGATGCGCCTGTTCTTCGAGAAGTGGCTCCCTGGCGCCGAGCTTCCCGAGAGGCGGAAGCTTTCCGGGAAGTATCTCAATGATGCTGTCGTATCAGCACGAGCGAAGACACGGTCGATCGTGCACGGGCAGCTTGCAACAGGTGTCAGTGATGGGTGGAAGAACATAGCTAAGGTCAATGTCGTTACCTCAATGATGTCCGTCAAGCGGGAGGTAAGCAGCTCCCTGGTACCATGCAGGGGAGGCAGAAGCTGACATTCAAATTGTACTGCGATCGGAATAGCCGCACCTTGTACAAACACACGACATGACGGGCCTCCCAAAGACGGGCGAGCAGCACGCCGAAATCATCGAGGAAGACATCATCCTGATGCGCAGAGAGTTCGACGTGCACCCGATAGGATGGGTCACAGACGATGGACCGGATGGGAAAGGCGCACGAAATCTGCTGCGCAAGCGTATGCCATGGCTGATAACTCTCGTCTGCTGGGCCCATCAGTCAAGCCTCTTGGCCGGCGACTTCCTGTCCTTCCCGGAGTACAAGGAAACTGTCAGTGAAGCACTCGACATCGTGCGCTGGTTCAATAACCACGGCTCCGCCCTCGACCTATTCAACAAAGAACAGCTGCTTACCTATCCGGATCGCACTCGTGCTCTCGCGCTCATCCTCCCGGCTGTCACACGGTGGACCACTCACTTCCAATGCTCATCCCGCCTTCTTCTCCTCGCGCGCGCCTTCAAGCTGTGCATTGCCCGCAACAAGGATTGTCTGCTCGAGATAGGAGAGAAGAGTCAAACGGCGAATGCAAAGGAGACGTCCAGGAGGGTGATTGCCTCCATCGAGGACCCTTCCTTTTGGACACGCCTTGACAGGTAAGGTTTGCGCCCGCCGCCAGTTTTATTCACACACGTTTTGTGCTTCCATTCTCATCGGACTTCTTCCTATTTGTAGAGTCGAAGCATACCTCAAGCCCCTCGCAATTGCGACGAACATTCTGCAAGCTTCGCACACCCGCCTGGATCATGCCCTTTTGGCACTCGCCAATCTCTTCCGGATCTACAGCCATGGCGATACCGAAGTCGCTGTTCGGGAGCGGATGCTCTCGCGTCTGGAGCTGCGGTGGAAGAAAGGCGCAGGTAAAGATCAAGCTCTGTTTATTCTTGCCGCCTTCTTCAACCCGTACATACGGGGCTACTGCTTTGACCGTGAAACACTTCCGCCGAGCGAGCTGTATGAGCTTGCAGAACGCGCGTTCACACGCTTTTACGGCTGCGAACCGGACGCTCGGTTTGCAGAAGCACTGGTTGAATACTCTCAGGCGAAGGCAGAGTTCACGGACGAAAAAATGCGCCTGAAACAAGCCGAACAGCGGGCACTCGAGAAGGACACGGTACGTACTAACGTTACTGCAAGTTCAAGCCGAGCACTCAGTGTACATGTGGTCATAACAGGACATTGATATCGTCTCAATATGGGCAGATATTGATCGCTCAAACGACGCATTGGCGGTATGCCCCGGACGGAACGGAGTCGCCAAACTCGCCATTCGCATTCTGTCCGTTGTCGCCAACTCCGCCGGTGTCGAGTGCGCCTTCAGCGACTTTGGCCGGATACACACGAAGGCACGCAATCGCCTCACGACCAAAACCGTCCACGACACGGGCACATTGCGGCTTGCGATTCGCCGTGAGCATGCTGTGGCCGGCCTCTCCACGCGTCGCCTCAAACGGAAGCTGGGTTACGACTACGAGCCTTTGAACGTCCCATTTGGGGACGTATCTGCTTCCATTCCTGATGAAGAAGAGAGCGACGGCGCTGTGGCTGACAACGTGGACGAACTCGTCCGGGCGGCCATTGACTCTTCGGAGCCCGATGACGGGATGGACGACAGCTCTGATGAGACAGATGGTGACGGCGTCCCGGAGCCCGAGATTGCTCCTGTGCCCATCCCCCACGACAACGACGACGCTGGTATACATGGCCCTCTATTCCTCACCCTCGATAACATCAACTCTCTACGTCCATCCGCTTCCGCCCGCACTCGCAAGGCGACCCCAAAGCCCGTGCAAATTCCGCTGAGCAAGCTGTTCTTGTATCCCGCTGCGGCGGCCCCGTCAAACTCTGCTTCTAGTACCCCCTGCCCCGCGATTCCTTCTCCTGCTCGTACCGGAGAACCTCCCGCATCCGCCCCAGGCTCATCCCCCACCATTCACGATGATGCTGACCTCCGTCGTCGCTTCGATCACATCTGGTCCGGTGGTATAAGGACATACAACCGCGAGACTGTGCTTTGTGAGGCTCTCAGCTCCACCGTCTGATGGCTGGCATGCCGGTATGTTGTTCTCTATCAGTACAGTACTTAATCCCGTATCATATAGGTCTTTTTCTTGTTATATTTGGTGTCATTTCACGTTCCGCGCCCGCATACAGTACATATTCCACCGAAACGGGCCTTCCGGCCGAGCCGCTGAATTTCGCTGACTAATACATTTCGGATTTTCGGAACCAACTAATGACGCGTCAATGATTGACTTGATAGAAATCACCATTGACTTGACGTATTGACTGACCGGTCAATGACCCCGTCAGTGACAACGCTGCTGAAGAAGCAGAGCGCGGGGCCGGATACGCGACGCGATCACGTGACTCTGTGCCCACGGTTCAACGGCGCGAGTGGGCGCCTATCTGCACGCTCTCTCCCTCCTCCGCCGCTGCCCCGACTCGCTCGCTCGCTCGTTCCGTCCGTCGTCGCCGGATGCGCTAATGTCGTTCTCGCGCGTGAAGATTGCTGCCCGTCTCCGGCCCCCCATCCCTGGTGAACAGCACGACAATGCCATCCGCGTCCTCCGTCAAGACCGTGAGGGACAGTCCAACTCGGCCATCGTCGTTGACAATCCCCGCGACCCCTCTCAGACGTTCAACTACCCGTGCGTAGCCCCAAACGCTTGGTGTACTCGTCACTTATATCTCTCCAGGTTCTCATCTTGCTATGGCGAGTTCTCGTCACAAGAGGAGATCTTCGAGCGCGACGTCAAGCCCCTCATCGACCTCGCCTTCTCGGGCATGGTGCGTTCTTCGTCTTGTTCACCCGCATCGCTCTAACGCCATGCTCCACCACCTAGACGGTGACCATCTTTGCCTATGGTGTCACTTCCTCCGGCAAGACCCATACCATGCAAGGCAGCGCCGAGCAACCAGGTATCATCCCCCGAGCTGTCCAGGTATGTCATTAATATTGCGCAGTATGATACGTACTTCAACATACCTCCACAGGAAATCTTCAACCGCACCGTCTCCCAACACGTCGGCGCCTCTATTGCAGCTTCGTACATGGAGATTTACAAGGACGAGGTCTACGACCTCCTTGGTGACAGAGAATCCGTAAGCCTCGCCGTACATTCCTCTAGAAGCTAGCATCGCTCACGGCCACTCTTAGGCCGCGAAGCTGCCTGTGCGCGAGAACGAACACGGGAAAGTCTTTGTCGCAAACCTCTCCACCATTCCGCTCGATACGCTGGACGACTTCGAAACCGCCTTCTCGTATGTTCATTGCCACTCATCTCTCGAGTCATGGCTTACTCTTGTTTGTTTCGTTCAGGCAAGCGAATAAGCAGCGCTCCGTTGGCTCCACTAACCTCAACTCTGTCTCCTCCCGCTCTCATGCCATCTTGACCCTCCATGTCACCGTCACCGATCCTTTGCAGAACCGCAGTATGCTCTCACTGCTACTTATCTGACCACACGCCATACTGAACCAATGCGTAGCTCTTTCTGGTAAACTCAACCTTGTTGATCTGGCTGGCTCGGAAAATAACAAGGTACTATATTCATGTCGCATCGCGTTTCAGTCACTGAACTTAGGTAGCTCACCGGCAACGACTCCTCGCGCATGGCCGAGTCCGCCGCGATCAACAAGTCGCTCAGCGTGCTCGGCCAGGTCGTCCACGCCCTCAACCAGGGCGCAGTACGTATCTCTCCCTCTCACGCGCACTCTCCCCTCATCTAATGCGAAAATTTTATCAGAGCCGTATCCCTTACCGCAACTCCAAACTCACGCGCATCCTGCAAGATGCCCTCGGCGGCAATTCCGTCGGCCTCCTCATCTGCAACCTCGCACCCGGCACCAAGTTCCGACAAGATACCCTTAATACGCTGAAGTACGTCCCCGGTCTCTCCTCTCCCCACCCGCCCGCGCTGACGCATACACTAGCTTTGCTGTCCGGACGAAGAACATACAAAACAAACCCCTCGTTAATCAACAAGGTATCCACTCCCCGCCTTCCATACGATTCAGCTCACCGCTTACACTTTTCCCACCAGCCAACGCAACCGCCGGCCCCTCCTCCGTCACCATCCCGCCCCCCGCCGCTCGCTCGATCCCCGCACCCGCACACACCAGCCGCATAGCCGGCCCCCGCCCGTCGCGCGTGCCCCGCATGTCCAACGCCGGCGCCGGCCCCCGCCCCTCACTCGCCTTCTCGAACATCCCGCCCCCAGCCGTCAAGCGCGAGTCGCTGCCCCCGCCCGCCCCAGTCATGCCCGCGCACCTCACCGAAGAGGAGATTAACGCACGCGTACGTTCATACCCACCTGTCACCCGTGTGCAGGATCTAACATTGGCGCAGATTGCGAAGGCTGTGGAACTCGAGGTCGCACGGCGGCTCGAGGAGCGCGAGGAGGCCGCACGGAAAGAGCGCAGCATGAGCGTGCTGCACGAGGAGCACGGCTCGGCGTCCGCTGGCTCACTCCACTCACTCCCGCCCGGCTTGCTCTCGCCTCTACTGAAGAAGCAACGACACAGCGCGGATGACGAGCTCAAACAGCGCCTTGAGGAGCTCGAGAGCAAGTTGTATGTCCCCTTCCTTCTCCTCATACGTTCCTCTGGGTTCGGGCGAATGCTGACACGCGACCGAACAGCGAGCGCGGCGACAAAGACAAGCGCATGTCGGACGTGCTGCTCTCCCCCCTCTCGCGCAAGAAGACCGGGCGCGCCTACGTCGCGCTCGCGCGCGCCCACACGCAGAAGAACAACCTGCAGGTCGCGCTCGAGCTGTACCGCAAGGCGGAGACGTACGTGCCGGACAACGTGAAGCTCAAAGAGAGGTGGATACTCTTCCTTGCGAACGTGTTCGAGTGTATGGTTACGCACGAGGCGCGCCGCTGACGAATGCCACTCCTTTTTCTTTTACGCGTGCCACCCCCCGTGTGTCTGTCCCGCACGCGCACGCTTCGTGCTCCCCGTCACTGCCCGGCGATGTGACGACGGGTGCGGACTTGCGTGAACGTACGGACGGGGGCGCGCACGCACAGGATCATCGAGATCGAGTGGGCGATCAAGAACGACCGCCCGTTCGCGCCGTCCCCCAAGAAGCCACGCCGCGGGCCCTCGCGGCGCGCGAAGGGCGGCAGCAGCAAGCACCGGCCCGCCCCCGACGCCGGCTCGGACGACGACGCGCCAGACTCGGGCAAGGAGAACGAGGGGTACGCGGACGCGGAGGACAAGGAGGAGGGCGGCTCCGCGAAGCGCAGGCGGCGGCACGTCAAGTCCGAGGAGAGGGAGCGGGAGCCGGGCACGCCGCCGAAGCGGCGGCGGCTCGTGAAGTTCGAGGATGCATATGCGTAGGCGCAGTCGCATTGCGCGATTTTTGCGGGGACAGAGAGGAGTGGGAGGGGTTCTTGCGAGCCACGGGGGCGAGGCCCGCGCCGGCGGTGGCGATGGCGCGCCGGGTGGGTGGGTGCGGGTGCCAGGGTGGGGGAGTATGTACGCTAGCTTACCTGATTGCCTTCTCTTCGCTTCGGTGTGTGCCCGTTGGCTTCTAGGCGTTCTGTTCGTGTACGTGACGGTCCGTGTTTGTGTTTATACGTGGTGTGGATGGTATACAAGCAACTGTGATTCGGAACCTGGGTGGGAAACGCGAGAAGGGGGAGAGCCTGAGAGGGAAGGAAGGAAAGACTAGCGATACAACACCGGCTCGGTTCGAAGCGTCCGTAAGAGTCCAGAAGGGGGAAGGGGAGGCCGGTAGGAGGATAGCGTACAGAGCGTCCCGTGCGAAGGAGAAAGGCGATATTGATACAAGGAAGAGAGGTAACTGGCTACAAAGTTGGAGACGTGGGGGCAATGTTGGTGAATGGGGCACGCCCAAAATACATGGGGAACGGGTATGAGGAGCATGTATGAAGAAGCAGACACGCATGGGGAAGACGAAGGTTCGTAGAACGCATTGCCTTCTCCGAGCGGGGATTAGCCGCTGTGACGCCCCGAACGGCTGCCCTTTGCGGGATCGGATGCGCCTTGCGAATAGCGCGCCGTCGAGGAAATGTTGGGTAACGGCGCGCCCAGCGGCGGAAAACTCTGGACACGCGGGAGGAGGGGCGGGCCCAGCTGTAGGCGCGAGGGTCCTGCGGTCGGATTATGCGTACTTGGGCCTACGATGAACTCGGGGAACGGAATGTTCATGAAGACGATGCCGACGAGCAGCGCCCGCGTGGTGCTGGTGGGATAGAGCAGGAGCCCTCCGGGCGATGATGGCTGGTTAATGCTCCACGGGGCGATCGCGACCTGCGCGTCGGAGGCAATAAGTTCAGCGCAGCGCACGACGGGCAGACGGTGCGGAGCGACTCACGATACCTTCCTCGAGCAGCTGGCGCGCGAGCGCCTCGAATAGCGTATGGTTCTCGCGCGTCTGTGCAGCGTCGCCCATGCGGTCGGGCATGATCATGCAGCGCGAGAGCGCCCCAGGCTGAAGCTGGGCAAGCCACGCGTGCACCTCACGCAAGAGCCCGCCGCGCCGGACGAGCTGCAGATGAAACTGCTTCGGCCAGTGTTCCTGCTGGCTACTTGTGCAGAGGCGGACGCGTCAGTTAGTTGAGGGCAGAGCGTAGGAGCGCGCGGGGGAGGACCTACTTATCGTTCTCGGTCTCCGCGGCAGTGACGCTGATCTCGCGCGGCTGGGGTGGTAAGTGCGACGAGGGCGAGGACGCGGGGAGAACGAACGTGCCGCGCCACGGCTGCGATTGGGGCACCTGTTCGTCCGGCGGCGGAACAAGAGTCTCGAGATGTGTGGGCAAACGGAACATTGGCGGTGCCGGCGGTGAGTGTTCTGGCCGTGCGGAAGAACCCCGCCGACTTTTATGGGGTGTGTCGCACGCGTACATAAGCTCCCGCACCCGCTACAAGGGCCGTGGCCGCGCGCGCAGAAGTCCGTTTGGGAAGCTTCTGGCTGGGGGCAAGGTCCTCCTGCACGTCGACGCGCGAGGCCACCGTCGTAGCGTGGCCGGCGCGGGGTGTGACGGGGCTTCCGTGGCCGTCTTGGTGGTCGCGTCTCGACGCGGGATTGTCATGGCGAGTTCTGTGGATCGCGCTGGGATGCGTCCTTAAACGCAGGCGTGGCCGCGTCCGCCGTGCGCCTGGCACACTCGCCTCTGCAAACCTGCCGATATGGCCGGGACGGCCACGATGGTGGCCGGAGGCGAGTGTGGACATGTCGGGGATCGTCGCAAGCCTGGTCCGAGCCATCTGTGAATGAGTACTTGTGAGGGCGATTGTCAAGACGACAACACACCTCGCAGCGCGCCGCGCGCCGACTCTGGAAAGCTTGTGCCACGAGGCTCTCGCGCGAGATCACACCGTCACACCCGCACGTTCAAAAACATCATGGTTCGTGGGGCGCGCCCGCGCCTACATACTCCTATGGTACACGCATATAGATCCTAGACATAAATCAGCACAGACGATTGGAAGCCCCATGTCCAAGCGCGAGAATTAGAAGAGCGATAAAACAATAGTCCGATAGCATATGGGACCAGGACTCGAGTGTCCGTTCCCAGTGGTGTTGTCAAGCGAGTCACACCTGAGTACCTGCCCGTAGACGGGGCGCCATGCTGCTTCGTCGACGGCTTCCGGGCGTAGGTGCTGTGTGAGCGGATATCATCTATATAAAACGTCAGTTTCCAGTACGTCAACACCAGCGTCATATGACGGACCTTGCTGTCAACCTCATTCAATGCGTCCATCTGCAACTGGCGCAGCTTCGCCAGGCCCGCCTTGAGGCTCTGAATGCTTGTCTCGTCCTCGGCCTTCGCTGTACGTAACTCCTCTATCTCCTGCTCCGCATCCCGGTTATCGTCCCGCGCAAGCTCAAGGTCCTCCTGCAACTCGGCGGCGTGTTCCTTCGCTTCCTGGAGCTCCCTAGTGAGCTCATCCTTCTCCGTCAAGGCCGACGTCAGCTCCTCTGAGACAGCAGAAAGGCGTCCATTCAGACGATCGGCTTGGGCCTCAAGATCGGCCCCCTTCGTGTGCGCGATCTCCAAGGCCTCTTCGAAGCCCGATCTCTCCGCAGCACGGGCGACAAGCTCGGAAGTGTGCTCTTCCTCCAACGCACTGAGCTGACGACGCGCCTCGTTCTCTGCACACCTGACCTCTGCCAATGTCTTCGTCGCAGACGACAGCCGTGCGGTCTTGTCGGCGAGGTCGGACAGCAGCTTGTTGCAGCGCGCCTCGGTGGAGACTGCATTCGACTCCGCGGCACGACGCGCTGCCTGCTCCGTCTCCAGGCTTTGGTGCAGCTCCGCAGCCGCGGCCGCCGCCTCCTGGAGTTGCGAGCGTAGCGTGTCCACGGTTATCTCGAGCCCAGATACGGATGCCTTCGAGGCGGCCAGGGCGTCAGCCGCGTCCACCTGAGCCGCAGCATGTGAGACCCGCAATTCGTCGATTACGTCTTGGGCCTGCTGCACCTCTGTGCGCGTGCTATCGAGCTGCGACTTGGCGTGGGAGAGCTCGCCGCGAAGCTGCGCGACGGTATCCTGCAAGTTGCCGGAGGTATGCTCGAGGGCAGTGTTCGCAATATGAAGAGCACGCGCTTGGGCTCGTGCGTCCTCGAGGCTACGTTCCAACTCCGCGATTCGTGAAGAAAGGGTCGCATGGGAAGCACCAGCGACGTCCAGTGCGACGTGTGCCTTGGCGAGCTCGCTCTGGGTTGAGGAAAGGGCCACCTGCGTTCGCTGGAGCTCCGCAGTGCGTTCTTCGAGCAATGTGGTAGAGGCCTCCAAAGCCTTTGTGAGAGAGTGGGACTCGGCTTGTGCGGAACCGAGACGATCGTGGACGCTTGAGAGCTCGTTGGTGGCTTTCCTCAGCTTTGCATCGCTCTCGTGATAAACTGTGCGCCATTTGGATGTGTCGATACGAGCAGTGTTAAGCTCTTCAGCGATGGCCCCCGAGTGGACACCCAGATGATGGACTTCGCCTTGAAGATTATCGCATTTCGTCTGAAGACCTGACGCGTTGGCCTGCAGAGTGGTGTTTCGCTCCCGCTCAACAGACAAGGCAGCTTCGGAGGCCTTGGCTGCTGACTCCAACTCCTTACGTCGCGTGCGTTCCCCCGCCAAGGTCTTCTCGAGACCCGCTCGTTGCGACTCCTCGGAAGCGAGAGCTTCATCTCGCGTGCGAACGTCGACCTGCAAAGCCTGTATCCGATCGTCTCGAGAGGCAACGGACGCGCGCAGCTCGTCGCGTTCCGACAAGACACGTTTGTGCTCGTCTCGAAGGGCGTCCAACGCGGCAGACTGAGACTCGAGCTCGCCCTTCAGGAAGTTCACCTGCACGGCAGATGTCAGGCCTCGGCCCGTTTTAGGTTGGAAGAAACTTACCTCTTCCGTGGGCTCATCCCCGCCCTCCTCGTATCCGTCAATCGCCTCTTCAGGCGCAAATTCCTCCTGATCAGCCAGCAACGGCGATGACTGGGGTGTTGCCAGGCCGAGGGCCTGCTGGGGCTCAGGAAAGCGCTCGAACTCCGGGAACGCCGACATGGACGCGTCCTCCATGCTATCGTCGAAGACGAGCTCATCGATGTCATCTTCGCTTCTCTGAGAACCGCCCTCGCTCGGCTCCGGGGTGGGTTGCTTCGATAGGTGAGAGATGAGCGAACCGGATAGGGTGCGGGTGACGCCGGGCATGGCAAGGCGAGAACGTGTGCCGGTCGCCGTACGCCCAGAAGAGGAGAGTAGCGACGGGTTGGTTCTATGAGCACGCTTTGAAGTGAGCTTTCGTGACATCGATGTTAAGAGGGGAAGCGAAATACTTACGGGGGCGGGGTGACCATGCCGGTCGGTGTGCCGACGGTAACGCGGCGATCGTCTGTCGAGGGCTGGTCTTTAAGGCGTGCAAGTTCCTCGCGCAGCACGGCAACTTCCTTCTCGCGATTGGACAGTTCCTCTTGCAGCACCGAGAGTTCTTCTGGGTTGATCGGTTCGAGCTCCTGCGCGTCGTGAAGCCTCTCCAAAGCATCCTGGAGCTCGCTCTCGAGCTGGGCGAACGTAAGACATCGATTGATTTGATGTTGAACATAAACCGCACCTCAGCTTTGGTTTTACGCGTCATTGACTTGCGAGCCTGTCTCTTCCTGGGCCGGACGTCCTCATCGTCCCAACTACTGTCCTCAAACGCGTGCTCGGGCACGGCCGAAGACCTTCGCCTAGCGCGTTTTACACCAGCTCCAGAGAATCGCCTGGTAACGTCCTTCCAGATCTTGTGCTCGAGCCCCGGCGAACAGACAACGCCGGGCCCCATCGACTCACGACGGACCTTGGTGATTCTACACAGTATGATGAGCGGGTGACCTCATACACAACCTTGTGTTTAAACATACGTCTTCTTGGCGTTCGGGGTAAAGGTGATGTTGCCATGAGCGTCCGCCGTGTCTAAGATACCGTCGTCGACCTTCCAGTGCGTCAGCATAAGCCGCGAGACTACCAAACGCGGGAAGAACGCACCAGCCTGTTGACAGTCCGAGATACCCACTGCGCCCACTGGGGGCCCATCTTATCCTTACGCGCGTCCGCCGTCTTGCGCACTGCGAGTGCCCTCGTGAGCCACGATCACTCGCCGAACGTGTCCGAGGAAGCCGTACCGTGTGCCCTAAGCGTTGCCATATGGACCGCATGCTTGCGGTGGTCCTTCTGAATCTCGGAGAGCGCCCCGAGCACGCCTGGTCGCATACGCTTCAGATCTAGTGCTTGGCTGTGGTGCGCGTGCGCATTGACTTACGCTCTGCGTATGTGTACTTCGCCCGCTTGTTCGAGTATCTTGCGACCATCGTTTGGTGGGAGATGGAGGGATGAGTTGGTGGTTTGAGATAGAGATGTGAGTTAGCCACGAGCGGAGCGAAAGGCCTTAGCCCAAGTGGGGGAGCAGACGGTGGCACCGCGCCGCATACGCGCTGCTCCCTCGCGTGGCTAGCCGCTCGCGTATACGTCACTGTCACCATCACATCGTCACTGCTCACGCCAAAGACAGAAAGTATTCCTTGTGTGGTCTCCTTTGGCTCACTCGCAGAGGACGAGCAAAGTGCAGCGCGCGTCGTATCTGTACATAAACTCAAAAAATCATTCTCCGCCAGATTGCTGTAGGAGGGAGAAGAGGGCTATCGCATTGCATAGTGTCATATTTCGGTACTCCTGCAACAAAAACGAGGTGTCAGCTTCATCGAGGTACGGATGAATATCTATCCATCAACCATAGGAAACATGAGGCATATAAGCACATGTGGGACAAGGTAGTCGGAGTAGCCACTCGAGAAATCCAATATCTTACATGGCGAGCTGGAGTGAATCTCTCCAAAGCCCTCATCGTTCATACTGACACCCCGCCACCCTCAAAGCTGCGAAGACTAGTCCGCGGCGCTCTGTATATATGCTGCTCGCGCTAAAACGCCTTGCGTAGAGTATCCGAATATCAATCTTCGACCACATTTACCCCCACAACCCGCAGGAGCTGCATCACGAAGCCTAACACCACCACTGACTGGCTCCTGCGCGCCGCGCACCTCGTGGACCTGGCGTCGGGCTACCAGGGTCTGACGCAGAAAGGAACAGATGTCGAAGCAAGAGCGGCGATATAGCCTATATGAGGGCATCGCGGGGAGCTGCCTTGCGAACGCGCCTCAAACGTCCACGCATTCATTGGCTCAGCCAGAACGCGTCTGCCAGCAACCTCCTTTGGAAAGTGCAGAGCCAAAGGTACAGCGCGTATGCTTAATAGATTCTCTACGACGGGAGTGTGCACTGGGTAAGGTTCGCGCGGAGAGCTAATGACGCTCAAGACGGCATTGAGCGACATCGAAACGAAAGATCTTAGATACGGCGTGCTCGAAACATTTGCAACACACGAAGAGTACACAGTCAGGCTGCGTGCCTTGGAATACGTATCCGTGAGTCACAACATAGTACTCACTATACATGTATATATGCTGCCCGGGACCTGCGAGCTGAGCTCTGAGGTCGTAAAGGAGCCATTGGCTACATGGCTCGCCCAGGGCGTTTCAACAATATTTGCCGCGTATATGCTTCCAACCGGCATGCTAGAGGCGCGGATAGAGAGTTGCCTGAGGGGGAGCTGCCTGAGGGAAATGGCGGTCAGGAGTGATCCTATGCCGCATTGGCGACCAATGTGAAGCCAGTCGTAGCGGCATACTGGCCACAGCTCGCTGATAGAGGTGTTGTATCCTTTCAGCAGTCGCCTGACATGTAAGGCAGTCGTCGGGAAAGCCAGATGAGAGCCAAACAGCGAGCATATATCCGGGATTAGTTTGTGCTAGCCGAGCCAGAAAAGACCAGAGATGTACCCCCCCAGGCCGTAAACTCTGCCAAAGTTTGCCATGGGAAGGACCCACAGCGCACAAGAAGCAAGAGAAGCAGCAGCGGGATGTACGGTGAGAGGATGAGAGAGGGAGGAGGCAAGGACGGATTCCAGCAGTGGCCCAGCAACCGCCTCCGCGGTACGATCCCAATCTGGCAACACGTTCATCATCAAACATTCCATCCTCCGAGCGACAAGAAAAACACAAAATCGGCCGGTACAATTGCACTAGAGTCACAGGTGGACAGAACAGCGTGGTGCGAGCAACGATTTGTACAACGACCCGCGAGCTATAATACACCGGACAGGCAAGGAGCAGACCGCGCAGCGACGCACGCACCCCATCCTCCCCCGCCCGCCCTTCGCACAGACAACAGAGGCAGCAGCAGCGCACCAAGCCATCCTCCTGCACGCCTAGAAGCCCCGTCCTCGCCCGCGCCCACGGCCCCGCCCTCGTGCACGGTCGCCGCCGCCCCGGCCACCGCGCCCACGCCCGCGCGCGTCGTCCTTCTTCCTGCTCTTCGGTTTCGGGGCGTCGTCTACGAGGAGGGTGTCAAGGGGGAGGGCGTCGGGGAGGACGAAGTAGCGGATGTTGTTGCCGCGGATGGAGAGCGAGTCGAGCGAGGTCGGCTCGCGGTTGCGCGCGGTCATTTTGACGGTCTTCAGGTGCGTGTTCATCTGCATGTCCACACCTGCGCAGCGCGTCGATCATTAGCAAGGTATAAGTAGACATAACAAGCGTCGGCAGGACACACCTGTGATCGTTCCATGGATCACTGAGCCATTCTTGAGCTCGACGGTGACCGTCTCGTTGTTCAGTTTCATCAAAAATCTGTGGTTGACTGCTCAGCATGGGCTCACTCGCCTTCCATATCCTCCCAATCCATCCTGGACATCGTGGCGCAGATCCTGAGCGTGCTGCACTAACCTTACGAGCTTCATTTTGGCGGACGGGATGGGGAGCGCGGACGGTGAACGTGAGGCAGAGGCGCTTGGCGTCTAACTCTTCCCAAGGACCGAGGCTGCTACTGGAATGAAACTCCGAAATACATTTTATGCACTCCGATGACCGCGCCTCTTCGGGGAATAAACCTAATCACGCCTTGAGACTTCCCCTGCCGCGAGAGCCCGATGGAGTTGGACTCGACCCTACTCGACGGCGACGATAGGATGCATACTGCCCGAATGATACACTCTGAGTCTGATGCCCCTTGTCTGAGACTCTCTTCCTGCCGGGCGAGCATGCGTACTGCGGATCAATCGAAATATTCAGCCCGCCCGTCACCGATATAACCCGTGTCTCCTCGGGCAACAAACGCCAAAAGATTGTTGACTTCTCCCCAACATTTCCCAGCGCAGCAGTATGTCCAGCCATGGTGAGCACTCGGGCTGTTTGCAAGTCACCGGTAGTTTGTGTGCCTCGTGTCTGACTGTCGATCCCACAGCAGACGCACAGGACGACGCGGATCTCATTTCGCACGCCGGGGAGATCTTTTCGCCCGTTATACTCCCTGTGAGCGGGCGTACGGTGCCGAACAGGCTCGTCAAGGTGCGCTACTCTCGTTTAGTCTCTATATTGTACCCAGTCTGTATACATTCCCCCCATCCTGGTTATTGTTTATTCCACGACTCCCACAAGCATACACGCATGCATTCTTGATAGCGCGTGCTAATTCTTCCCCTCAGGCCCCGCTTTACGAGCACTTCTGCTCTCTCTGGGATGGCAACCCAAATGACGCCCTCTGCGCCCTCTACGCCAAATGGGGCGCCGGCCACTGGGGCGTCATCATCACGGGCAACGTCCAAGTCGACCGCAAGCACCTCTCCTTCGGACGCGACATGACCATCCCAGAGGTCCTCTCCCCAGCGACGCTCGCCCCCTGGGTCCGCCTCGCCGACGCCATCCACACCGGCCGCGCCTCGCCGCTCGACACGCCCCACCCAGAAGCCGCCGCGCACGCCGACCTCGGCACCCCGCTCGCGCTCATCCAGCTCTCGCATGGCGGTCGGCAGTCGTTGAATGTCCTGGGCGGCCGCCCCGCGTTCGAGCCGCCGCTCGCGCCCAGCCCCATCCGTTCGGGCGCGTCGCACGCGGGTAAAGACGGGCAGCTCTCGCTGGCTATTCATAAACTGATGCACCAGGAGCCGCGCGAGATGACGCACGCGGATATCAAACAAGCCGTTGCCTCCTTCGTTCGCGGCGCCGAGCTTGCTGCGCTGAGCGGGTTCGACGGTGTCCAAGTTCATGCTGCGCACGGATGTATGTCAGCGTATTATTCCTGTTCGCCGTCCGTTCGCCGTGCTGACTATGACGTTCAGATCTCGTATGCCAGTTCATCTCACCCAAGGTATGTTCAGTCCATGCTCGTGTTTGCGTTGAGTGACATGCTTAGCTCTCGCGCAGAGCAATATTCGTACGGATGACTACTCGGCAACCACGGACCCGCTCCATTTTTTGCGCGACGTTGTCTACGGCATCCGCGAATCCGAAGTAATCCCGGCCAACTTCGTGATCGCAGTAAAGCTCAACTCCGCAGACTACACTGCAGACTCCACCGAACCACAGGAGGATCGCGCGCTCAACCACGTGCGCGAGATCGGGAATTGGGGCCTCGTAGACTTCATCGAAGTCTCCGGCGGCGACTACGAAGACCCACGTACGTCTCCCTCCCGTACTTCTGAAATCTCCCCTACTAACCTCCCATGCAGAGTTCATCGACAGCGTGCAGAAGTTCAAGAACCCACGTCAAGTCATGTTCGAGGCTTTCGCCTCGCGCAGCATGGACATCCTCGCACACTGCACACCCTCCGCCACAGCGCGCGGCGCCCCGCCGCTCGTCTGCCTCACCGGCGGACTGAACACCCTCCCCAAGATGTCCTCCGTGCTCGGCCACGCGCACGCGCACCTGCTCGGCATCGGCCGCCCCGCCGCCACGCACCCCCTGCTCCCCATCCAGCTGCACGCCGCCGTCTCCTCCCACTCTACCGACTTCTTCATGACCGAGCCGCTCCCCCTGCGCGCCGACGGCCTGGGAGAACCTCCGCGCTCGCTGCTCTCCTGGCGCGCGCTCGAGCGCGTGACGTTCTACGTGCTCTCGCTGCTGTGGTCTCTGCAGCCGGCGCGCGTGCCGCGGCTTGTGGGCGCGGGCGGGGACGTGAACTGGCACAATATCGTGATGCGCCGCATCGCGGCGGGGGAGAAGGAGCCCACGGACTACACGCTGGGCAAGATAGGTGCGACCGTGCGCTTCTACCTCACGCCATATCCGCCGAGTGAGGGCGGCGCGGGCGCGCGGTGGTGGGTGCTCGCGGGCGTGGTCGGGGTCGCTATTGGTGTCGGACTGGGACAGGTGCTTTGATGTCTGGGGCTACTAGAGTCTAGGGTATTGACAAGGTAATTAATATGTGAAGTGGTTGGGCTACCTGCACCCTAATGTAGCATTCAGACCACCGCACGGCCGGTAATGCAAATGCTACGTATTATACCCCCGGGCTGATGAACAATGGCAAGCTGCGGTTCTGGCGATGGCTAAAGCGTGGCAGTGGCGCTCAGGACGCTTTATAGTGAGCCGCGCTTTGGTGCCGACCGGTCGTCTCTCTGCTTGCTCCGCACCATCCAGTCCGATGAACACTCATTCCTTTTCCACTCCCTACAGGAGAATAATGCTGAACCGCGACGGTGCCGCCGCGCTGGACACGCTCGCAACGCTCGCTGTCTACGACTCCCAACAGGCCTTCGCGGTCGCTGCCGTCCTGGATAACCACGGCCGCAACCTCGAGCTGTATATCGCAGGCGACACGGAGGAGGTTCCGCCCATAGCCGTCGACCACCTAAAGGACATCTGCGCCCACCTCATCACTATCCACGCCGCCATCGAGGCCTCGCCCAACCGCGCGGCCATCCTCCACGAGATATCTTGGAACCCGCACAACCCGAACGGTTCTCCCGAGCCCGCCTTCACCGCTTTGCGCGAGCTCGAGCTAAGCTTGTACAGGCACTCCAATAAGCGCATTCGTGCGCGGATGACCAGACCGCCCGAGATCAACTGGCCCAACGAGCCCAGCCACCTTGTCGCCTGCATCAAGGGCACCCCCGCTGGCACCCGCGACGATCTATCTGACGGCGAGCGGTGAGCGTTACGGCATCTCCAGAAGTCTGCCCTGCTACAGCAGAGCCTCCCAAAACTAGACGAGGTGGTCATTCACCTGCAGAAACTAGTCGACGTGGCGCCAGATGTCGACCTCAACAACGTACTCCTACGCCGAACATTGGTCTCCCTGGACAGCATCCACCATCGGCTGTTTGGAACCACCATGGCGTACTTTGAAGACTTTATCATTAATCACTGGTATTTCTGTCGTTAATACTCTGATCATTCCTGTGTGACATCTCACGTACGTCTGGGTAGCACATATCACTCGCACAACCGGGACCGCTCCCCGTAACATGCCCGACATGTCCATATGGCTCAGGAAGGTGTCCTATGTCACCACCGCCTTCCAGGCGTTAAATCAGGGCACTCGCTACACCCGACGTCTCTGCATTGTTTGGCGACCGCATCCCTATTCATTCTGTCGCCAACACCCCGCCCAAGCGACCGTGTACCGTGGTACTCACAGCCGGCGGTATCGAGGCTACGCTTGCTGGCGCGGCGAACTTCGGACACACCACAAACGATGTCGTTCGTGACCACCCCAAGAATTTCGACTGTGTCGTCGCGAAACAGGTCGTAGCGGCTAGGCGCGGTGGGTCCATCGTCTCCATCCGTGACCGCGGGCCACATGTGCATTTAGCACTACTGACTTGCTTTGCATGCAGGTCCCGCAACTCACGTCCATTGCGAATGTGCCCTTCTCGCTCACATCTGGGAAAACGACCAGCAAATGCTACCGTACGTGGGGCTGTCGGAGGCCCCGTACAAACTCTGTGCAATCCTGTTCGCTGCATGCCGCGACCTCCGGGGACACGACTCCGGGACGACTACGCGCAAAACGTTTGGAGAGATGCGTTCTGCCGCATGGATGTACCCCGACTTTCCCAGGGTACCAGATCACGATGATGCTCCTGTCGTTCGGAAGTACTTCCGCAGGAGGCTATGTTCATACATCGAGACCATGGTGCCTTTCGAACGGTCCTGGATGCTGTTCAAATCGTTCAAGGCCGCCAAAGCACCTACCCCTGCTGTAGCACAATTTCAGTTGTAATTACACGTACTTATCATGCACACCTTCGCTTGTGCATAGAGCAAGGTGAAGATCTTGTCACCGAAGTTACAATAGCAGTGCACCCCCGCTGCGCCCTCTTCCGCCGGCTAGGCTTTGGTAGCTTTTGGTAGTTGGCCAGGCGATGCAAGGGCTGCAAGGGGAGAGTCGGCATGCCGGCCCGGTGTGCGTACGAACGCCAGCTTACGTACGAGCGCTTGCTTGGAGCTGAGGCTTGTTCCCAAGATGAACATATGGCATTGACTCCTTGCCTTCGCACCACGCTGACGACTGTACAATCGAAAACACAATATCTTCGTCGTTTCTCCTCCTCCCTCACTTGCGCAGCGAATTAACCGCCAGGCTATTTTCCAGCCTGTTCGATATCCTACAAGTATGTCCGTCAAGAACTGTTCAAGCCTCATACGATAACCACCTAATCTTCTTTTCCCTTTCCCAGTGAACATGGCTCCGCCTGGAGAGATAGTCCAACTTTCTACGCTTGCCGCAGCGCTCCGCGATACGAGGTCGGATGATTACCGCGACGCTCGATTTTCCAAGGTCGACTATATGTTCTGGAAACCCGAGGGAAGGTTGAACCGTGTCGGTGCCGCCGCCCTCGATGCATTCGCCGAGCTCGCCACCTGTCAACCTGATCAATCTGTTGCGGTGGCGGCTGTCCTCGACCACGGCGGCCACATCGAGATATACATCGCAGGAGACACAGAGGAGGTTCCTCCCTCAGTCGTCCGCCACCTAGGCAACATCTGCGCCCGCATCCTTAGCATCCGCACCGCCGTCGAGGCTTCGTCTAATCCTACGGCCATACTCGAGATGATACGTGAAAACCCCCATGTCTCAGAAGGCTCTTTGGAGCCCGCCCTTGATGCTCTCCGTATCCTCGAACTGGACTTGTACAGGTACTCCATCGGGCGCGTCCGCGCACACGCCACTGCAGACCCACAACTCCGCTGGATAGACGGTCTCAGCTTCCTAATCGCTCGTCTCAAATGCCCACCCGCCGCAGCCCTGGATGATCTATCCGATGGAGAGCGGGCTGCTTTGAAGCTCCTGCAACGATCTGCGCGCGTACAGCGGTACCTCTCAAAGCTCGACGAGGCGATTATCCGCTTGCAAGGATTACTTGCCGCGGAACCGGCTACCGACCTCGACGATGTGCGCCTACGCGAAATATCCCTCGCCCTGGCACTCGATCTACACCCGCTTGAGAAAGACATGCCGTACTTCGACCAGTTCATCTCCGGTACGCAGCTTGATTATGGTCTGAGCGTTCTAGCATTGGGCCTGACGTTTGGCCACGGCAGCGTACATCACCCGTAAAACCGGTACCGCTCCCCACACGCCGCTTAGCACGCACGCATGGCTGAAGAAAGTGTGTTGTGTGGCCATCGCGTTCCGGGGTTTGACCGGCATCCTCGTCACGCCCGCCCTCTCCGCCATGTTCGGCGCCCGCGTACGCATCCATCCTATCGTCAACACTCCGCCCAAACGGCCATATGACGTGGCGCCCACGGCCGACGACATCAAGGTCACGATCGCTACGCACGGAATGGTCAAATACACCGCGAGCACCTTTATTCCTGGCCGTCCAGAGTTATTCAACGATCTCGCCGCTGAACTCGCGGCAGCAGCAGCCAAGAGAGGTGCGTCCGTCGTCTTCGGTCCGCTTCACCGCCGCCGAGCGCCACATACAATATACACTGACTCCCCTTACGCAGGCCACGCGACTCACATCCATTGTGAATGCGCCCTGCTTTGTTACCTCTGGGCGCATGGCCAGACGATGCTGCCGTACGTCGGGCTTTCGATGGCACCGTGCATATTCTGTGCCATCTACTTCATGGCCTACCGCGACATCCGGGGAATCGAAACGTCTACGCGCGGGACAGAAGGACAGATAACCGCCGCCGCTTGGATGTGCCCCGATTTTCCCGACCTTCCTGAGGATGCTGCGGCCTTCCAGTCACAGCTCTATGAGAGGCTTCGCCAGTACATCCAGAAGAGGCTTCTCGACGAGCATTTCCGAAGACAGAAAATAAGGTTTGCTCAGTTCACATCGGCTGGTAGTGTCCGATGATCCCAGATGTAGGAATATGCTTATACATAAAGACATGTACAGCGGCGCAACCTATGCCTCTACCGCGCCCTTGACGAGCTCAAACAAACCCGACCAGGACCGCCGCTACGCGCTCGACAGATTTGTTACTTGACAGATGGCATTAGGCGGAGAGTTCAAGCTCTCTTGACTCTGTCCCTTGCCAGATGTCATATTCGTGCGTGAGATTCCCTCGCCGCTTTCGTCACATTAATACAATACTCATCTGTCTCACTGGCGGGCTGAACGCCTTCTCGGAGATGTCTTCTGTATTTGCACCGACCACTTCTGCACCATGCGTCCGCTACCCCTCGGGTTCATCCACCTATACGCTGGGGTATCTGGCATACACGCATCCGGCCGCCTCACAGGCATCATACGACCGACTTCGCCATGGCTGAGCACCCGGTGTGGGTGTGCGAGGGTCAGAGAGGCCCCGCGTCGCATGCCTCTTCCTCGCGCGCCCAAGCGCACGACAATCTACGTATTCTCGCTCCTCTATTTGCTGCATCCAGCGTGCCTGCCACACCCTTTCTGGCGTGGGTGGGAACGTCACGGTGAATTAGCGCGACAACGCGATGCGGCGGACTGCAGCCGGGGATACCGAACCCGCGGACTACACACATAACGTGATAGGCGCGACCGTATTTTTCTACTTTGCACCGTACTCGTTGAACAAGAGTTGCGCGGGTACGCGGCAGTGGGTGCTCTCGCGAGCATGTAGTGCAGTACTTATGTTGGCAGTGTGATACATGGATCAATCGAGCGATGTATAATATAGTACTTAACGTCCTGTCCTTTGCAGTGAAGCTGCACTTGAACGTAGCACCCGCCCGAGGTTATGGATCTAGCTCGGCCATGGGCAGATCAAGTACTACTTGAGTGCCGGGTAAGCGCAGTGATTAAGATTTACCGTCACCGATAACTTGAAGTACAATCTTGCAAGTGAAAATTGTCAGCTAACGTCCACTTCGTTGAAAACCCGACGTGAGACAAGTCCGCCACACTGAAAACGCAAATGAGAACTTACACTTAGTGTCATTGGGGGCCAATGTACTTTGAGTGCTCATCAATGTCTTCCTCCGTCGAAAGCTGGTTTCTTCGCGCAGCCTTCCGTGGATATAATCAGAGAGTCTCACGAGGATCATCTTCCCCAACCGTATGGTCGCTGCGTCAGGCATGTCAGGAATATTGGGGCAAGTCCATGTGCCCGCGGCGATGTGTCCTTCCGTTCCACGCGTGGTCGTATCATCCCGCTGGGTGTTACGGTAGGCGGCGAAGTAGATCGTGCAGAATATGCAGGGCGGGTTCGAGAGCCCGATGTATGGTAACATCGGCTGGTCGTGCTGCCGGAGGTGACAGAGCAGGGCGCACTCGCAATGAATGCGCATCGCGTTGTCTATGCAAGGCCAGTTAGCGTAGAACGTACACGAGTCACGCGGAGGCAAAACGGGGATCGACAGGGCGTACGTACCTCTGTTGGTTGCGGCTGCTGTGAGCTCACCGACAAAATCGTCGAATTTCTCTGGGTGAGAAGCAATAAAATAGCTCGAGGTGTAGCCGAGGCTAGTGAGTGTCGCCTTGATGTCTTCGGCCGTGGGCGTCGTCTGTCGTCTGGCAGGGGGAGGGTTGGCAACGGGATGTATCGAAACGCTGGCGCCGAAGAGCGCGGAAAGCGCGGGTGTGGTGAGCATCTCCGTCAATGCTCGATACGCGCGCGCGACGTAGGACACCTTCTTTAGCCATTTGACCGTGTTGGGCGGGGAGCGAGGAGGGGTGCCCACTTTACGCGCGACGTGTACTACCGCAATATATACATTAGAGACGATGCATACTCAGAGAAAGAAAAAGAGTGTACTTACCGGAGACGAAGTGGTCGAAGTTAGCAAAGTCGTTCTTGAGCAGTTCGACTGCAAGCGCCAATATGATGGACATTTGGCGCAGGCGTATGTAGTCGTCGTCGCTGACTAGTGGGTTGTCGATAAACGCCCGGAGGGACGTAATCGCCAGATCGAATTTGGGGAGGATTCGCTGCACATCCGGAGACTGCTGGAGGTACCTCAATACGACACGCTCGCCGGCCGACATATCATCGAGGTCTGCGGCGGGTGGATCTTTGAGGCAGGCGACGAGAAAGGTGAGCGTGTCAGCCCAGGGAATCTCTGGATCCGTAAGTTGCGCGCGGATGCGCTTGACGGAGTATCTATAGAGTCCCAGATCGAGCGACCGGAGAGCGTCGAGGGCAGGCTTCGGAGAACCTGGCGGGATATGGGGCGATTTAGATATTGTGTGAATCGCATCGGCGTGGTCAGGGGAGGCTTCGAGAGCGGCGCGGATGCTGAGGATGCGGGAGCAGATGTCGTTCAGATGATGTATGATCTTGGGGGGGACTTGCGCCACATCTGCTTCGATGTACAACTCGATGTGGCCACTGCCGTCAAGGACGGCTGCGAGCGCGACTGCCTGGTCAGGCTCGTAGACGATGAGTTCTGCGAGCGCATCAAGGACTGCGGCACCGACACGGTTCAGTTTTCCCTCGGGCTTCCTTAGCAGATAACCAGGATTAGTCGGTTGGCGGGCGTCGGAGTTGATATCGTGCAACGCTGTGGCGAAAGCAGAGAGTTCGGCAATCTCTGCAGAAGGATCCATAATCTCTGAAAAGAAGGTCAATATCTTTCATATGGAACCGGAGTCTAAACGGCGGTGACTTGACGAACATGTAAACGGTGTCGAGCTTCGAGTGGGGAGACGACCCAACGTCTAGAATACCCGCGCAAGCCTGCGTTCACTCGTCTAGCCTTGCGCAGCGGGTAGATCGCCAGAATAGGTGGATGAGCGGACGAGAGAGTGCTGGGTCGCTGGGGAATGCAACGACGCAAAGAGTGGTATGCTGCGTGCAGGTGTGAGTGTGGTGCGAACGCAACCAGAGCAGCGTGAGCGCTACTCCACCTCCGGAACTATTGACCACGCCGAGTACGTAAGCTAGCGCCCGCGGTTGTGGCTAGATTTAAAATTATTCGGACCACCGCCGGAGGATTATCCTGTTTACTACCAGTAGTAGTTCTCCCGGTTGGCATACCCGAGACTCACATATAGCGCTCACTATATGCAGACGATGGGAGATGTCGCCGGTGCGCATCTGCCTTACACTTACAGCACGCTAACCCAACTTGCGCGGCGCAGGCCCGGGCCGCCGGTGGGGTTCCGGCTCCATCGCGAGCATCGATCCATGGTCTACCAGTACGTTGCCATTCACATCATTGACACAGCTGGGCTGACGGAGAGATACATCATGCATGCGCTCTGCAGAAACTCCTTCGTCGCCGCTTGTGCGTCTGACGTTCACAGTTACAGCGGCATGGTCATATATCATACGCCCCTCCTGATTGCCTACCTCCCTGCGAACACAGCGGTACCTGGCAAGACTCGACCCGGGCATCAGTGACCTGTAAGATGAATCAATGCGGGACCAGATGCCAACTCCACCAGCATACGCCATCTTGGTGCGCGAAGCTCGACTGTTGGAGGTCGCCCTGCCGTACCTCTACCGTTTCCTGAGTCACTGGTATGGGATTCTCTCTGGACGCGCTTGCGTTGCATTTGACGTGCATCCATGGCAGCGCACGCAGACCGTAAAGCCGGGCCTGCCTCCCGCTGAGAAAGCGTATTATCTTGCCACCGGAGCGGAGGAGCGGAAGACTGCCGCCGCGTGTATACGCCACAAATTTACGACGGTCCCGAAGACGCTGCGGCCTTCCGAAACGACTCTGTGAGAGGCTTCGCCGATAAATCTGGCTGAGGCTGTTGGACGAACAGATGGCAGGGTGCTAGTATTCTCAGAGCATTTCTGCCGTGAACGCTGACCTCATTTATTATGTATCGTCTGCCTAGGGGCTGAGCACGGCGAAGTAGATGGCAGTGTTTTATTTCGAATGCCGACATTCCGCCAACTCAACCTGGTCTCATCCTCGACGCCCTGCAAGCAACGACTTCATCCCCCGGTCATGTCCATTCGCCAAAATTTCGCTAGCAGTCATCGGGCTCGAGGATCGAGTAGGCATAGATCCAAGAGCCCAAATACCGCAACCAGGCTCACAAGATCAGTGTTGAATTCGTTCGCACTCCTGCTACATGTGTTTTGCTGATACACATTTCGCTATCCGCAGAACACGCCTGTCTTGAAGTAGTCGAAATCTTCCGATCCAGGATTGTTTACGATTCGACGAGGCCTTGAATGCTTTTCACTCGGCGTAGAAATCGCTTTTGCGTCAGTATCGTGTCCTACACTTTGCCATATCCAACATTCGTTAATCGTGACTTAAATGTCCAGATCAATACTCGCGATTCTACGTTACGCGAAGACAAACAGGTTTCCGATCATCGACGAGGATGTATCGCACAAAGTGGATGCCGACATCCGAGGTCAGACTCGATTCCGACGCTACTGCCTATATCAACCCGTCTCCCGCCTCTTCCGCTCCTCACCTACCTTTCCTTCCTACCACCACACCACCCCCGCACTTCCCACCCGTTTCCCCACCGCATCCACTATGTTCTCCTTCATCTCTTCCAAGGCTTCCACCTGCGCCGAGTGCCGGTCGCTCGGTTCGGGAAAGTCCACTTCCAAGTTCGACAAGAGGACGATCGGCCGCCCGAGTGCATACGAGTGGCCGGCGTTCCAGCCCCGTCCCCAGCCCCGTCCCCAGCCTCGTTCCCAGCCCATTGTCTACGGCCCGCCCCTACCCCGGCGCAGATTCAGGTGCTGCTGTACCGGGGTCGCGAGTTCAAGGAGCTCGGCACCGAGCTCATCTCGCTGCGTGACGCGCAGTTGCGGGAGGAGCTTGTGCGCGGGACGCTCGTTTACCATGCTTGAGGCTCTCGTCCCCTTCTCGTTGTCCCGCTGCCTCCCCGATCCCCGTCTTTTGTTTCTTGCTGCTTTTCCTTTCTTCACAGACATCCACTCCGACGACATGAAGACGACGAAGACCGCGATGGACGACCGCCATTGGACCGAGGATCCGGCGTCGGCGAGGCTGACTGAGGGTTTGGATGACCCGTCGACGTCAGCCTCCCCGGCATTGCCACGGTAGTATCGTCTCTCGCTCGGTTCCTTGTTACTTCACTGCTCGTTTATCGCTACTTTCCCTTTCCCAACAGGCATCCACCCTTCCAACATGTGCACGACGACGACGACGACGACGACGGCGGTGGCCCGGACCGACCAGGCGACGATGGGGTTGGCTGAGGGATTGATCACCCATCGTTATGTCAGCCTCCACGGATATATGCCCCGCCTTCCTTTTTCCGTCTTCTTTTCGCTCATGTTCTCTTGACTTCCTCGTTCTCTCCGCTGCCTTTGTCTTGCCGCTTCGCTGTCTTTGGTCTTTGGTCTTCCTGGTCTCTCCGCTCGGTCTACCTCTTCCCGTCGCTTTCTTATCATTTCGCCGTTCTCGTCTCTCTGGTTTCGACTTGCTTGCTCCTTGGCTGCGTTTTCTGACTCTCTGCATTTGCGTTCACATTCTCCCTCCCTTTCGAGTCCTTTCCCCGCTCGCTCCCTCTCTATATTTCTCTCCTCTCTCTCTCTTTCTCCGCTTCTCATCTTTCTCCTCTATATCTTTCCCCCTCTCTTGTGCATCTTTCTTCGTTCCCCTTGTTCCTCTCCGCTCCCGCCTTCGCCGCTCGCTCCCCACTGGATTTGTCTCGAACGTTCACTTCCCGCGAGCCCCTTTTCACCTGCATTTGGCATTTGTGCCTTGGGTCCCGTCCGATTTCCTCTTTGTTTCGTGTATCAGCCTTTCGTTCGCTATGAGTAGCGGAGTCTGGGGTGCGGCGGCGGCGGCGGTAACGCCAACCAGAGGTCGGCTGGTATGAGAGAAATGGCGCCTTCTCTCACGCTGCTGCCTTTGGTTGACGTCCTGCGTCTGAGCGGGAGAGAGGATCGACGAGCCCTTTCTCTCTTGCACACCTCCGAAACGTACGTACGCGTCATCCACGCTTTACGTGCGGACGGTGTTGACAGCTGCTACAATGCTTTCCGGGTGCCGATCTGCAAGCCCACTGCGACAGCGCTCTCTTTCTCAATGTAATGCTTTACAACCCGTCGATGCCTCTCCAGGTAAGTACTCGCGATCATCTAAGCCTGGTATAATATGACGTCTACTTTTGTGTAGATGTAAATTTCCGGTTGGAGTTCTGCATGCATGCGTTAGTACGGGCGTACTTACACCGCGAGAAGGTCGGCGAGACGGGTCAAGGCGCGCCCTCCTTGCTTCTCTTCTCGTCGTGTACACTGAGCCCGTCGATGACCGGCGAGCAGTGACCTTGTGCCACGGTGAGTAAAACCCTTTGCGCCGCCCTGTTTCCTTGTCGTCGATGGTATTCGGAGCCTCATATCATGCGTTCGTCATTCACGAGCGTCTATGTCAATGGACGGCCCTGGCCGCTTCACTGAAAATCTGCCGAGTGACCACGAAAATAATACGCCTCTGTATCCGCTGCTATAATGAGCACCGTCGTACCAAATTTAGCGCAGACAGCCACACGAATGAATATCCAGCGTCAGAGTGTGCCTCGGGAGAGAACGGCTTGAGGCTTCGTAGCGCTCGTGCGTGCGACCACTCCTCGGCGCTCCTTGCTTGTGTTTCTCGAGCAAGCCTCCCCTCCCCGGCCCTCGTAGCCTTCCGGAACGTCCACTCTTTGCGCTCCCGTCCGTGTTAGGCAGGCGCAGTCGTTCTTTCATCGTTCCCCCCCGAGTGCGCGCGACCATGTGCCCCCGCATAACCAATTCGGCGCTGCCTTCGCAGTCGCACGTCGTCGTGCATTCTCGGAGGAGCGATCGATTCGCAGCCGCCCAAAGCCTCTGCGAGAAAGCATCCTAGCGTACCCGACGGCGGTGAGAGGGTACGGTGGATACGTATATATACCTTGGCAGATTCGAGCAGGTTCCACCAGCACCGGACACGGTACAACCTCACACTCGCACTCCACCTTCTGCTTCTCTTCTGCACTCCAAATCTCAGATACCATGTCTGTTCTATCCGCCTCCGCTTCTGCGCTCAAGCGCAACATCGCCGCCGCCGCCAAGGGGCAGCGCATGCTCAACGGCCGCACCCTCGCGCCGACGGTGAACCACAACAGCTCCGCCGGCTTGAAGGTGAGTTCATCCTTGCTTCGTTTGTATTTTATCTTGTCGCTCAACTACGCATCACAGGTTCTCGCTGTCCTCTACAAGGGTGGCGAAGCCGCGAAGCAGGAGCCGCGCCTCCTCGGCAGCGTCGAGAACCAGCTCGGCATCCGCGAGTGGCTCGAGTCCCAGGGCCACGAGTACATCGTATGTCCACGGCCCGTCGCGTTATTGGACGGCCTACTAACGCCTACCCAGGTCACGGACTCCAAAGAAGGCCCAGACAGTGTGTTCCAGAAGGAACTGAAGGACACCGACATCCTCATCACGACGCCGTTCCACCCCGGCTATCTCACGCGCGACCTCATCAAGACCGCGCCGAACCTGAAGCTGTGCGTCACCGCGGGCGTCGGCTCGGACCACATCGACCTGAACGCGGCCGTCGAGCGCAAGATCCAGGTGCTCGAGGTGACGGGCTCGAACGTCGTCTCCGTCGCGGAACACGTCATGATGAGCATCCTGCTGCTCGTCCGCAACTTCGTTCCCGCGCACGAGGTTTGTCTCCGAGGATATTTTTTTTGCCTATAGTCTGCGCAGAGACTCACAGAGACATGTTGCAGATGATAGAGCGCGGCGAGTGGCAGGTGTCTGACATCGCGCGCAACGCGTATGACCTCGAGGGCAAGGTCATCGGCACCCTCGGCGCGGGCCGCATCGGACGGCTTGTCCTGGAGCGCCTGAAGCCGTTCAACCCGAAGGAGCTGCTCTACTACGACTACGCACCTCTCTCCGCAGGTGAGACTGCTCATTACTCCTTGTACGGCGTTCCACTGACTCTGCTTTCAGAGAACGCGGAGAAGCTCGGCGCGCGCCGCGTCGAGGATCTCAAGGAGTTTGTCTCGCAGGTGGGTAGACCCTCTCTCTCTCTCTCACACCATACCCCCGAGTCTTCCACTGACGCCTCCCCAGTGCGACATCATCACGATCAACGCGCCCCTGCACGAGGGCACGCGCGGGCTCATAAACGCCGACCTCCTCTCGCACTTCAAGCCCGGCGCCTGGCTCGTGAACACCGCGCGCGGCGCGATCTGCGTCGCGGAGGACGTCGCGGCCGCGCTCAAGACCGGCCAGCTCAACGGGTACGCGGGGGACGTGTGGAACGTGCAGCCCGCGCCGAAGGAGCACCCGTGGCGGCACATGAAGAACCACCTCGGCGGCGGGAACGGGATGGTGCCGCACTACTCGGGGACGACGCTCGACGCGCAGGCGCGGTATGCGGAGGGGACGAAGGACATTTTGGAGCGGTACTTCAAGGGGAAGGCGCAGGAGCCGGCGAACGTGATTGTGGGGCTTGGTGAGTGGTTTGGCTGCGTTCGGGGTTGAAGGTGCTGATTGTTTTGCAGGCAAGTACGAGACCAAGTCGTATGGACAGCGGTAGGGGGCTACGGGAGCTTCCTGACAATGGTCTGCGCAGTATCTACCGTTAATGCATGAGGTTCAACGACATGTGCATTTGCCACAATAGCGTAATCATTCCGTATGTGCTCAGCTGACCCGCCGCGTACGTTTCATGAGTGTGCGCAGATACAACGGATAGAACTGTGTGCCTTTGGGATCAGTATACATTCATTCGAGGCTTTATCACACACTTGACTATGAATCTGCGCACATCGCGATGTATCTTCCGTGTACGTCGAGCATATCGGCGTGCGCCCGCAAGTCGGTACGGAAGGACCGACAAACATATCCGTACAACCCGAACAGCAGCAAATCGCGCATGCGACACGTTATGTTACAAGTATCCGTACAAACCACAAGAACAGCCACAAGCCACCGGTCACTCCACCCCACACCCCCACCCCACTCACACCTCACGCCCCCGGCGCCAACGTCCCATTCCTGTCAATACACCACTCCCTGCGCGCACACGGCGGGCCCACGTCCGGCGGCTCGTCGCCCGCGTCGGTCAGCAGCAGCGCGGCGACGCCGTGCGGCGGGACACCGCGCGCGGTGAAGTTGCGCACGGCGGTGCCGTTGGCCGTGTGCGTCCAGAGGTCCTGCGTGCGGGTCGTCAGCGTTTTGTGGGAAGGGAGGGGAGGGGAGCAGGGAAGGGAGGGGGGAAAGAGAGAAAGGAAGGTAGGAGAAGAAGGGGGCAGGGAAGGGACGTACGCGAACAGCATACTGGCGCCCGGCGCGGATCCACGGCGACTCCGTGAGGCTGAAGAACAGGTCCGCGGGCTCGTCCAGCGTGTTGATCTGCCGCGCGTACCGCCAGTCGTGCGTGCGTGCCAAACGGTGCGGTCAGCCGTCCGTGCCAAGCGGGAGCGGTCAGTCGTGCGTGCAAACGGGAGCGGTCAGTCGTGCGTGCCAAACGAGCGCGGTCAGCCCGTGATACACAAAGAAGGGGAGGGGGAAAGGGGGGACGCACGAGCATGAAGACGGTCCCGTTCTGCGACTCGCCGCTCCAGAACTGCGCGGGGTGCGTGCTGTTGCTCACCCAGTCCGGCTGTATGCGCGCGCGCCATCGTCAGTCGTCAGTCCTCTCTTGCAACTCTCGTGACTCCGAGTCTCTCGCGGAAAAGAGCGTAGAACGAAAGGGGCAGGAAGGACGGCAGGGGAACGGAGGCGAGCAGGAGAAGAGCGGAGGACCAACGGATGACGGCAGGAGAAAAGACGGCAAGGCAATAGGGAGGGAGAGAGTGAGGAGGGAGGAGGACGCACGTTGATCCCCCAGCGGAACGGCGCGACCCCAGTCCCGACGACGGGGTCCTGGCTGAGCGCGAGCAGCTCCGTGTTCTTGAGGATCGCGAGGTCCGCGTCGCTGATCGTCGAGAGCTGCGCGCGCGTCGCGGTGCGGTGCGTGCGTACGCGGGAGCGCGCCAGTGTGCGCATAAGAGGCGTCATCGTGCGGGAACAGTTCGGTTCGGGAAGAGGGAGAGGGGCGTCAAAAGTCAGCATACACCCAAAACAAGACGTTCAGGAAGAGTGCACACGTCCGTCCCAATAAGCAGCGGCGACTTCATGAGCGCCCACGCCGTGAAATGCGTCTTCGCCTCGTCGTGCGTCAGCCCGCCGTTCCCGCTGCGCCCCTTCTGCGTCAGTGTCTGTCTCTCTCTCTGCACGACCGTGTGCGGGGGGGCTTACATTTCGAGCTGCACGGGATCGAGGTGGGAGTGTGTGAGTGAGCAGAAGGGGAGAAAGGGAGAGGGAGGGGGAGAGGGGACGGGACGCACGATATCCATGTCATTATGCCCGTAAAAGTCGGACGCCCACGCGATGAACGAGTTCCTGCGCAGTCCGTCTCTCAGTCGACAGCCTCCCGCGCGGACGGGCGACGCACTGGTTGATGATGCTCGCGATCGAGCCCCAGTCCGGGCCTTCGCTCACGAGCCGCGTCAGCCTCCTGCCCCTCCACCCCACCCATAATCAAGCAAGAAAGGCGTACTGATATCGCCCGTCGTCTACGTCCCTCTAAATCAGCCCAGCGCGCGCAGGGTCTCGTCTCAACACAACTCACCCGCCAACTCTGCCCAAACCGCCGCGCCCACAGCCACGGCTGTTCCTACATACACCCACGCGTCAGCCCTCGCGCGGGGAAGAGGAAAAGGGGAGGGGGGACGCACCTCGCCCCACTCGCAGAGGGAGAAGATGAGCGGCGGCTTCCCGGAGCTCTTAGCGAGATCGGCGATCGCGTCCGCCATGCGCTTGTACTCTGTCGGGCGGGGGCGTGAGTATGGGGGCGATGGAATGAGGGAGAAGGGACGGGGGGAGGGAGGGGAGGGACGTACTGCCGACGATGCCTTCGCGGATGATCGCGTCGTACGGGACTGTGCGTGATTCAGTGTGATCACGAGCAGGGGCAAGGACGGGGACGGGGACGCACCGGCGCAGTTGTCGAACCTGGGTCGCGCGTGGTCAGAGGGGAACGCGAAGCGAGACGTCAATCCGCTTACTTCAGGTAGTCGAAGCCCCAGTCCTGGAAGAGCTTCGCGTCTCTGGGCACGGCAGGTCAGCTCGCTCGACAGAACCAGAAGACGCGCATATACGCAGACGGCACCCACCTCGCCTCGTTCTGGTACGACCCAGGGTACAGCTGGCACGTGAACCAGCCCGAGTCGCTGTACTACAATCCGACCCGCGCTCAGAATCACAGCGCGCCTCGTAGGAGTACATCACTACATACGATGCCAGCCTTCCTGCACCACGAGAAAATCGACGCGTCAGCGCTATGTAGGCGCACAGATCCGCGGCGGGCACGCACAGTCCCATAGCGTGGATCTTGTCGGTGAGGTCGTTCATGCCCGCCGCGAAGCGTTCCTTGTCTGTGTGGCCAATAACGTGTCAGTGAGGGGTCCCGACGTGTTACGGGCGAGCGAACCTGCGACGATGTCCCCGGAGGCGCTCCGGTTCTTCTCGGCGTAGCAGTCGTCGATGTTGACGTGCTTGTAGCCCACATCCTATCATGCCAGATGGAGTATTAGACGTGGCGGACGGTAAGACCAACGCAGAGACTGACGGCGAGGCCGAGGGAGACCATGAGCTGCGCGGCTTGCAGGACCACGGTCTCGTTGATGTCACACTGTCGAGAGGAAAGTGAGTTCGCGCAGTTTACGTGAATTGTGAGTCGCTGACATGGTAGGCGTTCCATGCTGAACGAGAAAGGAAATGCGGGTAAGCGGGATGTCTGGCGAACGCGGAGCAGAGTACATCTTACTGTTGTATCCGAGCACTGGCCCAAAACCGGGTTAGCACGCGAGTCAGACAACGCGCAGTGTTGAGATGTTTACCTGGCAACTTGGCAACGCCGCTGTCAAGAGCGTGCACGACTGGAGGCTCTCTAGAGAGAACTGTCCAGACGACCAAAAGAGAAGTAATGAGGAGCGCAAAAGACGCCATGAGCAGCTGCGAGGGGATCCTAGAGGCGAAGGCTTGCGGGCGGTCAGCACACGGGCACACGGGCTGTTATATACGGGGCGGGGAAGGTAGCGTACCGCGAAGGCGGCTTCTATGCACGGGGCTGAGCTGTACAGTCTGGAGGGGGTCGTCGGGCGGGAGTGGGCCGGGCAGGTTGAGGTCATAGGCCTTGTGATGGGCCGAACGGGCAGGAGGGTCGGTCGAAGTCAGGGCTGTGAGGTCAGCGACAATGAGCTATGAAGGATCGGTGGAGCGTGATATGCAGAGGCCATACGGGCGGACATCACGCGACGGGCAGCACCTCGGTCTGCCGTACAGGCGCAATAGAGATGGCCAGATCGCAGAGCGGTCGAGAGGGCGGGTGGTGGTCGTCGGTGAGGAAGGAGAAGAGGAAGAGGTCGGAGGGGCGGTCTGACGTCGTCCCGTGACCCCCGGCGTTAGTGGGCAGCATTCGACTTCCCATCGCCGTCGACCTAGCCCCGCTAGCCGGCGACTCCTCCCCCAGTCCGCCCTCGCTGCTCGTTGCAAGGAATCGAAGTGGCGGAAGGGAGGAGTTTGACTTTGTTGCCTCCCGAACAGGAAGGTCTCTCACCATATCAGGCGATGACCCGATCCCTCCGATCGGCCCCGGCAGGCGCATTTCATCCTCGTCCACCACTCTCTTTCTAACCACCGTGTACTATGCGTGCTCTGATCCACGTCTCTCATTTACGACTTCACACTCTGCGGTCTTAGTGGTAAGGGCAATATGGGCTGACTCCATCTCCTCTGCATTGGCGCCTCTTGACCGTACATTCGACGATTACGATAGTCTGCTTCCACACGAACCCCTCTTACCGTAGCTGCCCATTTCGCGCTTAAGTAAGCAAATTTGATCTCCGAAACGCGTGTATAGATCTGGGCGCGTCGCGTTCTCTCCTCTCTTTGCTCTCCTTCGGACGTGCTCAAGTCTTATATCTGCTTTCTTGATGCGACAGGTGCCATAAAACTATGCTAGTACCTGGTATAGGTGGTTTGACGGCGCCGAAATGTGCTCACTCCTTGGGGAGGTCCTTCGCATAACTGATTCCGTGCATCAGCCGCCGTAAGCCCAACCCATTCGCATCGCCGTGTACCGTTACTCTTACAGACTCATGATACAATTCCATGCTCCCAGGCCGATATATCAAGCACTGTATTCATCTTTCAGCCCGGACTGTCGAAGCGATGGGTGCAGGAGCAAACGGCATACGGACTGCCATAACCGCGGGCACGAGGGCGCGCAGGCTGAACTCGGGTGGACGGAGCGGCATTCCTTTCGAAAGTTTGACTGCATGTTAGTCGCCTCTCGCCGAGTACAAGGTCCTGAAGCGAGTAGGTACACAACACTTCCAAGGTATGGTTGCTGCCAGGCGCAGCTAGGGTCAAATATGCTGTATCTAGGGTCACAGGTGAATTTTAATAGAAGTAGCTGGAAAGGATGATCAACGGTACTGTTCTCTCTGATTATTACTACCAATAGACGAGCGAAACCTGTCGAAACACCCTCATACATGCGCAGAGCAATCGCAGACCTCAGGTCCAGTGGCTGAGAATGTCATAGATCTAATCTAATCGAGCGCCGGCATCTCGGCCATCACCAACCTGCAAAGCAAATTGCGAGCTACGGTCTGAGGGGCGCGTGTGGAAGCAGACCTTTACACACTCGTCCTCCCCGCCTCCAATAGAGTGTGAAAGGTCTGCCTCTGGGAGACTACGATTACGACGTCTATCACTATCTTTGCTGTCCATTCATCCGAGACTCGGAACAGCATCCTGTGGATACATCGGCGGCGCTCCTCAAAGATCTGTGGCTGGAAGGTCGCAGAATCTCCAGGAAGTTCAGGGAAGTAGACGCATATCCATGCCATGGCCGCATTCTGCCTCTCCGTCCTCCGCGTGGAGACCTCGATTCCCCGAATATCGCAGGAACCCACCGCACAAAACATGCACGGGCCTCCGAAAGCCCCATATATGTCTTTACAAGCGCGCCCAACTTGACCGAATTCACTCAACTTAACCCTCTCAGCTAACGTCCCCTTCACCGATGCCAGACACGTCCGCGCCACCTCGAACCCACACAAAACCCACACATGGTTTCATCGCAGTCCAACGCACTCCCATACAGTGCCTGTCCACCTGCTCCTACATCGGAACATCGCGTACTCGCGCAGCGGTCCGCGGATATGAACACACACAGCCTCTTGTTCTTGGGATGAACCTCCGCCACATCTGCTTCAAGCGATGTACAGGCGAGGCGCGCGACTGCCTGTTCTGGCTCGTGGACGGCGAGCGCGGTCCCAGCGCAGTGCACTGGCAGCTTCCCATCGGGCTGCGTTAGGAGGTATCACGGATAGGTGGGCCTTACATCGTGCAGTGCTGCAGCGAAAGCGAAGCGTTGAACGATCTCTACGGATGTATCCATGATCAATTACTAAAGGGAGAGCGATGAGTCGTCGTCTGTAACTCGAAGATGAGCCGCAGCGACACAAGTTGACGAACGCGTGAGGAGTCGAGCTTCGAGTTCGGAGTGCCAGTGTGAACACCATCCGCCTTCTTCACCAGTGCACAGGCTGACGTGCAGTCGACTGGCCTTGCGTGGCGGGTCGCGATCGTCGGACAGTAGGTAGCTGGGCAGGCGAGAGACGTCTACAGACGTTAGCGTGGTGCGACCGCAACCAGGGCAGGGCGCGCGCTAGCCTATCCCGGGAACGACCGCACATGCATCTGTCCCGCCAGGTATCAGCAGCTGCGGAACACTCCGACAAGAGATATATAGAGTGCTCCTCCAATCGTCTAACTTGTCGGACTCAAAGGTGTGCAAAAGAGAGGGCCCGTCGACCCTCTCTCCCGCTGCAACGGGGGACGCCAACTACAGGCAGTAGCATGAGAGAAGGCGCCATTGCTCTCATACCAGCCGGCTTCTACTTGTCGTTCCCGCCGCCGCCACCGCCGCCGCACCCCAAACCCCAGACCCCTCCACCCTCAGCGAGGAAAAAGCTGAGACGCGAGACAAAGAACATACGAAACAGCATGCGAAGCAAAAATGCAGGGGAAAGGTATCCTGGGAGAGTGAACGTTCGAAACGGATCCGGTAGCGAGACGAGCGGCGAAGGCGGGAGCGGAGAGGAGCGAGGGGAACGAAGAGAGATAAGGAGAGGGGCGCGAGAGAGAAAGACAAGGAGAGCGAAGAGAGATTGGACGAGCGGGGAGAGATGGGAAGAGAGATGTGGAGAAAGGAGAGCGGGAAACGATAGAAAGAGAGAGAGAAGAGAGCGGAGAAGGGGGAAAGATAGAGCGAAGAGAAAGATAGCGAGAAGACAAAGAGAGCGAGGGGAAGCGAACGAGGGAAGGATTCGAAAGGGAAGCAGACAAATGCGAACACGAACACGGAGAGTAGGAAACCGCAGAGAAAAGGAGCAAGCAAGGCGAGACCACAGAGACGAGGACAGCGAAACGAGAAGAGAGCAACGGGAAGAGACGGGCAGAGCGAAGGAACCATAGACCAAGGACAGCGAAGCGGCGAGACCGGGGAAACAGAGAAAACAAGGGAGCCAAGAAAACACAAACGAGACGAAGACGAAGAAAAGGAAGAAAGAGAGTGATCCCGTGGAGGCTGACATAACGAGGGGTGATCAATCCCTCAGCCAGCCCCATCCACGCCTAGTCGGTCCGGGTCGAGTCGGTCCTCGTCCTCGTCGTGCGCATGTTGAAGGGGTGGATGCCTGTGAGGGAAGGTAAAGCAGCGATGAACGAGCAGTGAAGCAACAAGGACCCGAGCGAGAGACGATACTACCGTGGCAATGCCGGGGAGGCTGACGTCGACGGGTCATCCAAACCCTCAGTCAGCCTCGCCAACGCCGGATCCGAGGTCCAGTGGGGGTCGTCCATCGAGGTCCTCGTCGTCTTCGTATCGCCGGAGTGAATGTCTGTGAATAAAAGAAAAGCAGCAAGGAACAAAAGACAGCGAACGGGGAGGCAGCGGGACAACGAGAAGGAGCAGCAAAAGCAGACGAGAGCCTCAAGCATGGTAAACGAGCGTCCCGCGCACAAGCTCCTCCCGCGCCTGCGCGTCACGCAGCGAGATGAGCTCAGTGCCGAGCTCCTTGAACTCGCGGCCCCTGTACAGCAGCACCTGGATCTGCGCCGCGGTAGGGGGCGGGCCGTACACAACGGGCTGGGAACGAGGCTGGGGACGGGGCTGGGGGCGAGGCTGGAACGCCGGCCACTCGTATGCACTCGGGCGGCCGATCGTCCTCTTGTCGAACTTAGAAGTGGACTTTCCCGAACCGAGCGACCGGCACTCGGCGCAGGTGGAAGCCTTGGAAGAGATGAAGGAGAACATGGTGAATGCGGTGGGGAAGCGGGTGGGGGTGTGGGGGTGGTGTGATGTGGTGGTAGGTGGGAGAGGTAGGTGAGGAACCGAAGGGGCCAAAGGCGGGCTAATATAGGCAGGAGCGTCGGGATCGGGACTGACCTCGTTGTCCGACGTCGGTGTCCACTTTGGGCAGGTCGGTAGTCGGTAGTCGGTAATCGGTCATCGGTTGTCGGTTGTCGGTTGTCTGTTGTCGGTAGTCAGTAGTTAGTAGTCAGTAGTCGGCATTCGTGGTCGGTAGTCGGTAGTCGGAAATCGGAAATCGGACGCCTTGTCAGATCCGCCTCTTCGCATGGCATTGGCTGGTCAGAGTGGTGTATCTCCGCTCTCCGGTTGACTGTACGGACGAGGATTCTATCATAGTAGCAGAGCAACACTGCAGGGTCTGATGTCGTATACATGTACAATACGAATGACTCACAAGATCCAAGAACGCGTCATAGCAAACGAAAGCGAGAGTCGGCATTCGGAGTGTCAAGATCGAAGAAACAAACAACTAAGACACACATCGCGGTTGGTTGCATGCGACATGGAGAGAACAGACGAGCAGAGTCGCACCTGTATCTATATGAGACACGGACTTTTGTATCCGATCGCGCATTCTGGTGGAGAAACACCAGCCTCCATACAAATCAACACGAGCTCCGCCCGAAGCAGCTCATAATCTCGTCGTTGATCTGCAAGGAAGACATTTAGAAGGGACCGTCAGTGTGAGGCTGTTAAAGGTACAAACTTGGTGATGGCCAGAGGAGCATCAAATACTCCGTCGCTGGAGCTAATGTACGAGCGATGTCGAGCGCTACTCCCAATGTGTGATCTGCTTCCCACAATTTGATAGCCCTTCATGGCGCATAGCGATGTATGAAACGGGATGTAATGACGTGTATAGTAAACTGACGCACCGTGATATTTGGGCCATAAACCAGAACATGAGAGCGTTTCGGCGCGTATCATCGTTCGCTTCCATTTGGGGTTTGAGTAGTATCTGGTTGAAATATCGCGCAAAAAGCAGCTGCTTGCCCACTGCATGTATGTGTTAGTGTTGACTCCAGGTACTGGAGTGAGAGAATTGAATGTACACCATGCTTCCGCCTTGTCGTGGTAAAACAGCTGTCCGCGCGTACTTGAATATTTTCTCAGCGTGCGAGCTTTGGACAGCGTGCAGAGTCACTTACGTCGTGGCTTCAGGAATGTATCGCTGGAATTCATGCGACACAACCATCCGAGTGCTACGTATGGCTTCGCTTATCGGAGGTGTCCACGATAAGAAGAACAGTGAGACTCACTTGAAGAGGCTATCGCGCGTTTGAACCATCAATCCTGTCGTAAACCCCGTGCACGTATGACGGTCCAACAGCGACTCGATTGTATCAATCTCAAGCCACGCGCTCATGGCAAACTGAGCGCGGTCCGCATCTGATAGGTTCGGATCGCATCTCATCCGCAGAGAACCGTGCCAAAGCAACAGCGTGCGCAGATATAGCGCCCACACCGAGTCCTTCGAAGAGGCGATGGACGCCCCTGGAGGGGCGACATTCTCCCCAGGAAACAACAACGCGAACTGAGTTGTGTTAGCACTTGTACATGGGATTGTATATAACAAAATACTTACGTTGGATGGGTCTTTGATCCACAGGTGCTCTGCATCCCAGTCTGTTCCTGCCGCGGACTTCGTGGAAACTGTCGCGGCGAGCATCACGCTTGACCAGGCCAGACGGCGGCACTCCTCCTTCAGCAGCTCCCCGGGGCTCACGTTCTTGGGCCACATCGGCATGTCCGACCACTGCGGCGCGAGGTCTTGCAAGGGCGGCCAATTGTACCCAAGCGAATACTTTTCGCAGCCGCACCGCCATGTCCCCGGCGAAACGTCTATTCCTGTAGATCCAAGCGCGTGTAGGGCATCTGCATGTGGGTCGACGTCGCCGTTCCATAGGTCAGTCGTTTGAGTTGTATCATTCACGACAATGGGAATGGCGCAAGGGACAAAGACAGACGCGCGAGGATCGTTTACGTCGAGCGTTGTGAGCGACAGACAGCGCACAAGCGGCGCGTCCAGAGTGGCCACACTGCTGTCCGTGCGGCTCCCTGAGAGCTTCGGATGTGCCTGGATCTCAAAGAATGCAAGGACCTGTAGAACGTTAGTCAGATGAACGCAGATAGCGTTGTGTGGAATGATAGCTACCCAAGCAGCTTGAACAAGCCCGACATCAATCCAGCCCGAGTTGACGCTCGCGTCGAAGCTCGCCGCGACCTCCTGGGCATGGGCGGCTCGAGGGCTGCAGTCACAGGTTTTCAGGGCCCCTTTGCGTACTTTTGAAGGTACTCTGTAAGTGTATGTGTGGTGTGGATGAAAGGCTCTGCCTAGGAATGTCCGGGGGAGATCCTGGGAGATCTAGAAGAAGGTACACTGAAGGTACATCCCAGAATGCTACATAAGGTAATCGCATTCACTAAGCGCCCGTCACAAACTAACTTACTGTAGTGTTCCCGATATGTACCCATGATAGATCTTGATTTCGGACTTTGAAACTGATGCAAATCCCATACGCTGCGGCTACAGCCCCACTTACGACCCTCTAGCACGTCTGTCATAGCATCACTGGAAGGAAATTCAAGGACCCTGGTAGCGGTATGTCTAAGCTCCCCAGACCAACGCTCACTTCCGGCTCACAGTAGCACAAGCGGGTTTATGGGACTTCCAGTCAGCTCTCTGGCAGGCCTTCGAACAATACATCACTGCTTTACACCTGTTGCACTGCTTGACGTCCGATCCCGTCTTGTCGCACCGCTTGCACTGGCGCGCGAGCTTCGCAGGCGGCGGGCCGACCAAGGGATTCACGCCAGATAATGGGGTTGGGACGAAACCGCCATCCGTGGATAACCAGGCGCGCGCGGTCAGTCGCGGGAGGACGTGCTCCATGTACGATGTCGCGAAGAGCGGCGAGAGCGCGATGCGAGTCACGAACGGCGCGAAGGGCCGCCAGACGTCCACCTCCTGCATCCCCGCAACGTCCTTTCCGCGCCCGCAGCTGCACAGCGGGTCGCCGCCGTTCACCTCTGTGGAGAGCGGGATCCGGCCCTTCGCGACGTACTCGCAGCTGGCACCGTGGGTCCAGGTGGCCCGGCAGCGCTCGACCATCGCGGGGAGGAGCTGCTTCCATGTGGCCGACTCGCCCTCGTAGGTGCGCGTGTTCGTGATGTCCGAGTTGACGAGGCCAGCGAACCACGGCCGGAGCGTCACCATGAACTCAGGGAATAGCGGGAGCACGTAGGCGTCGCACACGACGGTGTGGCAAGATAGGTCGTATCGCAGGCCGCGGACGAAGAAGATTGTGTCAAAATCGTTCGTCGCGTTGTCGCGCAGCGCGAACACGCGTTTTGGGAGACCATTGGGGAGGCCCGCGACCTTGTTCAGGATGTAGTGGATTGTGTCCTTTAAATAAGTGAGCGTGTCTGGGACCATGTTGCGTTCGCGCCGCTTCATCTTTCCCTCGCGTTCCGAAAAGAGAGTGCTGGCGTGTGTGTTAAACCATCTCTCTAGCATGGGATTCTCCGTGTTGAGCATAGGTAGTTGGTCGAGATTGACACGATGCATGTTCCAGGTCGCAAGAGCGCCTTCTCCTGTGCGGACGATAGGGAATGGGTCTAGCTTCATCCCCTCTAGGTTTTCGATGGCCGGGATGGCAACAGGCACGTCAACCTACGGGCATAACCTCAGTGAGCAAAATGATAACGCAGGAGGGAAGCTCTGTCTGACTTACCTCTATATAAGACGACTGACGTGCCAAGCGCGCCTTATACTGGCTCCCTACGACAGGCACCGGAAAGACAAGGAGTTGAGCTTGTGACCCGAGCGCGATGTGCATCGTGCACGGCGACGTTTGGGTAATGGCAGGCTTGGCACCCCCCGAGAATGTAGCCTTCGCCCTGGTATTCTCCACGAGAAGACGTGCCGTTAGCTTTGCAACGACCTCCGCTTTCCCTAGTTCCACATGAACCGGGATTTGTCTTCCAATTGCGAGAGGGGCCATGGACACCATCGGTGCAGGCGATCCGGGAGGCGGGGGGAAAGGGGCAGCGCCCGTCAAGGGAATTTGAACGACATGGACGTGTTGCATGTCCTCTAGACATGCGGAGAACACGGAGACATCGGTCTTTGGAGTAGATGCGCGGTGATCTATGGACGCATGGATGGTTCGCACGGAGAGACGTATGAAGACGTCCTCGGGCGCGACGTCGTTGAGTAGAGTGGCAATAGGAACGATGAAAGAGAGGACCAACGGCGAGGCGGTGGACGAGAGACTGGCATCCCCGCCTTCGGCCAGGACTTGCACCGCTGGGTTGGAGGGGGTCCCTACGTCGACGACTCGCCCGAACACAGCGTGAACCGACTGGAAGATGAATTGCGCGCCGGGGTGCTGGACGACGCAATGAAGAGGGACAGTCACGAGGTTACTGGCAAATTGGCGAAGCATTGCGATCCTATGGGCGGGGACGCTGAGATAAACGCGCGCGTGCGGGGTAATTTCTGACCACTTAGATAGTCGACCAGAACGCGCGGGAGACCAGCCTTCGAGAAAGTTTAAGACGTGGTATTGACAGAGAAGTGCGTTGATTTCCTGAAGGCTCTGGCCATCGAGCGTGTTTTGAGCACTGGCGATCAGGCGCTTCTGCCTGAGAAACTGATCGAGAACTTCGTGCCACTGGGTGTCGTGGGTAGTTCACAACGAAGGTGACTTGCAAGCTTTGATGTTAACAACGCGTGAGACCTGTGCGACACTGATGGTCTATAAATGCGGCTCCACAGAGAGTTAGTACTGCCGTCGATCAAGCATCTTAAGCTCGCCAAAGTGAATAAAGCCTGGTGTTTGATAGCGCTGAAATTAAATTATTCGCTCGAGTCTTCAGCTTGCGGTTCATTTCTGCTGCAGTCGATGAACGGTCAGAATTGGCAAGCACGCCATACGGTTGGCATAGCTTACGTGCCCACAAAACTCCTCCACCGGAGGTTTTAAAGTTCGTCTACAGGGCCGCAGTATGTCTTGAGTACGTTACTCCGTCGAGCACTGGTATCCATGGACTCCGACCGGGGTAAGAACCTCACTTTGAACGCTCATGAGTCATGATCATTTGAGGTTCTTCCATTACCCATACACTGCATTCTCCGCGCGGCCAGAGTAGACGTACTTACCTCCATATGGGTGGTGGCAGAGTGACAGCGCGAACGCTTCACCGACCACGCTTTCGCGTACGAGGGGTAAACTTTCATGACACCGCATTGAGACGACGTCCACTTCTGCCAGCAATAAGGCTTTCAGCCAGCGATAGACGACATCTGAGGAGGCTGCAGACTGGCAACCACGGTGAGCATGAGAAGGAGAAGGGTGAGGATGAATGACAGTCGTCCCGCGAGCTTACGATTGAGGATGACATAGTGAGCAAATCCCGAATTACGCGGAGTCAGACGAGCGTTTGTCCCCGAAGCTGTGTGGACCACGCGCCGGTCTTTCTCCAACGCAAATCATCGTTCGAGATCATGCCGAGTCGTCTGTTCCACGTCCTCCGCGGGACGCTCTTTATATATCCCAAGACATACGCTGCCCTTGCGCTGCACCTCTTGACAGCACCCTCATCCGTACTCAGCTCCCACGCACGACCATGTCTTCGCCGAATCAGCCAAGTGTCCTCGATGAAACACTGCCGCCAACCCAGAGGCAATCCTCTCCAGACTCTTCAAGTCTTCTAGGCTCGGCCTCGGGATCTAATGAGCGGTCCTCCGGGGTTGGTTCCGCAGCATCTCGCTCCCGATCCCCGTCCTCGCGCGATGGCGAACGCTCTGACGATCTTAGGTCAAGCCCAAGAGCAACGCCTACCGCAATAGCTCCTGAGCAACCACTCACCGCTCGCGGGAAGCCTCGCGAGCGTGTCTACCTCGCTTGTGAACAATGGTGAGCCTCTCTCTAACCTTTACATTACCGAAATTTGGGCAGCTTTATACTGTCTTGGGTGTCCAGTGGACACCCATTCAGCCATGGACTTCGTGTCGTACCGCGAAGCATTACGTACGAGTATATACCAGATCTGTGACTCTCACTGAAACCAACAACTCCCACTGAGAGTAGCTAGTCACAGTGAGAGTCGCTGTGCCGAGGAGCCATATGATCGGGTCGCGCGAGTTTGCCGCGAGTACGAAGACCCCTGAGGTGCTCTACCCCGCAGAACGGCAGCTCTGCACATATATACCCACGCAACCCACGCATGTCGCGCACGACGCATTGCGCACGTTGACCACAACGCGACTTGGCATGCTTGTTGGACGTCGGGGAACCACGTTCAGGTGGTATCTTCAGCGTTTTCTATCAAGCCCACACTGGCTTGAGGGCCAGCCTGTGTCCACTGGGCACCTATCCAGCGGTGGACTTTGCGTGGTACCGCGAGGCGTTACGTACGTTTTGCTGTTCGCTATGTCCGCCTCGTGGACAGTTGCCGACCGTCCATGAGCGCGGGTTGATGGGTTGATTGTCTTGAGCGCCTTCTCCTCCGGCGACAGTTGCGTTATGAGACAAGCACCGCTGCAAGGGAGCTTATACCTCTATTCCGTCGGGTTCTTCGGAATCGGCGGCATGGAATTATAAAGGCCTCCGTCCGTTAGATTTTCTACGGATAGTTCTGAGGATATGCAGTCGCCCCATGCTCTGACACTTGCGGGCGTGGTCGCCCCACCGTAGTCGCCGCGGGGCCGGGCACCAGGTTCGACTGAGTCGAGCGCAGCTTGAGTTCGTACCTCAGCGCTTGCCGCTCTGATTTCGAAGTGTCTTTTGATTTTGAAATTGTCTCAAATCGGGCTTCTTGACTCCGATCGGATTGGCGAGAGCTTCGAAGGGATTCCGACCGGACAGCGGAGACGACACGCGAGCGGACAAGCGGTCTCGCGACAGCCCCACGCCTGCGCGATGTAGTCCAGGTTTCATCGTTGCTCTGTTGCACTGCCTTCCTCGGTCACTACTGACATGGAGGTTTCCTCAGCCGAGCCCGTAAAATGCGCTGCGACGGTACAAAGCCAGCCTGCGATAATTGCACTCGCCGCAAGCGACCAACTGGAGGTCCATGCACTTACGACGAAGCACCGCGGCGGCGCGGTAAGGACCGAATGCCCGGTTCGCGCAAGCTCGCGCCGCTCATTCCCAAGAAAACGCGTACCACACGGTCGCGACTGGAAGAGGAAGCGAAGCGGAAGAAGGCCATGAAGATGGCGGGCTTCGCGTCCTCTGCAGGGCCGTCCACAGGGCCTCGCACGCTTTCGCACGCAACCACGGACGCTATGTTCTCAAACGGAGCACTCTATGGTTTCGACTCTCAGTCAGGTTTGATCGGGGAGGGACCCGCGGACTTGCTTGAGTCCCTGTTGCCGCAGCCAGAGGACATCTTGCCTGCCTCACAGTCTTTCGGGCACGGTCCCCCGCAGATTTGGCAAGATCCTAACCGAATGAGGACGCGACTGCCACCCATCTCCCCAACGCCCAGCATCCAGTTCATTCGGGAGACCTGGTGGGACTCGCTCCTCACCCTCTATGCTTCATCCCCGGATAGACCGACTTCCATGCGCGCTATGACGTCCGACATCCGCAACAACATTTCGGAGCGTATCAAGACCGATCTGCGTCTGCTCTTCCGCGTCTCCTTGCTCTGGTTCGGCTTCATCACTATCCCAGACTACATGGCCAGGTTGTTCAACCCCGTCACCCGGCCAAACGTCCAGCCCAGCCTTGTCCTCGCTACGCTCGCGCTGTCAACATTGCACCAGAGCTCCGATCTTGAGCTGGGCCCCAGGGGCATGAAAAGGGCGCTTCTGCTCGCTGAACAGGCGTACACGGCGTTCCACGCTAGCCTGAACTCCGGCTGGATTGACGTCGAGCTCGCGCAGGCTGCATACGTGAGCAGTCGCCACTTGTCAGACCGTTCGTTCTTCGCTGACGCCCTTCGTGCAGGTCCTTACCGCCTTCGAGCTCCAGGCGCATCCCGAAGCCAAGCGCCCTCAACGCACACAGGAGGCGATGTACATGCTCGACTCGCTCATCCGATATCTCGCGCTGACCACGCTCGACGTCGACAACCCGCGCACGACAATATTCCTCCCGCAAGCGGTGCCCAGCGTACGCAGCAACGCCCCACACATCGACACCCCGCCCCCCGTCTCCACCCCGAAACGGGTCGCAATGGCCATCCTGCCATACGCCGACGAGGACGACTCCGTGCCGAGCTCGAGCGTCGTCCCCGAGGAGGACCCGCCCGCGTCCGCGGCGCACGACGTGTGCGGGTGCGGGGCGTACTCGCTTGGGAACCAGATCCCGCGCGTGCGCATCGAGCTTGCGCCGCAGTTCGCGCAGATGCCGATGTGTCCGCGCGACGAGCGCCAGCCGGGGGAGGGCGAAGTGCGCAAGGAGCAGTGCCGGCGGCTCGTGTGGGCGAGCGTGATGCTCGTGACGACGCTGGGCATGACGAAGGTGACGGCGATGGCGGGCGAGGGGTGGGACCTGCAGCCGCTGTGGATCCAGGACCCGTCGAATGTACGTCCCCTCTGTGTTCTGTGCGCGCGCGGAGGACTAATGGTTAGGTGATAGTACGCGCTGCTGTTCCCGGGGGAGATACTGGCGGACCAGGGCGTGGAGAATGTAGCGACGTCGAAGGACTCGGTGTGGGCGCTGTACATGCGTGCCCTCCTTCTGTGGAATAGCTGCGTGCGCACGCAGCGCGACGCGAGAGCGGGCGTGATCATGCCCGAGGCGGAGCGTGCGCGGTATGCCATGGGTGCGTGGGCGGAGATTACTGCGATCGAAGCCGCGCTGCAGCGTCACTCGTGCATGACGGACACGGGATTCTCCATCAGGACGTGCGAAGTGCTCTTCAAGTAGGTGGACCTGCTCGTTTATACGGACTTGATGTGCTGACGTTGCGGGATAGCACGAGTATGTGCATATACAGCGAGCTGCGACGCTACGTGCCTATGTCTGTAGGGTGAGTGCCCTTCAATGTTCGTGAGTCGACGTGCGATATCCGCTAACACGGGTGGCCCATAGTGTACTTGGCTGGCTCGACTACCGCGAAAAAGCGGAGAAATGGAGTTGGCCTCCCTCTTCTCTCTAGCTTACATGGCGATTTCTGATATTCCGCCCCAGTGAAAAACCAGTTACACATCGCGAACTACTTCACGGAGTGTCTGCGCACCCCACGCGCTACGGTGACCAACCACGCACGGCGTAACTTCCTCGTGGCATGGTTCCTCGCCCAGATCGTCCAGTACGTATCTATCCCACCGCTCACAGACGTTCCCCGCATGCTCATGCCTCGCGCTGCCCCAGGGGTCTCACGTTATGGGAAACAGACCATACTATGACGGTCGCGCTGGATGTCGCGCGCACTTTCGCGCCCTGTGCGGAGTACTATCTGCGTCTATGGCCGGCCCCGTGTAAGTCTCGCATTTTCTACATTGTGTCATGTACGGCCGCTGACCTCGCGATGCAGGCCAGTTGAGGGAGTACGAGAGGTTGTACACGCCACTGGTGGCGGCGTGCACGGAGGCGGGAGTCGAGCCCCCGGCGCGCATGATCCCTCTGGCCAGTTTGGCCCGGGGAGAAGCTCTGTAGGACTGTGCACTCGTGCCTGTAACGATAAAGCCGACATGGCGGAGATATGTCCGCGTCCTGGATCTGATATTGTGACTTTGAGTATAAGTATACCCCATCTCTTCCGACTGCTACATGTACAGGTATATTTATTGCGTATTAGATATGACTCCCACCAATTTTAAAGGATCCTCTTGGCCAGCGTCTTAGGCTCCAGGAGTCCCTCGCAAGTACTGACGGCGCAAGCGTGTGTGAGAGTTGAATGCAGGTTTGGGGCAAGCCTTAGCTCCACCCACTCACTCACTCACTCAGAGCGCTTGCCCTTCTTCGAACGCTCGGCGGACAAGCATGCCATGCTGCTTTAAAAAACTTCTGGCCCGGATGTACGAATTGACAATCGAGGCGTATGGTACCGTAAACGAAAGCACTGGATCCATCTTAAGCTGCTCTAAATAGGCGCCCAAATGATACAGGTACCAAACCAACATGTGCGAGAGAGAGCCAATTGGGCCCCCTCCCCCTCCCCGATGAGCAATGGAGACCCACGAGAGTACACGGCATAAGAGAGGGCGCCAGCTCTCTCATGCCGAGCTGATCTCGAGCCGTCGCCATCGCCACCGGAGCCAAACCAAAAGTCTCCGAAAATCACCGCAGAAAACTGGCAAGGAACAGCAAATAGGAAAAGGTAACGCAGCCGTAGAGAGCGGAAGGACCAGTGAAGGAAGGGGCTGAGGGAAAAGAGACGAAGGGAAGAACGAAAAGGAGACCGAGTCGCAGAGAAGAGATGGAAGGAAGCTGAGAAAGAGAACGGAGCAAGACGAGAGCGGGGCCAGGAGCAGGACAACGGGAAGAGAAGGCCGAGAACGGAGACGGGGGAGGAATGAGAATGCGAGAGCACGAGAATGGCGGCAACGAAGGGAGTAGCGGAAACGACATGAACCCGAGTGAGTGTCGAGAAGAAATAGAAACGAAACGAGGGAGGGAGGAGCGCAGAGAAGGAACAGAGTCGAGAGCAGAAAACCGAGAAGAGACGGTCAAGAACAGAGACGGGAATAGAATGCAAGAGTGAAAACACGAGAGCGCAAGATTGAAACGAGTGGAGAAACAAAAGCCGTTGGGACATGGATACAACCCGAGAGAAAAGAGAAGATACTTGAGAGGCTGACATGACGAGGGGTAATCAAGCCCCCATCTGCGCCTAGTTGGTCCGGGTCGGCTCGGTCCTCGTCCTCGTCGGCTTGATGAAGGGATAGATGCCTGTAGGGAGAGGTGCGATAAACGAGCAGTGAAGCAACGAGGTCCCAAGTGAGAGCCGATACTACCGTGGCAATGCCGGGGAGGCTGACGTCAATGGGTCATCCAAGCCCTCAGTCAGCCGCGCCGACGCCTAGTCCTAGGTCCAAAGGCGGTCGTCCATCGGGGTCCTCGTCGTCTTCATCTTGCTGGAGTGGATGCCTGTGAAGAAAAGAAAAGCAGCGGAGAACGACAGACGGGGAAGGGGAGGCAAAGGGACAAGCAGAAGCAGAAGCAGAAGCAGACGAGAGATTCAAGCATGGTAAGCGAGCGTCCCGCGCACGAGCTCCTCCCGCAACTGCGCGTCACGCAGCGAGATGAGCTCAGTGCCGAGCTCCTTGAACTCGCGACCCCGGCACAGCTGCACCTGGATCTGCGCCGGGCTGAGCGGCGCGACGCAGACCTTGGGCTGGGGGCGGGGCTGGAACGCCGGCCACTCGTATGCACTCGGGCGGCCGATCGTCCTCTTGTCGAACTTAGAAGTGGACTTTCCCGAACCGAGCGACCGGCACTCGGCGCAGGTGGAAGAGGCAGAAGACTTGGTGAAGAAGGAGAACATGGTGGATGCGATGGGGAAGTGAGTGGGAAGTGTGGGGGTGGTGTGGTGGTAGCAGGGAAAGGTAGGTGAGGAGCAGAGGAGGCGGGGGGCGGGTTGATATAGGCAGGAGCGTCGGGATCGGGACTGACCTCGTCGTCCGACGTCGGCGTCCATTTCGAGCAGATCGGTGGTCGGTAGTCGGTAGTCGGTAGCGGTAGTCGGTAGTCGGTGTCGGTAGTCGGTAGTCGGTAGTCGGTAGTCGGTAGTCGGACACCTTGTCATATCCGCCTCTCCGCATGGCATTGGCTGGTGAGAGTGGCGTTATATCCGTCCTCCGGCCGACTGTACAGATGAACAATCTATTATAGTAGCACAGCAAGACCGCAGGGTCTGATGTCGTATACACGTACAATACAAATGACTTACAAAATCCAGGAAAGACTGCGTACATAGCAAGCGAAAGCAAGAGTCCACATCCGGGGTATAAAGGTGAAAAGAAAACTAGCGCATGCGTCGCGGTCAGCTGCGTGAGACAGGGAGAGAGCAGACTAGCAGGGCGCGCACCTTAATCTATGTAAGACCCGGAGTTGGGTATCCGATCGCGCGTTCTGGTGGGGACACACCGGCCTCCATGCATATCAGGACGAGCTCGGCTCGGAGCAGCTCGTACTCGCGCCGTTGCGCTACACGATTAAAGTTAAGGCGGATTGTCAATGCCATATATCGAACGACACTGACCTGGTGACGGCCAAATGAGCATCAGGGACTCCGCCGCCGGAGCCAATGTACGGGCAACGTCGAGCGCCACTGCTAAGGTGTGGTCTGCTTCCCATAGTTTGATGGCTCTTCAGGATGCATAACGGGGTGAGGACCAGTGGGCGGTGATATGTATAATGGACCGACGTACCGGGATATCTGGGCCATAAACCAGAACATGAGGAAGTTGCGGCGCGTATGGTCATTCGCTTCCGCTTTAGGATTGCGTAGCGCTTGGGCGAAATATCGCGCGAAGAACAGTTGCTGGCCCACTGAATGTACGCGTTAGCGTTTGCTCGAGAGACGAAGGCGGGGAGGAAATGTGCGTACACCAGGCTTCCGCCTTGTCGTGATAGAACAGCTGTCCATGCGTACTTGAATAGTGGTTAGTGGGCCAGCTACGGACAGTGAGAAGAAGCACCTACGTCGTGGCTTCGGGGATGTATCGCTGGAACTCGTGCGACACCACCATCCGAGTACTACATATAAGATCGGTCGTTAAAAGCATCCGCAACGATAGGAGAGCAGTCGGACTCACTTGAAGAGGGTATCACGCATCTGCACCACGAACCCTGTCGTAGCCACGCACGTATGACGGTCCAACATTGCCTCAATGGCGTCGATCTCAAGCCACGCGCTCATGGCATACTGAGCGCGGTCCGAGTCCGAGAAGTTCAAGTCACATCTCATCCGCAGAGAGCTGTGCCAAAGTAGCAGCGTGCGCATGTACAGCGCCCACACAGAATCTTTCGAAGAGGCGACGGACGCCCCCGGCGGAGCGACATTCTCCCCCGGAAACAACAACGCGAACTGAGTTATGTCAGCACTCGTACATGGGGATATATGTGACGGGACACCTACGTTAGACGGATCCTTGATCCATAGGTGCTGCGTCTCCCAGTCTGTCCCTGCCGTGGACTTCGTAGTGTGTGTCGCAGTGAGCATGACACTCGACCATGCCAACCGACGACACTCCTCCTTCAGCAGCTCTCCAGGGCTTACATTCTTGGGCCACATCGGCATTTCCGACCATTGCGGCGCGAGGTCCCGCACAATTGGCCAATGATACCCAAGCGAATATTTTTCACATCCGCACCGCCACATCCCTGGCAGGACCTCAGTTGGCGACGATCCAAGCGCGTGCAGCGCGTCGACATGTGGGTCAACACCACTGGTCCATAGGTCGAGCATGGGGACAGGCGGAGTTATGGGAGGCGTATCGGCCACGACGATAGGGACCGCGCGCGGCGCGAAGACGGTGGCCCGGGGATCGTCTACGTCGAGCGTCGTAAGCGACAAACAGCGCACGAGCGCGTCGAGCGTGGCCATGCTGCTGAGTGTGCGGTTCCCTGAGAGCTTCGGATGCGCCTGAATCTCGAAAAATGCAAGTACCTGCAGAGCGCTAATCAGAGGGATGTATAACGTTGTGCACAGTGATAGCTACCCAGGCAGCCTGAACAAGGCCGACGTCGATCCAGCCCGAGTTGACGCTTGCGTCGAAGCTCGCACGCGCCTGGTCAATTAGACGGAGCGCTTTCTCCCGTCCCTTCGCGCCGAGCTCCATTTCCGAACTCTGCAAGAAGGTGGCGAGGCCGAGCGCTGCCAGGATGAGGCTCGGCTGGATCGTCTGCCGTGTGACCGGATTGAACAGCGATGAGAAAAACCGCGGAATGTTGATAAAGCTGAGCCAATGGAGCGACGCCTGGAAGAGGAAGCGGAGGTCGGCGGCGATACGCTCCGCCGTCTTGTTGCGCACGTCAACCGTCAGCGTCGGCATGAGATCCGGCCTGTCTGGTGGCACGGCGTACACCGCTAGCAGGGCGTCCCACCACGTCTCTCGCGTGAACTGTATACCGGGCTCCGTCGCGATATAGACAACGTCGTCGTCTGGTACGTAGTCGTCGTCGTCCACGGACACATGACGGTGCGGAACGAGCCCATACTGCGGAGGCTGCAAAAGCACGATGTCCGGGGGGTGTTCGCTAAGTGACGGCACAGCGTGCGACGCCAAAGGAACCCGCGCTATTCGGGAGGGTCTTCTTTCCTGATGCTGAACCTGGAGTGGGATGCTGGGCTGAGTGACCGGTGCTGGTATCAGCGGAGGTGCGCTGCGCACAGATCCCGAAGAGCGCTGCGGGAGGCCGGAGTCTACTAGAACCGCGGGGGGACCTTCGACGAGAAATGATGGAACGCTCTGTAGCGGAGTTGGGTCCCGTGCTATCCCCGGACCACTCTGGCGTGAGGGTCCGGGTTCCTGAGAGGGACTTGGTTGGGGAGGCTTATTCCGCTTCGCCTCCTCTTCCAGTCTCGAACGCGTCGTCCGTGTCTTCTTCGTGATATAGGGCGCCAGTTTGCGGGAGCCGGCGGTCCTGTCCTTGCCCCGTCGCCTCGGTGTGGGGTCGTACGAACATGGCTCCGGGTTGGCGTCCGTACGGCGACTACAGTTGAAGCACTCGGGCTTTCCCCCGTCGCAGCGTACCTTGCGATTTCGACTACGATGAAAGCGTTATTGACAGAGCCGCGGTCAGAGATACAGCTACGGACCATTGCGAGCACGCGACGTAGACGCGTTCCCGGGGCTTTCCATGGGTCGTAAGGGGCTGGTCTGCGGCGAGCTGGACACGCGACTTCTTGGAGCTGCTTGGCTCCTGCGAGCCTCGAGAAGACGATGACTCTGCATCTGCGTTGAACGAAGAGGTGCGGGAGATGACGGCCGGATATTGAGGAGAGCTCGCAGAGGCAGAGGACTGGGCTGTTGTGGGTCTAGTGATGCTGCGCTGCCGTCTGCTAGTAGAGAGAGAACGAGATTGACCTGACGCGTCTGCCCCCTCGACATGAGGGTGGATGTCCGCAGAGGTATCTTCGGCCGAGGACGCGTGTGGGGCATCGCCGACCGGTGACAAGCTAGGAATGCCGGACTTCATGGCAGATGTGCTTCAAGATCGCACTCCATGCACGCCCTCCAGCTAGTAATGATAACGCGAAAGCAGTGGGTAGTCGTGTGGCGAGATGGTGAGAGTTCCGGACAAGGCGCAAAGGCTTGGGATGCCGGAAACTGAAATCATGGACGGCGCAGATAGACGCCCAATACTGGGCCCGCATTCGATTAAGAGACGGGCAAGATCTGAATCGGGAACCCCGCACACGTGTTTTTGCCTGCATGTGGCCCTGATTTGGAACTCTCTCATCAATTATTTCCTCCACCTCCTCTTCCACTACCACCACCTCTTTGTCCTCTGTCACTCACGTCCACCAAGCTTGCAGCTTTCTTCGCATGCGTGGTGCGCTCAGCTATCACATATGGGCCTGAGCTTCTCTAATACGTGTGCAGGCCTTGTCGCATACGAAGACGACTCCCTCAGCGACCATGAGGATCGTAATGCAGCACCGTCCAACGACGGCGCGTCCAAGTCCGATGTGAGAGCCTTAACCGCCTCCCAAGGCCTCCCCCATTTCCCTCCTTTCTCGCTGTCTCTTCTCTTTCGGCCAGGGCTCCCAGCTAAACACGCTCTCTGCCGCTGCTTCAGACCGTGAGTGTCTGATCTATCGACTCCTCTACCTCTTTTCGTGACATCACTCTACATAGAACCGCAACGTAGCGTCACCGCTTCATCATTCTCGTCCTCATCCTCCTCCAAGCCAGCCATCATCATTCGCCGCCATGCACCTGCAAAACCGCATCTACGAACACGCGTTGCAGACGACATCGTAGATGAAGCGGGACCCTCCACTCCTCCGCCCGCCCGGGAACCATCCCAGGAGTATAGAACAACATCCCCTCAACCTTCATGCGACCACGGATCTTCAGCTGAGCTTACTCGGCTAAGACAACTTCTTCGACCGCCGCCTATGCCGGGCGTGGACGCTTGGGGGATCCCGTCGGAGCCGGATACACCGTGTGATGAGACAATAAAGGTACGCATTAGCCGTTCGGCCGGCGTGTGTCGCGCACCTGGTCTCTTATGCTCACCGCGAGGCATAGGCGAAGATTACTTCTTTTCTGGCGCTGAAGCGCGACTCGCACAACCCACGGCACTTCAATGATTCGCTCATGTCCAACCGTGCATTTCGCAACCCGCACCTGTACGCAAAGCTTGTCGAGTTTGTTGACGTGGACGAACGCACCACCAATTTCCCGAAACGGGTTTGGGATCCCATGGATGTGAAAGAGGAGTGGTTCGCAGACCAAATAGGTATGTCCTTTTCCAGTGTGCGGAGCTAAATGTGACGTCTCTTTGTTTGCGACTGCCTTGGTAGCCGATGCGCAGAAAGTCCGTTCTGAAGCGACTGCAGCCACCCAATCTTCCACCGGCAAGCGCTCGCATATCGAGTTCGCTGCGGCACACATGACTGCGTCCTCTTCCGCACAACAACTTCGCCAGTCGACTTCTGAAGGCAAACCTGCTCGGTACCAGCCTTACAACGTCCCCCCTCGCGGCGGAGCCGCACAAAAAGGCCCAGGCGAGCGTGTGCTGGGAGGTGGCAGAGGCAAAAGCCGTTGGGGATAATAGAACCATGCGCCCTTGCAGTCTATCGGTGTCGTTTTGTTAATATTATTCGTTCTGGTTGCTGATGACGCTAGGGTCGCCACTCCGACCGCAATGCACGAAAGACCACGACGCAGGACACGTGAGCGACATGATGACGAGTCCAACCGGCTACTATGTTCTGGAAGTATTCACACGCGAGTATCTCACAAGTTTTTGGCAGGTGGCCGGAGAGGATTACGGTATCGCGTAACGGCGGCCCCGGCACGCGGTACCGCTCGATGGGTGCTCACAACAGTTGCGGTTGATCCTCACTAGACTCCACTCTCACTCAACCAGTTCCCATCTACGGGACCGTTTCCTTCTCCGAAGATTTATTAACCCTCTGTCTGCTGCTGTCTTCGTTCTGTCCCCCGCTAACCTTGAAACTCCACCTCTCTGACCTCCTGGTCAATTCTTGCCTGTTTCTCTCGGGGCTGTAGACAGGTCTTTGGCCAGACTCATCCTCCTAGGCGGCAGTCACGCGCCCTCTAGAGATATCATGTCTAACGATCGACCGAACAATTCCCAGCATCTAAAGCGTCCTAGAGCGACATCCTCCGAGCCCACATCTCCTACCGACTTGCCCCAGACTCCTTCGTCCTACGCCTATCAGGAACCGTCCTCCAGCTCGCACACTACCGTTCGAGAAGGTCGTGCGCCTTCGACCATCGCCGACCTATCTGACTCTCCAGAATCCGGCTTCAAACGGCCGCGAGTCCACCTCGCGCCAGACCAGCCGCTCACCACCAGCGGCAAGCCGCGCGAACGCGTTTACGTCGCGTGTGTGCAATGGTGAGCGTCCGCATATCTATTGCAACCCTAGCCAGTGCCGTGCAGCCCAGAGTCCCGGAAAAACCCCTAGCTGGAATATCAGAAGTGCCGTCAATGTTATCGCGCACCAATATAGATGGCGCAGCTGGCCTTCCATCCCTCCCACGCGCCGACCCCAGTACGTCCCGCGGGGTATGCGGTCCCGCCGGGCATGCCCACGTTACGCTATCGTCATTGTCATATCCGGTCATATGTTCCTGATTTACTCACATCTCTTTGTGTAGCCGTACTCGCAAGGTCCGCTGTGACGGTGGCAAGCCCGAATGCCATAACTGCAGCCGCCGCACAGACCGTACCGGGGGCACATGCTCGTACGACGCCGCCCCGACCCGGCGTGGCAAGGATAGGACGCCCGGTGCGCGCAAGCTCGCACCCCTCACGCCCAAGAAGACACGCACCACCCGGTCACGTCTAGAGGAAGATGCGAAGAGGAAGAAGGTCTCGCGGGAACCTGGGCCTTCGCGGCATCGAGGACCAATGGATAACGACAAGGCGATGCCCTCCGCAGGGGCGCGTCGTCCTGCGGGCTTAGAACGAGAACTCCCGCACAGGACCCTGCGGGACATTCCCACCGGAGATGCGCGCTTCGAGTTCGCTGTAGACTCAGTACTCCGGAAACCTGCGGGTGGCGTGCTCAGACCCGAGTACCAAACCTACAGCACATATTCGGGCCGGCGGTTTGCGCTGGCGGAGGATGATCCGCACCGGGAAGATAGTCCTTCGTCCGCTATTTCGACCGAGCCCAGCATAGTGTTCACGCGCGAAACCTGGTGGGATGCCCTCCTCGCGCTCTATGCCGCGCCCCTCGACAAGCCTGGTGCAATACCTGCACTGACGCCCGATCTGCGGGACAGCACGGCCGAACGCGTTGCTATGGACCTGCGCTTGCTCTTCCAGACCTCCATCCACTGGTACAGCTTCATCCACATCCCGCGCTTCTTCGCGTCGCTGTTCAACCCGACCGCGCGGCGGACGATCCAGCCCAGTTTGATCCTCGCCACCCTTGCTCTAGCGACGTTCTCGAAGAGCTCGGAAACGGAGCTGGGAGCGCGAGGCAGGGACAAAGCCCTACGCTTAATCGATCAGGCGCATGCGACTTTCAGCGCGAGCGTGAATTCGGGGTGGATCGACGTTGGTCTCGTGCAAGCCGCCTGGGTACGCAGTGGATACGAGATAGCGCGCCATAGTCGGGGTCACTGACCTGCTCTACCTCTAGATGCTTGCCGTGTTCGAGATGCAGGCGCACGCGAAGCTCTGTGCACCGCGCACGCGGGAGGCCATGGCGAGGTTGGACTCGCTCATCCACTGCCTCTCCCTTACGATGCTCGACATCGACGACCCGCGCACGACGGTCTTCATGCCGCGCGCCGTGCCCATCGTTCCAAGCAATGTGCCCCTCACCATCCCAGCCTACTCTGCGTATGACCCCAGCACACCAGTCGCAGGAGCGTCTTCCAGTTCTGAAGGAACAGATGAGGCCCCCAAAGGAAGGTGGCTCTGCGAGTGCCACACGAGCTCTCTCGGGCACCAGTGGCCACTCGTGAAAAACCTCGCACCCCAGTGGGCGCCGATGCCGATGTGGCCGCGGGAGATTAGCGAGGGCGAGATGCAAAAGGAGGAGTGCCGCCGGCTGGTGTGGGCGAGCGTGATGATTGCTGCGACGCACAGCACAAAAAGCACGGCGGGCACGGACTGGGAACCTCAACACCTCTGGATCAAGGATCCGTCGAACGTGAGCGCATCTTCTCTTACCCCGCAAGTGTGAGCGATGCTGACCGGGACCAGTATGCGTTGCTATTCCCCGGCGAGAGCGTGGCGCCCCCAGGCACGCTGTCGGTCGCGTCGTCCAAGGACTCGGTATGGGCGCTGTACATCCGCACCCTCTTACTCTGGCACAGCTCTCTTCGTATGAGGAGCGATGCGCGAATGTCGAACGCGGACCGTGCACAGTACTCGATCAGCGTATGGCTCGAAATCGATAACATCGAGGACACTCTGGATCGTCATTCGTGCTCGATAGAGACAGGGTTTCTGGCGCAAGTGCGGGAGATTCTCTTCAAGTGAGTAGCCTTAATAGTTCAATCGAGGGTATCGCTCACGTACTGCTCACGAATAGCACGCGGATGTGTGTTTCGCATGAGTTCCAGCGGTACATCCCGGAAGCTGCGACGTGAGCGGCACCTCACTCATCCATCTCCGTAACGTTTACTTATGTTTCCTATCGCAGCACACCTGGTCAGCTGTTTTATCACGACAAGGCGGAGAGATGGTGTACGTAAAACATTCCGATCATTGAATGTCCTGCCCGTCTCGTTCTGAGCACAAGCACACCTAGTGCTCCGTCAGCTGCAGGTAGCAAACTACCTGACACAATGCCTGCGCAACCCCAGAATGGACATCGAAGGGCACTCGCGTCGGAACTTCCTCATGTTCTGGTTTATCTCCCAGATGATTCGGTATGTGGCACAATCCGTGTGCATTGGCATGGAAGTCTCACTCCGTAACTTTCTATCGCAGGGCACTCTCCTTGTACGAAGCCGACCGTACGCTGACGATCGCGCTTGACGTGGCCCGAGCATTCTGCCCTGCGACCGAGTATATGATGCGGCTTTGGCCAGGACCCGGTTTGTACCAGTTTTACCATGTACGTTCGGCGAAGCTGACTTCTAACCTCGCACAGCGCAACGGAGGGAGTATGAGCAGGTTCGAGCGCGAATCGTCCAAACGTGTATCACCGCGGGTGTATCTCCTCCCGAACGCGTGGCTCCTGTCGGGGCACCAAGCATGAGTGCTGTGTGAATACGTGCTGTACTATGGTGCGTTTAATAACACACACACGCCAACTGTCTACTGATTCATCGAAGTAGCTGTTGCTTGTATTAGAAGTTTGCTGTCGTACTGTACTGAGCTGCTGTCGAATGCATGGTGTGTTCTATGCTCTACAGGTGCTGACAAGAATATGGCGCCATTGGTCTTGAATATGACCGCACTACAGTACCGGCGGCGACAGCTGCACCAGAAACCTCAGGGTCTGGAATGCCCCTAAGGATTAGGACATCCGCGTCGGTACTCGAGAGTCGGCCGAGTACCGACGCGCATGTCCTAATCAGGTAACCGACGACGAAGCCCGCCTGGATCGCGACGCTTTACCCTTATAAACCTCTCCCCCTCCTCATCCGATCCTTACCTCTCTCTGCCTCCCACCATCACCATCCCCATAACGTCTCCCCCTTTTCGCACCCGCACACTCCTCACTATGTTCTCCACCTTCACCCACGCTTCCACCTACGGCAAGTCGGCCGGGCGCCGGTCGCTCTGGTCTGGCAAGTCCAAGTCCAAGTCCATCGAGAAGAGGCGGATTGGCAGCCCCCGTTTGAACCAGTGGTCCCCGCTCGTGCCGCGCCCCAAGAAGGAGGTCGGGCTCCAGCTCATTCCGCTCCGTGACGCGGGTCTGCGGGAGGAGCTCGTGCGCGGTACGCTGGTCTACCACGTCTGAGGCTGTCGTCCCCTTTTCCCCTCCCTAGCCCGTCTTTCGCTCCCTGCTCCTCCTCCTTTTTTCACAGGCATAGACCCCATCAAGATGACCACGACGAGGACCTCGACGGACGACCACCTTTGGATCCAGGATCAGGCGTCGGCGAGGCTGACTGAGGGTTTGGATGACCCGACGACGTCAGCCTCCCCGGCATTGCCACGGAAGTATCGTCTCTCGCTTGGGTCGTCGTTGCTTCACTGTTCGTTCATCGCTTTCTCCCCTTTCCAAGCAGGTATCCACCCCTTCAGCATGCGACCGACAAGGACAACGAACGACCCGACCCGGACCGACCAGGCGTGGATGGGACAGGCTGAGGGATTGATCACCCCTCGTCAAGTCAGCCTCCCGAAGAATCTCCTCCGTTTCTGTCATGTGCTCTAGCTGTGTCCCAGGCTTTCTTTCCCTTGCTCGCCCTCGTCTCCTCTTTGCGCCGTCGTGTTATCGCATCCTTTTTTCCATTCCGGTCTTCGTTTTTGGCTCTCTTCCTGGTTTCCCGCTCCCGACCCAGTTCTCGCCTTGCTCCTTGTCCAGTCTTCGTTTCGTTTCGTTTCGTTTCTTTCCTGGCACTCGAGTCTCTTTCCATTCTCCTTTCTATGCCTTTCTTTTCGGTCTCCTTCTCTGATTCTCGTGCTCTGTGCGTTGATTTGCTATTCCTGCCTGGGTTTTCTTCGCTGGAGATATTGTGATGAGGGGTTCGGTGGCGGTGGCGACGGCGGCTAGCGTTCTCGGCATGAGAGAGTTGGCGCCCTCTCTTGTGTCGTTTCCTCTCGCTGTCGTCGCCATAAACCGAAGTGGGGACGTTGTTTCATGGGCTTTCTTTCTCGCATGACTCGTAAGTACTCCATCGCGTTTGGGCGCCTATTCGGAGCAGTGCCCGATCTTTTTGTACACAGTGTTCCTGGGCGCAGTCGATGTGCATGTCTGTACTACGTACATGCATTGTGAGCTAGAAGCGTTAAACTTACTGAGCGAGAACTATATGCGACTACCATAGAGATAATATAGGGATACCAAACACGCGACATGCAATATCTTCGAGAGCGTTTAAATTGAAGGACGAGGGCGACGCGTCGTCACACGGATGCTCAGAGTTAATCCAGAGACGCATATGATCGAATAACTGGTCAGCTTACGAGTTCCGAGTCGGTCGCAGTCAGAAAGTAAAGCAGAACGCTGGGTATGCTGTAAAAGACGTTGAATTCGCGGCGTACCCAGAATCGCTTGAGTTAGTCGAATGCTACGGATATTTATGCCCGCTGCACAGATACAGATTCACGAGACTGCTAGACCGTCCGTAGTGCTGCGGGAGTCCGTGGAAGGCAAGCAGAAGAACACGCGCTCATCCCCGCCGTGGGTGGAATCGGAACATACGTCCGCCGGCCCGTCTTCCCGGTAGCATACGTCCGGGCGCTTGTTGATTGTGGCCGCGTCGTTTGTTCCCGATATGGTCGACCCTCCTTGCCTTCGCACCACACTTACACCTGTACGAAACAAACACGATACCTTCGTCGTGATAATCAACAGCAAGAAGTTGCCCTATCACGCAGGACCTACCTTCCCCGCGAGTCCCTGCAAGGCCAGATCACTCACTCCGGTTATAAGCCCCCGAACCTTACGCTTGCGCAGTGAAAGACGCCAGGCAAAGTGCTAACCCGTTCGTTCCCCTGCGGGTATGTTCATCAAAGTTTATTTGAGTATCAAATGTTCACTGACCACTCTCTGTTTCCCCTCCTCAGTGATCATGGCACCACCCGTAGACATTGTTCAACGGTTCACTCTTGCCACGGCATTCCGCGATCTCAAAACCAGTACACGGCGCTTTTCCGACAAAACTCTTAGCGAATTACTACATAAGCCCGACGGAAGGCTGTTGAACCGCATCGGCGCTGCCGCACTTGACGCCCTCGCCACACTCGCCGTGTGTGCGCCCAACGAAGCGGTCGCACTCGCGGCCGTCCTGAACCGTCATAGCCACATCGAGCTGTGTATCGCGGCAGACACGGAGGAAGTGCCTTGTACTGTCGTCGACCACCTCAACGACATCTGTGCCCGCTTTCTTAACATCCGTGCGACCATTGAAGCATCTCCTAATAAAGCCGCCATACTCGACACAGTCCGCAAGGACCCGCACATCTCGAACGGCTCTCCGGAACCCGCCCTCGCCGCCCTCCGCCTCCTCGAGCTGGACGTCTACACGTACTCCAGCCCCCGCATCCGTGCACGAATTGCCGACGCGCCATTCGACTGGCTTGACTCGCTCAGCCACCTTGTCGCCTGCCTCAAGGGCGCTCCCGCCGACGCCCGCAACGATCTATCCGACGGCGAGAGGGCTGCACTAGGGTCTCTCCAACAGTCCGTACGAGTACAGCGGTACCTCCGAAGATTCGAGCGGGAGATCAGCTACCTGCAGGAGTTCGTGCGTGCGGGACCGGATGTCGACGTGGACGCTGTGCGCCTCCGCCAGCATTCGGTAACTCTGGCTATTGATTCCCACCTGCTCGAAGCAGACATGCCACAATTTGATCACTTTATCTCCTGTTTGTGTATCTCCCTTTTTCTCTGCGCCGCATCTGACGTGCATTCATGACAGCGCATATCACCCGCGCAACCGGAACACCTCCCTGCCAGCCCCCCCACACCCACGAATGGATCAAGAAGGTGACCTACGTCAACGCCGCATTCGACGCTTTGACCAGGATTCTCGTCACACCCGTCGTTTCCGCGATGTTCGGCGCGCACGTGCCCATCCATCCCATCATCAACGTCCCGCCCGAACACTTACACGCTGCAGTGCTCACGGCCGACAACATCAAGGCCACGCTCGCCACTCCCCTACTGTACGGATGGAACGCTAGCAGTTTCAGTCACCACAACCCCACCGCATTCGACGACCTCGTCGCTGAACTTTTGGCAGCGGAAGCTGGGAGCGGTGCGTCTATTGTCTCTAGTCTGTGACGCCACGCGCCACATCTACGTTAGACACTGACCGGTTGCTCGCAGGCCACGCGACTCGTATGCATTGCGAATGTGCCCTTCTCTCTCATCTGTGCAAGCACGACCAGCCAATGCTCCCGTATATTGGGCTTTCGCGGGCGCCATGTGTATTATGCGCCTGTTATGTCGCTGCCTACCGCGACTACCGGGGATTTGAGACGACCATGCGCAGAGCGGAAGGACGGCCGGCCAGCACCAGGTGGATATGTCCCGACTTCCCCGACCGTCCCGAGGACACTGTGGCTTTCCAGTATCACTTCAACAGCAGGCTCTCCACATACATTGTGAGGAGGATGCTTGACGAGAATGTCCGGGTATCATTATCAAAGCGCAACCAGAGCACATCTGCGTCTAATGTTCAATGATCTCAGGTGTAAGTATACATAGATACTTCAAGTGGGGCATAAGCCTAATGAATTTTTGGACAGGCAAAAATGATTATCAGGTGGTACCCAATGTCAACGCGCTGTAGCTGCGAGAGTCCTGTTGAGTTAATCCGTTACCTACATTGATGATGAATTCATAATCTATGGGCTGTGAACATTGTGTCTCCGGGAAACGGACACGCTCAATTGAAAGGCCTCACTGGCTGCTCTTTGTGCTCTTTGAGTTTATACAGGCCACCCCATATGCATGTGTAGTGGGCAGGCTCGGGAGGTGCGTCGGAATCAGGAGCATATCGGAATAACAATTCGAGCTCCGGCTATTGAGGCCGACCTCTGTCGCCGCCCTTTCCCTGGCCCAAAGCGAGCCTATCTTTCTCTACAACCCTCAGTGAGACTCAGAGGAGCACATACCCCGATGAACACCATCCAATATGATCCCGACTATCTCTGCGCCATTGCTCTGCAGTTCAGCGATGACAACCACTACGATGATCGTCATGCTGCTTCCCAGATCGCAGGGCCAGGCCAGCAGCATCCGCAAATCAATCCGATCCTCGATGCACTTGCTCGACTCATCGTCAACAAGCCACAGGGCCAAGTAGTCGCAATTGCTTCCATGCTCGACCAACACAATCACGTCGAGTTGTACGTTGCAGTAAATCCCGCCGATTCAAGTCTCAACAAGACGATCACCGCCCATCTCGAAGATATCTGCACCCGCATCCTCGACGTCCGTACCGCCCTCACTAACTCTCCCAACTGTCCCGATCTTCTCCTCAAGCTATACAAGGCTCCGCATTGCTCACTCTCCGATTCCCGGGAAGCGCCGGCCTTTGCCTCTCTTCGCGCCCTCGAGTTGGACCTTTACAAGTATTCCAACAAGCGCATTTTGGCGAACTTCAAGAAGAATAAACGGAACGATAGTTTCATCTACATCTTGGACTGTATCGAAGATCCCGCTACTGCAAGACATGCCTTGTCAGAGCGCGATCGAACAGCGTTGGAGCGTCTTCGAGGCTCTGAGGTTACGCAGCTATACCTCCCCAAACTCCGATGGGCGATCGATAACCTCACCAATCTGTCGGATGCCAATCTTGACGACGAGGCTACGTTGGTAACCTTGCGCCAAGTTTCCATTTTGCTGGACCGCGCCGCCCACTGGCTCAAGGACGACATGGAGCACTTCGACAGCTTCATTGCTTGTATGTCTTTCTTTGCTCTGAACACCTCCGCTTTGCATCTGACACGCAATCGTTATAGCATATCTCATACAGGCTGCGACACGAACCAATCCCAATGCTCTTTTCAAGGCCCCCAACACGCGGAAATGGCTGAAGAAAGTGTCCTTCGTGACCTCCGAGTTTCGGATCTTAGCCCAGCTGTACAACAAGGCAGACCTTTCCGCTATGTTCGGCCCCCGTGTTTCTGTGCACTTTGTTCCTGACAATCTCCAAGTCCGGGCTGCCAAGCGAAGCGATCTCACGGCGGCCTTTACAATCGCCAATATCACAGAGACTTTCGACATGGTGAAGGACGATGCAGACGACTTTGTGGCTTCCCGCCCAAAGAAGTTTATGCAGTTGGTCGAACAGGTCAAGGAAAAGGCAATGAGCAGCTTAAGTACGTCAGATATGTGTTGTGTTCATCTGCAAGCTCCCCCACTGACTAACATCATACAGCCTCCATAAAGCGCGTTCACTGCGAGTGTGTTCTACTCTGTCATCTCGGACAGAAGGGCCCGGCAGTGCAACGGTACATTGGGGTCTCGAAGCTGTCATGCACATTTTGCAACTTCTTCTTTGCTGCGTATGGGGAGCACGGTGGGAGGAGTGAGGAAATCAGGTTCCGAACTCGAGGAACGCTGAAAAGCAACTCACCTTCACCGTGATTGCTAGAGGCCGATGTGCTCTGAGAGTTCATCGACACCTTCCTCTGTGTCGCTGCGGCGCGAAGCCTGTCCTTGATATTGATGAACTCTGAACCTGGAAGGCTGTAAGCTGTAAGCCGCACAAAGAGAGGTCTTCAGTCTGTGAGAGAACGACTATGATTGCATAGTACTGTACCTGTAAGCCGCACAAAGAGAGGATACAAGTACTAGTAAGTAAACATGTAAGGAAGCATAGGTAGTATGGGACTTACTCTTCAGTCTGTGAGAGAACGACTGAAGAGCAGAGGCCTGCAGAGTCCTCCTTATATACTACTGGGGAGGACAATGAGTAAGCGTATAGGAAGAGAGCATGTGACGTCCAGAGGACGCTGACTGAGCGATGAGTAACGCTGAATAAGGGAGCATAATCGACATAAGGTCAGATAGTCCATGGCTGAGTAATGCGAGTAATCCGGACGCTGTCTAGAATAGTCCGGAACATCGTAGAACGTACCAGAATCATATGGAGGGATGGCAGAATGCCAAGTAAGTACAGAACAAAAGAATGTACGTATATGGTAAGTAGGAAAGTCCATGCTGGCATATGGTAGACGCACAGCCACTATCACTGCCACTCCCGGTCCGGCACAGCCGTAGACACAGAAGTTCAACAGATATACCCTCGCAGCATATCGCAGAAGATCACCCGGATCGCTACCTCGGTGTCATGATCAAAGGATTCGCTGGGCCATGTCCATGCGGCAGTTGGCTGTCCATCGTTGTCTGATAAGTTCTGTAAGCGCCATTCTAACTATTGGAACAGATGCTTCGCCAGTTTTCCATGAGCGGTATAACGAGGAACCCGACGTTTCAGGCTGCGACTGAAGCGGGATCGATCCGATAGAATCTTTGTGCAGTGCATGTGGCCTTGAACCAGGCGAGTCGCCGAGGTAAGTCGAGTGGAGTCTGTGAATCAGTCGATGAGCTGATGGGTTCTGAGTGATCAACTAGTTGCGGCGCCGGAAGTTGAAGAGCACACTGGAAGGGCGAAGGCGATTGCGCCCACAGCGGCGTAGATGACTTACATATGTTCGAATCTTCGGATACATCTGCAGTAGTCTATAGAAGAGTATCCGAGACTGCAGCATGTATGCTATAGTCGCAACTTATTGAATTGCGAGGTTATGCGACCGACAGTACTCGTAATTCTACACTACGTGAAGATGATTCTACACTACGTGAAGATGAGCAGATTAATCCCGAGCACCGACGAGTATGTATTGCCTAAAGGGATGCCGACGTCGAGGTTAGGCTCGATCCTGACGCTCCTGTCTCCCGCCTCTTCAACTACTACTCACCTACCTTTCTCTCCTACCACCACACCATCCCCACATGCTTACCGCCCGCTTCCCCATCGCATTCACCATATATTCTTCTTCATCTCCAAGGCTTCCACATGCGCCGAGTGCCGGTCGCTCGGTTCGGGAAAAGCCACTTACAAGTTCGATAAGAAGACGATCGGCCGCCGCCCGAGTGCATACGACGCTGCCCTGGTTGTGTTCTCACCACACGCACGCAGCACACAGTGACTCACTCTGTGCGCCGCTGCATCAGCTAGCGATACGGCACCCCCTTGCCTGTTCTGTCACCTACTGTCGATCTCAACACGCTACGCTGCGCCAGACAACTGAACTTAGGCTTGCGCACTAGTAAAACACTGGCAGACGCTAGGTTGGGTCCCCACTCAAAGCTCGCCTCCTTACACGCTCGTCGACTCTGGTCTCCCTTGGCCTCGCCGTTAGTGCTCGCCCTATGTAGGCTATAAACACGTCAACATCGACGATTGCTACGCTGAGAAGAACCGGAGCGCCTCCGGGGACATTGTCGCAGGTGCGCGCACCCATTGCCTGAGCGAAACACAACGGGACCCCGTATTGAAGCGTTATTTGCCATGCAGACAAAGAGCGCTTCCCGGCGGGCATGAACGACCTTACTGACAAGATCCACGGCATGGGACTGTGAGTGTCCTCCGCGGATCCGTGCCGCCACACAGCACTGACACGCCTGCTTTCTCATACTGCAGCAAGGCTGGCAACGTATGTAATGATGTACTTCCCGCGCGCTGTTTCATCCTGAGCAGCTGTCGGCCTGCAGTACAGCGACTCGGGCTGGTTCACGTGCCAGCTGTACCGGGTCGTACCAGAACGAGGCTAGGTGCGCGCTGTCCGCTGTATGCGCGTCTTCTGGTTCTGTTGAGCGAGCTGACCTGGCGTGCTACGTACCCTGCTAGAGACGCGAAGCTTTTCCAAGACTGGGGCTTCGATTACCTGAAGTCAGCCGATATCCGTCTCCCTTGCGGCGCGTTCCCCTCTGACCGCCCATGACACAGGTTCGACAACTGCGCCGGTGCGTGCCCGTCCCCGTCCGCCCCCCAGTCTCCGCCCGGCTCGTGATCATCACGCTGAACCGCGCGCAATCCCGTACGACGAGATCATCCGCGAAGGCATAGTCGGCAGTACGTTCCTCCCCTCCCTCACTCAATCCCCCCGTGTGATTCCATACTCACCCTTACGCTGGACAGAGTACAAGCGCATGGCGGACGCGATCGCGGCGCTCGCGCAGAGCTCCGGGAAGCCGCCGCTCAGCCTCTCCCTCTGCGAATGGGGCGAGGTGCGTCCCCCTCCCCTCCCCTTCCCGCGCGCGAGGTGGTGCTGACGTGCGGGTGTGGCGCGGGGTGTATGTAGGAGCAGCCATGGCTGTGGGCGCGGCGGTTCGGGCAGAGTTGGCGGGTGAGTCCTGCTCTCGTCGAGACCTGTGCGCGCATGGGGCTGACCTATATGTGTAGACGACGGGGGATATCAGTACGCCTCTCTCGCTTGATTATGGATGGGGTGTAAGGGCAGGAGGCTGACGTGCGCGCTGAAGGCCCGGACTGGGGCTCGATCGCGAGCATCATCAACCAGTGCGTCGTTGTTTCGCCGTTCGTTTCGGCGGGAGGGCGTCAACTGAGACGGACTGCGCAGGAACTCGTTCATCGCATGGGCGTCCGACCTTTACGGGCATAATGATAAGGATATTGTGCGTCCCGTCCCCCGTCCCCCCTTCCCGCCTCTTCCCACTCCGCTCACTCACACTCCGCCCTTCGCCGCAGCTCGAAATGTAAGCTCCCGCCCGCGTACCGCAGCCAGGATAGAGACGCTGACGCAGAGGCGGACGGCAGCGGGAACGGCGGGCTGACACACGACGAGGCGAAGATGCACTTCACGGCGTGGGCGCTCATGAAGTCGCCGCTGCTTATTGGGACGGATGTGCGTCTCCCCGGCCTTTTTTCTGTTGTGTTGCGTGTATACTGACTGTTGACGCTGTTTTTTTTGCTTGCATGGACGCTCGCTTGTGCGTAACCGGACGCTTCTTGTGCTCGCCCGACCACCCGCTGTGCTCACTCGGACGCACTCCTGCGCTCATCCGTGCCCACCCGGACGCACCGAGACGCGCCGCAGCTCTCGACGATCAGCGATGCGGACCTCGCGATCCTCAAGAACACGGAGCTCCTCGCGCTCAGCCAGGACGCGGTCGTCGGCACCGGCGTCGCACCGTTCCGGTGGGAGATTAACGTGCGTCCTCCCCCCTCCTCACTCTCTCCCTCCCTATTGCCTTGCCGTCTTTCCTCTTGCCCTCCCTCCGGCCCTCTTTTTCGCCGAAGACTCGGAGTCATATGAGTGATGAGAGGACGAGAGAAGACTGACGACGACGCGCGCGTACAGCCGGACTAGGTGAGCAATAGCACGCACCCCGCGCAGTTCTGGAGCGGCGAGTCCCAGAACGGGACCGTCTTCATGCTCGTGCGTCCCCCCTCCCCTCCTTTTTGTATGCGATGGCTGACGGCTCCCGTTTGTCACGCACGACCGACCGCACCGTTTGGCACGCACGACTGACCGGGGATACACATACACATCGGGCTCCAGTGTCCAATATTGTACACTACATCCCGCCTCCTCGGCCAGCCCGCTCCAGCCCAAGCAAAAAACCCAATCCCTCAAAGCAAATCCTACTTTGCCCCTTTTGCCGCCCATTCGGAGTTGCTGATAATGTATCGGTATCTATAGAACATGCTCGTCTTCGCCTCCGGGGGTTCATACAATATCTTTCCACAGATTCACGAGGGCTCGTATCGAACTCCCATCGTGAGACGTCTCATGCGACGAGTTTCAATCCGCACTCCCCGGCACTCTTAAGGCCTCTGGTGGAGCCACCGAATACGACAAGGTGGTGGGTTGACTCAAGCGGCACATCTGCGCACGGGCCTGAGGATGCTACATCTGCATCCTCTTCTATCTCGGTCAGAGTGCTCCCACTTACTTGTGCCTTGGATGCCGCACGCTAACACACAAGCGCACTCCATACCAGACCTCCGAATCCGCGCGCCCGCGGCCGCCGGAACAGGACGTCTCGAGCTCGAGCGAAGGGACACTCGCCAGCAGCACCAGTCGGCCGCGTTCACGCTCGCCGTCCCGCACCGTGCTCGACAACCTCGCGCGCGCCGAGCAGCGGCTGCAGGCCGTGTACGCGCGTATGGGCCAGACGTTTGGGGAGATCGCGTATCCAACGTGGGCGGCCGCTACGCCCCAGCCCCAGCTACCCGTGGCTGCAGCGAAGGACTGCGTACCGCTGGCGCTGCAGCCAGCACCACTGGCAGCGTGCGGCGAGGGCTTGCCAGCGGGGCCGCCAGCGCATGCGTGTCCTACGACTCCTGCCGCCGCCGCCGTGACACCGAGTATCGGATCCGGAGGGGTTGCGTCTTCGTAGCTCTCCTTCCTCCGTTTAACTGCGCAATTTCTTGCTACGCTCGCAAGGCTGATTTTTACACTACTTGCGACTTCTTGTACATGTCGATTAAATGGCCATATCCGCAGCCATATCTATCATAGCGCAGGGCAATGAGCCGGCGGCACATCATACTGATTCATGCACTGCACACCTTCTCGCTTCCTTCCTAACTGCCTGTACCTACCCGTCAAGCTCACTAGGCCTTTATGCACACAGCACTCGAAACAGAGCGAGAGCGGAAGCGCATTAGACATTTTACAGACATGACACACAAGACCACTACACACAGGGCACGGCGGCGCGAGATATGGGACACACAGGCAGGATACGGCACACAGTAAGGCGGCGGTATGTAGGTAGGTAGCAGACAGTAACGGAGGTGCGGGGAAGCAGATGCACAGGATATCGGGGTGGCGTTGGGGGAGGGGGAGGTCGCGCCGCACATCGTCCGGCGAGGGGGCGCACGGAGGAAAGGCGGGGCGGGGAGGAAGAAGGGTGCGTGAGGAGGAGGGAGCATGCGTAGGCAGGTGCGGGGCGGGGCAAGCGAGGGTGTGGGGGTGAAGACGGGGATGTATGTAACAGACAGGCGGGCAGACGTGAACAACAGCGAAAGCGTGGGCACTGAGCGACAAGCGGGCGGCGGGCGAATATATATACAAGCGGGGAGAAGATACGATACGGAGCAGGAGGAACGCAACGCCCGGCTCAGAGCGTGGTGTACGACCCTGCCGCGAACCCACGATGTCAGCAAACTGTCAGTGGCACAGCGGAGAGGGAGGTGGACGCACATATTCGGGCTTGCCAGTCGCCGCTGCCCGTCGCCAGGACGTTTCCTGCCGGGCTAAGATCGATCGAGATCACTACGAGATAGATGGAGATCAGATCAACGTCCAGTCCAGGTCCCCATTCCCCGAGCCCAGCCAGCCCGCCCAAAGCGGCACTCAATCGCGCCCACATGAGTGGCCAGCCGCCCGCGCGCTTGGTTGCCGACACCGCCGAGGGCCACAACACGACACATCGCACCATGACAAACCCGTGCGGGCAGAGATAGATAGAAGGAGAAAGGAGACGTACCCGAATTCTTGTGTCCCTGCAGCATGCACTGCGCCATCGCCGTGTTCGCGTCCCAGAACTGCACACCACGGTCCTTCGACCCGGACACGACCCACTTTCCGTCGTGCGAGACCGCGACGGAGAGCACGTAGTCCTTGTGACCCGTGAAGTTCATCGTGCATTGGCTCCCCTTCTCGCCCGCGCCCTCCTTGCCGCCAGCACCACTCGCACCGCTCTTCCCCGCGGGCGTCAGCGCGCCCCCAGGGCCCGAAACCGCACCGGGTTCGCGACGCAAGATTGGGCGCACGTCCCAGTACTTGAGCGTCTTGTCGAGCGAGCCCGACACAAGCCCAGCACCGTCGGGCGTGAATGCGACCGAGTACACGCTGTCGCGGTGCCCACGCAGGCGCTCCACGAGCTGCCCGGTCGCGACATCCCAGATGCGCACGACGGTGTCGAGCGAGCCGGCCGCGACGAGCCGGCCGTCGGGCGAGATGCATACGGATGTCACACCCGCATCAACATTCTCCGGCTCCGGGATGTTCACTGTGAAGAAAAGGTCGTCAGTCAATTCATGTCATGAACGAGTTAAGAAAGGAGCGAGAGGTACGCACAGATTTTGTCGATCCGACCCTCGTTCATGTCCCAGATGCGCGCGGTGCGGTCGCCTGAACCGGACACGATGAGCCGCCCATCGCGCGAGAAGTCAAGCGAGTAGATCTCTTGCTGGTGACCCTCGAAGATCGTGCGGATGCGCTTCTTCTGGATATCCCAAATCTATGCGTCGGGTGTTAGCGAGGTGTGCCTCAATGACGCGTAAAGGAGCACGTACGCGAATCTGCTTATCCTCGGCGCCCGTAGCGAGGTATTTGCCATCGGGGCTGAAACATACACTGCGAATGTATAGATCACCCGTCTTGCTCGCTTGTTCATCTATCAATACGCTATGTAAGGTGACGTCGGTTAGTTTTAGCGCGCGTCATGCACCAAGAGTAAACTGACCATGTCTTCAACCCAGTCTTCGTGTCGTAGATTTGTGCCGTTCGGTTGCAGCCAGTCGCCAGGTACTTGCCGTCCGCAGAGAAGCGCACACAGCACACAACACTATCCGTCGGACACATTTCAGCGTTATGTTCGAATCACCCAAACAAATCGCTACCCACCTCTCATGCATGAGCGTATGCACCAGCTGCACATCGAGCGCGCGCTTCTTCTGTCCGTCGCGCCCCTCTCCGCCCGCTTGCGTGAAGATCGCAAACCAGTCCGGACCTTCCTTCTTGAGCTCCGGCGGCACGCTGTGCGGGTCCATGCTTAGGTCAACTGGCATGGGCGGAATAGGGTTCCCGCCCGCGGAGCCTGGGGGCGCTTGCTGCTGTTGCAGCGTCGCGACCGGTCCGGCGCCGCCTTGCTCGGCCGCGGCGGACGAGGACGCGGTGGGCGTGGGTGGGTACGGCTGCGGGCCTGAGGTGCATCGGACCGTCGGAACGGATTTTGCGCATGCGTCAGAGGAGAAAACAATAGTGACGGCGAATTCGTGAGTAACTCATGGCGGCAGAAGAGCACATAGCCGAATAAAGAGAAAATGCAAGGCGACTCACCCGTGGCCCCGTTCGCACCCTCTTGCCCCGGTCCCTGTCCTGGCCCGCCTGGTCCTGGTCCGCCTGGCCCATTCGTGTACGGTGGCCCCGCGCTCGGTGTCGGGGGCAGTTTTGGTGTCGCCTGTGCGACTGACGAGCCCGGTGGACCGGAGGGTGTTGGCGGTGCACCGTTCGAGGATGGTGGCTGGGGCAGAGGCGCGGCCGGGCCAAGCGAGATCGATTGGTGGTGGTGATGAGTTGGCGGGAGGTGCGAAGGTGGAGGCTGCGCGCCCATTGAAGGCGAAAATTGGTCTATTCGTGGCAAGATTTGATGTAGGCGGGCAGGCGGGCGGCGTGGCGAATTTGCAGGACGCGGACATGGGCGTGAGAACGAAGGCGGAACAAATAGAGGCGCAAGCGCGTCGGAGAAAGTGAAGTGCAGAGGAAGAGCGGGGGTCCGTTGAGAATGTGCAAATACAAAGGCACGGAAGGAGAGTTACACACCTTGGCGATCCGACTTCATCCTCTCCGTCTTGATCCTCTTCACATCGCGGCCGTCACGATCCCGCTCCCTGTCCCTGTCGCGTTCCCTCTCACGATCCAAGACGCTACGCTCCCGGTCTCGGTCCCTCTCCCTTTCTCTCTCTCGCTCGCGGTAGAAGGGATCAGCGTATCCGCCGCCTCCTCCCGGGCCGGCGCCAACTCCAAGGCCAACAGGGCCTGCGTGAGGTGTCAGAACTAGGGGACCAAGAGGCTCGCCGCCAGGCCCCGGAGGGGGGCCGCCGGGAACGTTGATTGGAGGCCTACCGAGGCCGAGTGCTTCGCGTCCGTGCGCGTCACCGCGACTCGAGCCGGCGGGCGCCATCACGACGTCTCTGTCGCGGTCGCGGTCCCGTTCCCGTGCCTCACGCTCACGGGCCTCACGCTCGCGGAGTTCGCGCTCGCGTGCAAGGGTCAATTCACGTTCGCGTTCGCGAGCAACGATGTCGCGGTCGCGATCACGCCCCAGCGAAGCGAGGCCGAGGGGCTCCTGCCCGCGGCGTTTGTACGAGTCAAGTTCTGCCTTGAGGCCGCGCACATCCTCTTCGTATTGCTGTCGAATCTTGCCATGTTGCGTTTCAAGGTCGTACAGCGACTGGCGGATGATGTTGAGCTCGTTGACCTGGCTTGTGACTGGCGGGCGGCAAAGTTGTGTGAGTTTGTTTGTTTGGCGCTATGACAGTGAAACAAGACAGAAATTGCGATATTGGTCGCCACCAGAAAGCTGCTGGGTGGTTCGGCCTTCCTTGGCGCGACGGGAAACGCCAACAGCGCTGAGCAATAAAACTGGCCGTTTCGCGCTCTCTACGCCTCTGGCTACCTCCCAAGGAACAGACGGCGACATCGTATTTACATCCCCGTTTTCGTCCGAGATTTATGCTCGTCTTTTCCGCCACTAGCATTAGGCCAAGAAATTGCAGAGAAGAGAGACGAGACTTTCCAGCGGCCCTCCCAGGATATCTAGATACCCTGATACTGCCGTGAAACAAGAAGGGAACTCACCCTTTGACTCAAGCTCGTCTCGCTGCGCCCGAAGCGTGTGCACTTCCCCCTGAATGCTGTCAAACTCCGTGCGGATGGTTTCGAACGCGTGGTCGATGCGAGCGACCATGGCGCCCTGGTGCGGTTGGCCCGGAGTCGCCGCGCCTGTGGGCTGTAAGTGTTTGTGCTGCAGATATGCAATTCGTGAGCACGAATCAGGGGACACGCAGGCGGAGGGGGGACGTACGTTGTATATTGTGGAGGACATGCGGCGGGGGAGGGGATGATGGGAGAGATGAAGGAGGGAAGCGCGGGCGCGGCGGTCGCCTTAAGACGTCCCTTGACACCTCTGATCTCCACCACGTGGCCAAGCCCCGATTCCTCCATCTCAGATCCGCTCCCACACCCACTCTTCGGGCCCGCCGGCTTGTCCAAACAGGGTCTGTCCCATAATTGGCTGCGATGACGCCCGCACAGACTCAGATCCGGATCTTATCGCCTGACGTCTTTTCGCCCTCCATCACCCAGCGGCCCATTTGCCTTTAGACGCGCATCCTCCGACTCTTCCCGCAGCCTCCACCTTCGCCGTGGGCGTGGGTCCCCTCGTGCCGCGCCTGCCTTCGAACACGCCCTCGACGTCGCGATGCTGCATCGTGCGCACCCGCGAGACCCCCTCGTGCTGGAGTGCCCTCGAAGAACGCAGCGAGCGAGCTTCCGCTCTCGACCCGCCGGTGTTCTTGCATTCTCAGGCCAAGGCCGGGCAGCCTTCTTTTTCTCTCCGCCGCTATTTCTGTCCCGCCAGCTTCTCGTTTCTCCCTGAACCCACCGATCGAACGGTAATTCACCAGACGCCATCTGTACGCCACGGCGGCCACGCCTATTATACTGCTCTCCCGCCGCCCTCCGCCCGCCCGGTGTTCTCACGTACCATATACGGCCTGCTCGGGCGTTGTCCGAAGAACCCGGCGCGCGCCCGCTCCGGAAGGCACCGCCGCATCCCACGCGCATCACATTTGGACTCCGCGAAGCTTCGCATCCGACCACTCCTCCACGCCGCGCACGTGCCGAACCCTCCTGCGCGCCCGGAGCGAGCTCGTCGCTCTCCGCGACGAGCGCGCCTCGCTCGACGACGACGGCTGCGCGTTGTGCCGCGGGCGCTCGACGGGCACCGCTCAGTTCCCCGCTTTTCTCGCCATCTGCCGCGGTGGTGTCATCTGTCAACCACGCAACGGCATACGACGGGACACGCGGCTTTCCGGACGCCAGAGCTCGCTCGCACGACCCCTCGTCTGCGTGCATGCTTCCGACTCGGAAACTGCACAGAACATCTATCATGAGGCCTGCTATCAATGTGTCCGTGGCCCGCCTCGAGGCTGTTAACGCCGTAGATGCCAACTACGCTCCGTACCCCATCGCTGACCACTTTGCATCACTTCGCAGATACAGGTACAGCACGGACGAGTACAGAACCACCCCGAAGCTGATAGACCTCGCGATCGTCCCGAGCACCCGAACGCCAACCCTCGTGACGACGGCGCCCCCACATCGACGAATCAACCTCCTTCTTGCCCTTCGCGTCTCGCGCAGCGTGCCCCCCAGCATCGTCATCACGCCCCCAGAGAACCCTGGCAGGGTGTGCCCTGGAATCGGACACGGTACGGATTCGACCGCGCGATCAGATCCAGGTTCGAGGGCCCCCGGCGTTCACGCGCACCGCAGCACAGCATGGCGTGCTCCGGAGCCAGCTGCCCTTCTGCCCCGTGGGTGCGGGCGCGAGCTGCCCCTTCCACGGGGACGCTGCACAGCTTCTCCCCGTGCGGGCCTGGGCCGCGTCCACGCGTGCAGCGGCGGATGGGAGAATGGGAAGAGGGGAGGGGCACGCTGTAAAGCCGCCGCGCCTCGGAATTGGCGTGGTTCTGCTCGAGGCCGGTCTAGCGGAGGGTGCGCACTGGACACAGACACTGGGCAGCACCGGCATCATAGGACTCGATGGAGATCGGAGCGCCGTACACAGTGGCATATCTGTGGGGAGTCCTTGGGGACGCTCACGCGGCACGCGCCGGATGTGTGTGTATCCCATGTACGGCTCCCACCGCCGCCGACCATCGTGAGGGCCCCTCCGCACTCGCTCGGACGACGCGCCCGGATGCGAGGCCCGAGTCCGAGTCGCACGGGATCTGTCTTTGCCACGGACGCACGTTCGTCTGCGCGCGCAAGTATAGTTGCTGGGGATCCCCGAGCGTCGAAGGACGGCGTAATTTAGATCACTAGTACCCACACACTGATGTGCATCCGAATCCGAGCCTGGATGATTCCCCTTTCCTCCTCGCGTGCCGCCGGCAGGGCCCGCAGTTCGCGGCTGGCGAAGACGCAGTGGGAAATGCCGCGGGACCCTGGGGTTCGCATGCGCGCGCACACGACCGGCGGTGTGAGAGTATTGTTATACTTGCACGCAATGTATGGAAGTACGCATAGAGCACGTCTTCGCTCTAATAAATCTATTTGAAGTATTATTATGCCAGCACGAGTGACGCTCGGAGATGCCGGCGGCTCCTCCTGTGGGATGCGAGAACGCTATCATGCGTTGTGTAGGACGCGCAGCGTGAGGCGCAGAACCAGGACGAGCGCCAGATTGTACGCACTTGTGGTGAGGTGGAGGGAGACAAGAGGAAGAAGCTTGAGCTTTTCTTGCTTCACTCTGCGCAGCTGCTGTCCGCTTGAGGTCCTGCACTTCCTGCCTTGTAAACCAGACGCGATCGGGACAACTGTCTGAAATGGGTGTGTGATGCAAATCAAAACAAGATAATCAAGGTATACTAGTGGTAGTACGCACCGTTTCGAACGGCACACAGCACATAGCGCTAGCGATGCACGCAGCTCGCATCACGTGTGTCAGGTTGTAATATCGCAGGCGCAGACAGGTGCGCGTGGCATATCCCCACTCTGAGTTCTGAGATATAAAGAGGAACCGATCCCGACACCTAGAAGCGTATGCGAAGAACTTTGGCGCTATCCGAGTGACGACAGATAGAACGCACTTCCCTATAAGGTACGACAGAAGCGATCCGACGTCGTCCCCCTGTGCTTTTCGGGCATACCATTCTATGCGTATACAATCTCCAGCTCAGATGCTCGGATGTACACACTGAACCAGGTGCCGAACATCGTGCACGAAACCAAGGAGTCCTTCGTCTGCCTCTGAATAGGCGCCCAAATGAGACGGGTGCCCCATTCACTCGTGCCAGGACGAAAGCTCATTAGCTGCATCCCCCGCCCCGATGAACGATGACAACTCACAAGAAAGAGCGGTACAAGAGAGGGCGCCATCTCTCTAATGCCGGTCTGACCTGAAGCTGCCACCACCACCGACCCCGATCCCAATATCTCCCATGGAACGTGGCCAGAAAGAGCAGAACGAGACAGGCCATGCAGAGAGCGGCAGAAGCGATGTGAGAGAATGAGACGCAGGGAGAAAAGGACGAAGTGTAGAACAGATGGGAACGGGAAGGTGAGAGCAGAGGAAGAGATGGAAGGAATCGAGAGAGAGCAGGGAGTTGGGCAAACTAGGGTCGGGAGCGCGGCAATAGGAACAGACGGTCAAAAACGGAGACTTCCAAGGGGTCGAAGCGAGGGGAATGCGGGAACACGAGAACGACGGGCGCGGAGAAGAAAAGAGGCCGGGGAAAGAAACGAAAGCCACCGAGACGCGAGCACGATTCGAGAGAAAGGAGAGGATACTTCGGGAGGCTGACTTGACGAGGGGTGATCAATCCCTCGGCCCTCCCCATCCGCGCCAGGTCTGTCCGGGTCCAGTCGGTCGTCGTCCTCGTCGGCTCTGTGTGGGGTAGATGCCTGTGCAAAAAGGGAAAACAGCGATGAACGAGCAGTGAAGCAACGATATGATGGCCCAAGCGGGAGACGATACTTCCGTGGCAATGCCGGGGAGGCTGACGTCGACGGGTCATCCAAGCCCTCAGTCAGCCTCGCCGACGCCGGATCCTGGGTCCCAAGGCGGTCGTCCGTTGAGGTCCTCGTCGTCTTCATGTTGCCGGAGTGGATGCCTGTGAAGAAAACAAAAGCAGCGGAGAACGAAAGACGGGAATCGGGGAAGCAGAGGGACAACGAGAAGGGGACGAGAGCCTCAAGCATGGTAAACGAGCGTCCCGCGCACGAGCTCCTCCCGCAACTGCGCGTCACGCAGGGGGATGAGCTCAGTGCCGAGCTCCTTGAACTCGCGACCCCGGTACAGCAGCACCTGAATCTGCGCTGGCGTAGGGGGCGGGCCGTACACAATGGGCTGGGGCTGGGGACGGGGCTGGGGACGGGGCTGGAACGCCGGCCACTCGTATGCACTCGGGCGGCCGATCGTCCTCTTGTCAAACTTGGAAGTGGACTTTCCCGAACCGAGCGACCGGCACTCGGCGCAGGTGGAAGCCTTGGATGAGGTGAACATGAACATGGTGAATGCGGTGGAGAAGCGGGTGGGAAGTGTGGGGATGGTGTGGTGGTAGGAGGGAGAGACAGGTGAGGAGCGGAAGAGGCGAAAGGCGGGCTGATATAGGCAGGGGCGTCGGGATCGGGACTGGCGTCGGCGTCCACTTCGGGCAGGTCCGAGGTCGGTGGTCGGTAGTCGGTATTCGGTATTCGGTAGTCGGTGGTCGGTGGTCGGTAGTCGGCAGTCGATAGTCGGTAGTCGGGAGTACCGCGGTAGTCGGTAGTTGGTAGTCGGTGGTCGGTAATCGGACACCCTGTCATATTCGCCTCTATGGCATTGGCTAGTGAGAGTGGTGTTATATCCGCCCTCCGGTTGACTGTACAGATGATGAATCTATGATAGTAGCACGGCAAAACCGCAGGGGCTGACGTCGTATACACGTACAATACAAGCTACTTACAAGACCCAAGAAAGCGTCAGAGCAACTTGAAGCGAAAGCAAAGTCAGCATACGGGGTGTCATGGCCTAAGAAACAAACAACTGAGGCACATATCGCGGTTAGTTGCATCCTCGCCCGCGTAGGTGCGATTGCACGTAAGCTCCGAGTTGACGAAGTATACGGTGAACCATGGGAGAAGAGCATCCATGAGCTGCGTGCAAAGTGTGAGCACGTAGGCATCGCAAACGATGGCGTGGCACGCCAAGTCGTATCGCAGGCCGCGGACGAAGAGGGTCGTGTCGAAATCGTTCGTTGCGTCGTCAACCAGCGCAAACAAGCGGACCGCGCGGCCTTCGGGGAGGCTGGCTAAGCTGTTCAGGATGAAGTGGATCGTGTCCTTCAGGAATGTGAACGTATCCGGGGTCGCGGTGGCTTCGCTCCGCTTCATTTCCCCCTCGCGTTCCGAGCGCGACGGTTCATTTGTGTAGTCAGTTCGTTTATCAGCGGCGTAGAGGCAGGGCGGGCTCACCTCGTGCGCGCAGAGCTGCTGCATGATGTACGTGTCCTCCGCATGACGAGGTCCTTTTGCGGGAGCGTGGAAGTTCGTGCACGCCCTCGACGGAGCGAGCGTGTTGTTCAAACCGTGCTCCTCGATCGTATTCAAATACTGGTACTTGCCGTCCAGCAGGTGGCCGAAGAGGTCGAGCACAAAGTTGGGGGCGAACGATAGCATGCGGCATAGGATTTGATGCAAAAGGCCGAGAGCGTGATAAACTTAGGTGGGGTATGCAGACCAGTGTCATGCATGGATCCCCGTATCTACGGTGCAGGGCTAGTCAAAGCACGAGCCACGCATCCGCGAGCAGCTCGGGGACTGTAGGCCTCATTAATGGATCAATCGTGAAACACTTGCGCAAGAAACGGCAAAGGTCGCTGAGGTCCTGCGTGCCTAGGCCTTGGCACGCGGTTGCGACTCTTCTCTCGAGGGAACCTTGCACGATGGCGCCGTGCTCGTTGGAGCGAGGGATTCCTACGACACCATCTCAGGAGGAGTCGACCATCTTTACGCTTCTGATAGCTCACCTTGGCTATCAACAAGCTCCTCGCCATGCCTGCAACGTCGCACAAAATCCATAGGGAACGGGCCAAGACGATCGTAGATAACAGCTAGATGGTCGTCCCCGGTGTAAGGGGGAAACGGCGCTCTCCTTGTAAGCATTTGAAATATCTAGAGGGAATGAAGACAATGAGGGAACTTGACTGCATGACGCACACATCTCGGAACGCACCAGACAGCCAACCGCCCAAACTTCGACGGGATACGACCACGCATGTCCAAGTAACATCTCGGGCGCGCGCTGGTCGGTCGGTGTGCAGATGAACGTATCCGGGCTGATATCGTCTGCACGTATGGCTAGAACCCGGGACGTGAGCTGCGATTGATGGCATAAAGCAGACACGAACATACCGTTCCCATAATCAATGAGACGAATATGCAGGTTCTCATACGTTGGATCCAGACCAAAGTTAGGGAGGGGCTGCGACCGTACGGCCGGTATAGGATGTGGCGATATCTGCGGGTTGATCGGAGGCGAGTCCGCATAGATCTGCGGGGGGTCGTTCGCAAGGAAGCTGTCTATTTGTTCGGTACTGGCTCCCAAGTCGACGAGAATGTTCGCCAGCTTGACATCTACGAGGTGTGTTAGTGAATGTGATGTGCAACACTCGGAACGCACTCACCTGTGTGCACCCTTTGAAGCCTAGATTGCAAGAAACTGAGGCCCAGAAGGACCTGCCTCGTGACCCTCTTCACCGTCCGGAGTGCGAAGCGGCAGGTCGGAGAGGTCTCGAGAATATCGCGCAAAGAGGTGCCGTAAGGAGGGAGAACCACGCGAAAATGCTCACCGTGGGCGCTTTCCTCAATGAAAGCCTCTCTGATCGTCGCGCAGTGCCGAAAGCCGGGATGTGTCGTGTCCGATGTCTGAAATGTCGCCATGCTCGTTGCGACTGCAGACTCGTAGCAGAGCTCATCGCATTCAGCGTATGTGGCGGCGACCGACAAGACCTTGATCACAACATAGCAATGCCCGTCAGGCCTGGAGAGCACGCTCCAATAGTCAGCTCCCGCACGTCATGAAGGAGGGGGTACGCACATTATCTCTTTAGCGAGCCACATGCTTGAGTGGGTGCCATATCCGAGTTTGCGCACGACCATATATTTACCTTCGTCCAGCGTCTGGCCGAGCCGCATTGGAAAGTACCCATACGGCTGCCCGTCTTCCGGGCTCAGCATGTAAGGCTCTTCAAAGAATGCGATGCGGCGGGAATCGAAGGCAGGGTCGGTAGTTTGAGGCGGCGGGCTGGCGTTTGAGCCTGACGAGAGCCAGCGACCGGGTGATGCGCGTAAGTGCGAAGAGCTGTGGAGCAATCGGACGGGACTGGGTCTGGCAGGGGTGGTATATCGCATGGTAGCAGCACCAAGTCGGGAAGCTCCAAAGAAGCAGCCATAACGTGGTGCTAAAGTCGGCCGCGCACCACTGAGAGACTGGTAGGAGTATGGTTGGAACCGTGCAGTAGCAGCGGTTCGATTGTAAAGCGGCAAACAAGAGTGCATGCGCATCGAGGGAGAGGAACCCCCTTGAACGACCGTCACTGCGGTCGCTGAACGTTGGAACTCTTGATGGGTACCCAACCAGGCACGACAGAGGCTTGCCCGAAATGTTCGTCTCGGCAGTTGCCGGCACCGTTTCAGGCGCCGGTACTCAACTCTCTCAGCTCTTGCGCACGCATCTCGAGAGATCTCACTAATATGAAGACATTGTCTTTGAGAACTTCCTAGATTAAATCATCCTTCTACGGCCGGGGATCACACGGGTTGGTGTTCGATATTTTGCTGCTGTGAGCACTGAATGACTGACCTCGAAGCACTTGCACGACAGTGGGACAGTGGATTGTTGAATTCATCACTTCCTCCTCTGTTCCATCTGGCATGTGCTCCGTGTGCACTCGCAGCGCATAATGGATATCGCCATCAAGTGACCTTTGCAGTGCAGAGCTTGCGAAGTGATAAGTAGCGCCGGAAGCCCCCAGCCCTTGGAGTACGTCCCATAAGGCAAGTCGCACCCGCTTCCGCTATTTCCCCACACGCTACATACACTTCTATCTGATGTACAGGACCGTTCTCACAAGAATCCGCGCATCACCAACATCTTCGGCGACGTGATTCTCACGAGCGGCATCACAGACGCAATGTGCTGATCTCTCCTGCTATGCGATGCCGATATAACCTCGACGCGCCCCGCCGCGGTCATGTTCAGAATCCTCTCAAACGGCCGCTGACATGGCCATCGAGGGCGACATCAGCCAGATTAACGCCAACCTCATCGGGTTGTGGCTGCAGCTGCTCGCCACCGGTACGCATCGCTCATACTCTATACGACCCTTGCTTATTCTACGCCATGTTTTAGGGGCGTACTTCGTCTACCTCCCGCATTGTGTGGCCATCCTAGTCAAGAGGCTTCGCAATGGACTGTCGCCCTGGCTTCTCGCGGCCTGCTTTCTCATATTTGCTGCTACCGTGCTCGTGAGTACTACGTACTAGGGATCCAAGTCTATTCCGTTCTCAACCCGGTACAGGATTTCGTAGTCGCCATTATCCGCACATACCAGGGGTATGCCGTTACCGGTACTGAACGGCCGAACCCTGCTGCGGTGTACGCGGACCCCTCCTCAACTCTGTCATTACTGAAGAACGCGATGAACATTGTCGTAGCTATCATCTCCGACGCCATCATCGTGAGTCTCTCAAGTCGCCTCATCTACCAATTCCACCGAACTTCATTTTGTGCAGGTATACCGGACATTCGTCGTATGGAACATGAACTACTACGTCGTGCTCGCACCGTTCGGGCTGTTGTTGGGAGATACCGGTGCGTGCCTTATTGTTCGCGAAGTGCAAGCATGCAGACTGAAGGGCTGCTTGTCGGAACAGCCGTTGGCATCTGGGCCGTTTGGACCCTGGCACAAACCGGACCCGGGACAATTCCCATTCTCGCCGCTGTCAGCGTCCGAATTCGTTACTTCTTCATCATCACGTTCGTTCTCAACATCCTATGCGCCAGTGAGTGCCGAGTTTGTTACATGTCGCATGCCACCTACGGCTGACATTTCCTACACCAGGCTTGATCTGCTATAAGATTCACAGTATACAGTCAAAGGTCAGAAAAGAGTTCAACGGGGAGCGCTCTGCGATGAGTAGACTACTCGAGATCATCATCGAGTCTGGTACGTTTCGACGGTCTAGTTACAGAACTGTATAGACACCTGATATGTTTCATAGCCGGTTTCTATTGCGCGCACCTGCTCATCCTCATCATCACCAACGGACTCGGTACCAACTACTTCTTTGTATTTCTCGACCCGGTATGTTGCATCGTCGCTCTCGAGAATACCGGCCAAGCTGACAAACCTCTTCCAGCTCCCCCCTGTCGGAGTACGTTTGACTGCGCACCTGCGATGGATCCCACATACTGACCGTCTCTCCACAGGCATACGTATTCTCCATGCTCATCGTCAGCACTCGGCAGAACACCGAGAACAACGCGTCCTCATACCCATCCCCTTCGACCATCCGCTTCCGCGGAAGCAGGAGCACGCGGCTGCCTCGATCCATCGGCGTCGAGATCGACCTCGAGCACGTTGATACCGACGGTCGTTCGCCTGGCCAACGTAACTTCGCTGATAGTACACGGGACGTTTATACTACCCAGGATAAGGACTCGATAGTATGACCGCCGGCGGTGCCAGGGGCCCGGCGCGTGCGCCGCAATTCAAATGTATGTATAAGTTGCTCGTACGGTTGTACTATTTGGGTGTTGTATTATTTGGGTGTAGGAGTAGTCGCATATCCGTGTATTCCATCGGGTTTGTGTCTGATCAACACAGTACCATGCAATAGCTGTTATGAGTCACTCATCCACTCCCGCTGCGCGTAGCTCGCAAGTACGCCTGGCGCAAATCATGCTGCGTTGTCAATCACAAGAAGAAGAGGAAGCTATTCGGCCTTATGCACCTATCATTGCGCGGAGCATCATCCATCATCTGTCGACGACGCGACCGCGTTGTTGCGAGTGGGCGAAGAACCGTCCGCACTACCCGTGAGAATGACATACAGATCCCGGACCCCTCGAAAGCATCCGGAGGTGATCAAGCTATCCCGCTTCCGGCACTCTCGGGGGTTCAAGGGGTTCAAGTCACATATACTGCGGCGTGCAGAGTATGCAGGCCATCATGGTGCCTGGACAAAAAGTACACGGTCAGTTAAGATACCGCGCGCAGCATCGTCATCAGGTGGGGCCGGAACTATTTGCCTCTCCAACCCGGCGGCGATTGTCCCTGCGCCGGTAGCAGAAATGAGGACGCTTGGAAAGCACACGAGAGCGTTCTGCTATGATCATGCCGTGCCCGCGGCGGAGCAGTGAATTAGACATCATACGTCTAAACCACCGCCGTGTGGTGGTATCTTATTGACATCTGGCATACGAAGCCTAGTCGCGGCAGTATAGATGTGATTAAACGTGTCATATACAAGTTTACAACACCGCACACAATTACAAGAGCTCGCCTCCAGATACCGACCAAGTCGACGCAGTACCCTTAATAGGCGCCCGTCGGCGACGGGTTTCCTTATAGTAAGCGGGAACAGCGGTTCCGAGTAAGACGAGGCCGCCTGATAGGTTAACCAGGCGGACCTTGTGTCACTAGGAAGCCCAGAAAGAAGCGAGACGGAGGATATACTCACCTGCAGCGAGACGAAGAGAAACAAGAGGAAGAGGCCTGACCTCCTTTTGCTTCTCTCCACACCGCCGCTTCGTATCAACAACAAAGTACCGGCGCGCACACAAAGAACACATCAACTTGGAGAAGCAGAGGACAACTGCGAAAGATAACATACGAGTCAGCGACGGGTAAGAGGACAAAGAAAAGTCGTGCCGAATGCGCACCATGTTAAGAAAACGATGTCCAAGTCGACCACCCCTCCCTCTTGAGAGAAAAGGGTCCTTAAACCAATGACCTATGTGCGAACATGTGCGAAAAGTCAGAACTGTCCTGAATGCGAGGAACACAGAAGGCGGTACTCACTTCTCGGACTTGTGCGAGGGAAGGGGCCCGTCGACTCCCTCCCCCGCTCCGACGGAGGTGACGACCGGAGGCAACAGCACAGGAGAGAGGGCGCCATCTCCCAATACTGGAGTGATCCCCAGCCGCCGCCACCGCACCCCAAACGCCAACACAGAAAGCCGAATCGCAGAAAGGAACGAAACAGAGATGAAGCGAGAAGCGAGCAAGTCCGAAGCGAGCCGAGTCAGAGAGAAAGGAGAAAGAGAACAGAACGAGAGAAGCATGGAAAGAAAGAGAGCAGAGAACCAGAGAAGCATGGAAAGAAAGAGAGCAGAGAACCAGAGAAGCATGGAAAGAAAGAGAGCAGAGAACCAGAGACCGAGCTTGAATGAGAAAGAGGGAAAGAAAGCGGGACGAAGAGGGAGAGCGAAGGCGAGGAACCGAAACGAAGGAGGGAAGAAAGCCGAAACAAGCCAGGAGAAGAGGAAGGAAGGAGACCAGGACGAAGACCGAGAAAGCAGAAGAAAAACCGAGAAGTGAACAGGACGAAACACGAGACAAGCAGAGCACCGAGGCGACGAAAACACAGAACAAGCAGAACATCGGCCAGGAGAAGACACGACACGGAGAGACAAAGAGAAAGGTTACACTTACGCCGGCATCACGGGGTCATCCAAGCCCTAGCCAGCATGCTCCTCGGTCCTCGGTCCTCGGTCCTGAGTGTCGGTCGGGTCGGTCGTCGTCCTCGTCGTCTTCGGGTTGCGGAAAGAGAGACCTGTGGGGAAAGGGATAGCAGCAACGAACAAAGACGGTGGATCTTCCGAAACCAAACGGGCGTCGAGCATTGGAGAAGACAACGAGTTCAATAGGGTCATGACTCCCCGATCCCTCAGATGCCCCGCCGCAGCCGTCAGCCTCACCGTGCCCCTGGTCTCGGCCAAGGGTGTCGTCCATCGTCCCGGTCCTCGGAGGTCTTCAGCGCGCGTCGGAATTGAGGTTGAGGTCCAGTAATCCAGCGAGAGCGAAACAGAGAGCCGGAGAAGATAAACGAAGATAAACGAGCTCAAACACGGGAACGGATCGAACGCTGAACAATCTCCACATGCCCCTGCGCGTCCTCGAGAGAAAGAAGCTTGCACCCCAGGGACTGGTAACCAAAGGCCGGGGCGTAGTCGATCTCCACACGGGGCAGGGCAGGCTGGGACACGGGCGTAGCAGGGACGAACTCGGGCCAGTCATAGGGGCGAGGGAAAGAAATCGAGGACTTGTCGAGCTTCGTCACAGTGGGCGACCGGCGCGCAGAGGACTTGGCGGAGAACAGAGTGAAGGAAGAGAACATGGTGAACGGGGTGGAAAGTGCGGGGTGGGGAGTGCGGTGGGTGTGGTGTGGGGGAAAGGTAGGTAAGGAAAGCGAGGAGGGGGAAGGTGGGTTGATATAGGCGAGAACGTCGCGATCGAGCCTGAGCTCGCCGTCGGGATCCGCTTTGGGTAGTACTTGCTCGTCGGTGGTCGGAGGGCCCAGGACATTGTCGAGTCAGCCTCATCGTGCAGCAACGCTGCAGCATTTATCAGTTTTGTATATTGAGAAGCCTCGGGTACTAGCACCAAACGATGTCATAAAGTGATCGTTATGCATGCCGCGTCCGAGTCGAATCAGAGCGAGCGACAGCGTTTTGAAAACATCTGAAAAGGTCTGTCAACAGATATAGACTCGATATATATTTTCGCTAGAGGACTCACTTATCTTATGCAGATGCAGCATGCTAGCTCTTGTACGCTCCAACCATACGGAAGCCCAAGCAGCGGCGGCGGTCATCGGAAGAAGTGCACCGACGATATTTCACACTTTTTGCTGATGTGCATGAACAGAAACATACCGCTCTTTCATCCATATTATGCGTTTTATCGAGCGGCGTGTCCCTTGCGTACGAGATCCATAAATCAGACTTGCGGTTCGAGATAGAGACTCAGAGCGGAGGAGTTCCTTTGCCATGAATCGTCGGGTAGAACGTATCGCTCATCGGTACGTCTGCCTAGGGGAGACTAGGTAGAACGTGGAGTTGGCGCCCAAACGCGGCCACGTGCTATGCACCCCACCCCCTTGCTCAGCCTCGCTCAGCTGAGTCGGCGACTCGCGCGTTCAATTGAGGAGCCGTGCGGCTACCACCACCTCACACTCATTCCACTCCGCCAGATCAACATTGGATATCGCCCAAAAGGATTAGAGCTTGGTGAAGAGGGCACTGCTAGCGATGTCCTCGTAGCAGGTTTCGCTTCTTAACACCGAACGCGCTCCTGAAATTCGACTCCCCGAGTCAAAGTGAGTGGAGGCTTGGGACGTACTACTGTTCTCGTTACATATCGACCTAGACTGCTTGAAACTCTAGGGATCCGCCGCCACGAGAGGTGCGTGTAGCTACCGCTCCTCGTTGGTCAGCGTACGGTTTGCATATTGCATTCAACGTGGCGCGTGTCTGAATGAATGGCCTATGATGTATCGTGTATCAGATGCCCCCCTGCACAGCGCAATCAGGATGTGTACCGAGTCATGATTATGCTTTGCTTTGCATCCGCACCAAGAACTCGGGGTGCGTAACGTTGGACCCTTGCACGGACGGTATGTAAACACCGCCGAACTTCCAGACGATTGCGCGTTCCGAGGGCGCGAAATCAAAAGCCAGGGACATGTGCGCGAGCGCTACTCCTGTCGCGATACTCGTAAGCTTGCGCATAATGATTTGGATGCACATGCAACTCACGCATCTCGGCCAGGGCGAGGTTATAACCACTACGGCACGAGACACAACGTCAGAAAGCAGTCTCTTCTAGCAACGCCGCAGAATGCCTCGACTCACATGCACGAACGCGGACCGGCAGAGAAAGTCGACCTGTTGCGTGCGCGACGTAAGCCGGTGTCACGACTTCATAACATACCGCAGGACGTACAGGTTCGCAAACACACTGGGCACGTGCGCGTCCGCTACTGTGCCAGGGAGCGGAGACAACCAACGCTCGGGCTTCCATTCTGCAGCGTCCGGTCCCCATATGGCAGGATCGCGGTTCGCACCAAAGATGTTGGACCAAACAACCGTGCCTGCCGGTACGTGCAGTTCGTGGATAGACCGGCCGTCTACACCCTCGATGGGGGCGCTCAGTGGGAGTATAGCATCCTTGGTTGACCTGCGATGATGGTAGCATCAGTTCGGCATCGCGTCGATGCGGATTGAGCGACACGTACACCTTATGCGTCATGTAGAATGCGGGGTACCTGTGACGAGACGATTCAGCCGCAGACACCAGAGAATACTAGGGGTTCGTACAGTCGCAGGGTCTCGCGTATGACGGCATCTAGGTAATGCAAGCCCGCCAGTGCGTCGTAGTCGAGGTCGGAAACTCCACGTCCAGTGGGGGTGGATGCATCAAGTATCTCCCTTCGAAGCTTCTCTTGCACTCTGGGGCGTTCGGAGAGCAAATGCACAGCGCGGACGATACTTGCGGATGTTGTATCAGTGGCCGCCAACAGGAGGGCGCTGGATCAGGACTGGTCAAGCGTCGCGCGTATGGCGTACGGGACGTCTGCTTACGACATCTGGCCAATAAGGCCATCTTCAGATAACGACTCAGTCCCTGAAGCATGCGACTGCATGTTTTGACGCACTGAAAGAGGCTGATGAACACATGGGCGATGTGGGGCTACCCGGGGGACTTACGTAGTACGCTCATTAGGTCCTTTCCTTCCGCCACCTCGCGGACGATCGCATCGTCCCCGAGACGAAGTAGAGCTATCTTGCGTTGCAGAACATGAGACGCCATCCCGCGTATCTCGTCAGATACCGTGCGCATCCGACGTAGGGCCTTCCAGGGAAGCACCGCCACGGTGAACCTCAGCAGCCAGGAGGGAAAGGTTCTCTTCAGCCACGGAAGAAGGGGACGCCAGACTACTAGTTGTGCGAACGCCGCGCTACGCACGAAGACACGTCAATGAGGTTGTTTAATGTGCATAACGTGCCGGAACACTCACCCAAACATCTTGAGAGCACGACTGTAGTCCGTTCCATGTCCAGCCAAGGGGCCAAAGGAGTACCCAAGTGCCGCGCGACCGACGGCTTCGAGTGAAAATCGACTGATGGTCTCCGATAGCTCCACCTCAACGAAGTTATTTCCGACGGTGCTGAGCAGGTTGTTGACGAGCTGAGCAGGCGTAGATGACGTGAAATGAGTGTCATACATTCGAACATGCACAGAAATCGCCACTGACCTCTTGCGCCACCTGATGAAACAGCGGGACTGTCTCCCGCAAGACCCGCGGCGAAAACACTGGGTTCAAAAGCTTTCGATGTTTGGAATGTTCACTGTCTGCCGACGGCTCAACTCTCCAGTCTCTACCGGCCTTCCGGGAAGCTTACCTCTTGTGGCGACCACGCTTGGACCAAAGACGGTGTTGAATGCCCTACGAAGTTGATAGCTCAGTGATAATCACGCACAACGTTGTCGCTGCGTACTCAGTGGCGCCCTCGCTAACGTCGAACTCGTCGCGATAACGCCCGAACATGGTAGTGAGCGCAAGCGGGTCGGACACAGCCAAGTGTATATCCTGGTACAAAGATGAGCACACATCTTATCCTCTGCTTGAAGCTCGCACTTACCCCGAACAGTGCGGGTAACTTGATTACTCGCCCATACGCTGTAAGTACGTGCTCGCGGTAGGCAATGGAAAACGGGCCATTCAGTTTGAAGACAACACCTGCGAATAGAGGAGCGCGTAAGAAAGGTGTTCAATCGACGGATCGGTATCAGAGACGCACCGGTCAACCAGGATTCAGACGGAGGGCCCGGGATGTTTTGCAGCGGCTGCTGCCTGCTCCTCTTCTTGAAGATTCGGTAGGCAGCGTGGCACAGCAAGGAGCCAGCAAGTACAATGGCAGTAAGCAGCAACATGAGAAGTACAGATGTGGGGATGGGATGACAGCTATGCAGAGGAAATGGGGAGTTTTGGACGAGATTCACCCCCAGCCATGAGGCAAAGCTAGCTCGGACCCCCAGCGCAACAGCGCCCGCCCACTGGTACCTAGACTAGGCCGGCAAGGATACGGATCCTCTCACGACAAGCTTCCTATGAGTAGTTCGGAACTTCCGCAGATGTGAAGCTGGTATACACACGGGAAATGTACCACAAGAAGGTTACATGGGCGGTGTTCTGCGCTGAGCGCTGGGCGCTGAAGCTTGAAGTGCTACCGATCTGCTGAGTTACATGTGCCATGGAATGAAACTGTGCAAATATCGAGGTCAACGCGAGATCGTCTGTTGAATTGCGGGAGTACTTACGATAATATCATCGGGAGGGGAAATATGCGACAAGGTGATTTACGAGGGCAAAAAGATCGAAGGCGCACCTAGATCTAGGGACCATCGACATGAACACGAACCCTCAACCAGAGTTTGATCATGAGCGCGAATGCGGCACTCGACTAATCCGGCCCATATAGGATCGCGAGGAGCTGGTGGTGATCAAGGAATGTTTGGTGTATACTGCGTAATCGCACAAAAATAACTGGATACATGCAGGCTAGGACGGAAAGGAACGGGCAGGATAGATCGATGCATCATGCATAAAACAAAGAATTGGGGATTATCAAGGAGTGGTACGAGCCAAGCAGAACGATAACAGCATGGAGGAAGATGGGGAGAGCTCAAGGGGAGTGTATGAGAACCATGCAACGCCAACGTTGATTACGGTTACGACCATGCTAAGTGCGCGAGAAGAAGAAAAAGGGAAACGTCCATCCAACAGACCCTATGTATCCAGACCAACCGATGATGCGCCCGGAACCGTCTTCGTCGACCGCCGCGACCCAAATCTAGAGAAAAATCCGCCATCGTGCGACGCCGTGCTGCCCGCTCGTGAGCGGAACGACCACGCCGGGGAGACCGGTCGCTGCAGGTCCATCGGGTTCGGATCGAGCAGCTGCTCGCCCGCTTTCGAGGCCTCTCGTTTCAAAGGAGGGTGGTCGTGGTGATGGTGGTGATGATGGCGCCCAGAGCGGCCCACCGTATGACGACCGTCGCAGCAGGCTCGCACGTTCTCGAGTCCTTCGAATTCGCCGTCAGACAGCGTCTCGTCGTGCAGCTCGAAGTCCAGGTCCTCTTCGTCTGGGCCGGCCGGAATGTGCTCGTACTCTTTCGTTGGACTACTCGGGGTCTCTTGGTGAGCCCAACGAAGGTACTCGGCGGCGGGCGTGCCGGAACGCTTGCCCATCGAACCTCCTAGCGAAATCTGGGAACGACTTCGCTGGCCTCGCGGAGTGACATTCCATGATTCGCCGCTGAGTCCTGTCCGGCCAGTACGCGCGCTGCGCTGGCTCTCTGGACTGGACACCATGCCGGGGCGGTACTGCGGTTCGTCGCCTGGAAGATCGCCATTGACGGACATGGGGCTCATCGGTGGTGCGGGACCTGGGGCACCTGGCACCCCGTGCATCTGGCCTGGCCGCGTGAGGAGGTACGTCAAGGCCTAAGCCCAACATCAGCATTCGTTGCAGTGAGGCTGGGTAATCTCCAAACTCACGTTGTACCAGATATCGTGTCTCTCCCGCGTGGGCGCGGTGAACTTCATCTCCCGTTGAGGCGTAGACACGATCACACTGTACTGGTGGATACCCGGTGGCATTGGGTTAGGATCCATTACAGTGCGCACGGACTCGATATAAGCTGGTTGTGTGAGGTCAGAGAAGGATACAACCACGCGACATGAAAAAGATCGCTTACCACTCTTGGCACTGGACTCCGTGACGTTTGACGAGCCAGGATCCGCAGAGCTCCAGTACAGCGTACGCGTGTACGGGTGTACCCAGAAGAAGCGCTTGTGTCGTCGCTCCCCATGGCCCTTCCCGATCGCCCGACGAGTATACTTGTACAAGAACTCGCCGATCATCGTCTGCGTAATGGCGTGGATGATGGTAGGGTCCGTTGAGCCCACACCACCGGGCGCAGCTTGGGGCGCACGCTCTGGCACGTTCAGCACCTCGGCGTTGCTGTGCCGCCGCATGTGGTCGAAGATGTGATTCTCGGATGAGATCGACGAACGCTGAGAACCGATGCTCTGGCCACCAGAGTGGAGCGACGCGGAGGACAACTCGCGGCGCTCGCGGTCCCTGAGGTTGAACGAGAGCGCAGACGGACTTGAGAGGGGTGCGCGGGCGGCGGCGTTGGCAGCCGACCGGAAGCTGCTTGTCGATGGCAGCTGGCGGAGGCCCTGCTGCGATGGTGGCATCGAGCCGTGCGACCGGCCGATGGTGCCTCGTCCAGGGACGCCGAGACTGGGCGTCGTCGCGCGCTGGATGAGCTCGGGAGGGGGTGGTGAGGAGGGTCTAGGGGGTGGCATGTCGTGGGATATCCTCTTCTCGGGTATGAACGGCGGGGGTAACATGCTGTTAGGCGGGGGCGGTTGACGGGGTGGTGGAGGGAGGACCATCATGGGTGGACGCGATTTGTCGATATTCGGCAACACTGAAGGCGTGCGCGAACGACTGACCACGTCGTCCATGGCGGACGAGAGGGTGGACTCGATGGACTGTCGCCGATCCGAGTGGGAGGTGCGGGGACGGGCGATGAAGGTGGCATTCGCGTCCCGGATAGTGGTATTGGGTGAGGGAGCGGCGACCACGGCGGGGATGGGTGTCGTTGTCGTTGTCGGGCCCGCCGACGAGGGGGGTGAAATGAACTGGAACTGCTGAGAGCTAGGCCCAACACGGAACACGGTGGGGATTGACGGCGCGTTTGCCGAAGCACCGGATGCAGATGAAGAGGCGACGGATGGACCCAAGGGCACGACGGGAGCAAACGAGGGAGTGGAGGGTACTTGGACGGCGGTGGGTACCGGTACGGCCGCAGTAGAGGGAACAAAAACCGGAGCGGGAATGGAAACTGGGGCAGGAGGCGCAGGAGGCACCCACTCGTCCGTCTGCACAGACATCTCCTTGAGCTCTGGCTTCGGCTCCGGTATGGGCTCCGGCGCAGGAGTAGGCTCAATAAACACCGGCTCAGGCACTGGCGCTACCTCCGGCTCAGGTTCGGGCTCTGGTTCTGGCTCAGGCTCGGGCTCAGCCTGCACCTCGACGTCGACAAGTACCACCCGAGGCGGCTCAGGAATCGCATCCGTCTCCACAGCCATTGACTCGTATGTTAACTGTGGCTTGACAGGAGACGACGGGGAGTGCGCCATCGCATACGTGGGCGACGTGAGGGGGATCGACGCCGTCGATGACATCGCGGAGAAGTTGCCGTTCCTGCTATCCATACGCGACGCCTTGATACTCTCCTCGCTGCCCGAGTCGGAGAAGTCTGCGTCCGAAACGGTCATCATGGAGTGGTAGTCGCTGAGTGAGTCCGTCGGCGTCATGAGCGCGCTCCGTGCGTCCGTGAACTCCTCGGTGTGCGCCGTCTCGCCCATGATCGAGCCCGTCTCGGTAACCGCGTCATCCTCGTCGTAATACCCGCTCGAATCACTCAGAGCCAGCGAGGGCGGCCGTGGCGCCTGGATGGTGGTGTCTCCGCTTGAATCGCCGACAGACGTGTCGAGATACTGGCGTGAGACGTCGCCCGCCTGCGCTCCCGCGTGAGCAACGGCAAGCGCAGTCTGCGTCTCGGCAGACGCAGTCACGAGCTGAGGTAGAGCTTGCGTTTGGGTGTTCATGTCGGACGTCGCGGCAACCACTGACACGAGCTCTGGCGCCGTCTGCATCTCCGCATGAGAAACCGTCGGGGCGACAGTCTGCACTTCTGCGACGGAAAAGACCGGCAGAACAGGCGGTGGTGGGAGTGCGGGCTCCGCGACCGCGTCTGTGTTCACGCCTGCGGACAGCAGCGTAACGGACGGCTCGACGATATCGTACTGTACCTCGGCATCCGTTCGAACAGGAACTGGCTCCTCGTCGGTCTGCATGGACACCTCGATGCGCGGGATTGGCGCCTCTGGCTCTGGCTCGGCTTGCACGCCCATCTCGATCGTCGCAGGAGTGACCCGTATTGGCGGTGGCGGGGGTGGAGGAGGGGACGCCTCAAAGTCGGTCTGTACACCAAACTCGGCCGTCTCGATTGCCTCGAACTCCTGCTTGAGGTCGTCGGCTCCTGGCGAACCGATCATACCGAAGCCGAGCTCTGCAGCAAGGGCTTCCGGCTGCCCAACGAGGGATGGTGGTCGCGCCTCCTGATACGCAGCACCGCCGCGAGAGCGACGAGGGAGTGTACCCCCGCGAGCCACGCGCGCAAGAACGCTTTCCTGTAGAGGGCTTACATTCTGCTGGAGAGAGCTTGCAGAAGCAGATCGACGAAGAATATTCGCAAACGCGGGATCCATACCATCCACGCTCGTGCGGTTGGACACTATGTTGGGCGACGGCGAGGCCTGCAGATCAGGCTCCTCTTCATCCATGTCCTCCATGAAGTTCTTGGCATCTTCAGGACGGAATGCAGCGGGTAAGCGAGGAACCGGTGGTGCGGGGGAAGACTCGTTGTCAACGTCGTCGCCGAACTCGGAAGCAGGACTGTGCGCGGCCATGCCCAGGCGTTGGGTGAGCGTAAGCCCACCTCGTCCTCTTCCACGACCGCGGCCACGAATCGTGCGATAAGGTGTGAGGCGCGCTTTCGGCTTCGAGAGCTCAGGCTCCTCCTCAACTTCAATCTCTTCCTCTTCAATCGCGAAGCCAGGGGACGCTTCAAGCTTGCGGCGGTAGTCCATGCGAAGCTCCTTCTCGCGCTGCAGCGTGCTCTTGAGCGTGTTGATCTGTCGCTGAGCATGAGCAAGGCGCTGCTGAAGAGCCTCGATCTCATTGCTGGGGTGGTTGGGCGCGAGGAAGGGACGTGAGGGAGACGGATCAGGGGACTCGTCCGCGAAGTCGAAACCGTCGGGCGGGAACAGGCCTGAATTGTCCAGCTTCTTGCGGTTGTGCGTCGATGCTCCCGCCACGCTGAAGACGTCGTCATCGTCGTGTTCCGCAGGAGTGGCCATCTCAGAGGCGGTAGCACCGTTCGGCGTGAGCGGAGAGCCAAAGCGCGGAAGACGGCGGCTCTGCTTGGCTGCGTCTGCCTTGATCGAGTCGAGGGCCTGCTGAAGATCGGACTTGTCGCGCTGGAGGCCCGCCGCGTGCTTACGCGCCTGCGCGACGTCAGTCTCGTGCTTGGCCTTGAGCTCCTCGTACGCAGTCTGCTGACGCTCCGCCTCATTCTTGTGCTGATCGGCCGTTTCGCGGGTATGGGTAAGCTGCCTGGTGAGCCTCTTGTTCTCACTCTCCAGACGCTGCGCCGTGGCTTGCGCGTCTGCTGCTTGCGTGCGTAGCTCTTGGAGGGTAACTTCGAGATTCCAGTTTTCCTCCTTGAACTTGTCTGCGGACTGCTCTTGCTGTCGGAGTGCGCCACGGAGGGTCTCGACGGTTTTCTCGAGGTCATCCTTCTCCTCCTTCATGTCCTGGATCGCCTTGTCACGCTCCCCTAGCAGACTTTGCAACCTCCGAACTTCCGTTAGGAGGCCACTTCCGATCTCAAACGCGAACTCTGCGATCCGTGATTAGTCGCGAACGCGTCTATCAAGGTGGCATGCACGGAGATGCTTACCAACGTCATCAGCGCGATGGGCTGCATTCTTTGCACGCCGAGACGATTGCGCTGCGGATGGGCCAGCTGCTGCACCTTTCGTCCGTTCGTGGTCACTCCGCGAGCCTTCCGCGTGACGCGACGCTGCGGGTGCATGCACGCCGTTCGTAGGCTGCTCAAGCAATGCCATGTACTTCAGTTAGGCATCTCCAGTGCGAAAAACACGCCACACACCTTGGGTCCGCCGAAAACACTCGTCAACTGCTCGTTCTCCGCGTCCCACGCCTTGAGCGAATCCGCCAGCTCCCGGTAGCGCTCCCGCGCGCTCACGTCAAGTCCGTCTTCGCTGCCACTCGCGTTTCCTGCATCCAGCTCGTGTTCCTGCATCTGCCGGATGCGCTCTTCAAGCTCCATCCGCTGCGCGAGGAGTTGGTGGCCGAGTGTCGCCGCTGACTGGAGCTGCTTTTCCTTGTTGTCGAGCAGCGCCTGCAGGTGCAACCGCATGCTGTCGGTTGTGTCGAACTGCGAGATAGACAGAGGAGGGGAAATGGGGCGGGAAGAGGAAGACATGACGTCCTCGCCGTCGGAAAACGTGGCCATCGTGCCCGACGACGATGGTGGTGGTGAGGACGACGCGGGCGGCGGCGACGCGACGCTCGGGCGTGTTTGTGACATGTTCGTTACGCCACAGTCACAATATCACGGTTCTCCCGCTAAACTCGCTGCCTCAAGTTGCCGCGTTTGGCGAGCTCAGCCTGCTGAGCGACGGCGACCTGCTCCCTGTCGGAGACACGCCTGGGGCCTGGGTGATGAAGGAAAGTGGGAGGAAGGGGTGCAAATGGCCTTCATCAACGCAGCCGAATCCTTTTGAACGTTCTCGGACTTGTTCCATGCTTTCATGGCAAGTTCGGATACCACGCGTCCAAGCGTTCAAACTAAAGCTCAAGAATACAGGCGCAAGCTCCAATGAGGTATCTGTGTGTACCGTGACCCTCTCAACCAGCTCGTTGAAAATGCAGGATCTGTGTATATTCCTTATGTTAGACTGTGACAAGGTTATCGCGGTTTGCGCCTCGCGTGGACGCGTGAACATTAGGCCTACTTCACTATAACGACCATCTAGCATCGCCCAGTGCTTAGGTTGACCGGTCAAGCTTCGCTGTCTGCGCAGGAAGGGTGATGGGAAACATGTCATGCGCCATATTTACTCGAGTGACTTTACGAAGGTCGCTCTCGAGGGGACAAAGTCGGGTCAGTAGTTTTTGTTCACAATATCCTGCGTTTACCCGTCGCCGTCACTTGCACTTCAAAAATTACGATAAGGAGGGCCTCCGAGGACAACAATGCATACTATGTACGTGCCAGGTCGTAAACTACGTTCTAACATACAGCAACGCGACCGAATACAGGAACAGTCCAAGCAACATAGCGCAGCTACAAGATCCAAGCACTGGCGCAGGTATATCACATTTTACCACGACCGTTAAGCCATCTTGCTCAGCTCATACTCCCGCGACGAGCTCCCCCTCTCTCCAGGATGATATCCTATTCGCGACGTGCTGTCCACTACGGTGGAGTCCGTCACGCTATCGGTAATGTGCTGGAGGTTGACATTGATCTCCGCGTCCGCGAGCGAGCCGTCGCTGCGGCGCGCGACAGTGCTCAGTCCGGGCCCGTAACTGCGGCTCCAGAAGTGGATGCTGCTCCGCTGTCCGGTAGACGGCTCCTTCGGGGTTGTTTGTGCGCGAACGATGAGCATCGAAAAGATGACAGCCTAGAGGAGCTGCGGTCAATATCTGGTCTAATCGTGGAGCTAAGCGAATGTGTGCGTACGGTCACCGGTGGTAGCTATGAGAATGCGTAAGCATGGGGTACGCATGACTAAGGCCAACGCGGAACTTACTGGGTCAAGGAACACGAAGAACACATTGGACCCTACACTGCTGGTCACGATGAGAGCGAACAAGTACGCGCAGTACAACGCAGCTGTACGATCCGCTGTTTAGTATCCCGTTGGCACCCCCAGCTCGCGGGGTTTCTACTCACCGCTCTCGATGACGATCTCCAGTACGTTCTTCGTCGCTGACATGTCCACGACGCGCTTCGCGAACACATGCACGCGCCAGATCTTGAAGCAGATGAGGCTCGCGCAGAGCATGTTCACGCAGAACGTCAGGATGAAGAAGTAGCGTATCCGGACCGTGACGTCTGCAAGAACCAGCAAGTCGCCGGGGTGCGTGCGCGAGAGCGTCCACATTGCCCAGATGCCGATAGCTGCGTATTATCCACTGCTCAGCAAACGTGCGAGCTTGCAGCACAATGTAACATTTGAACTCACCGATGTTGGCAAGGATCGCGCCGGTGGGAATGAGTATGACAGCGATGCTCATGTCCCAGATAATGAACGTCCGATATGTCTAGGCCCGATATTAGCAGTTCCCAGGTCGTCCGAGTGCTATATGGCTTACTATGATGGCATCCGAAATCAGCGCGACGATGACGTTTAGCGCGTTCTTGACCAACGACTCCGGTGTTGCGGGATCCGCATAGAACAGGCTCGGGTTAGGTAGCATCTTGCCCTTGACGGAGAATGCATGGTAGCCTCGCCATATTTCCACGATTAGATCCTGTACAGCCGACGCCCTGAGAGGTGCTCTCCTTCCATGAAATCGAAACGTACAATGGTGGTCGTAATGCACATGAGCGCACACGCAATGGGGAGCCATATGGAGAGCCCTTGGCGCAGCTTCTTGCGGAGAATGACTATACATTGTGGAAGGTAGATGAAGTACGCGCCTGTCGACAGTTGACGTCGCGTATATTATGGCATGGGCGCGTACGCGTAGACGTCTCGATCAGGGACCTGACAGAGGCATGGGGATTGGAAACGCACCCGTAGCGAGCATCTGTAGCAATAACCCTATCAAATGTGCATTTGGCACCAAGATGCCAGGGGACGCCATCCCAGCTTCTCCGAAAGGGGGTCTTCTGCCCTACCAGCACTCCCGTCTGCGCGGGAAGGCCTTAGGCTCCAAGTACGGTGAACGGGGCCGGTTGTCAAGGGCCAGATGCGTATGTGGCAAAAATCGTGAGCGAAGTGGCCCTTACAGGCAGTCACAGAGCTACGAGACCGGTTCGAGGACGGAGGGAGGAAGCAAGGGGAGCTGGAACTGGGGCGCGCCCTCATGGGCGCATGGGATAGGCTTCACGCGCTAGACCGTCCGCGAATCCATCCGTGGGAGGCCGATGGCTTCCTGAGTTTAGAAGCTGCGGATTTTCCGATGATGTGAGCAGCCGACCACTTCGACAACTCCACAACTCGGGTTAATAAATGAACGCAAGCCTTTTGCAAGCCTTAGTTTGCACTAGATCCGTTCTGCGGACGGTGGCTTATACACGGCACCTGTAAACGGCTGCTGTTCAGCGTAGTAGAGGGCCCGAGAGTCATCTCCGGTCAAGATGCGGAGAAATCAACTGACCGCTTAGATTACGCTTCTAGCGCTCCGAAGACGAAATCGAAAGGGTATATTTTATGCCGTTAGATGCGGGATTTCTCGTTTCATTCAACTGGGCGCCTGAAGGAGGGTGTTGGGCGTGGTTGGAGAGCACAGCAAGGCTCAACACTGAGATGTGCAGTACATGCATAGCGAGAATGAGGGGAGAAGTCGTATACGTACTCTGGTGAGCAACAATCATTGGAGTTCGTTTGACATTTTGTACCATTTGTATCATATGTACCACGACAAGACTCCGGACACCCCGATAAGGCATGCCACGTGGTAGCAGCCGAACGCCACGAAGTCTACCAAACGCCACCTCGACGCCACCTTAACTCTGCACCTCACGCTCCATCGTGGTCAATTTTGCCTCGGGGTTTTCTCTCGTCGGACAAATACGTGCAGTATCAAGCAAACGACCCTTTGGATCCAGCGGGTATAAACCGCTGCGTGGCCCGCTCTGACCCGCTGAGAAATCCGAGGAAGCACGACCGCGTGTTTCCGCGGCAGAAGGTGCGGCGCGGAGTTTTCTGTTCAGACTCCACCGTCCGGATATCTCACAGCACGATGCATTCTGCGGGCCAGCGCCGGGCCTCATCTTGCGCGGAACTTTCCTGGTCAACTGAGTTGACCTCTCGCCCGAACTCTCATTCCCGTGCTCCTCCACATGCCCCACCTTTTTCGGGTGGCATTCCCCCTCTTTCCCCAAACTCTGTTATCTGACATTCTCCTCCGAGTCAAACCTCCGGTGCATCTTCCGGGGCTGGGCATGTGCATGGCTATGCCCTAGCAATCACAACAGCCTCAAGGTTTATGAGAAGCCGGCGCCGCCCGCGCGTCCCGGGCGCGTGCGATCGGTGAGGCGAATCGCGCTCAAACCCACCTTCCATCTCAAGAAGCGGAAGCGAGATCGTGCCAAATATGCTCTGCGCCGGAGCAGTCCTTTTTCAGTCATGACAGATAGCACCAGGAGCGGCGCGACTCTTGCTGCGAGCCCCCATCATGTCTCTCCCAGCGTCCGCAAACGCGTCGTCAACATCGATGGGCACCGTGCCGCAAGACACAAAGCCCACTGAGCTCACCGTGGCGGAGCCCACGCCTCCGCCTCCGACGAAGCGCGGATGGCGCTTCTGGGTCATCTTCCTCGCCCTCTGTCTCTCCCTCTTTCTCACCGCCCTCGACTTGGTACGTTCCACTCTTCTCGCGCTACTTTCCGCGACGCTGACGTTCTCCGCGCACACGCCCAGGCTTCTGTGTACACGGCGCTGCCGTCGATCGTCCATGACCTCGAAGGCGCGGACTCCTTCGTTTGGATCTCTTCCGTGTACACGCTCTCATGCGCGGCCGTGCTCCCCATGAGCGGCCGCCTCGCGGACATCTTTGGCCGGCAAATCGTTCTGCTTGGCGCTATCGTCCTCTTCGCCGCCGGCTCCGCTGTGACCGGCGCCGCGACGAGCATGGGCATGATCATTGCGGGCCGAAGTATGTTCTCCCAGCGCGCTCGTTCTCACACGGATGCTGACCGGACCGCGCATAGCTATACAGGGCGTGGGGTCCGGTGCGATCCAGGTGCTGGTCGCGATTGTCACCGCAGACCTCATACCGCTGAAGGAGCGAGGGCTGTTCCAATCCATCACCGGCGCGTGAGCATTGCATCCCATGGATCGCGTAAAGTCCAATGCACTGAACTTGGCCTTGCAGTACGTTCAGCTTTGCAACGGCCACGGGGCCTTTCATTGCAGGGGCACTTTCCCAGCATGCGAGTTGGCGATGGTAAGCACCCATATTTAAGGTTGTGCGCGCATTGACACGAGCTAATATTGCAATTGCTTCCGTAGGCTGTTCTGTGAGTGCATGATTTCATGCAATGTGCTCGGAGCTGGATGACTTACTGCTATGCAGATATCAATCTTCCGCTCTGCGCCCTGGCGTTCACTGTTGTCCTGATCTTCCTGCGTCTGCGCAAGCCCCCGATTGAGAGCTACAAGAAGGTGTTCTTCTCGGTAGACTGGATGTACGTACCGCCGTACGATCGCTGCTTCAGCCTACTGACGTCGCAAAAGCGGGAACGGGTTGATCATTGCGAGCTCGACATCATGCATCGTCGGCCTCACATGGGCAGGGATCCGGTTCCCCTGGTCATCCGCGCAGGTGATTGCCCCGCTGGTCATCGGCGTCCTCGGGCTCTTCGGCGCGCTGGCGTATGATGCGTATTGGGCATCACATCCCATAGTGAGTACCGCGCGGTACCTGCGTGTGCAAGTCACTCCTAACACGTTTTGTAGATCCCCGTTGCGATTATCAAACACAGAACGACTTTGGGAGGGCGAGTCCGCATCTCCTAAAGAGGCGGTGCAGAGACTGATACATCGCAAATAGATATATCGGGTCATTCTTCCACATCATGGTCGCGAACAGCATCACCTGTAAGCCGCTTGCTTCCGTGTCTGTTTGCTCGTTGTGCTGACTCTATGATGGCGTAGTCTACCTGTGAGCGACACGCATCAGCAGAATGCTCATGAGCATAGCTGAGACGTCTTTGCAGCCCGACGTACTTCCAGGCAGCGAAGATAGCGCCGCCGCTCTTGTCAGGGCTGTACATCTTCCCGACAGTCATCTGCATCTCGCCCTCGGCGATTCTGCAGGGCATTCTCGTCAGCAAGACAGGCAAATACCGCCTCATCGTAAGCCTCCGTATCCAATCAGTCAAGAGCCTTGCTAATACAGGCGCAGAACTTCATCGGCTGGTGCGGGATGGCCATCGGCGTCGGCCTCCTGACGCTGCTCAACGAGAACACGCACGTCGCGGTCACCATCCCGTTCCAAATGATTGCCGCAATCGGCGTCGGGTTCGTGTACTCGACGACGTTCTCAGTGCTTGCGCCGCTCGAGCCAACACAGAACGCAGCGGCGCTGAGCTTCCTGTTATTCATGCGCACATTCTCCTCGGTACGTCCACCGCCGCGTCGCAAATTTTACGTATGCTGACGACACCTGATTACCAGGCATGGGCATCCTCCATCTCAGCGACCATCTTCCAGAACCGCCTCCAGGCCCACCTCCCCACTGCGTTCCTGGACCTCATCCCTTCAGGGCAAGACGTGACGTACAGCGGGATCCCGCTCATCCCGTCGCTAGCGCCCGAGCTCCAGGACACAGTGCGCAGCGTGTTCGCGGAAAGCATCCGCCTGGTGTGGTACATCTCGCTCGGACTGTGCGCGGCCGGCTTCGCGAGCGTCGCGGTGCAGAAGCACGTGCCCCTGCACACGAAGATGGACAACCGCTTCGGGATGAAAGGGCCGGAGAAGGGTGCGGGCGTAGACGCAGAGAAGGCTCCGGAAGCGAGTGACGTCTCCCCGGCGGAGAACACAGAAGGCTCGGAGAAGGGGGCACCGGTGGAGAAGACCCCGGGCTCTGTCGTGGAGGTGTCGATGCGCGACCGGGATTCTGATGGGCGGTCTTGAGATCGCGCTGGGGGGAGGTTAAGTATGTATCTTTATGTGAGTCCGCGTTCGCTCATTTTGCTGTGTATAAGTTAGAGATCTGTCTCCCGTACTGTGGGCCTAGCGCCGCCCTGTACTTCCCCTCCCTGCTGTACTTATTGAATTACACTCGTTCCAGTTCTTTGCGGCTCTGTTTGGCACTTTACGTTCTGTAGGACACCCGCGGACCTCCTGGCGTCGACACAAGCGGTCTGCTCTTGTCCAGTGCCGCGCGTGGCGGCTGGTGGCGTGACACGGATGCGATCCCTGCGAAGTGCTGCGAACGTAAAAATTAGCCAAAACAACTAAAGCATTCTTGTAAGAGAACTTATTCGGTGTGTCCTCTTTCAAGCTCAAAAACTTCGCGATGCTCTGCTGATAGAATTTATGTTACAGCTGCGGTCATCTGGTGCCAGAGCAAGGAAAAGGAGAAGTTGAAACTCCTTAAGTGCTAGGTGGCGGCAGATGCCGACCGGACTACAAATCGAAGATCCCGGGGAAATGACACTGGTTCCAGGACTTACTCCTCTCAACAACCTCTGAGTGAAGTTCAGCTACAGTCGCTACATCGATTCAAGATGTACAACAATCCACAGGGGACCAGTAATCGTTCAGCTCGCCTCAGGGATCATCGGGGACATAGCATCACGGTGGGCCCGGGCACTGGCGCGACGTTGCGACATGTCCGAACAACTGATGCCCGGTGGTGGTCACGATGGACCATAACTCGGACTTCTCCATGGCGAGGAGCTTGCGTGCATGGTACGTAGTACGGTGGCGTCGGAAGCGAAAGAGGCGTACAGGGCAAGTATCCTGCATACCAGTACCTTTCTTCGCGTCTTCGCTGAATGATCCACTTCCCGCAGTCCCCATTCGCGCTCCAGTGCCTACAGCGCCCGAGATATATCTCAAGCGATATCGTCGAGGCTCTTGCATGCACTACTACTGACCCACGAACCCGAGCTGCTCAATGTCGTCCTCAGTATCGGACTCCGACCCTTCGACGTCTTCAGACTCCATCCCCAAAGCACGCACCGAGAGGCGGGGCTGGCGGTTCTGGATCATATTCGTCGCTCTCTGCGTATCCCTCTTTCTCACTGCCCTTGATCTGGTATGTGCCATATCTTGAAAACGTCCTCTTTTACCGGAGACGCTGACATAGACTTGCTGCAGGCATCTGTCTCTACCGCTCTTCCCTCTATCATCCATGACCTTGACGGCACGGACTCCTTCGTATGGGTCTCCTCCGCCTACACACTCGCTTGCACGGCTGTACTACCTATGAGTGGTCGCCTCGCGGACATTTTCGGACGACAATACGTCCTCCTTATCGCAATCCTGTTCTTCGGTGTAGGTTCTGCGGTCGCAGGTGCTGCGACGTCGATGGACATACTCATCACTGGCCGAAGTACGTTTGACCGTATCTCAGCGACCATCAAAATTCACGCTAACCCACTTCCCAGCTATACAAGGAGTCGGTTCTGGCGCGATACAGGTTCTCGTCGCAATCGTCATCGCGGACCTCATTCCCCTCAAAGATAGAGGGTTCTTTCAGGCATTGACCGGCGCGTGGGTGGAGTGTAGTTCTGATGCACTCCGGCGGTAGTTCTCAAATGGACTGCAGGACGTACAGCTTCGCCTCCGCCATCGGCCCTTCCATCGGAGGAGCTATTGCCCAGCGCGCATCTTGGCGATGGTGCGGTCCAGCTCGGACTACCACCAGCAGATATAGCTGACCTCTTAGCTCCGATCTAGGCTATTTTGTACGTCCTGAGCTATCCGTCATTGCAAGCATCGGATGTCGCTCACTTCGATATACAGATCTCAACCTCCCGCTCTGTGCGATCGCATTCACCATCGTCCTTCTTTTCCTGCATCTTCGGAAGCCACCAGTGCAGAGCTTCACCTCCGCATTTATGGCGATGGACTGGATGTAAGTCTATTTTCTCGCGCCCTCATTAATGACGACTGACTGCGCATGCGCAGAGGGAACATCATAATTATCGGGAGCGCAACCTCGTGTATCTTCGCGCTCACCAACGCCGGGGTCAAATATTCCTGGTCGTCAGTGGAGGTGATAGTGCCTCTCACAATTGGCCTCGTCGGATTCCCGGTCGCACTCTTATACGACGCGTACATAGCCTCGCATCCCGTGGTACGCTCTCGATTGTTTCAGCGTTGTTCCTTGTTCACGCGCGATCATCCTAGGTTCCCACTGCCGTCATCAATAACCGCACCAGCATCTCCGGGTGGGTCATTGACTGGAGTCTATGTGTACTAATATGATGTTATTGACCACACCGTCTCTTCACGCAGGTACATCACTACCTTCTTCCACGGTTTGGTCGTCAACAGTGTTGTATGTATGTAAAGTCCCACCTACCTATTGCGAGTGGCATCTACTAACGGTATACGTAGTCTATCTGTAAGGTCTTGCGTCCATGTTGTGGCTCCCCAAAGGTGACCTGTCGCGCTATAGACCTGCATACTTCCAGTCTTGCAAGGTCGCCCCGCCACTACTGTCCGGGCTTTACTTCTTTCCAACAGCGCTCTTTATTTCACCTTCTGCCGTCGTTCAAGGCATCATCGTCAGCAAGACCGGCCGGTACCGCCTCGTTGTGAGCTTTTTTCCCGCATACCACTTCGTATCGTGCTCACGACGAGGTAAACAGACGGTCGTAGGATGGGCTGCGATGCTCGTTGGCGTCGGACTGTTCACCCTCATCGACGCGGACACGCCTATCGCCGTCACCGTCCCCATGCAGATTATCGCGTCTATTGGGTTCGGCTTCCTGTGGGCGACGAACTTCACCGTCATGGCTCCTCTGGACCCCGTCCATAACGCATCCGCGCTCTCCTTCCTCCTCTTCGTCCGGACCTTCTCCTCCGTGAGTAGCACTAGTCTTCCTTCTGATCCCTATCTCCGTCTTCTGATTTTTATCCTCCGACTCATTCTCACGTAGGCCTGGGCAGTCGCCATCTCCGGCACAATCCTCCAGAATCAGCTGGATGCCCATCTCCCTCCCGCGTTCCTCGCCACATTCCCACCCCGCAGCGACCTCGCTTACAGCGTAATCCCAGCGATCGCCGCCCTCCCGCCATCACTCCAGACCGCAGTTCGCGCTGCTTTCGCAGCAGGCTTCCGCCTCATGTGGCGCGTGCTGCTCGGGTTCTGTGGTGCGGGTTTGTTGAGCGTCGCGCTGCAGAAGCACGTCGTGCTGCACGAGAAGATGGATGAACGGTGGGGGATGATCGAGCGAGAGGAGGCGGCAGAGGCAGGGGCAGAGGCAGGGGCAGGGTTGAAGGGCAAGGATGCGGTGGGCGAGGTGTGCGAAGAGAAGGCAGAGGATGTAAGGGTCTCGGTGTGCGAGGTGGACCGTTCTCAGGAGGCAGTGGACATCATACCTGTTCTGGTTGTGTCTCCGCCGGAGTCGGAAATGTCGGAAGTTAGTGTGTAATGTATCAACTCAATTTCTTCCAGCGGTAGCCAGAATGCGTCAGGCATGATTATACACTTATGCTTCACTCGTCGAAAGAGTGCCGACAACTGCTGCGGCACCAACCAAGGTCATGACATCGCGATCACGACTACAGCGACCAATTTGCTTGCGATACTACTACAGGCTTTGCTATAAACTACATCACTGTTTCCTTTCACCGGTGTTCTGCAAGATCATTGCCACGCGATAAGCCAACGCCCCACTGTAACGAACACCGCGGGCCTCACCGGCAAAGCGCAGACGTCTTCTCCGGTCGGACGCCGTTCAGACCAAGCAGATGTTGTTCGGCGAGCAGATGAACGATCGAATGTTCGTGCCCGTGTTCACGTTCTGGCACCCGCCGTTCTGGTTTGTGAACGAGAACTGCCGGCCCCTGGCGCCCGCGGGGCAGTTCGCATCCTGGAACGCCGTTACGCAGTGGTTGCCTGACCCGCCGTCGACCTGTTCCATTCAATATCAGCATTCGGCGAGGAAACGCAACGGAGAGACGTACGCGGAAGGAGTGGCGGTCGTCGAACTGGTGGCACGAGCCGTCGCAGGGGACGTTCAGCCCGGCGGCGCCGTTGCAGGTGCTGCCACTGAAGGCGGTGATCCCGGCGTTGGCTGCTTGGGGGAAGAGCGCAAGCACGAGTGCAGAAGTGAGGTACGCGACAGTGGCAGTGGAGAAGCGCATTGTTGTGTACTTGGGTGTGGCGTGTGCGTGTAAGAGAAGGCCGTTGAGGGTCGACTGGTCGGTCTCTGCCCGCTAGGTTTTGCTGTATATATACTAAAATGTAGCCCAGGTACATGGTACTGAAGGCCTCGAGACAGGCTTGTCCATCATTTTTGGGGAAGCAAAAGTCCCCCGTGGACATGGCCGTTCGTCTTGGCAGGGGAGAGTCCGACGCATTGATGCGCCCCAAGTTGACGAACGGCCACAGGCGGCGAGGACCGTGACCCTCCATCGCAGCAAGACGAGGCTCTGTGAATGAAAATGACGATGAGCCAAGTTCAGGAACAGGTTCAAATGTTAATGAATCTCCTACCCCCTCTCACGTGTCGGTGATGTCGGTGCTGTGCTGTATGGGTTGCTCTCTCCACCTCATCGCACATGCCGGCGGCGTTGATGCTCTAGCCTTACTTCGGAAGGTATTCGGGAGGTCTGCCTGTTTTCTTGTTGTCTTTAGCCATGGAAAGTAAGGCCGGCGGTGTGCGAGCCTGACTCCTCCCGCCGCTGAACGAGCTACCAAGGTTGGTCCTCAGCTCGCACGATATCGACAGTGTCTTACTCACATCGTGAGGCCTGCTTTCATGCCTATACCTCAGTGCAAATATCCTATCTAAATTCTGTATAGTAAACTTCTCATCCAAGTGTTGAGCTCTTGGTGATAAACATCGCTTACAACTTACTCGGGTGGCTCGGGCAAATCACCCCGCTATGCGTACCTTGACTCGCGTACCTGCTTGCAGTGCTCGCCATGTACCTTTCAATTAACCCACACAAAGGTCGCCGCCACGCCTGGGCGTGAAAGTCTAACCATGAAGGCGACGCGGGAGAGCTATCGGATTGATCGCAGATGTGATGATCCTGTCGGCCTGGGGAGGTCTCTGAGGTCTCAACGGTCAAAAATAATATTAGCAAAGTCAGTCAGAGTGAAGACCCTGTCTGGCCCAATAAGCATATACTCACAAAAGAGTACAAGGGCACATGAGGCCGACAGGCGTGAAGGTTGTCGTTCAAACGATGGTGGTCACTGTCAAGTTCGGTGGCGGCGTTTGCGACTTGGCCATCGCGCACGAGCGCCCATGGTCATGTTGGCGCCAAATTCTGCTAGCGCTCGTGCGCCATCTCTCTCTTTCCTACGACGACGTCGGCTATCGTCCCTACCATAGGCGAGAATCAGCGGTATAGAGCAAAACTCAAAAAGTCGAATGTGAATGCAATGTCTCTTTGGAGGTGAGCCGAAGGAGGCGACACGATGAACTCGACGGTCTTCTTCCGGGGTTCTGTCACTGCTGGCATGTGCTGGATCTCTCTACCTCTGAGCGTACGGCGGCGTTAGTTGTACGTGAGTAGTGATTTTTTCAGAACATATAGTGGCAATATGCACTAATAGACACTCCTAGACATTTTTGAAACGCATGTCTGCTCTCTAATCGGGCGTGGTCTATACAATATAGTCTGGCGTCGGTATCCCGTGTCCATTGCTGAGATATACAGCAATGTGTCAGTGCCGCATGAGGCTGACTCGCAAGGCCCTGAGCCCTCCGACCACCGACGAGCAAGTACTACCTAAAGTGGATCCCGGCGACGAGCTCAGGCTCGATCGCGACGTTCTCGCCTATATCAACCCACCTTCCCCCTCCTCGCTTTCCTTACCTACCTTTCCCCCACACCACACCCACCGCACTCCCCACCCCCCACTTTCCACCCCGTTCACTATGTTCTCTTCTTTCACTCTGTTCTCCGCCAAGTCCTCTGCGCGCCGGTCGCCCATTGTGACGAAGCTCGACAAGTCCTCGATTTCTTTCCCTCGCCCCTATGACTGGCCCGAGTTCGTCCCTGCTACGCCCGTGCCCCAGCCCGCCCTGCCCCGTGTGGAGATCGACTATGCCCCCGCCTTCGGTTACCAGTCCCTGGGGTGCAAGCTTCTTTCTCTCGAGGACGCGCAGGGGCATGTGGAGATTGTTCAGCGTTCGATCCGTCCCCGTGTTTGAGTTTGTTGTTGTCCGTTTCTCTTCTCAGTCTCCCTGTCTCGTTCTCGCTGGATTCCTGGACCTCAACCTCAATTCCGACGCGCGCTGAAGACCTCCGAGGACCGGGACGATGGACGGCACCCTTGGCCGAGACCAGGGACACGGTGAGGCTGACGGCTGCGGTGGGGCATCTGAGGGATCGGGGAGTCATGACCCTATTGAACTCGTTGTCTTTTCCAAGGCTCGACGCCCGTTTGGTTTCGGAAGATCCACCGTTTTTGTTCGTTGCTACTATTCCTTTCCCCACAGGTCTCTCTTTCCGCAACCCGAAGACGACGAGGACGACGACCGACCCGACCGACACTCAGGACCGAGGACCGGGGACCGAGGACCGAGGAGCATGCTGGCTAGGGCTTGGATGACCCCGTGATGCCGGCGTAAGTGTAACCTTGCTCTTTGTCTCTCCGTGTCGTGTCTTCTCCTGGCCGATGTTCTGCTTGTTCTGTGTTTTCGTCGCCTCGGTGCTCTGCTTGTCTCGTGTTTCCTCCTGTTCACTTCTCGGTTTTTCTTCTGCTTTCTCGGCCTTCGTCCTGGTCTCCTTCCTTCCTCTTCTCCTGGCTTGTTTCGGCTTTCTTCCCTCCTTCGTTTCGGTTCCTCGCCTTCGCTCTCCCTCTTCGTCCCGCTTTCTTTCCCTCTCTCTCATTCAAGCTCGGTCTCTGGTTCTCTGCTCTCTTTCTTTCCATGCTTCTCTCGTTCTGTTCTCTTTCTCCTTTCTCTCTGACTCGGCTCGCTTCGGACTTGCTCGCTTCTCGCTTCATCTCTGTTTCGTTCCTTTCTGCGATTCGGCTTTCTGTGTTGGCGTTTGGGGTGCGGTGGCGGCGGCTGGGGATCACTCCAGTATTGGGAGATGGCGCCCTCTCTCCTGTGCTGTTGCCTCCGGTCGTCACCTCCGTCGGAGCGGGGGAGGGAGTCGACGGGCCCCTTCCCTCGCACAAGTCCGAGAAGTGAGTACCATCCTCTGCGTTCTTCACCGTCAGGATAGCGCTGACCTCTTCGCGTACACATATTTATACATTCCAGACGATGTAGCCACTGTCCGGGACATTTCTGCCGTATCGTGACTTTACGTATCAGGTGCATATTCTCTGGGCGCGCTCAAGGTGTGCAAGGCGAGTAGAGAAGCATTGGGGGTTTAGGCCAGACCCCTTCTGCTTCTCTCCTCGCCATGCACATATTGTGTTCGTCTCTTTCTCTCGCATCATCAACGTTTAATTTCACGCTGATGTCTTTTTGGATATTCTTCCATACAAGGGCTTGCGCGGCGATCACGCTCGCTCCCGCCTGCTTCTCTCCCCAAACGTGTCTCTCATTATACAACCAGGTATGGAGTCATCTTACACGCTCCGTATCACACCTTACTCACCTACACATTCATAAGCCTATAGATTCTATCGTGTTCAATACATTGGGCCTGGATGGGGACTTGTTGGTATGGTGCAGCGGCGCGGCGGGAAGCAAGAGGAAGAGGCCTGGCCTTCTCTTCCTCATGTTTCTCTTCGCTTCGCTGCAGGTGAGTAACATATTCGTCATATTGTGTACCCGCTTTCCCTGGAAGTACACAGCCGCCTTGTTCATTCAGCCAGGCGGTTCATCGTACTGGGAACCGGAGTTTTCGCTGATCATAAGGGGACCCGCCGGCGACGGGCGCCTATCAAGGGTGCTGCGTACTTCGTCGAAATTTCGCGGAGAGGTCTTGTAGCTGTGGGCAGTTTATTAGAAATATATCCAGCTACAATGGGCCTTGTGAGATGCCGCGTCTTGTTACAGATTCATGCCCTGGAACACTGGCACTCCTCAGGCGTGCGAAGTTTGCTACGTTGGGCCGACGACGCCGTCCAGAGTCACGGGCATCTTCGGGTTTCAGGATGCAGATTTTAGAACGCGGTGCAGCGCGCACGGTGTTCTGTCAGAACGTGACTGACAGAGAACAACGCTGCACTGGACTCCGATAAGGTACAATGACCCGCCTGTCCCTACAGTGTCCAATTCCACAGCAGAAGCTCGCCCCGCAAGCCTCGCCACAGGTACATAGCAAAACGTTCTCGCGCGGTCTCCGAGCATATTTATCTCTCCGGACTGCAGCTCAATCGCGCCGGTTGGAAAGGGAGACGTCATGTAGTTCCAGCCCCACTGCACCTGATGACAATGCTGCGCGCCGTATCTTAATTGAACGCCGTGCCACTGGGCTGGGGCACCGGAAGCGGGATAGGCTATAGCTTCATCACAGATGCATCATCTCCGGAGGCATTGTGGCACCGTCGTGGCGTCCGGGGTCTTCGTGGTGCACCCACGAGTAGAGCGGACGTCTCTTCTGTTCGCAACAACACGGTCGCGCTGTCGACAGATGCTCCATACAGTGATAGATGCAGAAGACCATGCGTCTTCCTCTTCTCCTCGCGATTCGCAACGTAGTGTGATTTACGCCAAGCACAGCTCAGAACCAGAAGCGTACGAGCAACAACCATTCCCTGGTATTGATCAGACCTAAAACGCGATGGAATACACAGGTTTCCGACTACCCCTACACCCAGATAGTACAACCATACAAGCAAGTTAGACATACATAATTGCGGCGCACGCGCCCCTCAGTGCACCGCCGGCGGTCATACTATCGAGTCCTTGTCCTGGGTGGTATAAACATCCCGCGTAGCATCCGAGAAGGTGCGCTGGCCAGGCGAGCGGCCGTCCGTGTCTACTACACGTTCGAGGTCGATTTCGACGCCAATGGTGAGCGGTGGCCGGGTGCTCCTGCTGCCGCGAAAGCGGATGGTGGTGCCGGAGGCGTACGTCGTCCCGTTGTTCTCCGTGTTCTGCTTAGTGCTGACGATGAGCATAGAGAAGACGTAGGCCTGCGAAGAGACGGTCAGTATACGGTATTCACTGTAGGTGCGTGGTAAGGCATACTCCGACAGGGGGAAGCTGTAAGAGGACTGTTAGTTATGGATAAATTTATTGAGGGCTACGAAGTGACGTACCGGGTCAAGGAACACGAAAAAGTAGTTGGTTCCGACGCCGTTAGTGATGATGAGGATGAGTAGGTGTGCGCAATAGAAACCAGCTACAGAGCCCTTCAGCCGTGTACAAGCCCGCAGCCAGATCATTGAGACGTACCAGACTCGATGATAATCTCGAGCAACCTGCTCGTTGCAGAGCGCTCCCCGTTGTACTCTTTGCTGACCTTGGACTGGATGCTATAGATCTTATAGCAGATCATGCCTGACGCAGGCTAAGTCAGCCGAAGGTGGCACTCGAGCTGTGTCCGAGAAGGCACTTACTAGAGCATAGGATGTTGAGAACGAATGTGATGATAAAGAAGTAACGAATGCGGACGGAGACGGCGGCGAGAATGGGAATTGTCCCGGGTCCGGTTTGCGCCAGAGTCCAGACGGCCCAGATGCCCACGGCTGTTCCGACGAAACGGCCCCTCAGTCTGCATGTTCGCGCCCCCGGGCAGTAAAGTACGCACCGGTGCCCCCCATCAACAGCCCAAGCGGTACAAGAACGACGTAGTAGTTCATGTTCCACACAATGAATGCCCGGTACACCTGCACACAATGAATATCTATCGTAATCATACGCAAGGCAACTTCAGCGACTTACAATGATGGCGTCGGAGATGATAGCCACAACGATGTTCATGGCGTTCTTCAACAAGGACAACGTCGAGGAGGGGTCTGCGTAGACGGCAGCGGGGTTCGGCCGCTCTGTGCCGGTGACTGCATACCCCTGGTATGTCCGGACAATGGCCACCACGAAATCCTACGGCGAGTTGAGGACGGGACAGAATCAGAGTCAGATATCGCAGTACTCACGAGCACAGTAGCTGCGAAGATGAAAAAGCAGGCCGCGGGAAGCCAGGGCGACAAGCCATTACGAAGCTTCTTCACCAGGATCGCCACGCAGTGCGGCAGGTAGACGAAGTACGCTCCTATAGCATGCAACACAATGAGCAAGGGTCCAATGCACAGTGAGGATGGTGCGTACCGGTGGCGAGCAACTGCAGCCACAAGCCTATGAGGTGGGCATTGATCTGGCTGATGTCTCCCTGGATGGCCATGTCCGCGGTTGTCTGAGAGGATCCCGAACACGACGACGGCGGGGCGCGTCGAGGTTATATCGGCATTGCATAGCAGAAGAGAAGTGGACATTGCGTCTGTGATGCCGGTCGTGAGAGTAACGTCGCCGAAGATGTCTACTGTAAGACGCTGACATTCAATGGCAGATTCTAGTGGAAACGATCCCGTACATCAGATAGAACGAGCAGCGTGAGTGCGGAGGCATTGCAGAAGCGGGAACGACTTGCCTCATGGGACACGCTCCCAGGCCCGGCTTAGACCGGCTCCCGGGGCTACTTAGCAAGCTGTGCAGAGGTCACCTTTGTGGCGATATGCATTGCACGCCCAGACCACATGGGTGGAGCACAGCAACAGGTGATGAACGTTTCACTGCGCCGCGCGAGCGCCGGGTCGGACATCTGTCTAGTGCGAGCCAGATGGGCGCGAGATCTCGAATGTCTTGTTGGCGCCTCGTATCTAGGTTCACCGGACGTACGTACCCGCCCGAAAGATGCGGCGACCTTTGACCTGGGTCCTGCGAGTTACAATTGGTTCATCAGAACCCTGAAAGATGGCGGGAGGGATGCGCGGGGAGTGCGCGCGGGCAGAGGACTTCGATTGATGAGCATGGGTGAACGCTGGATACGATACGCTAGGATGATCCGGGGAATGGTCAAGAGGAGGAGCACGGGTTGGCAGCTGCTTCGGCAATTACGACACTTACCGTATCCGGCATAGTCAATGCGGACCCCGGCTGTTCCTGACTGGTTTCTCGACAAGTGAGCAACGGCGCCCGAGTCCGATATACTGCAGAGATAGCGCCACCTCGGGCCTGCTCAGCGGTCCAACATACAAACTATAATGAAAAACAGTTCAGACAGATTACTGCTACCACTTTCGGCATGGTGCACGGATGTCCGGACATCGTCGCAAACTGTAGGAATTTATCACCGTGAGCATGTTTTTCTAATAACGGCCGATGTACTGCCCGACCAGGCGTTACATACCCGCAAGCGAAAGAAACCAGGATCACAAGGAGGTCATCAGAATGGGCATCTCTGGCTTCGTTGTCTTTGATCCTTTGACTGACGGCGACGCGATCCCACTCATCTTCCAAACGATCTCCTTCTCAGAGGGGTAAAGCTCGAATGCGAGCAGCAGGTGTGCGAGGACAACGCCTAGGATGAAATTAGCTTCGGGACCAGAAGGCGGGACACACCATCGCCGACACTCACGTATCTCGGCGAGCGCGAAGTTGTACCCGCTGCAAAACAAACATGACTTAGGTCTTCCCTGAGTAAGGCACGCGGAAAACGCTCACATGCAAGATCGCGGCCCAGCAACGAATGTCATCCTAGAGAAGAGTTAGGATGAGGCATCTCCGTCGGTGGTAAGAATAGAAAACGTACGTGTGCGCAAAGACGCTCGGGATGTGTGCCTCGACGACGCTCTCCGGCAGCGGTCCCAGCCAGCGCTCTGGCCTCCATTGGGACGCATCCGCGCCCCAGATGGCAGGGTCACGGTTCACGCCGAAGATGTTGAGCCACACAGTCGTACCTGCAGGGACGACAAGCTCATGCAGCGGTTGGCCATCTGTGCCTTGGACAGGACTGCTTAGCGGGAGGACCGTGTCCTGCTCTGCGCTGCGGATTGTACCGAAAATATGGCATCAGCGTAACGAAGGTAATGTACGGCACCGAGAACGTACACCCGGCTGGCCATATAGAATCCCGGGTACCTGAAGTATCCCTGCGCGTTAGAAGACTCTCTTCTCAGGATCGGACCATCTACTTACATTCTGACGGTTTCGCGGATGACAGCACCCATGTACGGCAGCCCGGCGTAAGCCTCAAAGTCGAGGTCTCGCAAAGCCCGTCCCACCCCGGCAGTTGCTTCGGTAAGTTCCTGTCTGAGCCGTGCCTGTACCGCGGGGTGGAGAGCGAGCTGGTGTATGAGCCTGACAAGGGTTGAGGAGGTGGTATCCGTCGCTTGCAAAAGCAACAATCTACAAATCGGAATGAGAGATCAACACATTTACTCGAGAGACATGACCACATACGACATCTGTCCAACGAGGTCCTCTTCGGAGGACGATGAAACGTCTCCGGGGGACTTCGCGTTATGTTGCACTGGCGATGGTTTAGCCCTACTTGGTCCCATGGAGAGATGAGAACGTACTGAGGATACTGATGACATCTCTACCCTCGCCCAGATCCTGCACGGCTGCCTTGTCGGCCTTCCGATGAATTTCTTTCTTCTGTTGCAGAATCTGCCGCGCGGTGGAATTCACACTATCCGAGATGGAACGCATGCGCTGCAGCGGGGCGTATGGTATCACCTCCGCCCCGTATCTCAACCACTTGCGGGGAAAGAAGCGCTTGAGAAAAGGGAGCAGCGGGCGCCATGTGTGCAACTGAACCACGGTCGGGCTGCAAATCAGGATCAGCTCGTGCGGAGAAGTGATGGAAACCAGAACGCCTACCCGAACTCCTTTAGGGCGCGGCTGTAATCCGTCCCGTGCTTCTCAAGAGGTCCAAAGGAATAGCCTAGGGCTGCACGGCCCACGCATTCGAGCGAAAAGCGGCTCAAGAATTCGGCGATCTCGACCTCGCTTCGCGGAGCAGCCACTTGGCGTCGCAGAACGTCCACGAGCTGCGGGAGAAGATGAGCTAGAGCCTCGGGCGGCCATGCACGGAGATCTGACCTCTTGCCCCACGCGGTTGAACGTGGGGATCATGTCGCGAATGTATCTGACCGAAAATACCGGACTCAATTGCTTGCGTTGCTCGGAGTGTGCGCGACCTATGGACCGGTGACTGGTATCAACACGGGTAGCGTTATTTGTCTGTCCACTGTACCTACCCGTGACCGCAGTCAGGCCAGGCCCGAACACGGTGTTACCAGTGCTGGAGAGGGTAAGAGCATTCAGTAGCTGCGCCAAAGCACACCGGCGTTGACTGACTGAATTCGCCATGCGGGCAGATCGAAAGCATCGCGATATTTCCCGAATATCGTAGCAAGAGCTAAAGGGTCTGATATGGCTAACTCGACCTCCTGTTAATGGACGTTAGTGAATCCGAAATCTACTCCAATGCTAGTACACTCCTTACACCCAGGAAGCCAGGAAGCCGAATGGCACCGCGGTATGACGTGAGGGTCTGCTCCCGAAACGGGATGGAAAAGGGGCCGTGCAACTTCTTTGCTACACCTGAGAGGAGCAGGTGAGATTCTTCATGTGAACTCCGTAAAAATGAAATACTAACCGGACCATATTGATAGCGAGGCAGGACCTGGGACGTTGCGGAGTTGGAGCTGCTTTACTCGCCTCCACAGCTGAGGCCATAAGATCACCAAGACTACCGCTGAAACGCAGAAAGAGACTGCAAAGAACATTATGATGTTCTGGTCGAGATGCGGTAGAGGACGAGAATGCTGCTTCCGGCCGTCCAAGTTAGTTGATGGTGTGGAAGCAGCGGCGAGAATCCGCTCAGATCAGGTTTTGTCGCGGGCATTGGTTCAATCCCCGCACTGCTCTTGACAGATCAGCCATCGCAGAAGCCTGCATTGCATCATACGTGGAAACCTCGGCCCAACGGCCTAAGGCACATAGGCGTCGGACGCGCGGCAAGATATCGAACACGAACGCCCGCCGCCTGTGCGATGTCCGCGCGGCGCATCGTCGTAGAAGAATGATGCATTTCAGGAAGCTCTCATGCAGCATTTGTCTTGATAGCTAAAACATAAGAAATGATGTCGGCGAGCTGCGCTAGGCTGCGCTCGTACCCCATGACGATGTTCTCACCTTTGTTGCGTGCTGAGCGCTGAGCTTCTGATGACTGGGCGCTTCTTGTGATAAAACTTGATAGTTCAACTGGGCTTTCTCAAGCGTTATAGCAGCCGCACGGGGTTACGGAAGCGTCGGAAAGAGTGAGATGGCTCTGGTCGAATTGTAACTGGAGTTCATGGCCGCGATGCAAAGAGAGAGAACGTACGGAGGCGCGAGCGGGCTTCCGAACTTGCACGAATACCGGCATCTCCCGGTGCAGGGCCGCATTTGGCAGGTACGCATACTTACGTGGCGGTGAAATCCTGCGACCTGTCTTTCGTCTCAGCTCTACCTTCCTGTCGCACGGAGCGGCAGACGGTGTCCGAATGGCCAATTCACCAAAGCCGTACACAGAAAGAGGTGAGCGGTGGTGGATTGGGCGCTTTGATCTCTCGATAAGCCTGCATCACGCGGTTTCGCAGCGAGCCTTCGAAATGATCCCAAGTTCGGGTCGGAGCGGCAGGCCCCCAGATGCAGGAAGATTATCCCTGATTACGACCGCCCTTCGCTGCTGAAGATCCGTAAGAGCTGCTAAAGTGGGCTCTACCAAGTACTGACCTCGTTTCACTCTGCCTTGCACAGTACGCGTCTTAGTTGAACACAATGTCTGAGAAGAGCGTCGAAAACCACTACCTGTCTCTCTTACTGCCGGCTTTCCGCGAGCATGCTGACAAGCCGGTTTTTCGCCCCTACATTGGGAAAGTGGATGCATGGGACACCGTCACGTACCGCGGCCTAGAGCAGCGGCTCGTTGTGGCGCAGGCCCACTGGAAAAAGGCGCTCGCTACCCTGCAGCTCAAGACACTCGATATCGTGGGGTTCTGGTCAGTCTATCCGTACCCGAGAAAAATCATCGTCATACTGAGGCGTTCAGGCTCACTGGCCGTAAGGTCACGGACCTAGTCAACACCATCGCCATCTCCTCGCTGGGATACACGCCCCAGTTCTTCAGCGGCTACTTCAGTGGCTTCTCCGTTGTCATCGAGCTCCTCGTGAAGAGTGGCGGCAAGGCGATCATCATCGACAAGTCCTTCCAACCTCAGGTCTCCGAGTACGGCACTGTTCCCGTTCCAAGCTTTGACGCCCTCGAGGACGCAGAGCTGCTCGCCGCCATTTCGGCCGCCGAGGGACCCAATGCCTTGCAATTTGCCGTGGATTCGGAGGCGGCTATCGGACTCGATGACTACGCAGCGCTCTTCCACTCCTCAGGTACGACCGGAGGCATGCCAAAGATCATTCCAAACACCTACAAGATGATCCGCGCGGTCATCCTGTACAAACACTCGGGCGCGCAGGACCCAGACAAGGAGTTCCTTGCGAACGGTGGTGGCCAGACTGTCGCGAACACGCTAGGCAGCCTCGCCCACATCGCCTCCTTCCACAGTACGTACTTTCCTTTGCTGATACGTTCCCTACTCACGAAAACTCAACTCGCTACAGCGTTCCTCGGGGCAATCCACACCGGCGCGTGCCTGGCCCAGTCATCGTCCATGGCTGTATCCCCTCAGGAGTTCCTCGGTCTCGTGCAGGTCTGCGGCCTTACGCGTCTCATCCTGTACGCGACGTTCCTGTCCGAAATCATTCGTGCGGCCAAGAAGGACGAGACCATCCGCGATGGGCTCAAGGGCCTGCGCCAGATCTTCCACACCGGCGTCGCGCTCAACAAGGAGGACGAGGCGTGGGCGTACGAGAACGGCCTCCGGATGATCGTGCGCCCATTCCTCAACTCACCTGTTTTATTTTCTAATGTTTCTGTAGACCTCCTACTCGACGACCGAGACCGGTGAGACCGAATGGTCGTATACCATTGCCCGAGTACTAACGTTTATACAGCCCCGCTCCTGCGCTCCCGCGTTGGCCTCGACCCCTCTGCGCGCCTGCTGCGTCCCGTGCGTGGCGCGAACCCGGCCTTCCTCCCCTACAAAGACAAGGACAGTGGGTCCACCGATGCCGACCTGTACGAGGTCGTCGTCCCAGCCGACGCCGATGACTGCCCGCCACCCTCGCTCGTCGCTGCAGACGGCTTCTACCACTCGAACGACATCTTCGAGAAAGTCGAGGACGGATGGGTCTACCGCGGCCGCGCAGGTGACTGGATCAAGGTCCTCGGGGGGTTCGTCGACACCAAGTGCGTCTCCTCCCCTAGTGCTCCGCGGCAGAGGCTGTGAATGCTGACGGTCCATATAGGAGCATCGAGGACAACGTGCGCAAGACCTGCGAAGGGCTCGTGCACGACACCGTCGTCATTGGCAGCGGCCGCACTGCGCCCGTGCTCGTCGTCGAGAGCACCGAGAGCGCGCTCGACGTCCCCGCGCAGGCCGTCCTCGTGCACACCATCATCGAGCGCACGGCCGAGTTCAACAAGCGCGCGTTCGCGCACGAGCGCATCGAGGACCCCAAGCGCATTCTGGTCGTGGATCGCGGGACGCTCCCGCGCACCAAGGTACGTCGCTATTGCACCCGTGCTCTCCGCGCATGTCCGACGCAGTGCTGATGCGGGATTGCAGGAAAAGGGCAATGTCCGGTATGTACTTCCAGGCACCCGGAGCTCCGTGATGAAGGTTACTGACCTCGGTGGTATTCCTACAGCCGCGGTGCTACGGAGGAGCTCCTGGCAACGGAACTCGATGCCGCTCTCGCGGATGCTTGAGCGTGCAAGTTGTGATGGTTTGGGGTTATGGAAATATTTGATATCTGTATCTGACGCGTGCTGTAAAGTAAATACCAAGGAGCGTATTGTCATTACAATGGAAAACACAATATAGACCCAACAAGTACCCGAAACACATACAACAGTCACAACAGTGCGCGCGCGCGAGTATACCGCCGCACCAGACACCCTACAATACGTACTCGAACCAGATACTATCATTCCCCGCCCCAACGATCTCATGCTTCCCGTCCCCAGCCGCGAGACGCTCGCGCGCCTTGCGCGCGTTCTCCCTCGACAGCCACGCGACATTCAGCGCCGCGCAGCCCATGATCCCGATCTGGAACACGAGCAGCGTGATCGTCGCGGACGTGTAGCGCGGCGCGGGCGAGATCGAGCCCAGCAGCCACGTCGAGAGGATCGAGCCCATGTTCGTCATCACCGGCAGCAGCGCGAGCGCGGTCGCGCGCCGGATGAGCGGCGCACTGTTGTTCGCCATCCACGTCCCGAGCGGAGGCCCGATGCAGTACGTGCCCGGGACGAGAAGGAAGAGCGAGCCGTATCGCACATGGTTTACGAACGACGCTGCAGGACGTAGTGAGCATCAGGGGAGGAAGGGGAGCAGCGGCAGTGACGTACCGTAGAAGACGGAGAAGCCGGCGAGGGCGATTGTTGCGAAGAAGATGATCGTTAGACCGCGCCGGCCATAGCGGTCGGAGAAGAATGCGGTGGCGACGGACACTGGCATTTGTCGCCATGAGCACGCGCAGTATGCAAATCAAGAGAGGTGACGACATACGGACTGCGCTCACGGCGAAGGGCGGCACGCTCATGAGCTGCGCGTGCGTCCCTGCGTATCCCAGGCTTGCTACGATGCTCGGCAGGAAGCTGAAAGCAGTCGTTAGGAACGTCCAAAGCGGTTATGTCACCCACACTCACTATGCGAGGCCCGAAAGCGTCGAACCTGTGACGCAGGAGTCAGCACGAAAGAGTGCATGCTAGTTCGTCCGCGACTCACCATTCATGAAGCCCGCGAGCATGATCAAGAGGACGTGAGGCTGGAAGAACGTGCGGAGGAACTCCGTCTTCGTGTATGTCTCGTCCTTCTCGTCTCCGCTAATGATGCCGTCTTCGCGGAGCGTCTGCAGTATGATTTGCTTCTCCTCAGCCGTGAAGCGCGGCGAGGAGGTCGGGGTGTTGGGGAGTAGGAAGTACGCCGACAGGCCGAAGAGAATGGTGAACAGCCCCTCCTGTATCTCTGAGTGAGCCGGAAATCCCTGTGATGTGTGTGGACACGGACGTACAAGAATGAAGAGCCATGCCCAGCCGGGGCGGCTGCCTACGCCATTCATCTTCAGGATGGCCGCTGCCAGAAGACCTGAGAACGCCGAGGCGATCGACGTGGCTGAGAACATGATCGCAATGCTGTACGCTCGCGGTTTAGACCTATCTACATTGAGAGAAGCAGAAAGATAACGTACCGGAGTTGGAGCTGTCTCCTGGGGTAGAATGAAGACAGGTAAAGGGAAATAGCGGGCAGCAAACCACCTGTTATGCCGGACGTCACTACAAGCTCCAAACAGCGAACTCGTGAGCTTACCTTCGAAGAGACCCAGGAAGAGCCTGGCCACAACGAGCCCAGCATAGTTGTGGACGACACCTATGAAACGATGTGACGATCAACACGGCAGCTAGACCAAACTGGTTCTCGGCTCACCTTGCAGGGTACAGGTAAGGCCCCAGAGGATGACCATTGTCGGAACCATCAGGCGCGGTCCTACGGCCTGGAAATGGTGTCAGCTTAGTTTAACGGGAAGAATTCTGGTGGTTTCTGACCTTCAACACGAGGTTCGACGGAATGTCGATCAGCGTGTACGTTCTGCAAGTGCGTCGGGTAAAAGCGTTAGAACCTATGCTAGGCGAGCTGCGGTAGGGACGTGTACGCACACAAGGGTGGCCGTCAGAGCTACAGTGTACTGGATATAAATTCAGTATTCTCACTACTTTACGAGTCGAAACCAAATGCGCTCACCTGGTAGTCAGACATGTGCAGCTCCTTTTGGAGACCAGCGATGCGGGCGTTCCCAATGTTCGAACGATCCTACAATGACAGGAAGATTAGCTTCGATCGCAGCCACCATGGAGGAAGACCAACCAGGGAAGACAGGAAGTAGATCATCGTGACCACGGGAAGCACGACCCAGTCCATCTTGCGCCATACTGCAGCGACGCGGGCGCGGTCATAGTGCGACGCCTCCGTGTCGGTGTACTCGATGGATCCCTTGGTCTCGAGCATGTCCTCACCCTTAGCAGGATCACTTGAGGCGGACATCTTGCTTGAACTTCGACGGTGGATGGTGGCGGGCTGCAGGATAAAGGATCAAGTGGCGCCGGTGTGCCTAGGTATATACACTCTGGCCGAGACGGGGCGGGAGGGTGCCTTGCGCTTAATCCCCATGATGAGCAGATGATGGAGCCGTGCGGTATCTGCCTGACACGCCGCGGTCGCAAATGGCATGGGCTAACCTTGATACGAGGTCCGAAGATCCCGCGAATGTCTAGATGAGATGATGGCGTTCTCCGACGTCCGACGCCTCAGGTATTGATGAACGTATGAATGGACTGGGGAGGAGACGTATCCTCGATGCGCCATTCACTTGTCGTGGTGCTATCCAACAAACCTTCGAAATCGTTCGGGCCAGGCACGAAGTCGGAAAGTTGGAGCGCGCTAGGAACGAGTAGTGAAACTGCCTAACGGAGACAAGGAGAGACAAGGGTGTTAGGGGTATCCGAGTGCGAGGATCGGACGGGTGGAGATGGGCGCGGGCACCTGCGGACACTCACGCGGACGGAGACCGGAAGTTCATCAGCTTCGAATTCGGGCCGCCGAACTAAATCCACATGCCCTGGGGCAGGCGCTGTTTTGTATTGTATTTTGTCTGCTGAATCCGTTATGGGTGCGTTACGTGGTCCCGCCGCTGGCCAGGAGATGGGCTATGCGTGTTCCTGTTGGGGGTGGTGGAATGAGGAAGCCTGGCGACGAGCTCGGAGTCCAAGGAGTTGGCGGGGTCCATAGGGCGCCGTAAGTAATCACTGCGTACACCCCAGTCTGAGCAAGGAGTATGCCGATATCTGCGGGACATGATCGCGAGGGCCGTACGACAGGTTCGACGGTGTAGCAACAGCTCGTGGATGCTGGCTGAACTGACTGACCTGTTCTCGCTGAGAGACTTGCGTCCTTGCGCAGTGAGGAGCCTGCGCCGCCGTCTCGTATTCTCTAGGTTCGTAGTACGAAGTAAGGTAGCTGTTACTAGCAGAGGTGGACTGCGCGCCTACCTCGCATATCCGCGACAGGCCCGTCGAGGCACGACGGCGCTCGATCTCGTTACCCCTCGCTTCGTTGTGTCGAATGACTCGCTCGACATTCTGCGACACTCTACCGCGGTCTCGCCTGGGGCGATCCGCGCTGCATACATATATAAGGCCCAAAGTACTGTAACTTGTCTCGCTGCTCAGGCTGGCTTCTCTCCTGGACTACGCTCATGCTTGGGATGTGACTCGTCGCTCGACTCTCTGTGTTCCCCGGCTCTTACTATGCCTGAACCACTTGTTGTCCTCCGAATTTGCTCTAGCTTGGGTCTCTGTGCTACTAGCTCTACGCTCTCTGCACGCTAGTTTCGGCATGTCTGTGTTGCATCCAGCGCGGCCCTGGTCCTCGACGTCCGCCTTGAATATCGGCATATTAGTATTGTTTTAGCTCGTCCAGATTGTAGCGGCTGAATGTCCACACCGCTGCTATCTTATATACTAGTAGAGCACTTCAGCTTGTTACGATAGGCTCAATGTTATATGGCTATGACTAAACGAAGCTGATACTGAACATAAGTGTGATTACTAAGGCGTACCAGGCCTAGTACTCGAGATCTAGAGCGTCTTTCGAGTGGCGTCGGATGATTGGTGTCGCATTATGTCGAAAGGACCTTGCGACACGATGTATTCTGGACTGCAGCGAGTTTGTGAAGTGTAGTCTCGTTGAGGGCCTTGCTGCATCTCACAGACGAGGCTCATATGGCGCTCGGGGAGTATCCCCCTGATATCTAGTCACAACCTCGCTAGATTGAATAGCGCTGCCATCAGCGGCAAGTTTCTACACCATATCACTATACGTAGCTTGGGGTTTGCTGGAAAAGCGCTGTACGCAGTGAATAAGGTTTTTTTTATCACTAACAATTGTTCCAGCTGTTGTCAATTAGATATAGGCCCTCGTCAAAAACCTACAGATATCTTTTTGCGCCCAGAAGTGGCGGCATCTCCCCGCGAGTACTAGCGGGTAGCAGGTAACGAGCACCGCCAGGAGGGACGTTCGCCGGATCCGTTTTGAAGTTAGAAGCCCGGCGAGTATTTCTATGACGAGTCTAAAATCTGCCTGTAAATAATAACTTCATCAAAGTCCAGTTAGCAAGCATCAGCCCGGCCCCTAGTTTGTAAGTGCGAGTTAACAACGGGTTAGAATTGTTAGACGGTTTTGTGGGCGCCTCAACAGAGCATCGTGGCGCCCGGCAACGCCCGCCACTTAGCGCCCTGCTCCGTACCAAGATTGCGCCTCACGCTGCGCCTCGACTGCGCCTCAATGTTCACTTTATTCATGCCACCGTTTGCCGGGCGTTCTCGTCGAATCACTCTCTGCTCTTGCAAGTCTGCGCAACGGGATAATCACACCCATCGGTACTAGCATATGTCAGAAGCAGGCTCAAAGAGGACGGCTCCGAATGCAGCAGGTGCGGTGAACATCATCATCAGGCCATCCGTGCGGTGCATCAGCGGGGTTTTACAACGGGGCCTTCTACGATGGAGAAGATTCGGCCTGCGATACAAGCCCGTAGGGACATCACTGCACACCAGCAACAACAACATGGTAGAGCGGGATGTCAGATCTCCTCCCAAATCTATCGCCTGAATCTGCCCTTGGCACGAGGTAACCGGCCCTTCCAGGGAATATACGTGCACGGTGTGAGCCTTTTCCCGTCGTATGTGGACACGCGTACTCCGGTTGGCGGTGTCCACTGAGGCCGCGTCGCTGGAATTCTTGGGCGGCCTCCGGCACCGCTCTCGGACGTGTCACGTCAGTAGCCTGCACTCTCACCGCGGTCATCGTTTGAGGTTTGCGGGAAGCAAGCTAGTACCGCCTTCTCGCCCTATAAATCCCTCGCTCCCGCCTCAGGCCTCGGTCACGACGATTACTCTATTACTTAGCCTTTCAGCGCACCATGGCCGTAGCACGCGGATACTTCGAGCTTACTCGACTCCACAAGCCATTCATGGGCAACACCCTGATGTTCTGGCCCTGCGGTACGCCTTTAACATATCACTATGCTCGATCCGACCGTCGCTCACCGCCGGCATCCTCGTTCCAGCGTGGGGCCTGACGATGGCGGCACGCGCTGTCGCGCTCCCCTTCCCCATCTTTGCGGCGAAACTAGCCGTTTTTGCGCTCGGCTCTTTCCTGCTGCACAGTGCTGCTTGTGTTCTCAATGACATCTGCGACATCGAGTTTGATCGGCAAGTAGGTGAGCAACGCAACATTGAACTTCTCGACATGACCTCCGCTAAGTCCGACGATTGCTCTTTGTTTCTGTGTAGAGCGCACTCGCGACAGACCACTACCAGCCGGCGTTGTGTCTGTCCGTGGTGCTACGATTCTATGTGTCTCACTGCTCGTCCCGGTTTTCGGTCTCCTTTCCTATGGTGACAGCCTAAGGTACGCGATATTCCCCGGATGGTAGTACGAGCGTCGGCTAATCCAACGCTGCAGCCTCCTACTCGGCCTCATAGGCATCTTCCCCTTGCATGCGTTGTACCCGCTGATGAAGCGCTGGACGTGGTGGCCCCAGGCCTGGCTCGGTACATCCTCCTGCCGCGAGCCTTTCTCGAGATCACGCCCTGATGCCATTCTCCCCAGGGCTCGCCTTCAACTGGGGCATCCCACTCGCCTGGGTCTCGGTAACGGGCCACATCCCGCCCCTCCCGATTTGGGTGCTCTTCTTTGGCGGCGTCTGGTACGTTCCGCGTCTCCCTCCCATCACATCGTTCGAGTATCTCCATTAACACTTGCGCGACGCCCTCTAGTTGGACGATCGTCTACGACACCATCTACGCGTGCCAAGACCGCGAAGACGACCGCAAGGTAGGCGTGAAGAGCACCGCGCTACTCTTCGGCGACCGCGTGCGCGAGATCCTCTCGCTCATGGTCGGTGCGCTCCTCGTGAGCCTCGTATACGCGGGCTGGGCGACGCGCCAGGGCGCGGGCTACGCGCTGCTCTCGTGTGGCGGCACGCTCGCGCACTCCGTGTGGCAGCTCGCGACGTGGAACGAGGCGGACCTCAAGGACCACCGCGCGAAGTTCGAGGTGCGTTCTCTTCCTTTCGCTCGTCTGTAGCGTTGGGGAACGGGGCTAACGACGTGGTGCTTCAGTCGAATGGGCTTGTGGGATGCGTTATCTGGCTCGGCATCCTTTTCGACTACCTTAGCGTCTTGTAGACCGGGCCTCGGGCCGAGATAAGTACATACGCAAAACGCGCTCCGATATATCTCCCGTCTATAGTACTAGCGTCATTACTTCATCTTAATAATGGCTTACTCGCTTATTACGCGCCTCATAGAACATGCGGGAGATGCCCCTCGCTGGCTCGTCCGGGTGGCCGCCCTTCCCTTTCAACAAGTCCCGAGCTGCACGTACGCGCTGGCCCCTGGCAGACCTGACATTGCACATTGCAACATAGCACGGCATGTCCAATTGCAATTGTTCTCACTCATGACCAGTACCCACCCCGCCCCCCGCCCGGGAACCCCGGCTCGCTCCAACCCTATCCATCACGCTTCGGCGTCCTAGCTTCCCGCCTTCTCGCCTTCCCGCCCCGGGGCGAAGGCACCTCGACTCGTCTGAGCCCCTACTGGCTACTGGCCCCGTACCTATTGCCGAGAGAACATCGGACCTTCTGATCAGGCGCTCGCCGCGCGCGCGGAGTTTAGCTCCATCCACGGATGACGGACCACAGCACCCTCCCTTCTTCTCCCGCGTGGAAGCCGCGCAGTAGCTCGCTCATCGCCATTGCAATTGGCAAGCACTGCCAGCCTCAGGCTACGCAGGGCCGGTGAGATCTTTTCGAAGTCTGCCTGCGCGCCGGAGGCTCTTGGGTTTCCGCCTGTGCGCGTTCTCTCGGGCGGCGGGGTCCTCGCCGTGGCCGGCGCTGCGTCTCGTCTCTTTATCAGTCGTTCGGGACTTGTCCTCTCGCGCACTCCGAGTCTGAGCCGTCGTCTGTCTCATACTCGTACGTAGGCGATATGATTGGCCTGCTGCTCCTCGCGCTAGCCGTATGCGGCCTGGCTATTGTCGTGCCGGAGGTGAGAAAGCGCCTAAGGCAGCACAGAGCCCTCAGCACGATTCCGGGCCCGCCGTGCCCATCATTTTGGACAGGTACGTGATTTCACCGGTGGATGAGGGGTTTTTGCTCAGGGTCGTTGCTGACGTATCGCGTTTCTGATACAGGCGTGTCTACGCAGCTGCACAACCCGTATGCGGTTGAGTATCGTGAGCAAGTGCTCACTGAGTACGGGCGTGTAGTTAAGCTGCCAGCGTTCGTCGGAGTATGTTATGTATCTCATTCAAGTTCCAATTGCTTGTCTAACTCTAATGATGCCAGGATATCCACCTGGCAATTTCAGACTCACTAGCGTTGTCGACTTTGTACAACAAATACCGTGACGCGTTCGACTTGCCTAAATGGCATTCCGAGTAAGTTGTTGCTTAGTTGTTGCTTTACCACAAGTCAGTCAATGAGACTGATCATTGTCTTACAGAACTTCAAACACGGTATTCGGACCAGGTTTGACTGCTGCGCGAGGTGAATACTCACTTTCTCAGCTGTGCCGATGCGTTCTCATGCGTTGCGACTACAGGACAACAGCATTCTAAGCAACGCAAACATCTCAGCCCTGTATTCTCTGTGCGCTATCTCAGAGACATGGTAACAATGTTCAACCAGGTCGCGCAGGACGTAAGTAATCCTACATGTCACCAATAAACCAGTTGATGCTGATACTTTTGCTAGCTCGTAGACACGTTGCACGGTCAGGTTTCGCAAGAAGGCACTGAGGTCGAGATGTCCGAATACCTCAGCCGCTTTTCACTGGAAGCCGTCGGGCGTACCGCACTCGGCTACTCCTTCGGCCCACTCGACGTGCACGGCACGGACTACAGTCTCGCACTTAAGGAGTTTGGGTGGGCACCCTTACCATCACTTTTCGCGTCCCTTTCACTTTCTGACCTCGTGGTTCACAGCCCGACTCTAGTGAAGTTGCACCTCTGGCGCCCCATCCTCCCCTGGCTCAAATGGATATTCCCACTGGACGTGCTGCGCGCCGCCGCGTCGGTATTCCCGTGGAAAGTGGTGCGTCACATGCAGGCGATCTCGGACAACGTGTACCAGACGTCGCGCGAGGTGCTGCGCAAGAAGGGCGAGACGATCAAGCTGGGCGATGCCGCGGTACGACAGGAGATCGGGGAGGGCAAAGACCTCATAAGTATACTGTGTAGGTGGTTGGTGGTGCCTTCCATTCATGCAATCCTGACGCTGTGGCAGTGCGACAGAACATCTTGGGGTTGGAGGGCGAACGGCTCTCGGAGGATGACATTCTCGGGCAGATGTCGTACGTTTTGTCATCAACGCAGACATGCAAACTTGAACACTGATTACTGTGCTTTTCAGCCTGTTGTTGCTCGCAGCAACGGATACCACCTCTGCTTCGATCACGCGCGTTGTTCAGCTACTCGCTGAGAACCCCAAGGTGCAGGAAACACTACGGCATGAGATCCTCGACGCTACCACACATGTGGGGCGAACTCTATTCGATCTGGACTACGACGCGTTCGCAAAGCTGCCATATCTTGAGGCTGTCGTTCGCGAGTCTCTTCGCATGTGCGTATGCTTCCGCGCCTCTCCTACAAAGTGCTCACCTTCAGTGCAGGTACCCCGTATTCTACATGGCAAACCGCGTGTACGTGAATCTTGTACCTCTGCAGCCTCATAGCCAACCACTAATGTATATACACTAGGTCCGACGAAGACGCCGTCCTCCCGCTCTCAGAACCTATCACCGGCACAGACGGCAAACCCATCCACGAGCTCTTCATTCCCGCGGGCACGACCATCTGGCTCAACATGCTTGGCTCGAACCGCGACCCCGCCATCTGGGGCCCCGACGCGCACGAGTGGAAGCCCGAGCGCTGGCTCGCGCCGCTCCCCGCAAGCGTTGTGGACGCGCGCACCCCAAGTGTGTTTGCGAACATGTGCGTGTTTATTCTTGTGTTCCTGTGAACGATGTAGAAGCTGACGAGATCGCGTGTGACCGCGCCGGGTGTGCAGGTCCACGTTCGCGGCGGGCCCACGGTCATGCATGTCAGTCATTATCCCATGCCTTATTTTGACTTTCTCACAGCAGCTAACTTTGTGCATCCAGCGGTTACAACTACGCCCTCGCGGAAATGCGTACGTTTCTCCTTTACTTTGTACACTAGAGGATCGAACACTCATACTTCCTACCGGCAGGCATCGCCGTCGCGCACCTCGTACTCGCGTTTAAGTTTACGCCGTCGGACAAGGAGATCGTGTGGAAGCTGGGCGGGATTGTCTCGCCCTCAGTGCGGGGCTCTGATTCAATGAAGCCTGAGTTCCCGGTGGTCATGGCTCGTGTCTGAATGGGTAACGGCTGCGTGTTTCGCACTATCTCGACTCTTGTACGTTAGCATAATGGCACCCGGGCCGTGTCGCCTGTTTCTTTTTACTATCACCTTACTATCACCTTTGGTTCTACATGAATGCCACCAGCAAGTAGTGATCGGGGTTGTGGGGTGGTGCATCTGTTCGCGGCACTGTTTAATCTTATCTGTATCGTCCGAGTCAGGTATCGTCCTGCCAAGACGGCCGATCCCCATATTCTCCGAAGTGGCCAATAGGCGGTCGTTATAGGTAGGCACCATATCCACGTGGGTCCATGAAGGCCTCGGCCCTTAGGGTACACACATTTTCAAACATGCACACTCAAGTACTCATCGACCATCTCTCCCTCCAATCTCCTTCTCTCTATAATGACGCCCTTCAACCCGGTTTGTGTCAAACGCAGGTATGCACAAGACAAAACGAAGCGCTGGCGCACGAGTCAACACGATTAAATATTATACCCTTCCCGGGGCGCGGGAGATAAGACGGCAGCGGAAATTCAGCCACAGAGAGAGATAAGCCGGGCAAATTTATTGGGACCTTAAGGTCTCGTCCGGAGAGGCGCAAGCTTAAGTACCCTGGCTGCAGGTACCTTGTGAGCGACAGCGACCACGACCACGACCACGCCAAACACGACGAGGACGACAGCGACATGGCATCATCCCCCTCTGAGAAGATTGCGGTCAGCGAGCTCGAGGCGAGCCGCAATGGCGTCGATGGCGACCTGGCTAAGCGGGTGCTGCGAAAGATCGATCTGAGGATCATCCCGTTGCTGTTTGTGACTTACATGCTCAACTTCATGGACAAGACGATCCTATCCAGCGCGTCTGTCTTTGGTCTCCGAGATGACACGGTTCGTCTGCTTTCCCGAGGCGCTGAATCTATCCTGCACACACGATATACTCATACTATTTCTTTCGTAGGGTCTAGTCGGCCAGGACTACAGCTGGGTGTCGTCCATCTTCTACTTCGGCTACTTCGCATGGGCATACCCCACTACCCTGCTCATCGCCCGGCTCCCGGTGGCCCGGTACATGACCGTCAACACCTTCATCTGGGGTGCCGTCGTCGCCCTCACCGCCGCTTGCTCCAACTACGGCGGCCTCCTCGCCGTGCGCTTCCTCCTCGGCGTCGCCGAGGCCACCATCACGCCGGCCTTCATGTTCATGACCACCAGCTGGTACACCCGCGACGAGATCCCCTTCCGCACGGGAATCTGGTTCTCCGGAAATTCCATCGGCGGCCTCGTCGCGTCGCTGTTCGCCTTTGGCGTCGGCCACATCAGCCTCACCGACAGCGTCGGCCCGTGGAGGTGGATGTACATCATCCTCGGACTCGCGACGTTCCTATGGGGCGCCGTCCTGTGGTTCGCGCTCCCCGACAGCGTGTCCTCCGCCAAGTTCCTCACCCTTGAGGAACGGCAGTGCGCGACGGCCCGCATCATCGTCTCCGGCACGGGGCGCACGGAGAAGACGACGTGGAACTGGGCGCAGGTGCGCGAGTGCCTGATCGACCCCAAGACGTGGTTCATCTTCGGGCTCGAGCTGGTCACGCAGATCCCGAACGGTGGGACGCAGAACTTCTCGAACCTCGTCATCAGGTCGTTTGGCTTCACGAGCCTCCAGAGCACCCTCATCAACATCCCGTACTCTCTCCTCGCGGGCGGCTTCATCATGCTCACGGGCTGGCTCGCCGGCCGCTTCCGCCGCGCGAACTGCCTCCTCATCGTCTGCGCAGTCGTCCCCTGCGTCGTCGGCTCCGCGCTCATCTACTCGCGCAACCGCCCCGGCATCTCCCATGGCGTCCAGCTATTCGGATATTTCCTCCTCAGCACGGGGTCCGCCGCCATGCCGCTCGCGCTCTCCCTTGTGCAGGCCAACTACCGCGGCGTGACGAAGAAGATGACGGTCACGGCGATGCTCTTCCTCGCCTACTGCGCGGGCAACATCGCGGGGCCGCAGCTGTTCAAAACGACCGAGGCGCCGACGTACAATACCGCCTTCCGCGCGATCATGATCTGCTACTCGCTCGCTATCGGCCTGGCGGTGGGCCTGAGGACGTACCTGGGGTGGGTCAACGCCAGGAGAGCGAAGGAGGAGGGCTTCGAGGGCAGCGCAGGTGCTTCTGGTACCGTTGGCGAAGGGAAGGTCGTAGACGTGGCCGATACCGGTGCTGGTGCGGTGAACGATGTCGAGCTGAAAGGTCGAGACTACGAGGACCTCACGGATTGGCAAACTCCTGGGTTTAGGTATCGTCTATAAAAGCCTTCTGACAGAACAAAAGGATGGGAAGGGCACATGTAAACTTGTATGCAATTCATAGTAGTCGATATCACACGGCCGAACGCGCCTTCGTCGATTGGAATAAGAGGAAAGGGGAGGACACGCTGGTTATTCAAAGTACGCAAAACTCTCAATAGACGCCCGTAACCGGCGGGTCCCCTTATAATAAGCGAAAACGCTAGTGACGACGAGGCAGCACCGCCTAGGAGGTGACCTATGGGGCTGCTAACCTCTGCAAGAACCAGGGAGGAACTGAAACGCGAGAGCATACGCACCTGTAACGAGGCGAAGAGAAACAAGAGGAAGAGGCCTGGCCTCCTCTTGCTTCCCGCCGCACCGCTACTTCGTCCCAACGAGTCTCCGATCCGCCGCGAAGTGTCGGAATGCATTTTGGATGTTTTCAGCTGTCGGATTGAGAGCGTGAAGGTCAAGACGGTGTAGTACGAAAATAATGAGAAGACATGTGCGCACCTGACTGAAGGAACAGAAAGTTCCGGGATGACCGAGGAAGACTCAACCACTGAAAGGAATATTCTGAAGGCATGAGAACTGAGATGTAGAGACGGATCTGAAAGAGCGAAACGAACACCAGACGTACATGATGAGGAGAGAAGCAGAGGGAGTCAGGCCTGAACTCCCGCTGCTTCTCTCCTCAGCGTGCACACCACCGAGCGAGAAAGTCTCCACCAAACGCACAATGATACCTGTGGAAGACACAGTATACGTTAGTGACTGAGAGCAAAACGGGAAGTCGCACCTCACACGTACCGTATGCAAACGACGATAACCTCGGTTGCGACCACTTCCCTCTTGGAGGGAAGAACCAACAAGGCCTACGGGATGTGTAGATGCAGAAGGTCAGCGCTGTTCTGAATGTAACAAAAAAGGGGAAGGAACTCACTTCTCGGACTTGTGCGAGGAAAGGGGCCCTTCGACCCCCTCCCTCGCTCCGACGGAGGCGACGACCAGAGGCAACAGCACAGGAGAGAGGGCGCCATCCCCCGATACTGAAGTGATCTCTAGCAACCGCCACCGCACCCTAAACGCCAAGACAGGAAGCCGAGCAGCAGAAGAGAATGAACCAGACATCGGGAACCGGAAGCGAATAGAGGGAATGAAGATAGAAAAAGACGAGGCAGGAAAAGATAGAAAGAGAGATGCAAGCGAAGAGAGGACGAGAGAGAGAGAAGGGAGGGGACCGGGACGAAGATGGAGAACGAAGAGAGACCGAGAACAAGACAGGACAAGACCCGAGACACGTAGAGCACCGAGACGATGAAGACACAGAGCAAGCAGAACATCGGGCGGGAAGAATACCACAAAGAGAGAAGGAGAAAGAGTATACTTACGCCGGCATCACGGGGTCATCCAAGCCCTAGCCAGCATGCTCCAGGGTCCTCGGTCTTCGGTCTTGGTCTTGGGTACTGGGTGTCGGTCGGGTTGGTCGGGTCGGTTGTCGTCCTCGGCGTCCTCGGCGTCCTCGTGTTGCTGGGAGGGATACCTGTGGAGAAAGGATAGCAGCAACGAACGAAAACGGTGGATCTGCAGAAACCGAGCCGGCGTCGAGCATTGGAGAAGACAACGAGTTCAATAGGGTCATGACTCCCGAATCCCTCAGATGCCCCGCCGCAGCTGTCAGCCTCACCGTCTCCCTGGTCTCGGCCAAGAGAGCTGTCCATAGTCCCGGTCCTCGGAGGTCTTCAGCGCGCGCCGGATTCGGGGTGGAAGTCGAGGTCAAGAAAGTAGAGAGCGAACAAGAACAGATCATGGAACACAGGGGGAAGGGCGTAAGCAAAGTCTCAAAGGTGGTAGTAGAGCGTACCGCGCACGAGCTCCTCCCGCATCCTAGCGTCCTGGAGCGAGATGAGCTGCGTGCCGAGGCCCTTCCGAACGAGCTCGTCGATAGTCTCCTGGCTTAGGGGGATGACCACGTGCTTGGGCTTGGCCGGGACCTGGGGCTGGAAGGCGGGCCACTCGTATTCGCGGGGGCGGCCGATGGTCTTCTTGTCGAGCTTAGACTTAGACTTTCCCGAACCGAGCGACCGGCACTCAGCACAGGTGGAGGACTTGTTGGAGATGAAAGAGAACATAGTGAACGGGTGCGTATCAAACGAAAGCGGGTAAGAAATGCGGGGATGGTGTGGTGGTAAGAGGGAAAGGTAGGTGAGGAGCGGAAGAGGGGGTATACGGGTTGATATAGGCAGTAGCGTTGCGATCGAGGCTGAAGTCGGTTGTCGGCATCCTCTTTGGGTAGTGCTTGCTCGTCGGTGCTCGGAATATTTTCGTGCCAGCCTCATGCGGGACACTGCTGCCTGTTCAACATTCAAAAACCGATGTATATGAATTACCGAGGCTTATTTGTGACGGATGGCGATCAGTATACAGACTGCATCTAATGAAACGACTACCGCGGCACTGGCATTCTAAAAACATCTGATATTTCGTCAGCACATATATCCCTCTGTCCTTTCATAAACGGATTGGCTCGCGTACTGAAGATAATCACACATGCGTTGAGTGGTACGGTAGAGCGCGATTGTGCACTGAGAGGAGCCGGGAGCGAGGTTACCGCGTACTATTGCGCCGGAAGTCCATATCGTTACCCTTCTGCATTTCAGCTACGCCATGTTGCGTGTGCCTATGCATTGTAATAAAGCATTTCTAGAAGAGAATCCATCCATAGCAAGATCTGGAGAAGGTCTGTGACATTAGTTTCAGTTTTGCTGTGAGTCGTTCAACTCGACATGCAACAGTCAGCGGATGCACATACCTTGCTGGAGCCTGGTAGATATGAGGCTATGCCTAGTTTACATCTTGCGATGTATAGTACCACACGTAGAGCAGAGGGGTCAGATATGTGCGGCGAATTGTGTGCTGGTACGAGCAAGGTTGAGAAGTTGGATGAGAGTGACGCGCCGGGCATGCCGCGGAGATTGGACTAGGCCGCAGGGCAACACGGGGCGCTTATCTGCCACCTGGCGTTCCTCCGTACCATCACGACATGACCTCGAGGTATGCGAGCTCACTCGCCCGCCCATTTGTGAAGAGCATCGTCTAACGATGTATACAGGGAATAAAATATAGCATTGACACATACGAATTCGTTCGTCCGTATTCACATGTAAGGTGGAGAACGACCTTCAAAAAACTCGGCGCACCTTGCACGCCGACTCCCAAGCCTGGACAATTCTAGACCTTCCTTTCAGCGGAATTTGACTCTGCATCATCATCATCGAAGGATTCTCTCAACCTTGAGTAGATATTCTGCCCCCTTTAAATGCAACAACGGGCCCCGCTTTCCGGGTTCGTTCTCAGGCTCGCGGTTTTGTGAGCTTCTATGGACATCTTCTCCATGGGCGGCGATGGGTGGACCCACAACCCCTTTCAGCTATAAAGGCGAGTCGCTGCTATCATCCGAGTGCACCTTATCCCGCCTCGGGCAAACTTCGGCAAACGCGCTTCGTCTTTCCAGATGGCGGAACGGAGCATCAGTTATCACTACATCTCTCTCCTTGTTTCTCCACTCCGTGACTATCATGCAAGACCCGTATTTAGGCCATACATAGGTCGGGATGATAGCTGGGGTCTGGTCACTTATCGCGATCTCGAACAGCGCCTAGTCGCCACAAAGGCTCACTGGAAGCGGGCCTTGGCTCCTCTCGAGCTCAAGCCACTCGACATTGTGGGGCTCTGGTGCGTGCTTTCTGACTCCAAGATATGGACTCTATTGAACTCATCTTCGTGTTGTATAGGCTAACCGGAAGCAAGCTCTCCGACGCGATAAATAGCATCGCGATATCCGCGCTTGGGTACACACCTCAGTTCTTCAGCGCATACTTCGAAGACGTCCAAACTATAGCTGAGCTGCTATCTGAGAGCGGGGGCAAGGCATTGATTGTAGACTTGTCCTACGGCAGCAAAGTGGACGTTGCCACGACGCCCCTTCCTGTCCCCCACTTCACTGCTCTGGACGACGCACAGATCGCGCAGGGCGTCTCGACCATCACGGAAGGGGGGGCACACCACGTGGAAGCGACATTCAGCCCCGATGCTCCTGTGGGCCCGGATGACATCGCGGCGCTGTTCCACTCGTCCGGCACGACGGGTGGGCGCCCAAAGATCATCCCAAACACATACAAGATGCTCAACGCGGTGATCTCCCGCAAACTTCCCGCAGCTGGCCTATCCGGCTCATCCGCGGACGGAGAGCAAACCGTCCTGAACACGCTCGGGAGCCTGGTCAATATCGCGACATTCCATGGTGAGTCCGCAGCACACGCCACATCATCAAACGCGATCACTGACCACCTGCATCCTCAGTGTTTCTTGGATGCATTTACGCCGGAGCGTGTATGGTTCAATCGTCTTCCTTGGCAATCGCCCCACAGGAGTTCGTTGGCATGACGCGCGCATGCTCCCTCAACCGCCTCGCCGTGTACGCCACATTCCTTTCGAGCCTGATCAGAGCTGCAAAGCAGGACGACGCAGTCAAAGTCTCTTTGCAAAGTCTTCGCGACATCTTCCACACCGGAGTAGCCCTCAACAAGGAAGATGAGGAATGGGCTTACGTCAATGGGTTGCAAGTGATAGTATGTCTTGACTGCGTTCATCGTACCATAAAGCCAACTGACTTCTTACGCTTGAAGAACTCCTACTCGACTACCGAAACTGGTCCTCTGCTGAGAGCCGGCAGTGGACCCGACGCGTCCTCCAGACTCCTCCGGCCCCTGGCTGGATCCCACGCCGTCTTCCTCCCAGACGCCAACTCCGAGGACAGCTCTGACGGACCGCAGCTGTACGAGCTCGCAGTGCCCTCCGGGGTGGATGAATGCCCGCCGGCCGAGTTCTGCGGCGCAGATGGGTACTACCACACGAAAGACCTCTTCGAGCGCGTCGACGACGGATGGGTGTACCGCGGCCGCGCCGGCGACTGGATCAAAGTCGTGTCCGGGTTCTGTGACACCAAGTGCGTCCTCAATCACGTCATAATGTTGAGACTCATCACGATCGAACTCTTTGACAGGAACATGGAAGACACCGTGCGCAAAGCCTGCCCCGAGCTGGTACACGACGTCGTCGTGGTCGGTAGCGGGCGTGCCTTTCCGTGCTTGATCGTCGAGAGTGCGGTCGACGGACTCGCTGACGAGAAACGACCTGCGGTGGCTGAAGAGATCATGAAGAGGACTTCGGAGCTCAACAAAAGCCTGTACGCTCATGAGCGCATCCAGGACCCCCGTCGAGTTCTAGTCGTAGAGAAAGGAACGCTGCCGCGCACCCGGGTAAGTGTAATCACTTTCGGCTTGGTATCTGATCATGCTGATCATAACGTTGTGTGCTTTAGGAGAAGGGAAATATCAGGTTTGTTATCTCCGACATCTTTGACTGACCGTCAATCCTAACATTTCACGTCTCATTCAGGAGGGGCACCACGGAAGAGATGTTTGCGCAGCAGCTCAGTGCCATCTACGCGCCTGCTTGAGCGCGCGAAGAGATTGCATGCGACTTTGTACGACCAGAAGTGCCCTTCAGCGAATCAAACGTATCCAAAACGATTGACAGTGCGAGACGCACGCATAGCATCAGACCGCTCATCCCGCAGGGTGTACCAAGACTTCCTGCGATAGGTGGGCGATACTGACACTATGGCGTCTTCACCGGGATGCCCGGCTACTCGCAGCAGAGCGCCCCCATATGTAACTGCGATTTTCCCTCCAGCACCGCATCTCTCTTCCCATATCCGGCACACGCGGACCGTCCATCTCCAAAGTTCGCGCCCTGGGTGTCACCCTGTCCATGTCTTCGAACTACTGGATGTGACAGTCGGCTGCCGCGGCAGCTTTGGAGTGATCGACGTGAGAACACTGCCTCGTCGGTAAGCGTTATCGAAAGGGCTCCACTACTGCAGACGTGAAGCCCCCAATATACGCTCGATCCTGGTGACTGAGGTGCGCAAGGCTCTCAGCTTCACTATCGACTCAATCATCCTTGCTTACTATCACGATCAATATGTAGAGTCTGACGGCGTGAGGCTGAGTCGATACGCGTACTCCGGGAACAGCGTGTTCTCGCAGACATCTGCCTGTTATGACCGTCAAGAAGAGGCACAACCATCTGCCACGCGTTGCACGACATGTGTCTTCCTGTGTCTCGACTCTAGCTATAAGTCGCCCCCTCGTCGTATTGCTCGTCACCTGGCGTATCCCACTCCGTACCCTGGCGCAGATCAAGAGCTGGGAGTCTCGCAAGTACTTCTGAGCTCCTCTTAACTGGTAGACTGTCGCTATAGACTAGAACCCTTGGAGTCACAGAAAATCGGAGGTGTTGAGACTATGGCGTTATCGGAGACCTCCCACGCGGAAGACCTCGCCTTCGCCATCAAGGTCCCCGCGCTGGACAACACATTTGGCGCGCTCTTGCTCGGCACGTTCTTGGGACTCGTGTACGTCCATTTTGCATTCCAAACTTCGCAGTCGCATCGCTCATGCCCTATGCGTAGATTGTACGGGTTGACGTTGCATCAGGGATATCGGTATACTCGCTTTCCAGCCTACGACAAGGATTCCAAGTACATCAAATGCACGGCAAGTTTCCCCGATGGCCGCTATGCACCTGTACGTCGCTTACATTTGCGGTTAGGTGGCCGTCGTACTGTAGGTGGCCATGTCGGAATGTTTCTACGCGTGTTTGTTGACAGCCTGAGGTGGCCTGTCAGCATACTCGAAACGTTACACTCCGCTCTAGCTTTGCATGTCTGGTAAGCACCGACCATGGCGCTTTGGTGCGCCGAACGGCTTCATGAGTTTACGTGCAACAGCTACTTCTACCTCGTCACCAACTACTTCAAACCCGAGGCCCTCCTGCGTCAGACATGGTAAGCACCCGGACGCATTCTCATTTGTACTAGTATACCGTTTGATGACCAGATCATTGTGTATCAGGTCCGCTAGCGTAAGTCTCAGTGATCCATGATCAGTGTTTCTACGCGAGCGACTGACGCATTATCTCCGGAGGCAGACCCTTCCAGCATTAACAGTAAGCAACCCTCATCTGCAGACCGAGATGGTCATCTAACTCATTGCGTGCAGGGTCTCATCGTCGCGGTAACACAGGCGTAAGGCTGTCTCTCTCTCTCTCTCTTCGAAGATCCACACATACTAACGCTCCGTACTAGGTTCTTCGCGAGACGGCTATTCTTGCGTACGAAGGTCGCGTTTCTTCCGTTTCGCACACGCTGACGTTCGGCGGCATGCAGTCAACCGAGGGTATCTCGTCATAGTCGTCTTCGCAGTAAGCCAGATTCCTACATCCACTCGGCGTTCCGATCACTCCTGACACCGAGGGACGCTGTAGCTGCTACTGCTGCTCGGCGAACTCGGTAAGCCCATTGTGCTAGCTTTAGACCATGTTATCGCTCATACTTGGTGATTTGTGTAGGATTCTCCGTTGGTGAGCCCAAATGATGCCCTTTTTGCTAGCGCACTGCTGATAGCAGCATATCACCAGCGTGCACCGTCGAGGCGTAAGTCATCACTCTCCATCGACGAAGCCACCACACTCACACCGCATTGTGCGCGATAGAATCATACAGCCCAGCATCTTCGACGTCCAAAACTTCCAGGTACGCTTGCATACTCGCCCAAATGAGTATTCGACATACTCAAACGAATATCTGTGCAGTGGCTGTCAATCGCCGCACTCGCGTTCATCATTGGGGCGGACGGTCTCCTGACGACTCTGCTCACCATCGTTCTGTGTCGTAGTCGGACGGGCTTTAAGTCGTACGTGCTCAGGTAGTTTCAGCTGTAAACGCCGCAGCTCAGCCTGAATCCGGCAGAACCGACTCCATACTCAACACGTTGATATTCTACACTATCAACAACGGTGCGCTCAACCCCTTCTGCTTGATCCCACTTATGTTGATACGCCGCTATACAGGGCTTCTGACAATGTGAGCCGAGGGTTCGGTGGCTGTATCGCACTCTCTCCGAGATGGGCTTGCTAACTACACTCCTCTCGTAGCACGCTTACTATCATTTCTCTATTCATGGTGCGTTATGGGAAACCTTTCCGTACAGTCCCAGACCATGATGTTCACCTCCGAACAGGCCATCTTCTATCCGCACTCCCTGATAACGGACGGGCTGAACATTTGCATTGCAAAGGGTACGCTCTACGCAGTCTCGTTTCCGAAGAGACCATGTCTGACCACTGCTTGGCCTCGATACCAATCCAGCATACGCTAACTCCCTGCTCTCTGTGTATGTGCACTACCTGAAGTCAACTTCGCACTCCGTGATGGTAGCTGACCGCTCGTGTCCATCCTCTTCAGACTCAACCATCGGCACTTCCTCCGCAATAACAAGCAAGAGCCCAGCGAAACGGTCGGCGCGACCGAAGCACACGTGCACGGCTTCCACGACACTGCAGACAGCTTCGACCACGCTCAGGTGCGCGCTCCTCGCCTTTTTCACGCCCAGCATGTTCACACAATGGACCATGCACATCTCCGTAGGCCGTGACCGCGAACTCGCAGCGAATCATGCACATCAAAATCACGCGGGACGTCGTCCGCGACACGTCTATCCGCACCGTTTCCGAAGACATGCACATACCGCAAGACGATAAGGGCACCGCGCTCGCGGTATCGACGTCCCCAGTCATCGCCGTTTGAGCTCACGTTTCTCCTCTCATGTGCCTTTCCTTCGCCTCGATACTGAACGTTTGAAGAGACAAAGTATACGAAAATCTCGAGCTATTGTACAACACATGGACATCTTCTATAGTTGGAAACATTGAACCCCGTTCCCTTTCGCTTCAGCACAGTTGCGTTCCATGCTCCGACTTCTGCGCACGTCGCTTGGCCTCAAAAACGAACGTCCACTTGTCTTCGCAAGTCTCCAAGTGATCGTCGCCCCACATGAACGCGACCTTCTTTCCGAAGGACCATGGGGCGTGCACTAGCAAGAGCATAAGAGCGTGAATGAAGATGTATGACGTTTGCGTCGGCTTCAACAGTACTTACTAGCGTGCAAAGTATAGTACTCTCCCTCGAACGTGAGGGGCGACGGGATGTGGTCCTCCAGGTGGGCTCCGACGAGGCGTAGTACAAGCTCCTGGATCACCCAACAACGAATGTCAGCACGCCAAAATTATCGTTGAAATAAAGTTGATGCCGTGCATACACTCAGCTCGTGCTGCACCAGATAGTATGTTGTGATCGTTTCTACGTCCTCCGGCCTGTCGTAGGACCGTATGTCAGTGAACAAAAACACTCCTTCCAGGAGGGTTTCAGCCTGCATGTATGCGCACTGACCGTTCTGCTTTGCAAGTAATCTGGACAACGCGCGGTGGCCGACCCTGTGTGTCGCCGACCCCGATGCATACGACGACCGTGTCGTTAAGAGGAACAAGAACCTTGCCCATTGACAGCTTGCGTGGTGGTACAGATGGTAGCGGATGAGTATGGCAGTTGGCCGGGACTCGTAAGCTCGAAATTCGCCGACGAGAAGCTGTCAAACGTCAGACCTTTCCATATCCGGACGTCGCTGTGGGCACTGTGGCCGCACCGCCACCCTCCGGGAGTGCAGCAACTGTTGAGGTTTCGTTTCATCCTGTCTGGTACCTAGAAAATCTTCTTGACATCCGATTCTTCGAGCCACTCAGCAAAATTATACTCACTACGCACTGCACATTGCCGTCTTGCGCTACGGCTGTATCACGGGCGGTGCACCGAACCTTCATCTCATCTCGTGTAAGATGCAACCCAAAATCCGCATGGCGCCCTCACGTAGCTCGGCCTGCGTAGTGCGGATGGAAAACGCTGTCTTCTATGGCGTGCTTTCTACCATGACCCGCGAAGCACATGCTCTTCAGGACAGTAAAACAACGCTCCTACAGGGTCACATTGGCGGCATCGACCTGCAGTACCTCGTTCCAGTGCTCTGCGACGCGTTTCATCCGTGAACGTATGTATTCACGCAGTTCTTGCCCCATTTGTGTATGTGCGAGGTCGCGTCGCCCGAGCGTGAAATGACTCCGACGTCTACAAGCGACGCACCCGTCGACTGCCGCGCTGCGGAGCTCGTCCTAGAAACAAAGCAAGGCGGAAGCAGTACTCATAGTGCAACGTCAGCCAGTCCACGCGAGCACCTGCAGCCAAGAATTGCCTGCTGCGGGGCTGCGCCTCCATCGTGTGCGTGGCTGGTAAAACCGCAGCGAGCGGCTGTTGACGAGTGCTTGGTGCGTCTACATGCTCCGGATACATTCGCCGGTTTCCGGTTTCCAAGACATCTAGCGGAGCGCAGGGCGCGTGCAGGGTGTGGCGTAGCCCGGTAGTTGCAAGGAACGCGGGCGTGAGCCCAGAGACAACGCCGTCGGCGGGCGTGAAGAGGAGACCAAGCCTCCAGAGTGCAGCGCGCTTCTTCGTGCGCCCGATGGACACGCAAGAAAGCGTCGATCCAGGGTCGGCGCCGAGGCCTGTAGCGCGCAGTGGCGGCAGTGTTGCGAGCGTCCGATCGGACATATCGATAGAGTGGTGGATGGGGCTGGGTACGTGCGCGGACCCTTTAGACGTACGACACGTAGACGTACGCGGGCAGGGTCTTGGGGTCAATGTCGAGCGGCTCGCTCAGGGTTCAGTGCTTGCCATCCATTGAGATAGTGGGGCCGCTCGCAGGGGATCTGTCTCGATCACCGAGTGAAGTTCCATCCTGCATGGAACGCCGCGCTACGTGTCCGCTCTCGTGAGTTCCGAGCTGCACGGCGAGCGCGTTGAGATACAGCTTACGAGTTCTTGCTCCCTGTCGACTTCTTGCTCCGCGACGGTCTCCTTGGTCGTTGGCGGAAACACAGGCGCGACAGTCTCGTCCTACGCGGGAGTATCGCCCCACCACAGGCGCATCAATCGTGGGCGGGGTTTTTCTGTGCTAGACGTTAACCGCACTCTCGAGCGCATCAACTGAGGCACATACCCGTGGCCAAGAGATACCCGTCTTCACGGCCGGCCGACGGCGAATATGCTCGTTCTGTGGGCGCTGGGCGGGTTTCGCGGCAGGCTCGGACCAGCGAGTTGGGCGTTGGTGGCAAGGGACAAGTGTGCTATGTTCGATCAAGTTGCGTTTGACCGAGGCTGTCCATCTACACTGGGCGTGACGTGGTCACGTAAGAACGAGGACAAGAGCGCCTGCCATTTCGGAATTGTCAGTGATGTATATGCATCCACTGATCACGTTGTGAGTGCTTGAGTCAGCTCCGAAGATCCTCGGAGCTTTGTGGTGACTCGGAGACGTTTGAAATATTTGGCAACCGAGCTGCGTAATTGCTCCCTAGCACGCGGCGGCGTCGTCATTGAAGCAGGCTCGGAAGTGCCGCAGTCTGAGTCTGCGGACCAGTAGCGGCGGTGCGCAAATCATCGACGGGCTTCTTGACCGTGGTCGCGGTATGATGACAGGTAGATGTCGCTACCGGTGTTCCCACTACCGACGGTTCACTTGATCGACGTAAAGTTTGGAACGGTGCACATGGAGGGACCAGAATGTCGTCTGCTGTAGTCGGCGGCATCAGTATCGAAATGATCAACAGAAATTCTGCAGTCGTCGCGAGATGCTACGTGAATTTTGGCCAACAATGAACTAGGACTTCCAGAGGCTGTGACGAAGTTGCGAATCGGCTTACCTTGCACATTATAGCTGTGTAACGCAATGCGTGCCAATCGCATTTACGCACGACATAGTTGTCAGCAGATCTCTGGGCACGTCTAAGCCTCTGTATTTTTCGACTTGTAGGTCGTGCTTGGTGTGTGGGGCCAGTCCCCGATTCATTATCCCCTGCAGAGCAACATTGGTACAAAGTGACCCGTCGGGAATCCCCCGTGGACCCCCTGGACTGTGTGCTGCAACTTGATCTAGAACCTCGAGAATGAGTGTAACTTGGAGTAGCGCCATTCAACGCGAGAGTGAGGACGTACGCATCGACGTGAATTTACCTCGATGTGATCTTTCGTGCACCGCCAGGGCCCGCCGGGGCACGCGAGGAAGACGCGATCCCGAGCTGAAATAGAAGACGCATGCCAATATTGCCCTGTCCCGTCAAAGGTTCGGAGAAGGTTTTACGGGCCCGACGTGTGACGTGCTACAAACTCCGGTGGCAGCCGCGAATACGGCTTATCTTCACAGCACTCCTGCAGACTCGGTCAGTCTCGTTAACACTCTCCTTTCAAACGCCGTAGATACATAGATATGCTGCTGGCTGGTTACGTACCCGACTCTACATAACAGCATATACATAGTTGCTGCAGCTGGCGACGTTGTCCTTCATTGAATTGGGGGGTGGTGGAGATTGGCGATATGTCAATGCGTTGGGCGGAACGCTAACGTTGTGCCGAATAGTCCTTTCGAGATCGACGCGCCGCGGCGCCGTCGCACGACGTCTGGACCGACTTCTAGTGTGACATAGGTCTTTTGTCCCGATCCGGACTCCCTCAAACATGTCGGTAGCTTGCTGCGAAGCAGATCTAAGTCTAGAAGCTGCCACAGTGGCGATCGTGGGGCCGCTGCTGAAGCCGGGTAACGTATATAAAGGCGAGATACCACCAGAGTTGAAGTGACCCACGTTATTCCTCCCTTCCAGCGCCCACGCGACGAACATACTCCCCACGCTGCGCCCTCGCTGATGAGCGTCGCAACGGCGAAATCCGAGTCCGAGGTAAGCAGTATCTCTCGTAGAAGCCATCACCTGCTCACCCAAGTTCGACTGCCTGGCAATCCCTCGCGGACCTGGCGTCTCGCACTGGTCGCTCAATTGCGTGATGTGTTCTTCTCCTCTTACCTCGTTCTCGGGCGACTGCGTCTTCGCCTTCGTTGAAATCGTCTGTGCTCGTGCGTAGCAAACTGCGAGGTGGCCAGTAGGGAGGACTGGGAGGAACAGAACGCGGTATTTTGAGCGCGCTTCTTCGGTTCTATCGGCTTACTGCTTTTGGGTGGGGCAGGAGCGTCCATTCGCGGCCCGCTTCCGGTCCGTACACAGGCTCCTACCCACCGCCACACTCGAGTTGAGGGGGCGATCTCGCCGGGAGGAGGGGACAGAGCTAAGTCGAGTACCATGAGCGCCTCTATCACCTATACTAGGTCACGTGCTTTATCCTTCAACTTTGCTCCCCCTCAACTCTCCTGGACGGCTGGCATCAAACACGAGTAAACATCGGAGCCCGGAGATCAGACGCCCAGAATCGTCCCCGTTAGGAAGGCCATCAACTACGAGCGCCTGCAAATAAACCGAAACTCTTCTCAGCGACGAGCTCGCTCTGCGGCACGCGCGCGGTGCGCGTCCGCGCGGGGTGCGAGCGTGGGGTGCGCGACCGGCCTTCACGTATGTAGTCTACCCCGCGCGCACTTCTGTGTCCCTCGCGGCCTTTCTGATAGAACTGTGCTAGGCCTAGCGAGTCGACGCGCGGTCGAGCGTGAGTACACTAGGCCACCAATATCCCTTGCAGGCGGTCTTTTACTCGAACATGGGGATACACACATTCTTGCAACGCCTTATGGTCATGCGCGGCTCGCGACGGGTTAAATAGCACAAATATAATCATGCAGGAACTCTCGCCAATGCCCTAGCATGCGCGCGCGTTCAAATTACCCGGGCCCGAGTCTCACACCGACCGTATTCCAGGGACGCTCTTCGGCAGTGTGTCCGACGCCAATGCCCCCTCGCGAGCTCTGCTGTCGTATTACAGAATCACTTATACTCCTACGTATACTGTTTACACGTGAGCTGCTCAAAGAATATAAATACGCTAGGCCAAAGCCTTGAAATACCGGAGGACTGCGTCTATATTTTATCAGCGACCGCGATTGAGTCGCTGCAAGATTAACAGGAATGTCTTACCTGAGGACTCGTACATGTCTTATGAGAGCACGCGCGAGGGACACAGAAGTGCGCGCGGGGTAGACTACATACGTGAAGGCCGGTCGCGCACCCCACGCTCGCACCCCGCGCGGACGCGCACCGCGCGCGTGCCGCAGAGCGAGCTCGCCGCTGAGAAGAGTTTCGGTTTATTTGCAGGCGCTCGTAGTTGATGGCCTTCCTAACGGGGACGATTCTGGGCGTCTGATCTCCGGGCTCCGATGTTTACTCGTGTTTGATGCCAGCCGTCCAGGAGAGTTGAGGGGGAGCAAAGTTGAAGGATAAAGCACGTGACCTAGTATAGGTGATAGAGGCGCTCATGGTACTCGACTTAGCTCTGTCCCCTCCTCCCGGCGAGATCGCCCCCTCAACTCGAGTGTGGCGGTGGGTAGGAGCCTGGTCCGTACATTCCTTCACAGCCTTCCGTTCACTGTCTGGCGCTTACGGCGCGCGTTACACAGGTTGTTCTTCTCCCTCGTCTTCGCTAGACCCCAGCTCTGTAGTTCACGATCCTTGCTATGGCCTCGTCTCCTTCCTACGAAGATCTTGCGTCCTGGGATGATTTGACCTTGCCATTCGACCCAGAAGTCGATGACCCCGACGATCTCAGGAGAGTGTACGCGATTTTCAGTCTCCATCCCGTCGTGTTTCTCATCTTGTACTGCAGCGACCCCCGCCAACTACCCCCGGACATCTCGGAACTCGACAAGACAATATCGGAGCTAGAGGCACAGCTCTCTGATCTCATACTTCAACGAGAGCGTTTGCTGGACAGACGTGCCCTCATCCACCGCCTTCCTCCGGAACTTCTCTGTCGAATCTTCGAACTCAGCGAAGAATCCGTCCAACTCCTGCCGTCCCTCAATCTCGTATGTCGCCAGTGGCGAGCGGCCTGTTTGGCCTGTCCAGTTCTGTGGTCATATATCGTTCTGGACTCCAACTGGGGATGGCGAATACCCGCTTTTCTGCGCAAGATGCGGGCGCATCTTCAGCGCTCCCAGGCGACAAAACTACTCGTCGACATTGATTTCCGTTATGTCGACAGCTTCGCTGACTGTCAAACCATCATGACTGAGATGAAGCCGGCCCTGTCGCGATGCTACTCATGCACGCTGTCAGTCCAGGATTGGCCTCGAATGCGCGTCGTCCAACAAAATGCCACCGAACTGGGCCCTGCTTTGGAGGATTTCTATCTTCGCCTCGACTCGGTCGACCCGGACACGGATGATCCTTGCAATGTGTTGGCACAGCCTTGTCCCCGTCTCGCGTACGTTGTGCTCGAACATATACCGCTGGAGTGCGTCAATGCCCCGATGCCTGCTCTACGCGAGCTATCCCTCATCCTGGAGCGCTCCGGGTATTCCTCCACTCGCATGGAATATCCGTTCAAGCGGTTCATGTCGATGATAGTCGCCTCACCCATCAGGTGGCTGAACATGCGGATGGCCGCTTTCTCTCTCGATTCCACGGACGACCTCTTCCAAGCAGACCCGGTCCTGATCGAGTTACCCGAACTCAGGGGTATCGAGTTCGATCTGGTTGAAGCCACCAGCATCATCCTCTTCCTTCAGTCTACATCCCTACCCTCGCTGTCCTATATCTCCGCGAACTCCGCCGAAGACATGCAATGGCTGAGTCACATCGCGCTTTCACCCGAGCGCTTCCCCTCGCTGCGCCTTCTCGACGTCCGGAATTTCAACTTCAATGGTGTAGGCCTAGCACCATTCGTTCGAGCGTTGCACCACCTCCCGCGCCTTACCGGCCTTGGATTTGCATCGCCCGCGTCGGGCATCGTCGGGAGCAGGCTGTTCGAAGTGCTTTCTGCGGGGCCTGACATGATGGGCGGCTGGCTCCTACCGCGACTAGAAGCTCTTTGCTTTCAAAGTTGCGCTGACATATCCGGTCACGAGATCCTGCGCGCTGTCAATGCTCGTCGTGGCGCTGCGGCCGCGGATGTGTCCAAAATATCCTACCTGAGGCTCACACATTGCTATTCGGTAGATCCGGAGGCGTTAGAGCGGCTCAAGGCTCTCGTGGATGTTGTGCTCTCCGTATGAAGTTTACGGCCCCATACCCATTTGTGCGTAACGTCGTAATCTATTGCCCCGACGCTATGGTTGCGTCTCTACCCCGGTACCTCACGATCTCAAATCTCCTCCTTGTCCGTCCGGACTCCCTGACTCATCCGTAGAGCGCGCGTTACAAAGCATATCGGTTCGTCAAATTTCTTCGCTGTATAATCTTGCTTCACAGAACGTCTATTTACATGCACATAGCGTACCACTCCCGTACTCAAGAAGCTACCCTCGCACTCTCACACTACCCGGCGACGCCTGGCTCGATTCACGTCTTCCATGATGCAACTGTACCTTTTTTGACCGGCGTTGGCCCCCTGGATGCGACAATCACTGAAGGTCGTCTTGCGCGTAATATAACTGTCCTCGTCGTCCTCGGAACGATACTCGGGAAACCACCTATCCCGGTGAGCGTTCCTAACGTCATTACAGTGCATTTGTGTTTTTAAGCCATGTGGCTGTGCTCATACAGTGCGTAAGGTGATGCGAGTGTGCCAAGGCACGCCCTGTCAACACTCAAGTTTCCGACAAAGCGATTCACGTGTATCGAAACCGGCTGGCTTGACGCCACCGCATTGCAGTGCACTAATTCCTCCTGAATTGGCTATCACTCCAGCGACTCTATTTGACAGCAACTCGGCTGTCTCACTTTGATCATCCTCCACCGAGGTGCCGGACTTCCGGGCCACGCTCGTAAAGCCGGCGGTCGTCCCCGAGCTCGGGATGTTGAGCACTGCGCGCGATCGTGCGCAGTCCCGGTTTGTTACAGACGGGCACCGCAAGTGCGACACGAGCTTCGTTTCACCCACATCGTTCCTCCGCGCCCGACATTCGATGCTCGGGCGTACCGTGCTTCGCACTGGTCCGATTCTCGTGCGTACCGTCAACAATCATATACGCCGACCGGGAAGTTGCTGACATGCACACTATTAGGCGCGGCTCGTAGTAATCCGTGGGGCAGAACATCCGTAGAGCATTTCAGCGTCAGCAAACCATTACGTTCTAGCGATGAGATCGTGTCGCTGCCGCAAGAACGCCCGGTCACATCTCAACATCCAATCTCCCGATGCATCCAGATCGCTGTTTCCCCCGCACACGGAGCAGGGCTCGGAAGAATCACCACGGCGGTGTGCGCTCTCGGGTGTGGCCACACTCAATTTTCGAGTTCTGTGGACGGGCCAATTTGAATGATTGAGCCGCGCGCACATATATACCCATCCTCGCGCAGCGCACCAGGCGGACTTGTGCGCCTCGCGAATCCCTGTCCACCGCGCCGAGTTCAACACCCGCCATGTCTTGTGCCGCCACAGTCAAGACTCTGCGGTCCTCCGACGGGACATCGATATACGCGGAGGCGGTGGGTAGCCCCATGAACCCGCACATCGTGTTTATTCACGAAGTGACGCTCTCCTCGGTGGTCTTCGACGACCTCGTACGCGATCGGCGCCTAACAGATCATCTGTACCTGGTGAGTGAGCAGTGCACTTACCATCTGATGGGCCACCATTCATGACATCCATTCATAGATTCGCTACGACCTCCGCTGTCATGGCCGGAGCGGTATTGCTTTATGCGAAGAAGGGCTGCATCCTTCCCGCCATGCCGAAGACTTCTGTACCGTCGTCAAAGGCTTCGGTCTGCGTCAACCGATCGTGGTCGCCTGGTGCGTGTGGTTCGACCCTTCCATCTTCGTTAAAATCTGATTCTACAGTCATTCAGGGGGTTCGGTGGTGCGTCTCACATGTGCAACGATGCTCATAGTTGCGAACCGTGCTGATTAGGTGCCACACTCTAGCAACCGCGGTCGCGGACGTCTGTGCCGCCGCCAGTCCCAACCCGATCTCAGGCATAGTGCTCGTCGCGCCACTGCCCTTCCTGGGCCCGGAGATGCCACGGACAGCCACGGAGCGCATGCTGGGGGTGGCGCAGGTGCTGCGCTCGTCCCGGGATACCGTGATCTCCGCGCGGGCCAAGACGGATCTCGTGCAGGGCTTCTTCGCAGGCGCCACTTGCGCTGTCCCGGACGCGCTCAAGTCGTCCTGGCTCGGGCTGAGCATGGCGCAGACCCCAGAGGTGACCGCGTCCGTGCTCGCTGTGTCGCACGATCCCGCGAAGCTGCTCGAGGCGGGCAGGGCGGGTCTGCCCTTGATGATCGTGGTCGGCTCGCAGGACGCGCTCGTCCATGGGCCCGCGGTCGTCGGCGAGTTGCGGCGCCACTTTCGGAACGCAGAGGCGCATGTGGTCGACGGCGGCAGCCACGCGCTCTTCTTCGACAAGCAGGACGAGTTCGTGAAGCTGCTGCTCGTGTTCGCTGGTCGCTTGGCGGTGCGTTCCACAAGCTGGCCTCTTCCTTCGGGTATGTTAGCGAGACTAACGCGTGGACTGCTTTCGCAGGTGATGACCCTCATGGGCTGAGGCCATGAGGAGGTATTGTCTTTTTGGGCCTGACCGTGACCTGATACATTATTAACCACTTAGTGTGTCCCCCTTTCTTGGTTGTTTCTTGTGCGCGGGCCTCCGCGCCTGCTTGTTGTATAACTTACGGTATGTAGGATTACCCCTGCTCTGATACATCTTGCTCTCAGCACCCGCTGTGTCAATTAGATCTTACCGTCGCTGTCGCTGCTCTTCCTCTTCTGATCATTCAATCAATGTCAGAGTCGGCATTGACTGCCAGTGGGTATGGGCCTGACATTCTTCGGGGTATCACAACTTCCTGGGTGATGTGCGACTATCAAAAGTCAGGCATGATGATGTGCCCTAAATGCTTCGCGACCGTAATGAAGACGATGACTCTCAGGCTGATCTTCCCGGAGGACACGGAAAGGGGTGTACGATTTCGCTGACGTGCGTGCCCGCACTGGCAGTGAGCTGTAACACTCCCGACGCGGGAAACACGGTGTGCATAATGAACGGCTCGCCCGCGACGATCGGTCGCAGCTAAGCAGCGTGGGAGGCGTCGACAACGTCAGAGCAAGAGCAGGGCGGGGAGCTGCGCGCGCGCTTGCCGGTTGTGTGGCACGAGAGGTGCGGCTGTGCCGTGCATCAGCGTGCGCAACAGTATGTGGGTCGAACACGGCGGGCGCGGGACACTGCTGTCCGCGCGTCGTGGCGTCGGTGGCGACCGTCCGGCGCTGCCGCAGCCCGAACGGGGGCAAATGAATCCGGATTTGGGCTCGTGCTATGGCCTATGATACATACATCGGATTCGGGTCGTTAAAGACTTCCCGTCCTTACTGCGCTGCTGGCGATCACCCCTATGACTGCTCGCGCGCACCGCCCGCAGCTCGTCCGATTAACGTGCGTTGGAGCATCGCGCGGGTGCCTATGCGACTGTCGCTACGCCTTCACGCTCTTCCAGTACGACCCATTCGGATATTCGTACTCGGTGATGCTCGCCTCGTGCACCTCGATGCTGCGCGCGATGCGGTAATTATCAGCGATCCACACAGCCCCAGAATAACGGACGGGGGAAAATCCCCACCTGTAGCCCTCCTTCGCGTTGCTGGGGACATTGTATCGCCCGTTCTTATTGATGGAACAAGGGTAGAGGAAGTGTTCATGCAAGTGGTCTACAAATTCCAACACATTGCGCTCCATCGTCCCGGAAATAGCGATATAGTCGATGAGGCTGTAAAGGGCGGATTTTTAGCGATCGATGGCGTTTACGCAAACGCGGACTGACCTCAGATGAATCACGTATTCGCAGAGGCCGACACCACCCGCATGAGGGCACACGGGAACGCCAAACCTGCCAGATCTGTCAGCACGGTCATCGATCATCACCCGAGGCGCGTTCTTACTTAGCAGCCATGAGCAGGACACTCAGCACCTCGCTGACGCCAGCGAGACGGCACGAGTCAATCTGGCAGACGTCGATGGCCTCCGCCTGCAGGAGCTGCTTGAACACCATGCGGTTGTGTGCGTGCTCGCCCGTCGCGACGCCGATGCCGTAGGGCTTGAGGGCCTTCCGGATCGCAGCGTGGCCAAGGATATCATCAGGCGCGGTGGGCTCCTCGATGAACCTGTCGATGGACATGTCAAAAATGTTGAACAACGATGTGGGGTTGACGAAACTGTGCTCACCAAGGCTTGATCGCTTCCAGGGTCTTCACGTATTCGATGGCCTGCGGGACGTCCCAGACCTGGTTTGCGTCGATCATGAGCACGCTCCCGGTCGGCCCTGCGTTCTTGCCAACCAAGTCGGGCCCATTCGGGTCTCTCGGCTTGAGCCCCGCGGGAAGGTACTGGGGGTCGTCGATGATGGAACGGATGATGGATCCGCGGCGCAAGTCCGACGCGGGGTCCGCACCGACCTTCATCTTGAAGTGGTTGAAGCCGGCCTCAACGGCCTCGCGCGTAAGACGCGCGACCTTCTCGTCGCTGTACCCGAGCCAGCCGGCGGAGGTGACGTAGGCGGGATATCCGAGCTCGCGCACTTTGGCCTCGCGTTCTGCGCGGGTGGCTGCCTTCTCCTTGAGCATGGCGAGTGCTTCCTCGCGCGTGATCGCGTCGGTGATGTAGCGGAACGCAGTAGCGTTCACAATCTCTTCCTGTGCGTGCAAAGGGGTTATAGTAACGCTCATATGTGATAGTTGAAGTACTGAAACGCACAGGTGTCATGTCAACGACTAGCTTCCAGAGAGGCTTGTTCCGGGACCGCGCAAACATGTCCCAGAGCGCATTGTCCACGGCACCCAGCGCGATGTGGATCACGCCCTTCTCCGGTCCGATCCTGTCCTATAGTAAGCACCGCGTCCCCAGGCCGTTCGCACGCGCTCGACCGAGCCGACTGACCATCGCAGCTGCGAGTCCGCGGACAGATAGTCCCACGTCTTGCCCATGTTCGCGAAGATCTCCTCGACGTCCTTGCCGACGAGGCGCTTCGCGAGCTCCTCGATCGCCATACACACGATGTCGTTCCCGCGGCCGATCGTGAACGTCATGCCGAACCCGGTGAGGTCCGAGTCGGTGAGGAGCTTCACGTAGGCGGACGAGTAGTCGCAGTCCGTGTTCATGGCGTCCGTGCCATCACCGCTCAGCGATGTGGGGAAACGGATGTCTGGGAATATGGGTTAGCACGTTCAGACGACAATAGCACACAAGCATGAGAATACGAGCACAAGTCGATTCAAGGAACGCTGTTTCAGCGCGAGAGACCCTCTTCTCCAATGATATGAACAGTCGAGCAGTCCAACAACTCTGATGATAACACGGGTGTGTCACCCCTTGCTCCGCGGATCCTAACAGCCTACCCGTACTCCAAACTGTCAGGATCGTCACCCATACCTGTCCGAGCCCCCAGAGGACACTCAAACAGGCACCGACGCCGATCATCATCCCCCCTCATAATCCACCAAGACGCCCAAGGGTGCAGCACTCACCATGCGTCTTGTATCCAGTGATTTTCGGTGCCATGTCTCCAAATCGTCCCGCTGGCACTGTGCGCTGGGGCAGAAGAGCGATGGGGGCAACATGACCTGCGCGGTGGCTTCTTATAACCCGCCGCCGAACGCCTCGAAGGTCATCGAGGGGTATCCGGGCCGCCTCTCCACCCGGTCCGGAGAGGCCGGCCGGCCCCCACCGTCCCGTTGCGCAAGCGCTCGCCGGGAGACCCGAGCCTAGGCCGTACACTCGGATGGAACTAACAAACGAACGACGCGGGCAGCTGGGTGGGAGAAGAGATGCGGGGAACGAGCCACGAGTCGATATCGATACTGCTACACATGGGAGGGTATCGTAGTTCAGGAAAACGTACTACGGGAAGGGATTTTCAAAGGGGGCGGAGCACACGTCCTGCTGCCAAAGTTCGTATGTATATCAGGAGGTGGGATATGAGACGTGGTGAGCCGAGATCCAAGATATCGCGGCTGTGTAACTGTCGGTGGGAGGGTCGAACGTCGGAAAACCGACGTGACAAGGGCGGGAAACGGATAATGCACAGACGAAGGGGGCGGGAAGCAGACAGAGATATGGTGCAGGTGCGAAGAGACAGACCGACGGACAGCGCTCAGATACATACATACGTCAGGGTACACATAATACAGCATCGTGCCAACGAGCCTCGGACCAGAACCGTGTAGGGAAGTAGGAAGGGGGCGGAGGAGACAGTGTGATGGGGGCGGAGGGATGTATGGGGGCGCAGTGTTCGAGGAGGGGAAGCGCGGGCGGGTTGTCCAGACGCAGGCAAAGTGAGGATGAGGGGTCGAATCGCTAGGACTAGTCCTATGATGATGCGGAGACGAGCGCGGTCTTCAGCAACGTCTGCCGTGCCTGTGTCGCATTCCCGTCCGGGGTAAGCGGACTGGGCGTGAGCGTCCCTGTGCTGTGTGAGCTACCGCTCAGGCTGAGAGGGCTGTCCCCCGACCCTGCAGGAGAGACCGGACTTCGCCCAACTGCGGGCCCAGGCACGGGCGGTGGGGTCTGTGACAGGGACGACATCGCGGTCGGGCTGGGGTTCCACGAGGAGCGGTGGAACGACTTCTTCTTGCGAACACTGGCTTTGTACGCTGCGCGAATGGCTGCGGTTGCCTCGTTGGTTATACTGAACACACTTGCGGAGGTAGAGGGGGCATTCGACGCGACGCTCTGGGGGCGTGACTGCGGAAGCTCCAGACGCGGAGGTAACGAGCCCTGTATCGACGGCGACGCCGGAGGGGATGCAGATGCGGGTTCCAAGACCGGGGAGAAGGTGGGCGAAGGCAGTGACGACTCGCAGCTCTCGTACTGGCTGGGGGTAGATGAAGAGGAAGACGTGCTGGGCGCGACGCTAGACAGTCGATGGTGGTGGTGGTATACCATCGGATACGACATTTCCTCGGGCTGTCGGAAGGATTCTGGTAAAGTCGGCGGGAATGCGGTCAAGAAGTCGTTGGGTGCCTGCGAAGGCCAAGTCAATGGCGTTTCGGGGGCATCTGGCGACAGTTCGTTTGGTTGAGCCGCGAGTTCGGCCGCGCGGGTCTGCCAGAGCGCAAGGTTCTCTCTCGATTGTGATGCGAACTGCTCGAACGCTGAAGACGAGTGGTGAGTAAAAAGGCGGATCACAATGTCAGGTAAACGTACACGGGATGCCTTGCGCAATGAGCTCGAACAACGGGCGTGCGAACGTCGTGTTAAACCAAATCTGACTGTTCGCCTCGCCTATCCGACTGTCCGACGGTTTGACAGACGACGGAAGTTGCAAGTGCTTCTCGAGGAGTAATTGGCTGCTCCACTCCGATTCAAGTGCTGTCGCCCAATGTTGCGAGACGAGGTACGGCCGACTCTGACAGGATTATTCAGGGCCCGAAGTCAAACATCATGCCAGGCAAATCTTACTGGATTGCTTATGTCCGCACACTTGATTAATGCCTGACAGACAAGGATGCGTCGCTGGAATTCCGGTAGGTCGGCCCCGGCGAGCATGTCCCGGAAATCCGTCATGAAGTTGAAATGAATACCCATGTCCGTCGCAAGCACCGTTTTGAGCAGCAGTTGGCGGAAGAGCGGGCCGGCAGTCGGTCGGTCGAGTAGGAAGCTCAGGTTATGATGTCGCATGATCTGGAGTATGAGCGAGTAGTGCATTTGCTCGAGTACGGACTTGTCGTCGTATACAACCGCTAATGGCGTCTTCGCATTTTTCTACTAATGACGTCAAGACCTGGAATAGTATGAGCGGTCCCGAATAAGCCGACGTACCATGAAGGCATTATTAAGCCCTGGATGGCCGACGTCGTGTCCTACCGCAGCGATACATAGCGCGAACAGGTCTTCGTCAGTTAGTAGGCCCACCAGCGGATCTGAAGCTTCTCGATCTCGTTTCCAAGTCCGGCCGTCTTCCAAGAGGATCGTTACGGGAGGAACAGCACCGGCAGAAGTCAAGAAGAAGTACACCGCCTGGAAGACGTCGAGCGCGTGCTGGAGATTGTGGTATGTGTTGGCTTGTCGGTATAGCTGACATAGATGTTGCAAGAAGGTCGCTATTGAGCCTGGCGAAAGATCTCGTCAGTGTCCTGCTCCAGCCATATGAGTGTGAACCCAGCAAGCAGATGGCGCATTCGACTGTGTGAGTGCGAGGCTGAAAGTTGCGCGGTATCTTGCACGCCTGAGGGCCCCAGTACCTAGCATTCGCAGAGTCCTGATACAAGTCATCAAGGCGTGCCCGTGTAGATCAAGCAGGTATTCACCCTCGAGATATGGATGGACATTTGCCGGCGACGCGGGAGGACTAGTCCACCAGGCATCATTCAAGCACAGTATGTGATTCATTGCACGGGGACGCTTGCAATGGTTCGTACTTCTGACAGTAGTATCCGAGGACGAATGTGAAGCCATGCTTTCAGAAACCCCGATGAGTCGGGCATTGCTCCCCCTCACCCCATTGAGGGGTATTGAAGGAACAATATGATACGGCACATATGCATGGAAAGGGCACTCACCAAGTGATACAGATACAGTCTCCTGCATGTTCTCTATTCGATAGAGCGCCTCGAAGAGGATATAGGAGCATGCGATGACTTCTTCCTCGGGAAGTTTGTGAGGCTCGAAATGCCAGGAGCTCAACGAGTGAATCAATCGCTCGTGCGTGTCTCGATTGAGCACCACACAACACGAGTTGCTTCGTGGGTGTGAATAGGGTGAACAGAGCGTTGAAGCGGCGGCAGACGTACAAGTGCTCGCAGTCCTGGCTGACCATCGTCTCCGTGTGCGCGCGGACGTCGATCAAGACTTCTGCATATCTACGGCGAAGATAGGTCGCGTCAGTACAGATGCCCGTCGAAGATGGCAACAGGCAACGCACCTCGTCTCCCCGCAGTCTGTCTCCTCCCAACCTCCCCATCCGTGACCCTGGTTCTCGTCGCTGAGGGCGAGGGCAAGGCCGCCGACGTCGACGCTGCGGCGCCTTCCCATGCTGTCCGACATGATCCCTCCCAGATGTATATGGTGTCAAGCAAGCGTGGAGTCTGGGCAACGAGGGGGACGGAGGGCTGGTGGACGAGGAGAGCGTGTGAGAGGGCGGTGACTGTGCGATCCGTCCCACGTGGGCATGGGCGCTCCGCCAACCCAAACGGTCGATCACTTGTCCGCCTCCCATCACCGCCACGCCGACGGTACTGCCACCTGCCGCGGGCGGGACCGTCCAGGATTATCTGTCTTTCCGCTCGTCCACGCGATTCCCATTTCGCATGTTCATTCTTGCTTCGTTCTTCCATGTTCCTTCTCCGTCGGCGTTCAGCCAGCTCCAGCCGCTAGACCTGCAGGCGGGCGCCCACGAGCAGCCTGTCTCCGGTGAGGCGTTTGTCCGGACTCGGTACCTGTCTCCTCGGTCGGTCAATCCGGTCTTTATTTCTCACATCGTCCAGCGCAACATAGCTGACCCCGAGGGATCTCCGGCACACGACTCGTTATCGACGGACCGCCGAGGCGATCGATGCCATCGCCCCTACCGGGCCACCGAGGTACGACCTGGTGCCACACGGTGCTCATCGTCCTGGCCAGAAAAGGCTCGCCGATTAAGACCGATGCTCTCTGAATGGACACCCAGGCCTCAGATGACGAAAACCGAGCGCACGATGCGTCAATCGTCAATGATCGTATGACTCTAAGCAAACGTTGCTGGTAAGTAAGAAAGAAGCCGCGCAATACCGCCGGCTCACCTGATAACCTTTTTTACTGTTTGTCTGACAGGCCTGTCAAGAACACGTTCGTAGTACCGCCGGCGCCGCGACGGTCCGCAACAGCCATCCTGCAGGATTTTACATCTAGTCCGGCCGCACGCACTCTGTTCGCGCCTTTCAAAGGGGGCAAAGGAGTAGGCGACGTAAGTTATAATTACCTCGGACGCCAACTCGTTGACTCCGAAACGGATGTGGACAAATCTGTCATTCCACGACCGGATTTATGTTCTCAGGCGCACTCCCATTTGTTTCTAGCATAAACGGGCTTGGAAACGCCTGCTTCCACGACGCTGCTGAAGCGGGTGAGCTATACCAGCGCGGATTCTCTATCCACCGTACGTCTCCAGTGAGCTCTCGGCTCCTATATTTGCGAATTCACTCCTTGAGAGGCAGAGGCCTGTCATAGGATTTTGCACTTGCCATCCTTGGTATTGAACTGAGTAGTGGGCGTTCTTGTTGGATATGTTATGCCACGTATACGAGGCGACTACTTACCCGCAGTCCGCGAGTGAATTTCCCTTGTATAGGTATTTGTCTCTTTTCGTTGAGTATGCCTTCTTACAGCCGACGCTCACGTAACCCCATCTAGAAGAACCTGCACTACACTCAGCTGTTGCGGTGCCCTGGTCTCGTTCGTGCCCAAAACGTGTGGGGACGAGCGTAGCTGAATGTGTCGATCGTCGAGAATCACACAGGTCACAGATACAGACAAGAACTTCAAGGAAGCAGTGCGTAGTCCCGTCACCTCGTTCGCTAGCCTTTCAAACGTTACTTGTCTAGCAAGCCTGCTAAGAACACGCTTGTAGTACCGCGGCTGCTGGTTTCAACCTGGAGCGCACACAGTTCAGCGTGGGGGGTGGAAGCTGTTTGCTCGCCCTATCGATTCAAGAACTCGGAAGATACTCCGCGTTCTCATCCTCTGGCGTTACAGCTTCTTGCTCGGATCTAGAGCAAATCTACACTGCAGCGGATACGTAGCGCAGTCTTACGGCTACTGTGAGCTCTCTTTTTCAATCCGGTTTCGTCTCTTACCATCAACAACCGCCAACGAATCCAGGTCACGGAATCCGACAGTCCGCTTATCGATGAAACGAGTTCGAGAACCCTGAGACCATCGCGATGTGTGGAAGGCGCACCCTCATCGAATTTCCTCAGCATTACGTGTCTGGTCCAGGTACCAGCTCATTCTCCGAGGCGCTTCGTGCTAGAAGATGGACGCAGCGTCTCGAACCAATTCCACAAACTTTCGACGGCCGTCGGGTGCTGTACTCAAACCAATCTCCGAGTCATGATCATCCCAGGTGAGTCCGGCTCGTTGGCGAACGGCTGCCTATGCCGGTCCTTCGCAACGCGTAGAACCGGGTACGTGTGTCTTCTCATACGTATTGACTCCTTCTGCGCTGCTCCTGCCGCCAGTTCGTAGCTTCGGAAGAATCAGGTAGGTGCTTCATTTAGTGTGACGAGGCGTTCGGTGCAGAACATCGCTCAGTCACGATCCCCTCAGGGTTTTCCACACTCCTTCGTGACCGCGTGGACAACACAAGAGCGTACGTACGCGATTTCTTGCCCTCAACATCTCGCCACACGGCGGGCTTTATAGGTATCCCATGACCTAATACATTTCTTCACGTGGAGAACGGCTTGGCTCTGATACAACGCAACCACCCTTCCACTCCTCGGATAATACAGGGCACCCCACGCCCCCACAACGCACGCACGGTTCCCATCAGCGCCATCTCCCACCCGCCCATCGATCCCGTCTTCTCGCAAAGCAGCTCCACAGATAGAGCCTCGAACGACTCCCGTGCCATGCCCTTCTCCCGCGAAGCTCTCCCAGCGAAGCCCCGCGCCCAGCCGCCCAACCCAGGCGCGTGCCGCAGCCGCGCAGCCGCCGGTGCTCCCTGCCGCCATACCTGCCACGAACCCCGGCGCGCGTGCAGACGGACGCTCGCCGCCCGCGCACGGCGTGCTCGCGCGCGCGGCGTTCCCTGCGAATCAGACTGAGAACCCGGGGGGCGATCGACCCGCAGATCCTCGCGCGGAAGCACTCCAGCCGCCTCTCCCGATGCCCCTCCTGCCTCCTGTGCTCGAGTGCAAGTCGCCGTCTGGCCGCGCCGTCTTCAAATGCTCGTGCGAACGATATCCAGCCCGTTGCGTGTCTGCGCTCCCTGTACACCGCCCGATCCCGCTGCCTCGACGCGATGCCCTAGTCGCTGCCTCGATCGCACTGGTTCTGTGCGCTGATCGTCTTGCCGAGGGTGGCCGCATGCAGACAGCGGCAGCGAAGGGGACGCGTACCCACACCCACTATCCCATGCACGCCTAGAATCAATTCAGCCCTCACCGCCTCCCCCTAGATGCCCCCTCGATGCCGGCACGCAGTCCCAGACACACGCAGTCCCCGAGCTCAGGCTGCCAAGAGATCTCCGCGGGAACTCCGCGAAGTGTACACACGCGAGGCTGTTACGGCACACCTCTGCGTTCGGGGTACAGACTGGCACCCTAGTCCACCGCGCAAGCCGTGCGGCGCACCAGGCACGCTCGCCACGGCGTGCATCCCTTCGTTGATCACCGCGGCGGCGCGTTTGATGCCCTAATGCCTAACGGACAGCGTGTGCGCGGACGGAGCCTCTAGTGCCTCCCCGCTATACGTACGAGTCCCGTCTGGCGTGCAAGCAGGGCGTGCTCCTGCTGGCACTTGGCAATTCCCTTACGGGGTTGGCTTGTGTTCACAGACCCGCGCGGTGTTTCCCTGAGGTGCGTGTCCGTCGTGGTACTATTGTCCGTGTGTTCGGAGCCGGGAAGGCGTTTATTGCTCCCGCGTCGTCGAGTTTGCATGCACGGCTACAGTGAACATTCAGCCCCTGACTATTCCTTGTCCTCCGCGCATGCCGCGAACAGGCCTGTCCGCCCTTTCGCGTAGATGGGGCTGAGGGTGGCCACAATCATCAAAAATAGGCATTTGCCACGGCCGATACGCTTGCGGCTACTGGGCGGAGAAGATGCGCAGACGCGCACCTATCGCCTTCGCGAACCTTGGCACGGATCCCTCACGCCCTCATCCAAGCTTCACCGTTCAACTCCCAGAGCTGTCGGTGCCCTGGGTTCTATTGATGCCGTACGTTCACAGGTCATGCTAAGATACCGGATTATTGCCGAGCTCGCGATTTGACTCTGCAAGGTGGCACCTCTGGATCTAATACGAAGGCTACTTTGTTGAAAGCTCTGGATACCGCGATGACAATCCCTTTTCCGTGGTCTGAATGCCGGCTGGACAGAGAATACCGACAGGATATGCGTAGAGTGCTGCCATAGCCTTGTGCCTCCATGTCATGCGAGGAAATAGCGAAGACCGAGGTCCACCTCGATCAACGCTCCATGTCATGGTTCAAATAGTACACTACGGCTTACTCGCAAGTCGTGTAAGATGATTCAATGCAATGAAAGCACTGGTCAGTTGCTATTTGAACGCAACATGGAACATGTTCTTGCGTATCCGAGCGGCTGCGGCTTCGTTGTGAAATATACATAAAATGTCAGCGTTCAGCTCCCAGAGCTGTCGGTGCCCTGGGATCTACTTCCGCCGTACGCTCACAGAATACTTAGCCTTGGATGCCGGATCATCGCCGAGGACGCAGTTTGACTTGGTGCGGGCTCGAGGAACGGGATCTAATTGAGTGTCTACGAATCCGAGCACCGCGAAGATCATTCATTTCTTGTGTAGTAAATGCCAGATTGACAGAGAACATCGGCATCGGTGGGATATGCGTAGAGTGCTGCCATGGTACTTCTAAGCTATGTCCGAGTCAGAAAATGGCGAACTTTGTGTTCGGAGGTGGCAAGTATGGATCTAATAAAGAGGCTACTTTGTTGAAGTTCCCAGCACCGCGATGATCATTTCTCCTTTGTAGTATGAACATGAATGCCGACTTGACAGAGAACATTCGCAGGTGCTGCTATGGCCTTGTGCTTCTAGGCTATGCGAGGAAATAGCAAAGACCGAAGTCCACCTCGATCGACGTTCCATGTCACGGTTCAAATACACTACGGTTTTATCGCAAAACGTGAAAGATAATTGGACGTAATGGAACCACCGAGTAGGCAGCACACGCAGCTATCCATTTCAACCTACGACATATGATGGGTGAGTACTGAGTATCGACTAGAATATATTCGATTTAAATAAGTGTGTACACATCTGGAGGAAATTGAATCCAAAATGACACCTCGTCGATCGCCCTCTTTGCAGCATTGTATTTGTGTCTCATTCTTCGTACAAACGGCGGTTCTCCAAATCGATCGACGGTCAATTTCACGAGGAGGTTATGCACTGCAATCTAGTGGTACGAGACTCCCCAGCGCGAGTGTGGTCTGACAGAACTAGGATTTATATATAGATACAGCAGCACGAAACACCAAGTAGATACATGAAGCGACTCAACACGACGAAGCACGAACCGAAGCGACGAGAACCTCAGCGAAATCTCCTTTCAGTACCACGGGAAAGGGGTCGGACTGGCCGACAACGTAAACTCGGATGACAGGGAAACGTTAAGAGCAGGAGCAGCGGGAAAGTAAGCATACAGAGGGGGGTGCACAGCGATAACACAGCAGGATCGGGGTATGAACCAAGCAAAATAACAGCGAGACCAAGCAAAGCCGACAGACAGTAGGAAACGTAACCAGGATGCGGGATATCTAGGGATGGATGCGTGCGGGGCGAGACCAGAGAACGTAAGACGACAGCGACAATACTAGCACATAGACAAGATACGAGCGAATCGGGGGATAAGGGGATGTATGTAGGTTTGGACGTAGAGCAGCGTAGGTATACGATACGACACCATATGATACGATACAGTACAATGACAAACGGGCGTGCGTGCGATGTCCTAGCACGACGCTCGAAGCAGGAGCACTATCCGACCAGCAACTGAGCAGGCGCTGCGGCGGTCCAAGAAGATATGCAAGAAAGTCCGTGGCGAGCGATAGTCGCGTGGCGTGGGTGGGATCCTGCCGCCCCCACGCGTGCAGAGAGGCATGATCGCCCTCTGGGAATGATCTCCCGGGCAGATCGTCGAGCAGCGGTGCGGTCGTTGAACGGGCGATTCGGGCCGGCGGGGGCGACGATGTAGATCGTCGCGCGGGACGGGGCGTCCGGGTCGGAAAACGAGTCGAGCCAGGAACGCGAGAAAAAAGGGAAAGCGAACGGCGGAGCACACACAACGCATCCTCAGCCTAAACAACGCCCCAATCAGCACCGCTCCGAACTGCGACATAGACGACGGTTGCTCACGGTACCACGACGAGGACGAGCCGGAGGACGCGTACACCTCCGCGTTGTACCTGCCCGAGCTCGATCCGCCGCCGCTGCTACGGGGGTATCCGCTGCTGTCGTACCCGTAATGTGCTTGTTGCTCGGGCTGGTACGTCTTCGCCACGCTGCTCGAGCCGCCATACATTCCGTAGCGGCTCGTCGACTGCGAAACGCGGGACACTGCCAAGACAAACGCCGTGTCAGTCAAAAGCACTTCACACAAATATACTGGAATACGCACGGGATGGCTGTGTGACGGTCTGCTGCCGATGGTACCCGGCCGAAGACTCCACCGTCCCGTCGACGTCCCCGGACTGGTAGCGGAGACTCCAGCCCAGCGACTGCGCGGGGGTCATGATTGGGGCAAACGTCGGACTCGCCGACGTCGCTCCGCTCCCAGAGCCGTTGTCCGCAACGGAACCGTACCCGGAAGACGCGTCCCACGCGTCCCCGCTGTCAACTTGCTGGGGGTAGTCAAGGCTGAGCGCGGGGGACGCCGTCCCCGCCGCCGTGTAGGAATCCGCCCTCGTCCTGCCCGTGCGTGGGCTCCTCATCATACCTTCATTCCCGCCGCCCGTTCTCCTCGGGGACGGGGGCGAGTGGGCCGCCCCGTACCCGACCTGTGCGCGCGCCTTTCCCTGTGTCACGCCGTACCGGTACGCGTCCTCCTCCTGGGGAATAAGCGGCTCGACGAGGTCTGCCTGCCACTCGAACTCGATCGGCTGCTCCCTGAGCGGCCCGACGACGATTCCCCCCGGACCCGGCTGCGTCGCGGCGGAGCGGATGCCGTCGTGCATCGCGAAGCTCTCGAGGCGGAACGAGCACATCATGCTGCGCATTTTCGGCGGGGCGTGCGTCGCGCGGAGGGGCACCTCGGGCATCGAGCTGGGGACGGGGTCGGCGGGCACGGAGACCTCGATGATGAACTCGCCCTCCGGGTCTTCCTCCTTGATCGGGGGCGAGACGGGCGTCGCGGGGACGGAGGACGTCGTCGAGCCGCGGCTGTATGCGTGCTGTTGGGAGGGCGAGTGGGACACCGGGTCGGCAGGGTCTATGGTGTACAGCGCGGCGTTGTCCCAGGAGGCATTTTGGAGACGGGGGGTCGAGGAGGTGGAGTTGGACGCGTTGGTGGTTGCGGCGGCGGCGAGCGACGAGTACGACCGGGCGCCGGACGAGTACGAACTGCCACGGTGGCTAGACGACGAGCCGCGTGCAGTGGCCGCTGCTGACGACGACGACGAGGGTGTGGACGCGTTGGGGTGGTGCGAGGGGGCTGCGCGGGAGACGTTGGAGGAGAAGGAGCGGTGGGAGGCGTAGTCGGGCGGGGCGTTGTAGGCAAAGGACGCGGTTACGGAGGAGTGGCCGGACGAGGCCGGCGGGGCGGCGGCGGAGTGGTAGGCGTTCGCGGAAGCAGAGGAGTACGAGGACGGTGATTGGACGGCGGGTTCGTGCGCGTCCCAAACATAGGCGGCGCCGGAGGAGCCGGTGCCGAGGGTGTACTGGGCGTCGTTGGCGACGGCGTTGAGTGAGGGCTGGGCGTAGGAGAAGAACGGGACGGGGTCGTAGTGGTTGGCATAGCGGGCGTCGGGGACGGCGGCGGCGACGTAGTGGGCGGCAACAGACATGGGGACGGGTGATGGACGGTAAAGTCCGGCAAATTAAGAGGAGGTGGGAGGGACAGCGGGGCTGGATCTGGGCGGGGATGGCTGGGTCCACGGCAGGCCGATATCCTTCTATATGGGCAAAATCAAAGCCGGGCCTTGCCCCGCCCGCGTGACTGTCTTCTCCCCTTCTTCCCAAGATCCACACCGCGACTCTTCCCGCTCGTCTCCCTTTCTCCCTTCATTCCATGTCCTCCCGTCCGCCCCTGGTGGCTCATCATGCCCATATATGGCAGGCTTCTTGAGGGGATCCACACCTTGTTTGGTCGGACCAAAGCTTCCCACTCGCGTGTATACGTACGAGATCCAGCTTCAGATCATCGCCCTCGCGCCCAACCGATCTCGCCTCCCGGCCAGGAACGACGATGCTCCTCGCCACTCCTCCCTCTTCGTCCGTATCGGCGCGAGCCCCCGTCGCGCTGCGCTGCACCCACCTCGACGTTTTCCCTCGCCGACATTCCAACCCAGCGAGCCAGCCCACGGATGTCCGGTCTATAAACACGGGCAGAAACACGTTATCAGCCGCGACACCCAAACTCTCCACACCCTGGGCACGCGGGAGCACTTACACGCGGCGGAGAACGTTGCCACAACGCGCCCCTCTATTTTGTACCTGCGCCTCTTCCAGCAGGCGGCCCGCGCCCTCCCATTACTTACCGATCGCCGGCGGCGAATCTCGTCAAGTGCTGCCGCCGATGCAGCTAAACGCTCCCGGCCCTCCGTAAGGTTCTTCGCCGCGCTTGCCACGCTGCGCCTCTGCGCAGTGCGACCTCCCTAGGCTGGGATATGAGCTCCGCACGCAAATGAACACTGTTCCCCGGCCACTCACCCATAGCCTCCCACCGCCTCCTTTCCGTGTTGAACTGCCCAACACTTGCGTCGGTGGATAGATTTTGACCGTCTGTGGCAGCCCGCGCCTAATGGGGTGGGTACACTGGCGCCCATAGTTGTTACGTAATGTGCGACGCGTGCCGGGTGTGGCGTATTTCCACCGGCGTCTCGCGAGCAATGTCCCGCATTTGGAGCTCTTTTCGTGACTGTGGCAGGGCCGGTGCGTTGCGCCCCTACCGCCAACTACCTCGTGCGTTCACCTTCTCGCACTCCGCCCTGGCAGCTGGCACTTCACGAGGGTCCTCGCAGACCCTCCGCCCCTCTCCAGGCAGAGGCTCGAACGGACAGCGAGCAGCGAAGCCCGAACTCTGCCTCTGCGTTGGCCCGACTCGTCCTCGACAATACTCCGCTGAAGCCCCGTGCTACTGTACGTCTTGGCGACTCGCGCGCGGAATCGTGGCCCCTACAGCTGCTGCTCCTCTTTCACCCCCTCTCTCTGCTCGATTGAACGTCCCAATACACACGGCGCGTTCGCGCTCAGGCCGGACAGCGAATTGCATCGTGCAGGGCCCGTACGTCCGTCCCTACTCCGTTCTGCATCTCGAGCTCCTCGCGCGGCCAGCATCCCTGTCCCTGCCGCGCCATGCAGCTGGAAATCGTAGCCCATCGCGGCCCGTCGTGTCGCGTCGCTTCGCGCGCGAGAAGCGCCGCGCGGTAACGCGTCGCGTCGCAGCAGCGCTTCTCGCGTGACAGATGGAAGCCGGGGTTTCCACGCCCCTCGGATAGGCTCACCTCGCCTCCCAGCTGCCACACTCGATCGCGCGCCCGCGCGCTCGTTTCTCGATGCCGTGCGCGTTGTTGTAGCGGGCGGGCGGGCGCGGGCGGAGGGCCGGCAGGGGTGGGCGCAGAATTGACCGGATCTTGCGGGTTCTGGTTTGCGATCATATACGTTCGACGCCGATGCGATGCACCGCGCCGCGACGCGTGTTCGCGTGTGATGGAGGGGTGTCCGGCGTGTATTTGTGCCTGGACGCCTGGACGCGTTAGCTGGGATGTATGTACATGCGATGCGCTCGTTCGTATGCACAATCGGCCCGCTGGGCCTGTCGCTGACCGATCTGTGTGTGCGGGCGAGTGATTCGTAGCATGCTGCTCTAAAGGGAAGGTGGTACGAGCGCGAGCGCGCGAGATACATTTCTTCCCCACAAGAACAAGGCGTACTCGCCCGTCGGGTGACTTACAGTGACGGCGCGCGTGCGCGCTGTTGCCCCACGTTGCAGCACGTGCGCGCCCCTTCATCGCAGGAAATTTTGAGGGACCCGGCGGCGACATCGGCTATCGAGCACTATTCGGTGCACGAAATTCGCCAACCTGAGGTTCCTAGTTCGGATGACTTCATCGGCATCCTGATACATCGACGGCCCAGGCCCACCCCCTGCCCGCCGCGAGGGGGTGATGCAACCGTCGCAACGCACTGAGAGGCCGTGCGATCGATATGACCCTGCTCCGCGATGAATGATGCCAATATGCAATATTCGCAGGGCGAGGAAGGGCGCAGACAGGGCCCGCGACGGGCACGCCGTAATAATACGCGGGAGAAGGGCGAAGGGAGAAGAAGACGTCGCTGGGGCAATTCGCCGTGCCGTTTACGGATGTGGGAATCTGTTCAATCCGACAACGCAGAACTCTATGTCCGCCGGCGAACCGTAAACCATAAATCGCCCGCAGGCTGGGGGCTCGCCGGAACACCTGGAAGGGGGGTAGCGTGCAGCGTCCCCGGGCTCCCTGCACGGCAGTCAATGATCCTGGGGCCGAGTCCGCGCAGGGGCGGGGGCGGGGGCAGCACGCTACCTCGGACGCGAGAACACGACTCGTGCACCGGTCCCTACACGACTACACGATAGACTCAGATCGGCCACACGCACAATCCCCGCCAGACTTCTCCCGCCCCTTCTTCCCCAAAACGGCGGCGTTCCGTATGGCCGTCCGAGTCCGCCCCTCTTCACGAACCGGGCGCGTCGGACAGCACTGGCACATAGTACGTACCGCAGCAGCCGCCTATGCCGTGTTCACTAGTTCGTGCGTACGTGTATCCCCATGTCACCCCAGTACTTTGTGTACTACGCAACCAAGCACGCCCGCCGCCGCCAACCTGGCGGGCCGCCGTGCCCAATTCCGAATTTCTCGGGCACGGCGTCCGTCGTCCCTCCCAGCCCGAAGGTTAACTCGAGTCACCCCAACCCACCCTACCGCAGGCGCGAGGGCGGCCATCACACGTCCACCACATCATGTATCAGCGGTAGCGCTACGCTACGCCCTTAGCTCCAGGTGTGTCCAGCGGCCAGGCGGGAAGGCGGGAAGGCGAGGGTTGTGCGGCGCTTCGTGCTTCGCGAAGCGCGGAGGGCGGCAGGGCTGGGGGACGCATCACGCCTCCCGTGCGTTGCGCTGGTGGTTCTTCGCCGATGCGAGCCTGGAGGGCGGGGGCGGTGGATCGGCCGGGTGGAGAGCGTGAGGTGAGTCTGCACGCCTATCTTCCGGGCCCGAGGGCAGGTTCGTGGCCAGGCGCGTTCCATCGTCCATCTTCCAGCTTCCGGCGCTCGGAAGGTGGGTGGAGCGGGGTGGGTGTTAGGTGCGCAGTTGGTGGTTTGTTCTAGCCGTGGAAGGACGCTGCACCACATGGCTCGTGTGGATGAGAACGCGGAGGTGAGTGCGGGCTCTGACCGCAGCCTGGTGGCGACGGGACGCTAACGTGATCTGTCAACGCGTTGCGCGCCACCTGTTGTTCCAGGGCTCTCGAGGGGGCGCACCCGCTTATGGTGGGCGTGCTATTGGCGGCATCCCTAACACCGCTTGTGTGCGGGTTCTCAAGGCCGACACCATTGAGTCAAAGAACTCAGCCACAACCTATGGCATCGATATCAACTCGACAATGAACCACATCACTCAGGTTCTTCTCCGAGTCCCAGGGACACGGAGTCAATATTGCACACCGCAGCGATCTCCAGCCTCGCCCCAGCACCTATGCATCATATAACCACCCAGCATCCATCCGATCTATACACGCCCTCGATGCCACCACCGGCCGACCGCCCCCGACCAGCGCACCCATCGAAAAGAAGCCCGTAGACACGCACATCAAGCTCTCGGCTGCAGCAGAACACAGAACACACCGCGCGGACCTCGAACCCATACCGCGAAGCATCATGCGTCCACACCCGCCCTCCACCTGCATTCACTTCATTCAGTCCATTCAGCTCCGCCCACAGAAGGCCCTCCTACGCCCGGACGCCACATTGTCAGCAACGCATCGTAGCCCGTGTTCGCGCCGCGTGTGTGCGCCCGGGATACCCGAGCACCAGGCGCCGAATCCGAATCCGATCCGGGGCGTGCAGTGCGTACGTGCTGCAGGTCCGCCGAGGCCGATATTATCCGCCCGCTCGCCTCACTTGCTCTCTCGCTTCCGGTGTATCCGCGTCGAGGTGACGAAAGATGTGCCCCCTGGGGCTTCTGTTGGTCCTCGGGCTCGTACACGCTGCCCCCGCACTCCGACGCGCATTTTGCGCGGGTCAGCTGGTAGGTTCGGAGACTGAAACTGGAGATACGCGTCTGTGGATCGGCTGGGGAAGGATAGGCATGTATATGGTATGGACCGCCTTTATCCCAGAACCCGCTGGATAGGCGGAGTTGGACAAGCACGAATCGATGGCGGACGCGTTCCGCATTCAGCGCAGTGCATCTAGGGCGGCAGGAAGCTCCGCCATCGAGACGACGGTGCAAGTTCGCTATCAATTCATGCACCCTGGTGGACTGGGACTAGTCGGAGCTGCGAACAGCGCCAGCAGGGGGGTGGCGGCCCCAAGGCACGATCTCGCCGAGGTATGCTTCGCCCCGCTGCTTCCATTGCGCGAGACGAGTCGGCGCTGACCGCAGCGATCCGGTGCAGCGAGGCTTACGCCGCGCGCCGGGGCTATCGCGCGTGCGCGTCGCACAAGCTCCTTGCTCGCGCCCCCGGGTCGCTCGAGATCCCTCCGAGTCGGCTCGGCTCGCTTCAAGTTTCCCTCCGTATCAGAATCAGCCTCGTACGTGACGGCGACGGCGTTCCTGTGTCCGACGCGGATGGGGATGGGATATGGGCGGCATGCAGAGCATTACCGTGACCGTCGGCGGTGGACTGGCACTGGCCTGACGCTGTAGGCTGTCGAGACTCTGGCGGGGCGGCGCTGGCTGACACCGTGCCACGCTGTCGTGTCCCGGGGATACTTCTGCGGCGGCGCGTTTATCAGCGAAGGATCATGCTCAAGCTCAGGTTCGTCTTCAGTCTCTGTCGCAACTCTGTATGGCTGCGCTTACGGTGCACGCGTGGGCCTCCCGAACCCATCGTACTCTCATATTAGATAACGGAAACCATCGCCTCGCCCCAAGCTGGCTGAATCGGGCGCCAGACCCTGGCCGCTTCTGCTCCCGCCCAGGACACCTTCGAATGAGCCGCGAAGCACGAGCCTCGTGTATGCCACCGTCACGGTGCAGGTCACCCCCGATCCGAGCACCCAGGAGACACGCCTTTGTCCAGGGACAACGCTAGACCCTGTCGAGCATCGACCATATGACACCCTCCGAGGGCAATGGACCTCCACCCGCCGGCCTCCTACCCCATATTCCCGCCACTGATCTACTGAGGGTAGGGCGTTGTAGATTGCGACACGCACCAACTTGTCGGGCGGGCGGGACGTGGCGGCAACCGAGTAGGGAGGGAGAACGGAGGCGACAGCGGCGTGCGCCGGGGGCAGCAGTGACGTCCCGCTTACGCGCCCTCGTCGCGAAGCGGAATCGCACCGGGCAGGGCGGGCGGGCGGGCGGGCGGGCGGGCGGGCGGCTCGGCGGCGGTCGCCCGCCAGCCTGTCGTTATTCCGCCGTTGGGAGACTCTTTGGGGTTAATAAATGGAAGCGCAGCGGCCGCTGCCAGCTGTGATCTGGCCGTGAACTTTCGCGGGGTGGTCCGCGCCCGGTCCGTGGCCGAGTCCCCTTGCTGTGGTGGTGGTACAGCGCCGGGCGAATGTGTGCTAGCCTACGTCAGACTGCACCCCCTGGCTTCCCGTTGAACATAGACCAACGATCGCGATGACATAGCGTGTGCATGTGCCGCCGCCTCGTCATATACTGCGCCCGCGTACAGGGTCCTAAACCCAGCGGCCGCGCTGGAATCTCGTACCACTCCGTTTTCGGCTTTCCGGGCACGCCCTCGCCCCCCGTCCAAACGGGAAACCCGACATCCTCGTCTGGCGACACGCGTGCCGTCCGCTCCCGTAAGCCCCCACGAAAATCGCGTCTCCCTAAACCTAACTCTGATCGATGTCTGCTGTCTTTGCATGCCTCGCGCCCAGTCCCGCCCCACGCCTGCCACTCCCTTCTGCCAACCAAGCTCGCGACGTTCGCTGCAAGAGTCTCGCTTACCTGAGGCATATTACCCGGATGGCCTCGATGGTAACGAAACGTCGAACGTGCACGGGGCGAGCCTAAGTCCGCAGATACCACAACTTGGAAGAGGTCTACCCGCACTGGGAGACGTAGGTACGCGAACCAGGAGGCTTGAAGTTGGAGATCGAGCCTGATGGACGGTTCATCTGTGCGATGGATTGGATGCCGCTGTCGCGCGCGGCCACGCTTCGCGGATGCGGCGACGCTGATCGGTTGCGCTCGTGCGTGGAGGTGGCCTGCAGTCTGCGCCCGCCGGGGATGCCGGTGGTCTATCGGCTTGTTCTGCACATTCCGCAAGTGTTCTAGGGCTGCACCGGAGAGCCGTAGATCCCCTTTTGGGTGGTCTGTCGGTCTCCAAACGGTCAGCGAAGTCTGCTATCTGGCAAACAGTCTGCGCGGGCGTTGATATCAATATCGACCAACGACAACAGCGCGATTCTGCGTCATCCTATCGCTACGGCAGCATTCCACGCCGTCACTCAACGTCGAGCCACCCACCCTAGTACACGCCTTCCACGTAATAGTGACAATCCAAGATAGAGTCGAGGAGCCGAAGCAGAGGAAGGCTACGAACGTCGTGCAACAGGGCACGTACCATTAGAACAAAAGAACCACGCGCGCCGTGTGCTGATGACGTTTCTTCTTCTGCCAGCCTTGTCAGCCTCACGGTATGAGTGTATGAATGGGCTCGCTTCCTGATTATCGCCGCGCACTCTGAGGGCGGTTCTAGAAGTCCCTGGCTACCCGTGAACGTTTGAACCTTGGGGCTGCGTAGCCTGCTGGCAGGCCCTAATGTGGGTGCACGCCCCCCACGTACTTGCGCCGGGGGGAACACGGACGGGTTCGTTCGATACATTTGCTGCTGCAGCATAGGTGAGATCCTCGCAGTACTCATACGGATCATGCGCGTACTCATTGCTCAATGCAGTAATCCCACCACCGGTAATATCTCGTTCAAACCTGCCGCCGGCCCACGATGGTGTCTTCTCCGCGTTCTTGAAGGCGAACCCTCCCGCTTACACTACAAGGGCCGGCGTTTATCCCGGCGTACGCTTGACGCATGCGGCATGTGGATCTACCAAGTCCGGCGTGCCTTTCCGGCAGATACTCATTTACCCGAGATTCGAATTGACCCGTTTGACAGATTGGCGCGGATGACACGCACACTGCATCCGTCACCGCCGCTGCGAGGCTCCCCGACGTTGTTCAGCATTCAACGTTCGACGCTAAATTTAATATCGCGCGTGCGCGTGCGTACGTTGCGCGGCGACGCGCTGCAAATGAACAGCGGCTCATAAAATAGGACTTAGAGGGGTCGTCGAGACGCACGGTGTTCGGAACGTGAGTCCTAGCGAAATTAAGACCGTGGCCCGGCTGAATAAACTCTACATTGAACCTAGCCTTTTTTCAGCCTCTCGATTCTCGCGTCACGCCACAAGTACTGAGGCATGCATGTACTTACTGGCGAGTGGTTATTGGTGCGCACAAACGATATGCCGACGAGACCCACCGTCGTGCCACCGCACAGACCATCGATCCTTCTCGCACCTCAGGACCCTGCCAACTCAAGAAAGAGAGAGGACTTCCCAACAAAGGCGATAGTCACCGGAGTGCCCAAAAGCCCTTCTCCGGCCATGTCAGCCGTGCACATCCTTCCCAGGTGTGTCTCTGCGAGCTCCGTGCGCCGTCGGAGGAGCCACCGGCAGGCACGGGGTCGTCTCGCCCGAGCTATGACCCGGCATGGATGCACACCTGAGGCGGGTCTCTGGAGGATCCGCATCCTGCGTGGTGGATCTGAACGCTGCTCTTGCCCTGTGTATACGGAAGTCTGGAGCTCGTCAGCGGTCGGGGCACGTCGGGGTTGCCGCAGTGACGATCCCCCGCATCTTCGACAGGGGAGGCCAATCTGCGCCGACCTCCAGGGTCGGGTCGCCTCCAAACCTTCCCGCCGCCGCCTCCACGACGTTCGGGCAGGCGTCGACAGCGGTGAGTGCGATTTCCTGTGCTGGACGCAGACGTGCTGATCTTTTCCGAGGTGCGGCTGCTCAATCACCTCGGCCACACCGGTCAAGCTGCCAGTGCCTTCGTCTCTGGCAAACTATCTGCCGGCCATCCAGCGGTGTCTCAACCCGCTCGTCGGCGGGAGCGTTACACGTCGACCGTGGCGGACCCCTCCCGTTAGGGCGCCCCATCTTCTCTGCGTGTAGAAACGTGCAGGACTCATCCGCGCACCTCCCCTGGCTTCCTGCAATCCCACGTCACTCCTCCGCGGATCACCGCTCTCCGCAAGCGCATCTCTGCAGCTGCCTATCGTGTCCACCCTGTAGGCTCCCGGTACCTCGACCCGGGCCTTCCGCCCGGCTTTGTCCATGCCCATAGCATTCCTGGCGTCGAGCCCCCAATCTGCAACCCCGGAAGATGGCTCCATCCCGCCACGCACGAGGAGGCCTGTACAAGCATTGGCACGCCGACACCTGATGCACTTGATGGATCGTCGCTGCCCCGGGCCCCCCCTGCCCCATGCCGCGACTCGGAGCCCTTTTCCCGGCGGCGCCGGCGCTGCGAAGGCTCGCGCGACGCGTTCCATGTCAGACCAGCCACGCTTCGATGAACAGGTTCAGTCCCCGAACTCCGCAGGCGCGATCCCGCCCCCGACGCGGTTAACAACTCGTCACGCTCGCAGCGCATGACGGCGCGGGCGCGGTGCAGGCACATCACCGCGCCCACGTTCTGCGCCTCCCGCGGGCGGGCTATCCGTCCGAGTCGATCGGGCACCGGTCGTGCTCCTGCGCGAGCTGGGCCGCGGATATGGCGGTACGGACCTCCAGCCTCCGGGTTCCTCGAAGGTGAGTCCAAGCCACTACTCGTCCTCGACCTCTTCCGATCCGCGAAGCATGTCCTCGTTCTCAAGTCTTGTCCCGCAACCGGACGACAACATAACCATGATGTTCCTCATGATGATGTACACGATATCGATGTTCCGATGCTAAAATACACTTCACTCAGCGTGGAGGGTACGGGCGGCGGACCGATAAGTGACCGACATCGCGGCGCGGTACGTTGCGTGCAGGACGCGCTGCTGTCACTGCGCCGCACCGTCTTCCAAGTAGCGCGCGGTATCCAGTGTCAGGCTGCGCCACGCTGGGAAGGATGGCGGGGCGCAAGTATACCCCGGGCGCGGATGGATCCCAGCGTTGCGCTGAAGGTGGCAGGAGGCTGCGTCGGGACGTGATTTCGTCCGTGATAGGAGCATGTTGTATGGCCCAATGAAAATATTTTTATTGAGCTGTGCCCAGTGCTTCTTAGCCGCGCTTTGTGAGTGAACTCTCGAAATTCACGTACGCCCAGAAAGTTGGCGAGGTAGATATCTTCTGTCCAAACGCTGTCCACTGGCTGTCTACACATGGTTGGAACCCAGACGATCGCCTTAGCTGAGCAGCTGAGCCCGACTGGCGCGTAGTGTACGTCCTCGAGGCTGACATCTGCCACCACGCTTCGCCTTTCCCAGCTAATCAGAAATCAAGCGAATGTAGCTGTGTACGTTTTACCACAAGTATTGAGGCGGACACATTCTGGCCCAGGAGGTTGGCGAAGTGGATATCTTCTGTCCAACGCTGTCCTGCTGTCTACACATGGTTGAATCCCAGACGGCATCTCTCGAGCCTCGATTGCCTTGGCTGAACAGCTGAGCCCGGACAGCGCGTGGTGTCCTCGCGGATGAATCGATGACATCTGCCACACGCTTCGCCTTCTACAGCAACTCAACAGTACGAAGCTATCAAGCGATTGGAACCGCGTACCCCTACGCGTCCCGACATCGTGCCGGAAGCTGGGGCTTGAGGAGCACGGTTGACGTCTGCCACCACGCTTCGCCTTCAAGTAGCGCGGCGAATCAACGAACCAGCGAATGCAATGCGAAGGCAACAAGCCATTGTGATTGTGTAGTACCGGTACCGGGCCCACGCGTCCCGACATCGTGCCGGAAGCTGCGCCACGCCTGGACCCCACCTGCGTCGGAGTATGTACGGCACGCGTTCGCGCCTCTTGCATGGATGTGTGGACGCGAAGAATAATTGCGGGCGCTCTACGCCCCTCGAGCTCGTAAGCGTGCGGTGGCGGGCGGGCGCGATACGTGGCTTCGCTGTCCATTTCTCGGTGCAGTGGCACAAGGTTCGAGGCCCGCTGCGTCCTGGCGCGTCTGTTCACATGCGACGATGCTACAGTTACGTAGAAGGCGCGAAGGACTCCACCTCGATGCGAACGTCCGCGAGAACCGCGTTCGCGTTGGGGGGCGGACTTCAAACTTGTTATGCGTGGCGTTGGAAGAGATGGCGGACTCCGAACTTGTCGTGCATCGAGCTTCGCGGGTGGCGGGTGGCGGAGGGGTGAGGTGAATTGGGGGCGTGTGGGGGAGGAGGCGCCTCGATCCTGGGTGGCGGCGGGGCGTGCACCGATGTGATGCGTTCGGAGTTCGTACTGGACTGAAGAGGGTAGGATCGGGTTCTGCGACGAGAGTTGGAACCGCGCCGGACCGTGGGCAGGATCGTACGTAGGACACGTAGCGATAACGGACGGATCGTGTTGATCACGTCGACGTCGTGCCGTACAGGGGTTCGACATCGTGTCTAGGGGTATGCGCGGCAGATGTTGGGGTGATTGGCGAGATGGGTGCGCGGCCTAGTGGGCGGTAACTTTGTTGGGCTGCAGCTCAAGCTCAAGCCAGAACCTAATAATGATGAGTGTATCGTCATGGCGTGCGTCAGATGGTCGCTGATGCTCACATGTATTATGAAGCCACATGAAGGCGGGGCCATGATGCACCATACGGTGCATCGTTCCTCCCGAACTCCGCAGCTAGGCGTAGCGATAGATGACGGTGCTACGTCTTTGAAGCTTCAGAGGGCTGATTTAGCCGATGTTTTCTCTCGTAAATTGAACATACGCGTCTGTAGTATCTTTTCCAATCGGGATGATAGGCGACAAAGAGGACAACGCAATTCACGTTCAAGCGTTCAAGCTTAGGCGATGTGAAACACCAGCGCCACATGAGTAGCTGCCATAATCGAGAGCCGTCGGGCTGTGGGCAGGATGTTGAGACACATAACGTTAACGGACGGATCGTGTTGATCAGGTCGATGTCGTACCGTGCAAGGAGACAACATCGGGTCTAGGAGTACGCGCGGCAGATGTTGATATGATTGGTGAGGTGGGCGGCCTAGTGGGCGGTAACTCTGTTGTGCTGGAGCCCGAGCTAAACCCTATGATGACTGGAAGTTTGAGTCCACATGGCGTGCGTCAGGCAGTTGCGGTGACTCACTGACGTGTTCGTACCTACGAAGCGCGTTGAAACGTTGAGGGCGGGCTTGGTTGTGATGGATTGTTCATCCTCGACCTTTCAGGCTCGCGGTTCCGTGATGGACAACGGTACTACGCCCGTGGCGCCTCGTAGAGCTCGGATCTCCGGTAAACCGTAACGTCCTCCTCGGAGGTTGGACGTCCGCGTCCGTTGGATCTAGATACCCAACCAGAACACAGCAACTATCAGGTTCACGCGTTAGAAGATACCGGTGCCATAGCCGCCCTGTTGGAAGATCGTAGGGCTGTGGACAGAATCCTAAGACACATACCGGTAACGGACGGATCGGGTCGATCACGTCAATGTCGCACCGTACAGGGAGATAGCACCGTGTCTAGGATTATACCCGGCAGATGTTACGGTGGTTTGAAGGATGGGTGTTGGATGGGTGTAAAGCCTACTGAGCGGTAACTTTGTTGCATTGCAGCTCGAGCTAAACCTGATGGTGAGTACATGTCTGAATCGTCATGACGTGCGCCAGATAGTCGCTCATACTCACTGGCATGTGTTCGTGCCTAGGAAGCTCGTTGAAGGCGGGCTCGATTATGATTCGACCTTTCAGGCTCTCGATTCCGTGATCAACAACGGTACTACATCCTTGGCGCTTCAGAGGGCTCAAATTTCCGGTGATAGGTTGATCGTCTTACTTCGAGAGAGAATGTCTACGTCTATAAGATCTTTATATCCGGGTGATAAGCGACCAAGAGCATAGCGCACCTCATGTTCAAACATCCAGACGGTACAGAACGCCCGTACCACAAGGCTGCATTTGAAAATTTATATGGTTGAGCTTGTTTAAACCTGAGTGGAATTTTGCATTGAGTCAGTACGAGTCGTCTCATCGAAGGCTACGGGACGCTGGGGTGCAGCACGACGTACGTTGACGTCGTCTTCGAAGAGATGACGATGGTTTCTGAGGATTCAAATCTGTCAGACGAGCTTGTAAGCATGCACTCGAAGCAAATATGGGTCATATACAGTATGACACTGACCGAAAAACTCTAAGCTACTCAACGAACGCTGCCCAAAGCCTTGATTTGTGCCTGGTCAGTGCCGGTGGTCAGTACGCACGGCGCTGATTTGAATCTGATCTGAAAACGGTAAATGAGTGTTATGCATGGCGTGTAGCATCTATCATCTAACAGCAACTTGGACTACCTTCGCCAATACACTGTATATCATAAGCCAACCGGTCTTGAAGCTTGAAGCTTGAGGCTGCTTGAGGACGGTAGCCGGAATGTTGACGGGACTCATCGGGTATATCTCCTCTTTGGGACGCCGGCAGACACCGAACGGTCCGCAAGCTGCCGAACGGCACCGCTACCGCAAAAAATTGACTCCTCTGCTTCCTGGCTTCGACTCTCATTCGGGATTCAGGCTCTCTAGATTGTATCCGCTCAGACTATGGTATCCTCCTCTTGGCCTGTATGAACCTGTGCGAGCTACCGAATGTGTCTGGACTGCTTCACCTGTGCGGGGATGTATCGGGCCTCTGTCCACGGTTATATCTTGGCCGTTAGTCTTGGAGTTTGCACCTGTACTTGTGGTCCTTCGGATATACGAATAATGACTTGAGCGTTCCATGTTTACCCTGGATCCTGCTTGCTGTGACATGTGCGATGATATGTTGCCGTCCAGGAATCTCTATGGCTCGCTCGTCGTTGGTGGGGACATCTGTCGCCGTCATTTGATGCGGACAACGGCGGGGCGAATATCCTACCTCGACTCCTCCACAAGGGCCCGCGGTGTTCACAGCACGGTGTTCACTGGAATAGGACAAGCCTGCGGTCCATTACACCGTCCAAGGGCAGTATAGGGCATGAAGTTAAGTCTCTCATCTTCTGATCATCCCCCACCCGTTTCCCTCAAGACAGCGGGCCTCCGATGTCGGAGAGATGCCCAACAGCTGCCGTAGCATTGGACTCGTGCTCGAGCAGAAGCGGCTGCTCCTCCAGTCATCGTCGCTTCTGAGCCACAAACACGCTTAAGACGTCAGCCCATGTTCTTTACCGTCTTCCATGCACTGTGAGTAATACATGAAGTCTCTCATACTCCCCTTGAAATTACCGGCCGTTCTCATGTCCGATGTCTCCTGATCGCAGATAAGCAATTCTGACGGGAGAGACTTTGGGACAGTGCCATCGGTGTGCGTGTCACCTAAATCCTATTATCGCCTGACGAGAAACACCGCCTCACTTCGGCCGCTGGAAGCCTGGCACAGGTTCACGCGCGTCCCCTGCCCTGCCGTCCTACCTTCATGCCACCGTCCCTGACTCGTCAGCGTTTATCGCCCTATCGTCTACACAGCCCATACTCAGGGATGCCAGCTTCCTTGCCCCAAGAGGCCATCGTCCGAATATTGGATTCTCTCTTTCAAGATCGACAAACCCTCTGTAACTGCGCCCTCGTATGCCGACAGTGGCGTTCCCCGTGCCGCTACAACCTCTTCTATCGTCTCGCAATCTCTCACCGCGCAAGCTTCGAGCTGCTCGTACGCATCCGGGACGAGCCCCACATCGCTCGCGCCTTCGAGAACGTACGATCACTTCAGCTATGGGACGACAAAGACGAACCATGGATCCACCTCTTTACCCATATGTTCTACCGCCGTCTACCGCAGATGCACTTCCTCACTTTCGGCGATTTCATCTGGGACATCCTTCCTCTCGATCCGAGCTTTGGCGCCACCGGTAACCGTTTCCCTGCCGTCACCACCCTCAAACTCGCCAATGGCAGATTCCACAGCTTCGGCGATTTCAGGAGACTCGTATGTTCGTTCACACAACTCATTCACTTGTACGTGGAAAACGTGGAGTGGCGTGCGATGACATCCGCTCATGGCGCCACATCCGTGGACTCTGGTCTCCAATTGCTCTGGTTCAAGTCACATTCCAAAAGTGCCATCTCCGCGCTGGCAGACTGGCTTGTGGGATCCCCTTCGACCGAGTCCCTCAAAGACATCCAGATTTGGGAGCAGTATAGTGACGACCTCCCGGAGGTACAGCGGCTCACAAAAGCCGTGGGACCGAAGTTGGAGCATTTTCAGGTGTCTCTGCAGTTCTGGACTCGAGGTGCGTCTGCAGACCGATTTTTACCTGCGGCGCAGCTCATTTTGTGCTTCCTTAGATAAACGTCTCGATCTATTTGCAAACACTTCTCTCAAAACACTCCATGTCAGGGATATCGACTCTTCCTCCTGTCAACATCTCCCCTTTCTGCTGGAACATCTCTCTCCTGGATCGCTGCAGGACCTCTCCCTGTACCTGCACATACCCTCGCTGGACGATCTTGGCGTCCTGCGGGGTCTCTGGGGGGACGTCGCGGACGTCCTCGCGCGCGACGCCTTCGCTCTGCTCCCCATGGTGACGATATGGCTGGTCCAGGTTCCGCCTGCTGCTGCTATATCGACTGCGGACCTGACAGGGGAGCTTAAAAGCTGGACGCCGCTCGATCCGGAACGGACCTACTTGCGCGTCTTCCCGCTGCTGGCTTTCGACGGATGAACAGGTCAGGTCTGGGTGCTGCTGCGGGCTCGCGAGCTGGTATGCGGACTTGGCTGGCGCTCGGGGAGACAAGGTTCTTACTCTCGTTGCTGGCGCTTCCTGCAGGTGTTCCGGGCGGCTCACGGTTGGGTTCGGCGGCGTGGTGCCTCTTCGTCTGGCGTGGTCGTGGTCCGCTGTGGGTCCTTGTATGTCTGTCTCTGCGACCGCATTGGCATCATTGGCATGGAAACCGGAGAAGGTTGTGGTCTGATGTTTTCCAGGGCGCGTCATCTATCATCCAGCGCTGAGGCTAACCCATTCTTGTACCCAGGGCAGAATACGTGGCGGACATTGACCCAGGCTCACACATAGGTAAGCACCATTGTCTCATTGCGATCCGGGTATGTGGTCTGATCCGCTCCGCCAGTTATAGACGTTTCTCTGTACTCGCAATTGTTTTGTTTTTCACCAACCATACATTATTTTTCAGACTACCACCATGCCCTGCGGGCGCAAAGCCCTCCACTAAGGGAATGGGAACGCCGCCGGGCTGCGGTACCCGTTTGTGCCCACCGCGCGCACGCCGAACACGACGTTGTCCTTCGACTGCAGCACCGTCACGCGGTCCACCAGCCCCACCGGAATCACGTTCGTCCAGAACGGCGCGATCGTCGGCCGCCACAGCACCTCGTACCCCGCAAGCCCCTCGTCCGCCCCCAGCGTCCACAGCAGCGTGCTGTTGTTCGTGAGCACGGACGTGTCGATCGTGACGTTAGTCGGCGTGCCGGGCGCCTTCGCGAGCGACCACAGCGCGGCGCCGTTCACCTTCGCGACGCGCGCGATGAAGTCGAAGTCGCAGAACTCGATGAGGTCCCCGAACTGCTTCCCCGTCGAGTCCACGCGCACGTCCTGGTGCTGGTGCGCGAAGTCCTCGTGTGGCTCCGTGAAGCGTGCGGCGGGGAAGCCACGCTCGAGGAACGGCTCGTGGTCGCCCCCGCGCAGGAAGCGGTCCAGCCGGTACACGACACGCACTACATTGGGACGCATGGTTAGTTGTATGGGTGGGTGTGGGGGCGCGGACAGGCGGGAGAAGGCCAGGACGCACCTTTCATTCCCGTCGCATCGTTGGTCGCGACCTCGTCAACGAAGCGCGCGAGCTCACGTGGCGGACTGTCGTTCTCGCCGCCAATCGACTCGCGCGTCGCCGTGCGGGCGGCGCTCTCCGTCGTCGGCATGCCCTGCGCGAAGAGGCGGATGCTGAGTGGGTCCGCGTCGCTGCCGTCGCCCTTCGGGCTGCCCACGATGTCGTTCGTGAACATCCCCTGCACGTCCGCTCCCGCGTCGTCGAGTATCTGCGCGAGGTGGTCCGCCCCAAACAAGCCTTGTTCCTCGCCCGCGACCGCCGCGAGGATGATCGTTGCAGCTGGGGGCGGGCGCTGCACCATCGCGCGCAGGAGCTCGAGGACGACGGCGACGCCCGACGCGTCGTCGTCCGCCCCGGGGGCGTCGTCCGTAAAGTTCATGATGTCGGTCACACGCGAGTCGTAGTGGCCGGTGATCACGTACACCCTGTTCGGGTCGGACGCGCCCTGGATAGTCGCGACGACGTCGCTGATGTTTGTCGGGGTCGGGATGCGGCTCACGGGCTGCTGGATATAGCTGGGGGTCGTGATCGTCACGTTCGTGCCCGGGCGCGCGCCCTTCGCGATGGACCGCATCTCCGCTGCGAGCCAGTCGCGCGCCGCGCCGATCCCGCGCACGGGGTCCGTCTGGCTCGAGAGCGTGTGGCGCGTGCCGAAGGAGACGAGCTTGGTGATGATCGTGTTTATGCGCGCGGGGTCGATCTGCGCGAGGATTCCGCGCAGCTCGGCCGTGGGGGCCTGCGGGACGAGCGCCTTGCCCGGGCCCTTGGGCCAGATGTCGGTGGGTGCGCACTGCCGCCTGAGGAGCGCGTTATCGTGCGCCGCCGCCGAGGTGGGTGGTGGGGCCGCAGAAGCTGCCTGAAGGACGGCTGTGAGTGCGAGAACGAGAAGCCCGCGCGAGGCGGTGTGGGTGAGGTGGAGCATGCGAGAGAACATGGCTGCAGCACGCCGTTCGCCTGGGCTTCCTCGCCGCGCCGTGCTTATATGGTCCGCGCGTTATTGCGAGTGCTCAGCTCCCGCTCGCACTTTTCTCAGAGTGCGGTGTTGCGGCGGATCAGAAGGCGTCGCGGACGCGCCATATGATCCCTGCTCGCGTTGCAGGGGTAGCGAGCATATGGTCTCTGGCATGATACGGCATCGTGCACGGCGAAAAGTGTGCACGATTCTGGCGCGCGTCCGCGACGGGACGAGCGGAGCCCACCGCCGCGGGTCATGAGATGCATCCGAGGCTTCCGTGAGTATTTCGGCGTCGAGTTCGTGCTAAATGTGTGAGGATGATGGGGTGCTGTTACGGTATAGATAGGCAGTAAGCAGGATCTGCGCAGTTGGCCTGTGGGATGCTCAAATTGCGTGGGATCGGGAGAAGAGGTGCAATTATTCGTGCCTGGGCCTGGTCTACTTTCATGTATTGCAAGGCGTGGAATGTGTATCGATAAGCGATCTTGTACTCAATCCAAACCTCTTTAACGTCGGGCTCCGAGTGACGATGCCTGCTAGTCTTGCGAACAAGATGGTCAGTGGGCCGACTAGAGGCAGTTCGCGGCCATCCGACTCGAACCACTGCAAGGGACTGCATGCGAAGCCCTCGAGAACCTAGCTTGTACGTGAACAAGATTGAACGAACCTTCAACCTACTGTCACCGCTCGAGGGCAGTGCAGTGACGGTGCCCACGGCGGCGCCCGTATATAGAAGCCCTAACGTTTACTAGCAGCTTCTGTCTATAACTTCATTGGCGACTACGAGACGAGCTGCCTTCCGGACAACTTGCTTTACCATCCACCACCATTTGGACATACACCAAGGCTAGAATATTGTAAGCACGTCCACAATGCACCAATTCATCAGCTTACGCCATATCCAGAAATCACGACAGACAGGGTAGAGTGGGTTGGTGTTGTGCAAGCTGGTTATGCGGATGCAACCTACTATTGAGACCGCTTTCAAGCGTTGTCCTCGAGCGGAGGCCCAACTCGCAAGTGTCTAATTTGATCACTTCGGATGATAAAACTCGCTGTCAGCGCATTCAAGTTGGAGGCATTTAAGGCACCCAGTCGACCACAGCAAGCATCTCCTTCGCATGCAGCTTCGGCATGGCATTCAGAAGCGCCAAGAAGCACTCTACCAGGTTCGTGCTATGCTGCATGTCCAGCATCACCTCGACCTTCTGCACGATGCTACTGCTACAAATGTTTATGCAACTCCCTCCGACCTCAGCCAGCGTTGACAACGGTATCTGTGCCAGCGCGTGTAACACAAAGAAAATCGAAATCAAAAGGACGCATAGAATAGCATTTCTCACGCTAACTTACCAAAACAGACAAGATAGCAACACTTCCTCGAGAAATGTGTGCCAAGCTCTAATGAGCGTTGTTCACCTTCGGCGCCGGAAGACGAGCGGCGCGCGCTCCGGGCTATAATACCCGTCGGCATGGTCAACATCACTCCTGCTGGTGGCACAAAGGACGGAAGAGGAACTCACTATATGGTCGTACTGTGTTGGCTTTTCAGCAGCCGCGCCTTGCGCTGCTCGAATGTCTCCCCCGCGAAGCACGCCTCCTCGCGCACCTCAACCTTGTACTTAGACACGATCGCCGTCAGCACCGCGGTTGCCTCTGTCTCTGAGAACCTGGAGCAAAAATTCCTCAGCGAATGAGCACCACATGTTCTCGAGATATAAGCCCAACACGTACCCGCGGCCGATGCATCCGCGCGGGCCACCGCTGAATGGCAGAAACGCGTCGCGCGGGTAGTCGCCCAGAACTCTCGCCGGCTTGAATGCCTCCGGATCGTCCCAGTAGCGCGCTAGCGGCCAGCTCGTCAGCATATATTACGTCGAATGGGCACGACGGATGACATTGAGCTTACGGTTGTTGTGCAGGCCGGTTGGGCAGATCGCGACATACGTCCCGCGCGGGACGGCCAGGCTGCGCTTCTCGCCTACCGCGTTCGTGACCATGAACACGGTATCGTCCGCGCTACACTTTGGAATCTCGGCCGCTGGCGGAAGGTGTCGTAGTGTTTCATTGAACACTCTGTTTTGCGACAGTGTAGTTAGTATGTACGACGGTGGGACGGTATAAAGAAAAGGACTCACGCTAGAGCGTATGAAAACGAGCTGAGCTCCTCGTATGCCTACCAAGTGGTTGTGAGTAGCAGCGAGGAAGAAGGAGGAAAGAGGAAAGATATACCGGAGCTCCATCCGTTGGCATGGCCGCTCTGAGGCTCTGATAGAACTTCTCTTGTTCTTCTTGATAAAGCGCGAGGAGGATGAACGCGTATGCGAGCGTGTGTGATGTAGTCTATATGGGTTCACATGAGCCGTGTTCCGAGGCATAAGTATAAGTATGCTTCGAGACGCACCTCATATCCTGCGACCAGAAATATGAAGATATTGCCTGTGTGGAACAACTTCAATGGGGGGAGCATGTCACAGCATATACGACAAAGCACACACCAAGGAGCGCGTCATCCGTTAGCTTCGCGTCGCTCTCGAGGGCGCTTTCATTTGCGTCCAGCAAATTATTCAGCAAATCGTGCCGCTCCTGATTCTTTGTGGACTCCCGGCGCTCCTTCACCATCTCCTCTAGGTACTTCTATCCAACCGTGCGTTAAGTTAGCTATGCAGAGTGCAGAGAGACAGATGTGGGACTTACCCTGAGGTCGTCGTACGCGCGTGCATAAAAGCGCATTCCAGTGCCCGGAATGCCGAGGCGGAGAAGCCACTTCGGGAAGAGGATGGTAAAAATGAGCCGTTTGGAGACCTCTTGCAGCGCATTCTTGAAAGTAAACGAGTATCCCGCGGGCGCAGCATTGTCCTCGTTCCACGACATCCTCCGCCCGAAGCTTGCCACCCCGATCACCATCATCCCGATCTGCAATCGGGCGGATTAGCAATACGCGCGGAGTGGGTGATGGCGAGAGAGGGACTTACGGGGTCAGTGAGGTCTATGACGTGGTTGATCTCGACGACGTCCTTGTCCCTCCAGACAGTTTGAAACATCTCGTCCACGATGCGAAAGGTCTCATTCCATACCAGTTCGTTATTCCGCTGTGATGATCTCCTGTAAATATTGTGTTCTATCTCGCTGCGAACGGGAATCAGTAAACGCACCTCGGAGAAAGCTGGTGCCGCGACTTTCCGCTGCCGTTTCCATTCGGCCCCCTCGGTGACGAGAATGTTGGTTCCGAAGGCCGAGAGCGACTCATAGACCTCAAGGGGCTTCGGGAAGCGTGCTCGCGCTCCCATGATCTCCTAAGGACGAAGCAGATCTCGGTGAGGTACGAGCGGTATCGCGGAGCACGTCTCGTACCTTTGCAATGGCGGGGTCCGCGACGTACAGTGTCAATTCTGGCCGAGGGAAAACATTCACCTAAAGAGACATTGCGACAGTGAACCAACATGAGCTGCAGAGTTGCCACTCGCGGCAGCGAATGTGACGCACCGCAGCCACGATGTCCCATCCTGCTCGTGCAAAGTCGGCGTACTTGGAGTGATACAACCACCGGAAGCCGGGAGAGATCCCACGCACAGGAAATGGAAAGAAGAGCTGTCGGTTGTGGAGGAGCGTGCGGAAGCCGGGCCAATCGCTGCGGCCGGGTGAGTAAGTCCGTGCATCGCCGTTTCGAGTGTCAAGAGCAGCAGCCTGAGGATAAGCGATACGTACTTTATGGTACGCACAATTTGACGATATGCGATATACTTCCTAATCGCATAGAATAGCAAAAGGAGAGCGAGGGGGACGGTAGCTTGAAAGATTATGGCCATAGCAGTGGGGGAAGTGAGTCGGCAAGGGACGTATCACAACCAGATATATGTACCTGGCAGGGAAGCATATGGGGAGGTAGGCGTATTTCCCCCTTTGACTTTGAGGCTGCTGAGAAGCATATTGGGTTCCGAGCAGCTGAAGCCCAATGTAGGCCACTTAGGCTTCAATCTGTCAGAGAGCACGGTGGATGTGACTGAAGAGGGCGCAGAGTAAGACGTTTGCCGTATTCCGATAAGGCGATACCTGATCGCACTTACGGCGCAAATCATCGTTCGGAAAGCACATGAGGGCCTTGTCATGGCGAAAAAGGAGAGATTGGCATCCAGGACATGGATATTCCACTCCTACGACTCATTCTGGTCTACTGGACTCAGCCGGTACTTTGGCTGGCGCGCGTTGGAGTCAAGGTCACGATGGCGATCCACGTTGTTCGTTGCCAAGCGAGACTTCTATACAGTCACTGCCATTCAGAATCATGTTGATAGAAAGATATGGAGAGAAAGCGATACCGGCGACGTACTTGCTCTGTCGCCTTAGGCCCTGTGCGCTGTCAGATTGAAGATAGTTAAGGCACCCAGTCGACCACAGCAAGCGCCCCCTTCGCATGCAGCTTCGGCATAGCCGTAGGCAGCGCCAGGGCGCACTCTACCATGTACGCCCCATGTTGCGCGTGTAGCATCACCTCGACCCGCTCAGCCAGCGCATCATCGAGGGCATGCAGTCCGAGCGTGGTCACGTCGGCGATCTGTATCTGCCAGTACGCGTTCAAACACCAGAGCTTGATGGTGAGCACGCGCACGGTCGTGGGGATATTCGCGAGGAGCGCGATGCAGACCTCGGCGAGCGGGACGTGCGGTATATCCGTCAAGTCTGCGGGAGGTACAGCAAGCTCAACCGAGAGGGTCCTGAGGGAAGTACACGCGTGGAGATTGAGCGCGAGCCAATGCTCTGTGAACGCGCAGGTCAGCATGTGTCGTACGGCCGCGGGTCGGCAGAGCGCACCTGGATCATGTTCGTTGGGCCTGATAGGGACTGCCACGAGGAACGGGAGATGGATGTGCGCCGCACTGCGGGCCGCGCTCTCCACTAGCTGGCCGAAGCTGCGTAACTGCTCTATCCTGCGCGTCCGTTGGCCACTCACACACTCGAGCTGAAGCGAGCGGAGGCGCCCTGGGACGAGGCATTCGCGCAGGAGGTTGTAGAGGGTGCTTGCTTCCGATACGGGTGGGAGGCCCACATCCTGGGTAATGAATGTGCCCACGGAGACTGTGCTGATGCGGCGTGCGGGGTCCAAGGGCCTATAGGGGATATGCAACCGGGCTAGCTTCACAGTGTCGACAGATGCGAAGAGTGTGACAATATCCAAGACCGCTACTAAGGAAGGATACCCGATCGGAGCACGACAATTCTCGATGGTCAGATTCTTCAGCCTTTGTGTGGGTAGATGGTCTGGGGCGTCTTGGATAGCGTTTAGCGAGTCAATCACCCAATTGAAGCTCCCGCAGGCGAGGAAGTAGCATCACCAGGTCGCTCAGCTGAGCGCGTCCGATGACAGGTAAGTCGTCTCGGAGTTTGTGACGTGGTGTCCATGAGGTGTATGCAAACGTGAGGTGAAGCTTGCGTATGTGCCATGCGAGGTCGGCGTTGGCTTGTAGGAACGCTTCGAAATTGGCGAAATTGAACTTGAACGTGATCTTCAGGAAAGCGAAGAAATACGGGATGGCGACCTGGTTCCACGCACGCGATACGTGGGAGCAGGCGAGGATGCTGAGTTTGTCTTCCCGTATGTTTTGCAGAACAAGGTCGAGGAGCTCAAAAGGAAGTCTGTGAATGCCATGTGGGGAGTCTGGAACGGTACTGCCTGCCACGTGAATGTTATGTTCCTCTTTCGTCGTACTCATCCTTTCTGAGTGGCACAGGCGTATTGATGGAGGCAGTTGTCGACTCCGCAAAGGATGTGGGCAGAGGATAGTTATACACATGGGAGGCAAGTACCGTTGGGACGGTGGTGGCGGTGCGCGGGTTTTCCTTATCAGTAGCAATTACATAGCGAATCGAAAGCTGAAATTGTCCTTCACTTAGACTTAAAGTAGTGCAGTTTGTCTGCAGCAAAGTCATCCGCTATAGGGAAGAGTTGAACACAAATATTGTACTGTATGTCTTCAAAACTCTGTCCCGCCACTGAGTTGGGAATATTTACACTAAGTAGTCTCCCCTACTATTATCCAGTCTCAAGCTCCAACGAGCCGCGTTCACCTGCGCCTAAAGACCAATGGTGCGCGCTCCGGGCTACGGCAACAATCAGCAACACTCTTGCCAAGGTGCACAAGAAAGCAGGCAAGACGCACTAGACGGTCAGACTGTGCTGGCTCTTCAGCAGCCGCGCTTTGCGCTGCGCGAACGTTTCCCCCGCGAAGCGCGCCTCCTCACGCACCTCGACCTTGTATCGCGACATGATTGTTGTAAGCACCGCGACCGCTTCAGTCTCCGCAAAGCTAGAGCGCAATATTAGTTCGTGGGCGAGATAGTGGCGACACCAGCATATGAGCGCACCCGCGGCCGATGCACCCGCGCGGGCCGGCGCTGAACGGCACAAACGCGTCGCGCGGATAGTTACTCAGGAACCGCTCCGGCTTGAACGCGTCTGGGTCGTCCCAGTAGCGCGCTGCGCGACGCGAGATACGTCAATGAGCGTCACATAGTTGGGCGTGCCCACGAGATGGGCACATACGGTTATGATGCAGTGCGGACGCGGAGATCGTGATGTACGTCCCGCGCGGGACGGGCAGGCGCGCCTGCTCACCCGTGGCGCTCGTCGTGGTCAATACGGTGTCTTCTGCGCTGTATTTTGGGATACCGATGACGGGCGGGAAGTGCCGCAGCGTTTCGTTGAACACGCTGCAGTATGTACCAGAGGGAGTGTGTCAGCAAAGACTAGTTGAGGGACACAAAGGTACGCGACGTACGCTAAAGAGTAGGAGAAGGATCCCATGTCCTCGTATCTCTACGGAGAGTGGCAGAGATCGAGTCAGCGCCGTGCAGCGATATGCAGGATACGGAGGCGAGGAAAGACGGACTAGGGCTCTGTCCTTCGGCATGACGGCCATAATGTTCTTGTAAAACTTGTCCTGCTCCTCCTGGTACAGCGCGAGGAATATGAGCGCATACGCGAGCGTGTGTGACGTGGTCTATATGTGTTCATGTTAGCCTTCATCTCTCAGCTGATGTATGAGTAAGGGCAGATATACGTCATGACCGGCAACCAAGAACAGGAACACATTTCCTGTGCGGACCGGCATCAGTGTAAGAACTTGAATAAGGTCAGGACATGCGTAGCTCCGGACGCACCAAGAAGGGCCTTGTCAGACAACTTCGTGTCGCCCTCGAGTTGGGCCTCGTTTGCTTCAAGTAGACTGCTGAACAGATCGTAACGCTCCTCGTTATTCGTCGACGTCCGGCGTTCCTGCACCATCTCGTCCAGATATCTCTGCTCGACCATATGCTAGGTTAGCTATCCAAAGTATAGAGGTACCACTGTAAGACTGACGCTGAGTTCGTCGTATGCACGGGCATAAGAGCGCATGCCCGGAGTACCGAAGCGGAGAAGCCACTGTGGGAAGAGAAGACTGAGAACGAGTCGGTTCGACACCTCGAGCAATGCGTCTTTGAAGGTAAGCGAGTGTCCCATGTGCATGGCACCGTCCTCCTTCCACGACATGCGCCGTCCAAAGCTCGCCGCACCGATGACCATGAGCGTAATCTGCGGGGGGTTATAGAGGTGCGCGTGTGTGCTGGAGGCGGAGGTGCGAGGAGGCTTACGGGGATGGTGATGTCCAGGACATGATCGAGCTCGACGGCGTCCTTGTCGCCCCACAGGTTTTCGAACATGTCGTTCACGATGCGGAGTGACTCATCCCATACGAGTTTATTGTTCCTCTACGACGGGCGTGAGTACGAGGTGTCTGCCATCACACGGTGAATGGGCGTAACATAGGTGTGCGCACACCTCAGAAAACGCTGGTGCAGCAATCTTCCGTTGCCGTTTCCATTCTTCCCCCTCGGTGACGAGGATGTTCGTACCAAACGTCGCGAGCAGCTCATACACATCGGTAGGCTTCGGGAAGCGTGCGCGCGCACCCATGACCTCCTGTAGAAAGGGTACGATCTCGGGCGTCAACACAAAACAATACTCGTAGTATCGCAAAACGCGTCTCGCACCTTTGCAATAGCGGCATCCGCAACATACAGGGATAACTCGGGTGAAGGGAGAGCGTTTACCTGGGGAACCGTTGCATAGACCAGCGGTAAGCCTCACAGCTATTTATGAGTCTGAGTACATTTCTGACGCACCAAGGCGATCACATCCCACCCTGCCTTCGCGAAGTCGGCGTGCTTGGAGTAGAACGGCCACTGCGCGCCGGGAGAGATCCCGCGTACCCGGAATGGGAAAAACAGAAACCGGTCGTTGAAGACCGTGCGGAAACCGGGCCAGCCGCTGCAGCCCGGTGAGCGTCGTACCCACGACAACAGAGAGCGAGGTGGGAGTACATACTTTACGGTGCGAACAAGCTGTCGACACGCGGTATACCTCTTGACAGCATAGAGCAGCAAGAGAAAGATGAGGGGGACAACGGCTTGAGAGATCATGATGCTTGGGGCGTGGAAACGGGGCCAAGCAGCTAGCGAGAGTTGCCGGTCCGTCAGTTTATATATCGCAGGGAAGGGCGCGGAAGTGGATAGGGTTCCTCATATTGCGCCGACAGAAGGATAGGTTGGCGGTTCGATTTACGAGATATCCCACCGGCAACACGCCAAGCTGTCAGCGCACACATGATCCTCTGCCGCAATAGGATCACAGGGTGCGACAGGGGTGGTAGACCTTGTAAGCTTTGTGGTAAGTGGGTACGGTCAACGCAGAGAGAGAACCCAGCGACGGCGAGGGGGAGAGCCTACAAACACCTGTGCGAAGTGGCGGTGAGTACGACTCGTACGAGATGCGCGGCGGTGAGTAACGTATTCCGTAAACACGATCCCACGCTCATTCAGCGTACTCGCAGGCTACATGCGCACGCCATGCTGCGGCGAGCTCTGGCGGCACGCTATCCCTGTCATGGACGTCCAAATGTTAGCTGGATAGACGTAACGCTAATAGAGATTAGCCCGAGCACGGTGACTTACTTGACGCAGACTCTGCCATCACTGTTGACGAAAGCATGAAGAAATGGCTTGGCAGAGTCCCATAGAGATTACAAGAAATTATCGCACTTTCCCTGAACGCGAGATGAGAATCAGTGTTGCAGAAGGGGGAGTTCAAAGTTTTGGAAGAGGGCCTATGTCCAAGCTCAGCCGCGGAACCAAAGTGCGCACTGCGCACTGCCAGGGCAGGTGCTACGCGCTTATCTCGCATCCTTGACATTTGACTTGCAGGCCTTCTGTATATATGTTCCAGGTATTGATTTACTGGACAGGCCGCCGCTCAGTGTTGATGTGGGCCTCAGAGGGGCAGTTTCCGGGAGGGTGTTGTGTTGAATCAGCCTGAGTTTGCGATCGCCGCCGCCAGCGACGAGCGCTATAGTGCCACGTGTGATGGTTTAGGGCGTCTCCCTATTTCTTTCGTCACCCAAGTACTCCCACTGGCACCCTCCTTCCCTTATGTACAAACCAAACTCGTGTATAGGACATCAATATTGGCCCAAATTTTCAGTACGTGTCGTCTGTGTGCTTCGAAGCAATGCCAGCTAACGTCCTCTTTCTAGAGGCTCCGCCGTATTCCAACACAAACTGAGTCTCTCCCTCGAGCTGGTAGCGGCCCCACCAGCAGCAACATTCACCCGGGTCAACATATCTCGAACACGGACAAGAAAATCGTAAACTATCTGTGCATCACTGCCGCTAGGTGGTCCCCAGATTTGGGCTGCAGCACTTTCGAGTTTAGTATGACAACGCCGCATGCTCGCGTAATCCAGTTCTTTTTTCAACGATTCCAAGACGCCACATAAACCCGAAGATCTTCGTGGCTGCTACAAGCACTTGCAACCCTAATAAGAGACTCTTATGCGTTACTGATTGCTCCAGAATTGCAGGAACTCTTAACCGCCCATCCTCGTTCTTTCGTGACTGCGTCACGCCTGTAGATGGACAGCCTCAGCTGTCGAACGCACTGGCACCTTGATCGATCCCAGGACACGTTGCTCCTTGCCACCAACACGCAACTCGCTGGTCCGAGCCTGCCGCAAAACCCAGCCAGTGCCCACAAAGCGAGCTTGTTACTCGACAGCCGACCATCAAGATGGGCATTTCGTGGTCACGAGTACGTGTTCGTTGATACACTCGACCTCTCGCAACACTCACAGATAAACCCCGCCCATAGCTGATGCGCATGTGGTGGGGCGATACTCCCGCGCAGGACGGTTATACCGAATCTTCGCTTCCATCAACGACCAAGGAGGCCGTCTCGGACCAACAGGACGTCAAGGAGCAAGAGCCTGTAAGCTGCATCTCAGCATACATGCCACAGGATTCGGAACTGACCTAGGCGGCGCACGTAGCCCAGTGTTCCCTGTACGATGGAGCTCCGCCTTATGACTGAGACAGACTCGCCCTCTAGGGCCCCGAACGCCTACACCATCTCAATCGACGGCAAGCACTGGACGCTCAGCGAGCCGCTCGACATCAACTCCGAGACCCTGCCCCAATACGTGTGCGTGTCCTACGTCTGGGGCTCCGGACGCGTCCCCAATCCCGTCCACCCCTCTATCGAGATGTCCGACCGCACGCTCGCCGCATTCGCTGCCACCGCGCGCTGCATCCCCCGGCGCCCCATCTGGATCGACGCGTTCTGCGTGCCCACCGAACGCGCGAAGAAGCGCGCGACGCTCGAGAGCCTCGGTTTCCTCTTCGCGCGCGCCGACGCTGTCGTCTCCGTGCTCGCGCCCGAGTCCCTCACCGCGGTCGAGGAGATGCGGGACTTCCTCGTGATCACGCCCCGCCCCGCGAAGACGCCCTCCGCCCCGCTCGACGTGCTCGAGGCCGACGAGTGGATCCGGAGCGTCTGGACGTACCAGGAGCTTGTGAACAGCCGCTCGCTATGGTTCACCGCCCACACGCCCGAAGGCGCCGCCCCGCAGCAATCGGTCCCCGGGATGCAGGTCCTCAACACCGTGGGCGAATACATCGACCGCTGGGGGCGCTCGGACAAGCTCACGCTGCACAACGGGATCCGCCTCTTCTACCCGCACGCGGACAACTTCCAGGAGCTGCTCGCGGACTGGGTGACGTCCGACTACGGGCACCGCTCCGCGCTGCGCATCATCTGCGGGATGGACTACCGCGCGCACATCACGCCGCAGAACCGGTTCTACAGCATGATTGGGGCGCTCACTGCGCGTCCCTCCGCGCGCGCGACGAGCCCGACGGTGACGCAGCTCGCGGAGCGCTTTATGGAGCTCTCCGAGGAGAAGGGCGACTACTCGTTCATGTTCTGCACCGCACCCCGCGACTCGCGCCCTGGACTTGGCTGGCGGCCCATACCAAGCGACTTCCAGAGCATCCTGACGTGGCATTGTTTCGGCGACGAGCTTCCCGGCAAGAAGGTCGACGACGGCGTCTTGCTGAACGACGTCATCGTCTTCCCGCTCGTAGCCCGACGCGACCCCGCAGAAGTGCAAATGGAGCAGGAGTTGCTAGACCACATACGTCTGTGGATGAAGCATGTCGCAGACTACCACGACGTACCAGAGGACGTGGATGCCAGCATGACTCTGCAGGAGAAGTCTTATGCAGTCCTGAAGACCATGGGCTTCACGGGCGATGGTGGATGGCACACCATGGAAGGCTGCATCTTCTATCCGCAGACGAAGCTGCCTGAGGGCGCCGAGGGGACCATCTGCGTCTCGCATGGGGTGAGATGGGTTTTCGGCGCGCCGGCCATCGTTGCGATAACGACGGGGGATGCGGTGCAGTACGTAGTGGGTGTGGCCGTGATTCACATGGACTATAGATCGCCTACGACCGAGTTCCTGCTGAGATGAGATCCGCGTAAGTTTCGAGCCTGACGACTGTGAATATGTACTGTATGTTGATGTCTTGGGCGACGAGGATTGGATATGGAAATAACACTGTGGGGACCTTGTATAAAACCTGTAACGTATATCTAGTGTTTCGGCCATCTATTTGCCCCCATGACACGACGCCACTCTACGGGACAGATGCACTTACTCCTGGCGGCCCAGTCCAACATAAGTCATGATAGCGCTACGACCATACTCCCGTACTAGATTTCCACTGATTTGCTGAGGTGAAAGACGACCTCCCGGTGAGTGGATACGACAAGGCCACGCGCACGCTCGCCTGCCAGTGTGACCTCAGGCCATGTACTCCCCATACGGATGTGACACAGTTTGATATCAGCCAAACGGAATCCAAATCGTAAAGGAATAAGTTACTACATCGCTACCGATGCAACATCTATGCTCCCGTACTCTCCAATTCACCGCGAAACACGCGCTCCGCCGAATTATGGCAAAGCTCATCGGCGCCGGAATACCAGCGGAGCGCGCTCCGGGCTGCGATAATCGCGTCAGCACCTTATCCTCATTAGAAACACAAGCGGGCAAAAACCCACTAGACGGTCAGACTATGCTGGCTCTTGAAAAGCCGTGCCTTGCGCTGTGCGAAGGTCTCGCCCGCGAAGCGCGCTTCCTCGCGCACCTCGACCTTGTACTTAGACATGATCGCCGTCAACACCGCGACCGCCTCCGTTTCCGCAAACCTATAGCGTCAGATCAGTTTGATTTGTGAGTACAGAAAAGGCCGAAGGTATGATGAGAACGCACCCGCGCCCGATACACCCACGCGGCCCGCCGCTGAACGGCAGGAACGCGTCGCGGGGATAGTTACCCAAGAACCGCTCCGGCTTGAACGCCTCCGGGTCGTCCCAGTACCGCGCTGCCCACATCTCCATCAACCAAGGTCAACGATACTGCGAGAGACAGGGCGGGGCTTACGGTTGTTGTGCAGACCGGGCGTGCAGATCGCGATGTACGTGCCACGCGGGATGGGCAGGCTGCGCTTCTCGCCCGCCGCGTTCGTGACTGTGATCACCGTGTCCTCTACGTTTGACTTCGGGATGCCGATGACTGGCGGGAAGTGCCGGAGCGTCTCGTTGAACACGCTGCGTTGCGGGAGAACAAGTCAAGTCAAGATGTATGGGCTGAAGAACGATGGTGGAAGGAAAAGGACGTACGCTAGGGAGTAGACGAACGAGCTCAGTTCCTCGTATGCCTAGCATACGAAATGAGTGCTCAAGACGGATGGGGGAGAGGAAGAGGGCGTACAGGAGCTCTGTCTGCGGGTATCGCCGCCTTGAGGCTTTGGTAGAACTTCTCCTGCTCTTCCTGGTAGAGCGCGAGGAAGATGAACGCGTATGCAAGTGTGTGGGACGTGGTCTGCGCGTGCGCGCGTCAGTCGCGTGGCAAGACGACGAAACATGCATATGACAAGACACACCTCGTAACCCGCGACCAAGAACACAAAGACGTTCCCTGTGTTTGTCAGTGTCAATAGGATGCGCACTTGGTAGTATGCGCAGCCGGAGACGCACCAAGAAGCGCGCTATCCGTCAACCTCGCGTCGCTCTCCAGCTCGCCCTCGTTCGCGTCCAGCAAGCTGTTGAACAAGTCATGGCTCTCCTGCTTCTTCCCAAGCTCCCGGCGCTCCTGTACCATCTCCTTCAAATATGTCTGCCCCGCACAAAAAAGCGCTCCAAGTCAGTTACCCCACTTACCCAGAAGAGCAGAGTAAACACGCACATCAAGTTCGCCATACGCGCGCGCAAAGTAGCGCATCTTCGCATTCCCGAGGCGCAGCACCCATTGTGGGAAGATGATGCTCAGGAACAGCCTGTGCGACACCTCATGGAGCGCGTCTTTGAACGTCATCGTGTGCCCCGCGGGCGCGATGCGATCTTCGTTCCACGACATCCGCCGTCCGAAGCTCGCCGCGCCAATGACCATGAGCGTAATCTGCAGTCGCGCGGAGTGTAAGCATGCCGCGCGGGGTAGACGGGGCTGCGGGAGGAACATACGGGGACGGTGAGGTCCATGACGTGGTCGAGCTCGATGACGTCCTTGTTTTGCCAGACGTTCTTAAACATGTCGTCCACGATGCGGAAGGATTCGTCCCAGACGAGCTTGTTGTTCCGCTGCGACAAAATCAAGTCAGAATACTGTTTCCTTCCGAGCTACGGTATCGCTGCACGGAGAGTTCTATCTGGTGCCCGGCTCGAAACCCGAACACTACCGGAGCTGGCTGCGTCGCGCACGAGACGCGTCTGTCTGACGCGCAACGCGATTCGTACCGTTCAAGTGAGGGTCAGCGATGGAGGGGTGTGCAGGCGGGTCTCGAAAACCCAAGCAAGCGCGGAGTACGCTCTCGCGAATAATGATGGGGCGCGCGGACGCGTGTTGGGTGACACTTGGAGTATACAGCCGCAATTCGGGTGTCGTGTTTGACGAGAGGATGGGAAAGAGCCTAAGATAGGACTGAACGTACCTCCGAGAATGCAGGCGCGGCGATCTTCCGTTGCCGCTTCCATTCCTCTCCCTCCGTGACAAGGATGTTCGTCCCGAAAGTCGCGAGCAGCGCATAGGTCTCCAGTGGCTTCGGGAAGCGTGCGCGCGCACCAATGATCTCCTACGGGGCCAAACACGACCTGGGTTCACAACGCGGCTTCAAAGTACAATGCCTGCGTCTCGTACCTTGGCAATCGCGGGGTCCGCGACATACAGCGTCAAATCAGGCGAGGGGAGGAGATTAACCTAGAAGCCCGGAATGAAGATGAGTTGCACAGCCATCTCCGAATGCTTTTCGAACGTACCGAAGCAACCACATCCCATCCCGCCCTCGCGAACTCGGCGTGCTTGGAGTAGAACGGCCACTGATGGCCAGGAGAGATCCCGCGCACCCGAAATGGGAAGAAAAGAAACCGTTCGCTGAAGACCGTGCGGAAGCCGGGCCAGTCACTGGGTGGCAGCCCGGTATCAGTTTTTGCCGCGACCGTACGGTGACAACGGGGAACACAAACTTTATGGTGCGCACGATCTCCCGGTACGCAAGGTACTTCTTGAGAGCGAAGAAGGCCAATAGGAGCAAGAGCGGCAGGATCGCACGGGAGACGTCGAGCATGACGTTCAGTTCAGGGGAATCACCTGGACTTCGGGGAGCACAGCGCGCGCGAGGACGAAATTTAATTGGCATGCCGTTTTGGTGCGTTGGCAGTTGGTTTCCGGCACCTTCCTGACACATTCCCAGGCTCGAGCACGTTCAGCTTGATATACATTGCATCACAATGCATGGGAAAATCCGGGCTCACCGGTAGGAAATATGCATTGTTCCCAGGATCGCAGTACCCGGTTACCTGTGTGAGTTGGCATCTCGTGAGCAAGAACAGATCGTCAATTTCTGCAATCACAGCGCCCACAACCTATGTATATCACGGTACAGGATAACGGTAGAAGGCCTGGCGAAAATGTGATTCCACTTACGAAGAGTTTGAATTGTGTAGTTCTTCGCTTACTGGCATGCTTTTCTCAAGAGTCAAGACGACCGGGAAAGACATCGAAAGGCTCGGATAATGTGATGGGCGCATCAGAGCTCGAGGCGGTGAACGCGAACATGGCGGCGAGACGAACGGCGCCACGAAGCCCGGCGGCAGCCTACAGAAACGTTGAACAGCACAGCATTCGGCAGAAGCTGTTCCAACAAAAAATAGCAACTCCTGGTTTCGATCCAGGGACTTCAGGGTTATGAGCCCTGCACGCTTCCACTGCGTCAAGTTGCTATGTAAGGGGGGCTGTTCCAAGCTTGTACAGTGTGATTGAGTTTGGGCATTTGGAAAACAGCTCGCAAACCCACCAAATGGTATCGAGGTAAGTCAGCCTGAGATACATATATTTTATCACTTGTTCCACTACGCCAGAACTTGCACGAGCTTAGCCGCAGCGGGAAGAGCACACAAGTTCTAGGAGACCTGCCCTAAACGATCACACGTTGTAGCGCTTAGCGCTTGACGCTGAACCGCGACACGGATCGCTTGAACTAGTTGCATGGAGAGATACTACTCCCTTCTGGATACTCAAACTCCGCCGGCCTTACGGTACATGGCGCTATCGCGACTTTCTGGTCACGTCTGATAGTTTTTAATACAAAACGTACACTTGCGCTAAGTGGCCCTCCATTGATCGTGTGAAACTATGTACTCACAACAAAGAACATTGTCGACGGTCACTAGCACGGCAAATGTACAAGTTTTTAAACCCTACAGTCCCGTAAAAGCACTATAGGTCTAAGGATTCCCTCACACAACTTGCCACAGAGTTCCAGTGAGTCGGAGTCTCAGGCTGGGTCCGTCCGTCTCGCCATAATTTGATGACTCGTCCCCCATGAGCTCGTCGCAGCCTCATGTGTACATACTTCGATGGAGTTGTTAACTTGGCTGATGATTCCACTTCAGATACAAGGCAAATGTGCCTTTCATCCGCTTTCAGAATTTTGTTGTAGTCGGGTGAGTGGCACACAGCGCACCGCCACTGCTGTTTGGTATTTAAGTATCCTCCTCCCCGCCGTCCGTTCTCTACAACAAGCACTCACTGATACACTCGCAATACACGGCATGGACTCGGCGGCCAAAACCAAAAGCAGCAACGGACCAGACTCACGCGGCATTGGCCAGCTTCCCGTTGAGCTAATCGACGTCATTTTGGAAAGCGTAGGGGAAGACAAGGAGACCATCCTCGCCTGCTCGTGGGTATCACGCCTATGGCACGAAATCTTCCTCCCGTATCTCTTCGCTTCCCTGAAGGTCGTGTCCAAGTACGACTTCCTCGACTTCCACGGATTCTTGGAGATGCACCCGGAAATTGCTCTCTACGTACGCAAGCTTCAGCTCAAGTTCGCATACACTGGCAAATGGACGTACCGCTTAAAACCCCAGGATGACGTCCCGATCGTCGGACGCACCGAACTCTGCGTCCTCGTAACACTACTTCCCCGTCTGCAGGAGCTTCACCTCTACGACCTCTGGCTCGACGACGAGTCGCCGGACTCCGCTCCAGATACTCCAAACCATCTCCCTAATCGCACGCTGGAGAAGCTGACCCTCGAGCGCTGTTCCGTCCCGTGGCCAACCGAGGCGAGTCCGAGTCTGGTAGCAATCCTGAGTATCATCTCGGTCTTTGATTTCATCAACACCGTGGAGCTACTCGCAATGCAAATTCCCACCCCAGGACTCCCGGTCCCCAAATGCACGCGCCCTATCCGCACACTCAATGTGGCCACGCTTATTGCCGGAGACCTCAGCCAAGTCGACACCCCCCTCTCAATCAGGGTCCTCTTTGACCCCCTTTGCGCGTTCCTTGCCCCCGGTTGCCTCCGCTCACTTGAGCTGGAGTGCTTCGGCGCACAAGTGGTGCATAAGTCAGCGGCCGAAGTGCGGCTCACGTTCGGCGCGCTAGTGGAGAGTGCGGCCCGCGACGCGCTGCACATTCACGTCCCGTTCCTCTTGTCCCTTCCTCAGATTGGACCCAATGCAGACCCTCCAGGTGTGTATCTTGCATTCCGCAGGTTTACCGCTTCGCATGTGCTGATCAACACGCTCAAAGAGCATTGGCGCGCCCTCAACCTGGGAGTGTGTACGTCCCTCAGGTCCCTCACCCTCGACATCCTCATACACCGGTCCGACACGCGCCCTGCACCAGGCTGGATGGACACCCGGCACCCTTCGGTAGACCAGGCCTGCCACGCGCTCCTCGCGCACATCCCCGCGACCATCCGCGTGCTCACGCTGAGGTTTTGGCGCTTGGACACGCGCTGGCTGGCGGAGTTCGACAATGCGACGTCGCTCGGGCTGCTCGGGCTAGACTCCGCGCTGGCCGGGCGGTTTGAACATTTGGAGCGGGTTGAGGTAATGATTCGTGAGGATCTTTGTTTCGACATGGACGGGAGCTCGTCGGCGTTGCCGGCAGCGATGCCGGAGCTGCGCGCGAAGGGGATACTTAAGGTGGTCCCTTGGGCGCCTGAGATCGTTTAATCATGAGGCGGGTGCTTCATCATCGGACGTGAATACATGCGGCGTTGACTAGTTCACCGTCCAAGTGCGATTGATACCTAAAGCAGTAACGAAGGTACACCGCCCCCTCTGCTTTCTCTGCGTATATGATACAATCATTCATGCTGACTGTTGGCGGCCGTACAGAAGTCATCATGATCCACGACTCGGAGCGACCCAGGTCGTGATCACTGGCATGAGCTTGCAAGAGGCCGATAGCGAGGTCGCGTTCAACGGGCCCCGGCCTAAGTACCAGCTCTACTGTACTTGCTGTGCGACGAGGATCAAGTTACTTTTTTCACTAGTGTGCGAGTCCCTCTAACGGGAGCCTCTAGGCTGCCGCCACCGCCGCCGCCAACTGCCAACTTGTACGTGAATCTGCCATACTCCTTGCTCACTATGAGCCTCTAGGTTCGCTGCTCTCACCAATCACGTCAACCGTGCTTTCCGAGTCCCATAGGCTTGAGGCCTGTATGGTCTGTCTCGTGTCATAGCTGCTCGGAACCCTATACGCTTCCCCGAAGCTTCAAAGTCAAAGAGAAGACGTGCGGTTCCGACACCAGAGATCCCGAGAAGTACCAACTCGGGTTTGGTTGGAGGTGCGTCATAAACACATCACTGGCAGGCTTCCGCACAACCTGACGGATCCTGTCCAGGATTCTCCCCGGAGTCGACGGCACTCCGCGAACGATGCACTGCTCATCACCGTCGCCTCTGCTCGGCACGTCTTAAGCATTGAGCCTCCACTCATGCCCAGACGGGACTCGGAAGCCGACGCATGTCATTGACCCAACATCAACTTAGACGCTTTTCTCTCGTAAGCCTGCTATTTGTATCTTGCAGGTCACATTCTGAAAGCCACCGCACAGCCTAGTACCCTGAGAAGTTCGAATGGAACTACGCGGCGCGATCGGCGCAGGCGTAGACGCTTATTCGACGTATCGTGCGAAGCGAGTTTGTCCTGGCTAGAAAGGGATATTGTGCGACTATTGAGGGCATAATGCGGATAATCAGGTGCGTGTTACTGAACTTCGCGATCAACGAGAGATATCTGACCCGTCGGGAACATTCTGTGAACGTTTTGAAGCCCTCAGCCTCTAGAAGTATACAATGCTGAGGCGAAGGCCATAAAGGCGGCTCTAGTCCTCTGAGCGACAGCAGGCGACAGCGTGGAGACAGTACGTCTTTCTCCTGACATCTCGTATGGGACATGAATGTTCACCACTTGCAACACAGGAATGTCATTTCCTCAACAAGAACTGCCGCTCCTCAGGACAACGGATGCAGTCTCTGAGCGCTCGGCACCCAGTCTCCGAGACACGGTCTATCCATAGAAGTGCTCCTTGCTCCGGTATAGCGCTTATGCCTGTCAAAACTTATAGTCTCGTGGCCCCTTGCATTCCTCTGACGTGTCTCCGGCGCACCGATTGCTCTGTCTTAAAGCCCCGTCCCGTGTCCCTGCTTGGGGGAATACGTCCACAGTGTTCAACTCCCATCATGATACTGTACGTTGCGCTTCTCTGCGTTGTGCTTCTCCTGTGGAAGAGATTGCGCAATTCCCGGTCTCTGCTGTACAATGTGCCGGGCCCCTCGTGAGCGTCCTTCCTGCTAGGTATGTTTCTGTCTTTTGTCGCGTACCGACGCTGACTATGCGACATGCATACCAACATTCTCTACAGGAAATGCTCTCCAGATTTCCGGCAGACAGAGTTGGGATTTCCATGCTGCAATCGCACGGAAGTACGGGCCTGTGATCAAACTACATTGGCTGTTTGGTGTATGTGAAACTCACGGCACGGAGCTCACACCGACTTCTTCACGCTGATATTTGCTCAGACTTCGGCGCTCTATGTCTTCGACCTGCTGGCGTTGAACCATATCATCAAGGATCAGGAGAAATTCGACCAACCTCCCTGGTATGTTGAGTAAGCACCTTTTTCCGTTCATTTGCACACTATATTTCCTGACACTCGCCGCAGGACCCACAACATGATGCTCGGTCCGGGGCTTCTCTCGGTCACGGGTACGAGACATCCTGCATCCCTTGAGTTGCCACCGTTGCTCATGATCTGCCCCTCCACTATCTAGGAGACACGCACAGGAAGCAACGAAAAATGCTCACCCCAGTATTCTCTGCCAAACACCTCCGCACTGTGGTACCTATCTTCTACGAGGTGACCGACAAGGTAAGACTCACCGCATTGTCGTCTACATCTGCACTACGCGTTTGTTAACTAGTTGTGTACCTCTGCGCCCTACCGTAGCTCATACAGGCCATCTCTGCTCGTGTGCCGATGCATTCCGAGAGCACAGACATGGACGTTTTAGGCTGGATGAGCCGTGCCGCCCTCGAGCTGATCTGCCGGGGAGGCATCGGGTACTCGTTCGACCCACTAATCGAGGACGTTTCGGATGCATATGCAGAGGCTGCAAAATACTTCGTGTGCGTACTGTCCCATTCACTCCCATCATGGGTGTAGCTGAGGTTGTCTGCACGCTCGCACGTAGGGTGACTGCGACGTCTCCGGAAACGATACTCCTTCGGCAAATGGCGCCGTTTCTCAAGCATCTCGGCCCTTCCTGGCTTCTCCACTGGGTTATGGAGAAGTCCCCCATGCGTCTTGTTCGGCGCATCGTCCAGATCACGCACGTTCTGCACGAGCGCTCCCTCGACATATTTCGAGCAAAGAGGGCCGCGATCGAAGCCGGCGACGATTCAGACTCGAAGGACATCTTGAGTATCATGCGTACGTCCCATACCCCCTCTTTGGAGAGACCATGCGTCACAGTTGTATAGTGAGAGCGAATATGGAAGCGTCCGGTGAAGACCGGCTTCCCGAGGACCAGCTCCTTGGCCAGATGTCGTGCGTCTCTCCCTAACACTCCGCACGGGCATATGCGCATGCCGATGACCATAATGTTTAGGACCATTATCTTCGCGGCGATGGACACCACGTCCAACGCGATGGCGCGTACGCTGCAGCTGCTCGCAGAGTACCCGCAAGTGCAGACAAAACTGCGGCGCGAGATCGCCGACGCGAAGGCGGGCGGCAACCATCTGGATTACGACCAGCTGCATGCCCTATCGTACCTGGACGCTGTATGTCGGGAGACATTACGACTGTAAGCCGCCCTTCACAATCCTATGGCTCGTCACGATGTAGCTGACGCTAGCCTCGCTAGTCACCCGGTAGCCCCCATGATTTTCCGACAGTACGTAGCGAATACTTCCTCGCATCTCTTGCCTTCTCCTTTGGTAACGTATCTCACACCGGCCATCCCAGAGCATTAGAAGACACCTCGTCAGCATCCTCGCGTGCAACCGCGACAAGGCACTCTGGGGGCCCGACGCGGACGAGTGGAAGCCCGAGCGGTGGCTCGCGCCCCTGCCCGCGGCAGTGGAGAGCGCGGCAGTTCCTGGGGTCTACTCAAACATGTGAGTACTATACAGAGCTGCTCTCCCGCTATGACTGGCTGGGGGCTTACAGGTGGTGGTGGGCAGGATGACGTTCTCTGGGGGTGCGCGGGGATGCATGTGAGCCAACGCTCACCACTCGCTCTTCAATGACCAGCGCTGACCGGAATCCTGCACAGCGGCTTCACGTTCTCGCAGCTCGAGATGAGTGAGTCCACGCGTGTCAAGCATGTGCGATCGTTCATGCTCACACAGCCCGTGATTCACACAGAGGTCGTCCTGTCCGAGAAGCTCGCCCACTTCACATTCGAGCTCTCCGAAAGACCCGTCGTCTGGAACATCGCCGGGGTTGCGTATCCCACCGTGACCGTGGAGAGCACGAAGCAAGAGCTGTGGCTGAGAGTGAGGAAAGTCCGGGAGGAATAGATTGCAGGGACGGGGAACAAGTACTCGAACGGCGCGGCTTAGTAAGTAGAAGAGTCAAGGCATAGCGAATCCGAGAGCGGTGGACAAAGCTGGTAGACGGAGATGGGAAACGGCGTGGGTGGAGGTCCGAGGAAAGTAATGCAGACCTGCTGCGGTGATCACAAATCGAGCGCGGGTGCCTATAGGAGACGGCTCCGGGGAAGTGCGAAAGAGGCGCGGCTGCGTCCTGCTGGATGATGCGCCCGCGCAATCGGCGGATCGGGCGTGGGCGGCGTTACCGGTAACTTCCTGAGCCCCGCTGCCGCTGCTTCAACCTATCGCATAATAACAAGGTTCTGGTTGCCGTGGACTCCGCGTTATCCGGATGCGAAGTGGAGATGGAATGGTGCACTCGTCGTTCCGCTAGGCCATGATTCGCTGCCTGCGTCGGACATATTCGGGTTCATGCTCCCATGGATCTGAGGATGGTATTGGGCTCCGGATTCGGGGCTCGGGCCCATGAGATAGTCGAATTGCATGCTGGGAGCGCGGTGACGGAGGTCGAAGTCGAGTGGATAGTATGGGAGTGTGATATAACCGCAGTTGGCGTCGGCGGGAGGCTCCCGGAACGTCTGGGGGGGGCGCTATCTCCTGTGGAAGGATAGGGAGTTGCGGTGCTGCGGATAATATGCTGTAAGGAAACTACGATAGAGTGCAAGTCGTTGTGATGAACTGACCAGAACCGTAGACTCCCGGCGGGGCAGTATCATAGGTGGTGGCGGATTGCGAAACTTGAAGAACTCGTCCCTGCCGAGCCCTCCTCGCGGGCCTGATACATTCGTAGCCTTTCTTGCGGCAAGGTTCGCAAGGCTGCCCGTTGTCACATTTCTTCTTAATGTGTCGACATTCAATGCACTTGAATGTGGATGCTGGTCAGAGTTGGATACGCACACACTTGTCAGTGCAGTAGAATCGACATACAGCTACAGTGACGATTTGAGAAGTAGTATCATCCATGATAGTTCGCTGGACTGGGGGCCACAGCGAGGCATGCGCTAAGCCTTCGATTTATCAGTGTCACTAGTGGTCAATGTTGTCGTGAGTTTAGATAGGGCTCACCGTTCGGGGGGACGTGACTGAGGCGACCGCTTTCGGGACTTTCATAGGCCTGATGATTAAAAGAATAGCCTACATCGGTGAACGTGGTTATGTCTTGATATTGGAGAGTGGTTGTAGAACGTGCCGGCTTGATTGTAAGTCGTGAACTGCAGCTCCTGTATGACGTGTTGGTTGTGAAATTGAGGTACCTCCACGTTCTGTGAGAAAATGTCAGGAGGGTGTTGCAGAAACGAAGGGATGGCGGGAATGGTAAAGCATACTTGCGGACAGTGGGCATTAGGGAGGTGTAGAGCGTGTGGAATTGACAGCGACTCGGAGTGTTGACAACCCGACGAAACGAGCCCAGAGCACTCCGGATGAGAGCAACGGCAAGCCTGGAAATCCATCGTGAGAGAGGAGGCGTAGAGAAGCTGTCACTGGTGATGTCAGTGCCAATGGAGGAGTCGCACCTTTTCAACTGCAGCAGGCCAGCGACTCTGATGACTTTGAGCGCGATTCGATGAGCGAAACCTGTGCGTATTAGGACCGAGAAAAACTGAGAAAAAGGGTCAGCATAAGACAACATACCATCGGCCAATGGAAGTACTGGGATCATGTCGGATACCCAAACCGGAATGACCGTCCGACCGCGCACGCACTGTCCATCGGACGCAGTCGATGTACGAGGCCGCCGGAGCGATTACGGGGACTAGAAACCCTGTGCAGGGCCCACATGAACTTAAGCCCCTTGAATCCTAAAATTGGTGGCGTGTCATCGGCATAAGGGTGATGTAAGTTGATGGCGGCGAAATGCCTGCTAGAGCTCACGAAATATGAGCGTTAACCAGGACACGGCCTCAGCGCATTCGGTCTGTGGCTGTCCCTGCTTACCTTGTATGGCAGAGTTTACGCCCACATCCGGCCACACAAGCGCTAAACGCGAGATCTACGCCCTGCTCGGGCCATTCACCTGCTGCCACTGCTTCCTCAAGGCGCCGCCGGATTTCCACAGCTATGCCTTTTATGGTCCTAGTATACGTATGGTTGCGGCTCCAGATCTTCGCACTTGAGCGCGCAACCGATCTGGCCCTCCCGTGAGTCCCGTCCATCAACGACGCTTCTCAGGCTTGTCGCCGCTGGTACTTCTCTCTCTTCGCGGGAACGCAACTCATCGACGAAGGGCGGACGATCGAGGACCCCGCACACAACCACCTCATTGCCTCGCCTCCCTCAAAGTCACCAGGTACCCTCGGTACTTCTCGTGGGAGCACGCGCAGAGTGTTTCAGCGACCCTCGCGCGCTCGGGCCCCCGGCTCCCCGCGCTGGTCGGCGCGCGCGGACGAAGCTCAAGGCAGGATTACGAGGGGTTCTTCCGCGTGCGGCTGGGGAAGAAGCGCGAGCACTCGCTCGATATATTCCACTTATATAAGTCGCGCGCCCCCGCCACTATTCGCTCCGCAACCCGTCAGAGAACGCCCTCGCCGCCGTCCATGTTTATAAAACTGATACACCCGAAACACACGACATGGACTTGGCGGCCAAAACTGAAAGCAGCAATAGCAAACTCCCCACGCGGCATCAACAAACGTTCCGTTGAGCTTCTCAACCTCGTTTCAATGGATAGCGTATGGGAAGACAGGGAGACCATCCCCGCCTCCTCGCGGGTATCGCGCCTGTGGGACGGAGTCGCCTTCCCGCATCTCTTGGCTTTCCTGAAGATCGCGTATGGTGTAACACCTACACTCGCGCTGGCTGGCGGAGTTCGACAACTTGCGACTTCGCTCGGGCTGCACGCGCTCGACGCCGCGCTGGCGGAGCAGCCTGAACACTCGCAACGGGTCGATGATACTATGTTCTGCAGGGAACTTTGTCTCGACACGGCAAGGAGCTCGTTGGTGTTGTTGGCTTCGATGCTGGAGCTACGCGCGAGGGGGATCATGCTTAAGGTAGTCCACTGGGTGTCTCAGATTATCGTGAGGGCGTCATCTGATACATCATTGGACGTGGATACATGCGATAATCGCCAGTTTAGCGTTGGTGTGCGCACAGTGTCTGGGAACGCAAGTACGTCGTCCACGTTTCTTTCTCTCTGTATTCGTCTATTAGCATGCATTCTGAATATCAGCGACCCTATAGAAGTAGCGATTGGAAACGACCAACTTTGATCGCTGTCGTGAGCTGGAGTCCAACGCGCCCCCGCCAAAGTACAAGCCCTTTAACTGAAGATCAAAATGAGCCTTTCATCCGCTTTCGGCATATGTTTGTCACATGCAGGCAAGCAGTGGCACACAGCAACGCACTGCCACTCTGGCGCTCTGTACTTGACTCCTACATATTACGGTCATTCGTCGCCTTCAACCAGCTCCCACCGGCGCGCACTCGACCAGGGGGAGCAATATGAGCAGCACACCACGCACCGGCGAGATCTTGCCTGCCAAATCTCGAGGCAGCTACGAAGCAGACGACCCCCAACAGGGCATCCACAGACTTCCTGTCGAGCTCCTCGACCTCGTCCTGCAATGTCTATGGGAGGACAAGCCCGCCATCATCGCCTGCTCCCAGGTATCGCGTCTCTGGAACGAAGTCGCCCAACCGCACCTCTTCGCCTTCCTCAAGATCGCCTCCAGGTCTGACTTTGTCGAATTCCCCGCATCTCTGTGGCATGCGCACCCCGCCATCGCGCGACACGTCCGCAAGCTCGAGCTCAAGAACGCACAAAGACGAATCTCTTGGACGGACCACTTCGCGCCCCTAGCAGACTTCCCTGAGATCGACCGTGCCCAGCTCTGCGCCCTCGTCGCGCCACTCCTCCACCTGCAGGAGCTGCATCTCTACGAACTCTGCCTGCTCGACTCGCCTGGCCCGGCCCCCGACGCCCGGGACGACCTCCCCCACCGCACGCTCGAGAAACTCACCCTCTCCCGCTGCCGCGCGCGCGCCCCAGGCAGCCACACGCCGCTCGCGACCCTCCTCAACCTCGTCTCCGTCTTCGCCTCCGTCGGCACGCTCGAACTAATCTCGATGCATCTCTCCGACTTCCTGCCCGCACGCCTCATCCGCCCCGCGCGCGTGGGCGCGCTCGTCACGAGGGACGCGGGCCTCTCGCCCGGGTCCGAAGACGAGCTCTTCGAGGCGCTGCGCGAGTCGCTCGTGCCCGGATGTCTCCGCGCGCTGCAGCTGGGGTCGCTGGGCCACGCGGCGGCGCGCGATGTGGGTACGGTGCGCAAGTTTGGCCAGTTGGTGGGGAGCGCGGCGCGCGATGCGCTGCATATCCATCTCCCTTTCTTTTTGACTATCGCCGTCAAGCCCCGAGAAGATGATCCAGGTGTGTAGTATAGCAGCCCATACTCTGCCTACTCGCCGCGCGGCACATCCTGACCTACATGTTCCCAGAGTACTGGCGCACGCTCAACCTCCAAACATGCACCTCCCTCCAAACCCTCGGGCTCGATCTCTCCATCCCTCCCGCAGAATCAACGCACACCCCGCGCGTCCCGCTCGCCCGCGTCTGCATCGCGCTCCTCGCGAACATGCCCTCGACCGTCCGCATGCTCGTGCTCAAGCTCTGGGGGCTCGACGCCGCAAACTGGCAGGTGCAGCTCGCGAACACGGACAGGCTCGGGCTGCGTGCGCTGGACGACGCGCTGGCCGGGGGGAGGCACGATCACTTGGAGAGGGTCGAGGTGATGCTGGACGCGCGGCATTGTGCGTGGCGGGAGGAGTGCGAGGTGGGGCTCGGGGAGGCGATGCCGAGGTTGCGTGCGAGGGGGGTGCTTGCGGTCGTTGACTGGGTACCGTAGAGTTTGTCGGATTGAGATTTCATGTATGCTATGACACGCCCTCGGGTGGTGGCGCCAACATGAGAGCTACAAAGATCACGCCGGACGCCATTAACAAATCAGAAGCAACTCGGATTAAAGGGGTATATACAGGACACTAGATGATTTCGTGTGGGTTCTGATGATATAGCGTTGTAAACCAGGACGTACTGTATCCTGTTGGGCTCGACGTACCGAACATGAGACATAACAAACATGAGATGCGACGAGTAAAGCAGGGTATAAGCGACATAGTAGCCGGGGGACGTTTGAAACACAGCACAGCAGATTTCCAGAGCGTAAGCATTAGCAGCACCAGCAGCAGCACAATTGCAAACAGTTAGCGTATGGAGAACACAGCACAGACACAGGGTATAGAGGGTATAGCAAAAGCGACAGCGGCGGACATGGTAGCCAACAAAACACGCGAAACAAGGAATGAGTGGTAGGGCGAGCCGGACGGACCTGCTGCGACGATCAGTGAGTGTGAGCCGCGGATGCGGGGAAGTGTATAAGAGCCGGAGCCGGGCGGAGGAAGCACCCTGCCATGCGGGGGCGGCGACAAAACCGGACCTCGGGTGTGCGCCGAGCGGTGGCGGCCGACACCCGCTGCTGTGTCCCGCCGGGAACTAGAAGTACGGCGGACCACCGGCATGAGGACCGGGAATTGGGCCTACAAAGAACGGGTCGCGGAGCGGTGCGCTCATCGCTCCTCCTTGCCACCCGCTGAACGCGCCGGACATGGACTCTCCGCCAATATCGACCCGAGCGTGATACTGCCCGCCCTGGAAGTTGTGACTCTGGACAGTATGGGAGTCGGCGTGGAAGCTGGGAGGGTGGGGATGGATGCCATAGTTGGGTTTGTAGGGGATAGCGGGATACCCGGAGCCGGTGGCGGTCTGGAACGTCTGCGAGGGCGATAGTACTACTGAGGGGCCCGACAAAGGCAGCGGCGTTACTGTAAAGGGAGGCATAAGGACTGGAGAGGGCTGAGATAAATTTTTTTGGGGAAGACGTACCGGAATGGTAAGGCGGACAGTTCTCAGAAGCGGATCGCTGGCCTCGAGGAGCCCGGCCTTTTCGGGCCTTTCTTGCGGGTCTAGTGCATATGTAGCCCTTCTTGCGGCAGGTCGCGCAGGTCTGCCCGTTGTCGCATTTCTTCTTGATGAGCCGGCATTGCGTACACTGAAGTACGAGCTCTGGTCAGGCTCGGATACCAAGACAGTCACGGGTGGTACGGCATGATCGACTTACCGCTACGGTGACGATCTGAGAAGCAGTACCGGTACCCTCCGCGGTACTCTGCATAAGTGGGGACCAGCGATGTGCACGCGCTGGCCCTTCGTGCGGTCAGCATTACGGAACGTTATTGTGACTTAACATGAACGACTCACCATGCGAGGCCGCGTAAGCTCGTGGATCGCCTCCGCCAACACCCCCATCAGGGTGTGCATACTGCCGTCCAAGTGGATCGCCTGTGTCGTCAAACACCGTTCACATATCGCGACTCAAACTGAATGTCGTAGAACATACCGGCAGTGTGGCTTGCCATGAACTGCTGCGCCTGCATCTGCTGCGTAGTGAGGAATTGGGGTGCCTCCGCGTTCTGCAGGTTTGTGCCGTGTGGGCGTGGATAAACTTGGGAGGGGGTGCCAGCGAAAGACATGGCGTTGGGGAAGCTGGCGCTTCCAGGCAGCGTCGTAGGTGGGCAGCCCAATGAAGGGCTCCCGGAGTGCTCAGGCGAGTGAGAGGAAGAGGACATCAGGGAAAGGGAGGGGGTAGCGGTGACAATGTCAGGGTTTCCCTCTCCTTTTAAGCCATGAGGCGTCGGGCTCGATGAAGACGTCGCTGCCTGAAAATCATCATGGAACGATTTTGAACTCTGGCCGCAATGGCCGAGGCCAGACAATATGTCGTAGGAGGGCATCGGCGCTGAGTGTAGCCCGAGGCATGCGCGCGTAGATCGAAAGACCGAAATCCACGTCCGCCGCCTGGTCGGCTATAGGGAGTCGGAGGGACAGTCACAACGCCCATGAAAAGCCCTTGAAGTACCCGATTGAGCCTTGCGCATGACGCAGAGTAGCCGGAATGGGTGAGCCCGAGACAGTTGATGCGGCGACTCCGCGTCAGCTTCGCGTCTCATCCTGACGCATGTGGACGGTGTGGGCCAGCGCGTCGGGATCCTATGGACGTCAACTTAACGACTGTACACGGAACCTGCCAGCGATAACTCGACTGAGCACTAGTGTTATACTTAACTTCTTGAGAGGACGAGGAAGACTCAGGCTGAGGACTGGTGGTGGTGGCCCGAGAGCCTGAGGAGGCTGAGGATCGGTTCGTTCACCGTGATTCAAGCTCAAGAGTCTGCCACTGGTGTAAGGATGGAAGCCGCGGCGGCCGCGCGCAGTGTCGGACGAGGGTGGACCGTGCGCGTGGACAGATCTGGACAGATATGGTGTGCGCCACAACGATGCGGGCGCTTGCGTGGCAGAAGATGTCACGGCGACCCCGGGCTGCTTCATTGAAATTTGAATGTATTGTCGCGCGGTGGGGTTGACTGTCCAGACTGACGCCAGCGTTCCACGGGTGGAAGTTGGGGTCTCCGCCGCGCCGCGCTACGATCGCGGGAGTGATTGATATTGTCACTCAATGACCCGGAGCCGTTCGAGAGCATCATCCGGTACCCCTCGGTCGGAAACAGCGACTATGCTCATCAGAAACATGGACGTGGCCGCCGTTCCGCAACACCGACGAGGCATGAGCCTGGTCGGCGTCGGCAGCAGCGCCTGGTTCTTGTACTGAATAATGACTTTAAACCGCGAGTGGGACGCCCGGAAAACCTCGCCGCGCCCCTACAGAAGCCAGCATGCGCATACAGCCATATACGAGGTGCACTAAGTAGCAGTATCGCATCGATGTCGTGCAAAAACAAGATAGCGATCGAAAGCCCCAATATACAAAATCCACATAAACCAGAAGGAAAGACTGAACTGATACCCAGGTTGTCGCGGCGCTTCTGTCCGTTTAGGATGGGGGGCTGAAAGTAGACGCGTCAGCGTATGCGTGCCGTTCAGGAATCACAAAAAACCTACACGGGAGCGACGGACGTAGCCGGTCCGGGGTCAGTCGGGAGAGTCGGGAACGGCGCAAAGAAGCACGCCTGCTCAACGTCCCGGTGCGTGAGCCCAGCCGGGAAGTGCGCCTTACTCGCGGCCGGCGGCGGGGTCGGCACGACGTCCGAGCAGTCAATCAGATTGCGCGTATTCTGGCCCAGCACGGTCATTTTCGCGAACGCCGCCTTGAACGCGGACTGGAGCTTCGCCTGGTTGTCTGCAAATGCGCGAGCGCGCGGTGAGCACTCCGCAGAGAAAAGAGGAAGGGAAGGCATACGCACTGACGAAAGACTGCCACTCGCACGAGGTGCGGATGTCGCGCGCGAGCTCCGCGTCGGACTGGAGACGGAGCTCGCCGTGCAGCGGCGACATCACCTCCCCCTGGTTGCTCCCGTTGCCCGGGAAGAGCGTGCCGCGGAGCTGCGTCTCGATGAAGAACTGCGTGTCGAACAACTCGGGCGTCGAGTCGAATGGCGTGCCGGGGATGGTCGGGTCGACGTGGTCAGCAGCGGCGATCGTGTGCCTGCGAGGCGCGCGTGAGCGTGATCTCGACCTGAGATGAGAGCACTGAAGACATACGAGGCGAGCAGAGCGACGACCTCGGCGGGTGTGAACTTGCCGGCGTCGAAAAAGCGCTCGAGGATCTTGGTGACATCGTCGAACGGCTCAGGGACCGTCAGGTCGGGCGCGGGCTGGGTGGCGTCCTTGCGGCCAATGAAGACGTCCAGGCGGGGCGCGCCAGGGCAGTTGCTCACCCCAATCGCCCCAGCAAACTGGATGCTGCACTCTCCGGTTAACCACACGCGACCCTACCGCGACGCAAAAAACAGACCACGTACAAGTCGGCCGTGGTGAGGTTATGGCGCGCGATGAACGGCGCCTGCTCCCCAATAATCTCGTCCACCCCATTGTTCGCGTGGAAGTTCGTCTCGATATCCGCGAAGATGGCAATGGAACCGTCCGCGCCCCCACCTCCGAACTTGCCGGTGCGCGAGATAGCTGGGGAGATGCCGATGGCGTCGTGGAAGGTAAGCCGGAGGGACTCGTGCACCTCCTCGCCGCACTCGCCGCCGTCGAAGAGGTTCGTCTGGATGTCCTCGAGGACGGGGAAGAGCGCGCAGCACGCCGCGTTCGCGGTGACCTGGCCGCCCGCGCACGTCACCTTGCGGGTGAGCGCACCTGGCCGGAGAAACGGTGCGTGTTAGTGGGTGGTCTGCGTGCGGGGTGGAACGTCGTACCGTTGGTGACCTGGAGAGCCGCGAGGACACGAAGGATGCGAGGAGCCTGAAAGCCATTACCCGAGGTTTTGCAGGATGGGGGAAGAGAGCTCGATGGCCTGAGGGCTTTCTGAGGTTTCGTGGTCGCCTTTATATGCACTCGGTCTTTATCCACGTAGAGCTGAACCTGTGGCAGACGCATGCGCGAAATTTCCATGCGCGCCCGCCCACGCAATGCGAACCTGCGTACATACGCCACGCGGCCAATCGAAATGCACGAATATCGCCATTCAATGCATATTTAAAAGCAACCTGGAAAGCATGAGAGGCGTTCTCGCGGGTGCAGAACCAATGAGCGGGTGCCGCCAAGCTAAACGAGACGGTGGGTCCCCAGCGGGACCGGGATCGGGGGCAAGGACGTGGAGGTTGGACCCGGTGCGCTGTACACGCATGAGAATAGCGACAGGCAAACTGTATGCGCTCTGGGGATCCGAGAATAGCACTTGGGTGCATCAACGCCATTTTGTCCCTAGAGGTGTCAATTAAATTCACGGCTTGTGAGCAGACGTTCAGGCGGGTCGTGGCAAGTTCTGACGTACCAGAGAAAGGAGGCCCAGTTGTGGGTTGCCGCATGGGGACGCCGAACGACGGCGAACAGGAGCGTGGCAGGTGTGCGAGCACCGATGGATCGTGAACGTCGTGTCCAACGCCGACCCGGGTCCGAGGGAGCTATGCGTACAAAGTCTCTTTGGCGGCATCCGAGCGATCGTTACACGCGCCCTCCTCAAGCACTCACCACTGGCGTCAGGGAGCGATTGGTTTTGGAGACGGTCCTCAGTTGGGAAGCGACTCAGAAACGGACGCCGCGGCCTGACGAATATTCTGTGATGGCGGTGAGTTTTAACAGAAATAGCTGGCCTATGTCCTGGAAATTTACCTGCGCGGCGACTCTAAGGCAGCGCGAACCCTTCGCATGCCTGACATCCTATATAAACCGTGTGAGTCGAGCTTGTCACCGGCCGAGGTACCTCCCCACTGAGTCGCACATCGCCCGATCGAGGTCCGAAGCGACGGCGATGGTGCCTGTGCCTCGGAGACTTTGACTTTCCGGAGGCAGTGAATTTAATACACAACATGAGAGCTTTCCTAAGCCGACTCATACTTTTGTGAGGCTGTTGATGCTAGTGCAGCTACTAGTTTTGCACAAATCTCGTCCTGAGAACGAAGAGCCATAGATTGTGTCAGCTCGCTCTTGGCGTGAAGTCGAAATAGAGGTATTTCTTGCCAAGATACTCTCAGCTTCGCAACCTCGAAGAACCCTATCGCCTGACGCATCTATGAGACCCTGGTGAAAGCCTCCGAGCTGGAGCGTGGCACGCCAGGAGGCAATTGAACGGGCGCTTGCCTTATAGCATCAATGATTCACACCTTTTATGTGGCGGCAGTCCTCAGCAAAACGTGAACCTGGAACCTACTCATATAGTATCGATGAATTATGTGGTTGGGTTACACATGACGCTGCGTGGATCGACATTAACGACGATGGACTACATGCATATATGTCAGTTCATCCTCACCACCGAGATCTGCGAAAACAAACGCTTACACAACTCAACGCTTAAACGGATCCAGGGGCGGTATTTCAGTCGAGAGAGCGGGGAATGCCGAAAGCGCACAGGCCTGCTGGACGTCCTCGTGCGTGATCCCAGCGGGGAAGTGCGCGTTGCTCCCGGACGCGGGTGGGGTGGGCATAGCGTCGGAGCAGTCGACGAGAGCGGAGGGGTCCTGGCCCAAAACTGCCAGCTTCTCGAACGCGGCTTTGAATTCAGTCTGAAGCTTGATTTGGTCATCTGTAGCGTGACGTTAAACAATCGCAGAAGAGGGGAAGAGAAAAGGCTTAGGCTACGTACTAACGAAGGACTGCCACTCGCACGCGGTGCGCGCGTCGCGCGCGAGCAGGCTGTCGGACTGTAGGCGAAGCTCCCCGCTCAACGGCGACATCACCTCGCCCTGATTGCCGCTGGTGCCAGGAAAGAGGGTCCCACGAAGCAAAGTCTCGACGTAGAACTGTGTGTCGAATAGCTCTGGAGTGGTGTCCAACGGCGTTCCGGGGATCGTCGGGTCTACGTGGTCGGCAGTAGCAATAGTGTGCCTGCTCGCCGTAGGTCTGCGTACTGTCTAAACGAGGAAGAAAATGATGGAGGAAACGTACGCGGCGAGAAGAGCGACGACTTGGGCGGCGGAGAACCCGGCGTCAGCAAAGCGCGCAAGGATCGAGTTAACCGTGTCGAACGGGAGGGGCACCGTATGGTCGGGCGCGGCCTGTGTAGCGTCCGTGCGTCCGATGAAGAATTTCAGGGCGGGTGCGCCTGGGCAATTGCTGAGCCCGACCGCGGCAGCAAACTGTATGCTACAGTCGCGTGTCAGAAGGGTGTCAGATTAGAATAACGGAAGCATATCTACGTACAAGTCAGCGGTACCGAGGTCATGATTAGCGATGAACGACGCCTGCTCGTTAATGATTTCGTCGAGACCGAGGTTTGCGGAGTACTCGGTCTCGGTTTCCGCAAAGATGGAGATCGAACCGTCCGCACCTCCGCCGCCGAACTCGCCCATCTCCTCGAGGAGAGGCGAGATTCCAATGGCGTCGTGAAAGGCAAGGCGGAGGGACTCGCGCACCGCCTCACCGCACTGGCCACCGTCGAACAGGTTCTCCTGGATATCCTCGAGAATAGGGAAGAGCACGCAGCAGGCCTCGTTGACAACGACCTGGCCGGTAGCACACGTCGCACGGCTAATCAAGGCACCTGAACAGATATACGACATGCATTAGTGATGTGCACTGCTACAGGTAAAGGACCTCGTACCATGAGCGACCCGGAGGACAGCGAGGAGAGACAAGAAAAGACTAATGAGCGTCATTTCGAGGGATGGAGGTTGGCTCGATGGCCTGAGGCTTTCGCGGTCGCCTTTGTAGGCTCTCGGACCGCATCCCCTCACGGGGATCAGTTTAGCGCATCGACAAGTGTGCGAACACCGATAGATTACGGATACCTTGTCCAACGCCGATCCAGGTCCGGGGAAGTGGTATACACAACGCCCTTTTCTCGACATCAACGCCGTTGCGCCATCTCCCCTGCCGACGCACTCACGAACGGCGTCAAGTGCCAGCTGCTTCGGAAACGGGCTTGGTTTTTCAAGCGAAACCGGCGTTGAGTGCGTCTTTGCGATTCAAAGCAGTAGCGTCATCGAGATGGCTATGGCCAAGTTTGTGAGATGAGTTGGCATGTTATGATAAGCTAGACTGGTGTTTCAGTTACGCGTTAGCTCATACAGTATCGCAAACTCTTCGCATGCCTGTCATCTTATTTCGAGCGCGTCAAAGAGCTGTCACCGGTGGAAGTCTCTCTCCATCGCCTAAACAGCCCGATCCGGGTCGGACTCGGCATCAGCGACAGTGGTGCCTGTGGCTCGAAAACCTTCCGAAGGTAGTGGTAATACTACGCACGGTAGCGATTTTCCGATACGTACTTCGGGAGAGCGATCCATCACCGGCAGCGAGCACAACTTGTCTGCCCAACAGACTGGATTGGAGTCAAGGACCAAGTAATCAGGTCAGCTCGTTCTCGATGTGAAACCGAAAGAGTAGTTACTTACCACGACCCTCACGTTCTGAGGCACACTTTGGTCGTCTCAGCGAATCCTATCGTCCAACGCATCGGTAAGATGTTTCGCGCCGCCATGAGGGAGCGGCTGTCGGAAGAAAGCCACCAATATTGGTGGCACGTTGAGAGAGGACCAGTTGGTCAGCAGCGAGCGCCGGCGTTCCGGCAATTGCCGAAACGTTTAGTACCGTGTGATGGGCGCCTAGACTCCTCTCGTCCTTTTGCACACCACGACGAGTGAGGAGTGCTAGTGAGAACGCCTGTGCATATCTAAAGAAGCCTCAAGATTAGTAGGTTAACCGTGGACTGGCATATTTTCTGATTGTCTCCTTCGGTAGCTTGCGCTACTCGGACGGAGCCGTCCGAGGGATCAAACACCAGTCTGAGATGAATATGAATCTTGAGTGCCTACTGTTGTGATAGAAGGCGTATAGTCACCAAGCGAGTGAAGCTTGTATGTGTTCATATTGAACTCCTTCTGCCGCGGCGTAGCTGCCTCGGCACGCGCAGTCGCAGGGGCGATAGGAGGAATCATCACCCCTGTGCTGCCTAACTTACCCTGCTGGCGGGTAGTTCGCACTCGTGCCTCCTTTGGAAGCTCGGTCGTCTTGTACTAGAGGGTATCATTTACGACCGCGGCACTCCGACCACCGTGACACTTCAAGGCGAAGAAAACGAAATAGGCAGGTGATCTTGCATTTATGTGCTAACAGGGATGACCGATAGTGCATCACACGAAGTCGAAAGACACGAGGTCTGAAGCTCGCACTCAGCATGTACCCAATAATAAAATCACATTGCAGTAATCCCAATATTGCCTCCAAGAATACGTGAAACTACTCAATCTACAGTCTACAATGCAACGCATACGACCACTACGCGGCCCAATGTTTAGGACGGGGGGCTACAAAAATGGGTGTCAGTGTAGGCTCGCCATTCTTTTCGAGGACAAGGGCTTACACAGGGGCAACGGAGGTGGCGGGTCCTGGGTCCGTGCGGAGGGCGGGGAAGGGCGTCTGGCGGCACGCCTGCTCAACGTCGCGGTGCGTGAGGCCGGCGGGGAAGTGCGCGGCGCTCGCGGGGGCGGGCGGAGTGGGAACGACGTCGGAGCAGTCAATGAGCTCACGCGTGTTCTGGCCGAGCACCGTCATCTTCGCGAAGGCGGCCTTGAACGCCGACTGGAGCTTCGCCTGGTTGTCTACAAATACGCGAGCGGGCGGTGAGCACTGCGCAGAAAACCGAGGAAAGGTATATCCACGCACTGACGAAAGACTGCCACTCGCAGGCGGTACGGGCGTCGCGTGCAAGCTCAGCGTCGGACTGGAGACGGAGCTCGCCGTGGAGAGGAGACATGACCTCGCCCTGGTTGCTGCCGTTGCCGGGGAAGAGCGTGCCGCGGAGCTGGGTCTCGATGAAGAACTGGGTGTCGAACAGTTCAGGGGTCGAGTCGAATGGCGTTCCCGGAATGGTCGGGTCGACGTGGTCTGCAGCAGCGATCGTGTGCCTACAAGTCGTGTGTAAGTGTATGTTCTCACACAGGGAGAGCAGGTATGGATGGGGAGACGTACGACGCGAGGAGAGCGACGACCTCGGCAGGGGTGAACTTGCCCGCATCCTCGAAGCGCCCAAGGATCTTGGTCACATCGTCGAACGGCTCGGGCACCGTCAGGTCGGGCGCCGGCTTCGTCGCGTCCTTGCGGCCGATGAAGACGTTCAGGCGGGGTGCGCCGGGGCAGTTGCTCACACCGATCGCGCCAGCGAACTGGATGCTGGATCGGGAGGTCAGTGGTGTGAGAGAGCGGAGTAGTTGCAATGCCAGCCACGTACAAGTCGGCGGTGGTCAGGTTGTGGCGGGCGATGAACGGCGCCTGCTCGCCGATGATCTCGTCCACACCGTTGTTCGCGTGGAAGTTCGTCTCGATGTCCGCAAAGATGGCGATAGAACCGTCTGCGCCTCCACCTCCGAACTTTCCAGTGCGGGCGATGGCGGGCGAGATGCCGATGGCGTCGTGGAAGGTGAGACGGAGGGACTCGTGGACCTCCTCACCGCACTCGCCGCCGTCGAAAAGGTTCGTCTGGATGTCCTCGAGGACGGGGAAGAGGGCACAGCACGCCGCGTTGGCAGTGACCTGGCCGCCGGCGCACGTCACCTTGCGGGTGGCGGCACCTGAAGAGGGGAACGGCTCATATAAGTGGATGCTCGAGCTCGGAGGCCGCAGAAATCGTACCGTTAGCGAGCTGGAGGGCCGCGAGGACAGAGACAAAAGATGCCAGGAGCTTGAACGCCATTGCCTGATGTGTTGAGGGATGAAGGAAGAGAGCTCGATGTGCTGAAGAATGTCGGTAATTCCGTGACCCTCTTTATACTCCCCAGATGCTTGCCTTCCTAGGAGTCCGAGGAAGCAGTATGGGCGCAAATTTCCTTGGCGCTCGAGGAAGGGCGAACTTGCGTACATACGCCACCTAGCCAATCATGGAGCTTGAATATCACCATTCGACAACAGGCTGTCGAGCATGAGATCGTTCCACAGCTCTGGTGAGAGGCGTTCACGCGAATGCGTGGCCAGTGTGCGGGTGCATCCAGGTTAAACGACACAGCGGGGTGCTCAGCGGTACCGGGATCGGAGGGTGGTTAGGCCCGGCGTGCGGTACACGCATGCGAAGATCAAGAGACAGATTGAATGGTGTCGGTCGTCCCGGAGACAGAGCTTGGGTGCATCAGGGCCATATTGTCCCCAGAGATGTCTATTAACTGCTCAGCCTGTGATCAGGCACCCAAAGAGGCTGTGGCAAGTCCTGACGCACCAGAGAAAAGGTGACCGGGTCGCAGGTTGCCGCATGGGGAAGGTTGGGCGGCCGTGCGAGAGAGCCTGTCAGGTGTGCGAGTACAGAGTTCGTGTCCACAGACTCGGTTCCGAAGGTACTGTGTCTACATCATTCCCTACTGGGATTCTTGAGCCTCGAGCCATTCCTTCTCCCGGCGGCCTGATCATGGGCCTCTGAAAAAAAGGCTCTTGAGTAGGCAGAAATAACGCTTAGCGTCCTGGAAAACGACAAGGGTATCAACGCGCTAGTTTCCCGATGACCGTACCTCATCCAGGAGACGAAGATCTAAAGGTGGCGGACAAAGGTATGGTGGCGTGTATTGATGGCCGGCGTAAGGAACTGGTCCCCTCCGTTTGGAAGGACGCAGTTTGCCTGCCATGAGCACGGCAGCTCCAACGGCATGACAGTTCCTTCGCATGCCTGCCATCCTGTTGAGAACGTGTGAGCCGTGTTTGTCATTGAGGGGCCGGATACCTCCCTACCTTGTAAACGGCCCGATCGAAGTCGGAATCGACGGGGATAGTGCCTGAGACTTGTAGACGCTCTGAAAAGAATAACACGCAGTGCTGCAGACCCCCGGTGCCCACTTCTACGAGACGTTGCACCACGAGGCCGCTCAAGTTGACCTGAGAACCTAAAGCTAAAAATTGTGTCTGTCCGCTCTTGGCGTGTCTGGAGAGAGCGAAGATGCTCTGAACACCATCTTGGCGGCCTCGGGAAGTGCAATCACCTGAAGTGTCTGTGAGCTTTTGTTTCCCCTCGCGGCAATGAAGATTGAGTGAAAGGTTGTGAGAAGAGAGCGGCGGCGTCGCACGCCGTTTGAATTGAGCGCTTATACAAGCGCTTGTTTGGCGGCAGCCGCCGAGGCCCGAGGCGTTTAGTACCGTGCGACGTGCGCACGACGGCCACTCCCTGTTCCCTCTCTCTCGTACCACGACGCAGACTCCCAGGTGCAACCTTGGGGTGCACTAAATCCACGCACATTTCTCAAGATATCTGGTTCTACCACTGCGGCAGTCATTCCAACTTCGATGACCTGGCTAATCAGCGTGGACCCCAGCTCACGCGCGGCCGTTTTGGAGGCCTTGCAAGAATATGTTCAGGTGAGTGCCCTTGCGCGATATGCGCGAACACCAAAGGGCGGCAAGTTCTCTCTGGCCTGATCACTGTATGGTGAGGGCACGAAGCTCCCGGTATAAGGACAACATCGCCTCCGTCCATTATATGTAGCTAGCTCAATGAGTGTCGTGCGTTAGTCGCTTTCGTGCTCAAATGTTCTTTAGAGCTCGGCCAATGATTTGCTGTAGTAATTATCGTCGCCTGCTCTGCACCCTGGCGCCAGAACAAAACGCGAGGATCACTGTGTCAGGCAATTGGTGGCTGTGCGTTGATGTGTACTACGGTTTGCGACGGAGACTGGATCGAGAGGTCTCAAAAGCGATCGACGACGGCGTCGAAGCTCGATAAAGCATAGCCTTCCGAAGTCATTACTTTTGACCCCCAGGTCGACCCTCAACTCACCAACACGTCCTACAGTCATCGAAACGTCCACTCTGTCATTTGGCCTAGTGGGTGCTTCTCTCTTCTTCGCGATCGAATGGTTTCACGCGCTCCTCCCGAACAGTCGCTCGTCAAGAAACAGTCATCCAGGCGCTCGAAAGCGGCGGCATCTTTACGCTCCGCAATCCCTTTCGCACGCAAGTACCCCGCGAGCCACCTCCGTGCCGTCCAGCTCGATATGTACAAGCACGCGAACTCGACGCCGCCCCCGCACAAACCTCGCGAAGTACACTGCGATCGGTGCGAGAGCGTCGTTCGCGGAGTACATCGCGCGCCCGCTTTTCGATATTAACATCCAGAGCGCGATAGTCTCCTTCCCCGAGGAAAACGCGCCGCAGGGTGGGCTGCTTCTGCAGAACATCGCGATGGTCGGGCTGGCGAGCGTGCCCGTCATCGGGATGTATCCGGCAACGAAGCGTGGTGAGCACCCAATTAGCCGATCGTCTTTTGCCTTATTAGTGCTGCTTGCGCAGCATGTCTCGAATATCTCAGCGAGTCGCTTACAAAGGTGCTCGACCCCGCACGGAACACCAAGGTAACGTCCTCGTCCCCGCCTGCAACTAGGACGTCCACTGATACTCGCCCTACAGGTGACGATTACCAGCCTTGAGGTGACCGCCCATGTCGCTATGTGCTCCCGAGCGGCCGTCCCTGAATATATGCGCGTTACGCGCATGTCTGGGATGCGCACGCAGGGTGGGGACGCCCCCGGTGCCCGAAAAGGCAGGCACGCGGTCACGTGCTCCGAGGTCGCGTTGACTCCCGCGACGCGCCTATGGCGTGTGATTCTGGCAGGACTCGCCGACGCCTGGACTTGCGTACGCCCAGCCCACCACCGCAGCGTTATGCGTTTATACTTCTTATGCCGTATGTTCTCCGTCGAATCCTAGCATCCTATCTCGAGCTTAAACCCCTGATCATCGCCGCAGAGAAGTTTCCGCGCAACATGATTCCTCCAACAGAATGCCTTCCGATCGTGGTGGGCTGGAAGGAAGTCTATATGACGGCACGGCCTTGCTGTAGAAGGCACGGATCAGGCTTTGGAAGCCCCGCGTACCGCTATCTACGGCGAGGCACTGCGCACTTCCACACGAAGTCGGGATTGAGGCGGGACCGGCGACTTCTAGACATGGCGAGCGGTGTCTAATTTACATAACGCCGTCGGTCCGTCGATGGTCGAGACCAAGCTGTGAGTATTGTGGCTTTTTACTTGTTGCAACGCAGTGTGGGTCCGTGTTGACGTCGACTCCGACTTCCATCCCGGGTGGTGTTACCGAATCAAGTGTCCTCTGGGGCCTTATGAAATATTTACGGTGCATCATACAGCGAACCTGTAGGCAAACGACCCCCCTCATCTCGTCTGGTTTGCAGGTCTTACGAAGCCTGAAAAGATAGTAAATAGACAGACTCTTTGACTTAAGCCTCGCAACCTAAGATTCGCCCATCTGAGAGACCGCATGTCCCTCACTAGCAATCACTGGGAAGCCATTGTACTTCCGTTTCATTTCCGTCGTAGAGCGACTCTCATCCCGAGTGCACGTGAAGAGCAAAGAGAAGCTAAAGGCCGCTGAAAGGGACTGATCTCGGTGTTAATATTCCAGTAGATGTTCGAGTGCTACTCACCACGAGTCGACGCGTCAGCCCAACGGCCTCCGGGAGAAACGAGTGAAAGCGACGGAGAGCGGGACGATACTACGGCTATAAAAAGAATTTGCCTCTCCATTGTCAAACGTATCAGGCCGCTGTTGGTGTAACATTGCCAAGATAGTACGAGCTGGCGTTATATATATCGCATGTACACCCCGCTCGAAGTGACCGCTCCATTCGCGAGCCTCAGGTCTGCCCTTCGCTACTCGCAATGAGTATCGAGGGGTCCATCTGATGCCCTCGCTACTGATGATTAGGCGATAAATGAATAGACTATATGCGCACGTTGGAGAGGGTATTTATGGCCCACTGCCGGCCACTCTCCAAAGCCGTGTGCTACAATATCACAAGATACTTATCAGGACTGATCGTACCTGTACGAGAGCATAAGCAGGAACACAAACACGTCGGTATGCACCCCAGGTATTTGATCGCCGTTGGTGGCCATGGGGTGCAAAGGCCGACGGGAACGACAGGCGTGGCTGAAGGGAAGAGCTCATTGGCCTGAGATGGGCGATGGTGGCAAGGGAGGCAAGGGGCGTTCGATATATTTCCATATCCGGACGCTACACCCCTAATCTAAGCGCCGCTCGGAAGGATCGGATTCCGCATCGTCGCTCGATCTGCTCTTGATCTTTCCCCTCTTCCTCCTCCCCCTCGAGCAATCTCATGACTTTGCAACGTGCCTGTCTATACAACGATCCACTCGAAGAGATACCACAAATCATCTCAGGGTCGCGCGGATGATTGGAGGCTGACCGGCCGCAGGCCCAGATCGATCTGCTCTCGACGAGTCTCGCCAACCTGGAGCGCACTGCGGGAGAGGCAGTGGGGGCGCATGAGCTGGTTCGGTCGAGTGCAGCGGCCGCGTGATAGCGGCGGGCGGAGTGCGAGCTGGATTGGTCCCGTCTAGGCCTCCTCCAACCCCGTCCGCGCCCTCCCGCCGCCCGGAGACGGAAAGGTCGTTCCAGGCAGCCCAGGCGCGGGCGCGCCCAGCCCCTGTCCATCGCATCCGGCCTAAGTACGTTGTCCTCCCACACTGTCGTGTGTCCCATTCTACATCCAGCCAGCTTCGCGAAGTCCTCACGAGAACCCCAGCGAAGATGCAGACGCACACGGTCATTTCCTGCCTGCGCCTCTCCAAACCCGCTCCAATCCGCTTCGCCGGCGCTACCCGTGCTGCACTATATAAGCTCGCCCCTCCGTCAGCTGCTTTCCTTCACACCTCCTCACCGAGACTCCACAACACTTCCACACCCCTCGTCATGTCCCAGTTCACCGTCCCCAAGACCCAGAAGGCCGCGATTGTCGAGTCGACATCCGCCCCCCTCAAGGTCGTCGACAACTTCCCCGTTAAGCAGCCCGAGGACCTCGCTCCTGGCGAGTGCCTCGTCCAGCTCGACGTCAGCGGTGTTTGCCACACCGACCTCCACGCCAGCAAGGGCGATTGGCCCATCCCCGCGAAGCTCCCCCTCATTGGCGGACATGAGGTAAGTCGAACTTCATTCGACGTTTGCGCTACGACGATACTCAAATACCTTCATCATAGGGTGTCGGCCGCATCGTCGCCATCGGCGCACACACTCAGGGTTCGCCCGTCAAGCTTGGTGACCGCGTGGGCATCAAGTGGCTTGCATACTCCTGCTTGGACTGTGAGCCTTGCCGTAAGGGCCTTGAGCAGAGTTCGTGCCTTCATGTTGTCTATTACCGTTCAACCCTGACGTCATCTATGCGCTCATTATAGGCTGCCTGAACGGCAAGTACAGCGGCTTCACCGTCGACGGTACCTTCTCGCAATATGTCGTATCGTGGGTTACCCATGTTACCCCCATCCCGGAAAACCTCGACAGCGCTGAGGCGGCCTCCATCTTGTGCGCGGTAAGTCACGTCGATTCCGTCCGCTTTCCGGGGTGTCAGCCGTACTTACACGGTACGATCACAGGGTGTCACTGTCTACCGCGCGATCAAGTACTCGAAGGCGAAGATCGGTGATTGGATCGTCCTCCCGGGTGCGGGTGGAGGTCTTGGTCACCTCGCTGTCCAATACGCAGTCGCCATGGGTCTCCGTGTCGTCGCAGTCGGTGAGCCATCCCGCGTCAGCTGTCATGCTAAACCCCTATCTGATCGCGCGTGTAACCCCTTCCAGATACCGGAGCTGAGAAGAAGGCACTCGTCATGAAGCTCGGCGCCGAGAAGTGGGTCGACTTCAAGGAGACCAAGGATCTCGTCAAGGACATCGTCGACGCGACCGACGGCTTCGGCGCGCACGCCGCTGTCGTGACGGCCGCGAACCCCTCGGCCTACGCACAGGCCGTCGACTACCTCCGCATGGGCGGTGTCCTCATGGTCGTCGGTCTGCCCGCTCGCGCCAACCTGTCCGCCGACATCTTCTTCACCGTCATCAAGAGCATCTCTATCCTCGGCTCTTACGTCGGTAACCGTCAAGATGCTCGCGAGGCACTCGACATCGCCGCGCGCGGCAAGGTCAAGTGCTACTTCGAGCTTAAGCCCCTCTCCGCACTCGCAGAGTACGTCCGCCATTACTGCCTCATCTCGTACCACGTTCTTACCGCGATATCTTTCACAGTACCTACGAGGCGCTTGCCGAAGGCAAGATCGTCGGTCGTATCGTTCTCAACATGAAGGAGTAAACGCTCCCTTCCCTTCTTCACATTCCTCCTTCACACCCCCTTCACACCGCCCCGCCAAAAGAGGCCGGCTCATCGCACGTTACCATAAGCGTCGTCACGCACAACTATAAGTCTGGGGAGAGACTGTACGATATCTTATTCGTATTCGCATTGTGGCCTCCATTGTTGTACTAGTATACCACATGAAGGAGATCGAGCTCTGAAACTCAAACCCTCGTGTGCGATGCCTTGCTTTCCTGTTCAAGTCGGACCGGCTGGGAGCTTGACATGGATCTGCGAACTGAATTACCCGATACCCTGCGTTCCATGCTGTTCTATGTGCGACTGCATCCGAGTTGCAATTCGTCGATCGGCACCCCGCCGCGGATCAACCGATGTACTCGACTGTATAGGCGTTGGAGTACCCCACAATTCTACATCGCGGCTCTCGGGAAGTGCGGGGTAGGTTGTGGGGACTGAATTGAATACACAACACGTCTGATGGGATGCGGGACGGCGTGCGGGAAGGTGCGGGATGTGCTGCGGAATCTCCGATCGAGAACATAGCTTAGGGTCACGAGTCCGGGGAAGGGAGGAACATCGCGACGTCCTGCGCTTGCCATATTTGGTGAGTTGTGTATCGTCTGTTCATGCATCGCAGCTAGTTCAGAGTGTTCAGTGAGAGAGCCTCTCAATACCCCAGTAGGGGTACGTGCGCAACTCCATCACACTACCGCGCAGCAGCCACTAGGTGAGATCAGGAAGCCTGGCGACATATGGTGTGGGTGCCTCACCAGGCCACCAGAAGCCACAGGCGACGCGAACGCGCTCCGTTTGCATTCCGAGCGGACATCACCCCCGGTACTGACATGTACGATTATGCACCCTAGGCACACGCGAGCTCCTTCAGGCCCTCCGCGAGTCCCATGACAAACTCCTCAGCGAGTTCGCCGTCCACCGCCCCCACCCCCCACGTAATGGTGAGGCCAAGCCCGCCCTCAGGTGTCCCGGTCACATTCACCTTCAGCGCGGCGCCCAACGCCCCATTGGCCTGCGCGAACACGGTCTCACGAATCTTCCATTCGGTGGCGTTCTCCTGTCTAGTGGCGGGCTGCGCGGCGAATGGTGGGGGCACGCGACCTAAGTTGGAAATCTCGAGCGAGTGCTCGCGCTTCTTCCCCAGCTGCCCGCGGAAGAAGCCCTCGTAGTCCTGCCCGAAGATCCGTCTGAGCACGCCGATGAGCGCGGGCGACTGCGGGGCTTCGCGCGCGAGGGTCGCTGAGAAGGCCTGCGCGTGCTCCCATGGAAAGCTGCAGAGACGCGGGGAGGCGGACGGGCGCTGCGCGGGGAGATGGCGGAGGGCTGCGTAGCCCGAGACGCAGTTACAGATGGTAGCCGGAGACACGCCGACGAACCGTCGCAGCGAAGTCGCGACGGCGACGTCTATTGACTTGTATCGCGGTCGCGCGCCGCTGCGATTGAGCAGGTGTGCGAGGACGTGGGCGGCGATGGTGTACAGGGCACCTGTAATAGTTGCATGATTGGCTCTACAACGCTGCAAGATGCGCGCGCTTTCCTGAGGGGATAGGTGGAGGATGCGGACGTGGACTCTTAGGCTAGGGTTTTTCGGGACTGGGTACCCGGTCCAGGTCGATGCACGTTTCCTCCGTGAGAACGGGTTGAGTGCGTCGAAGACTTCGTGGATGACCCGGGTGAAGGGCGCAGGCAGCGCGGTGAGGTCCTCGAGCAGCGGAGCGAGTGGTGCGTTCGTCGGGTTTACGACAATCCTCCCTTCGTGACGAGGCGGTTTGTCTGGGACAATCTGCAGCGCGTCGAGGAGATGCAGGTGGAATGCGAGGCCGCTCTGTCCATCTCCCATCGAATGGTCATAGGCGAAGACGACTGTACCATCCCGAAAGACGGTGATCCTCCACAGTGGTCGCTGGGCATCCAGATCGAAGGGTAGGCTAAGCTGTGCCTCAAGGACGGATGCGAGTGGACCCGCATCGTCGCCGCAAAAAGTCACCGCGGCCTCTAAATCGATAGACGGAAGGAGCATCCAAGAGCGCGGGCGCGCCTGAGCGCCACTGTCAACCAAGCTCACGCTCACGAGACAAGAGGTGAGCGCCGTGTGGTGGTTTAACACATTCTCGAGGGCTGAGAAAATCGTGTCCCTGTCGAGTGGGATTCCGGTACTGCGTTCGTATCGTGCTGCGACGATGATGCAAGTGTCGAAACCCAGCTCCGTGCGGACGTAGGCATATTGTTCGAGAATTCCTGACATCACCCCGAATCAGTCTGTCAATTCCCTTGCAATGAGCTAGTCAAACGTTAGACGTACCTGCAGACCTCAGAGGCCGCAAAGAAGGGAGCGAGGAGGTCGCGTCTGTTACGTCTTTCATGAAGAGCGGCTGAGGGTATAAAAGGTGAGATGCGCTGGTCATGGCTTTCAGTTACGCTCATTTTGTAGTACTTATAGTTTGTGGCGCCGTGCACGATGACGCTATGCCATGCTAGTGGCTCTTCGAGTTGACTTTTATGACAGCTGACAAGCAGGCCGTGGGGTAGTGACCGACTGCATGTACAAAATGCATCCGAACAGTTGTGTACCTCCGCAACGCAGACTGGCGGCGTGACACACTCGCAGTTGATGTTTGTGCGGTCCGTGTATATGTTACGACGCCCCGGGTTCTGAGTGATTGGCACTGAGTTAGAGAGCAAAACTACAAGTGTTGAAAGGGGCGTACCGCAGACGGGCTCATGATTACGCAGAACATGAATAACAAGTACATAAAGGGATTTGGATGAGGGAGATATTTCGTGGTGCTCATCTGAAAGCGAGTGCTCGTGTGCGACCAAAATGTAAGCTTGGTGCCGTTCGAGAACTCTCGACCTTTGGGTCGAAGCTTCAGCAGTTGTACGTGCCATCTCCGAGAACTGGTGAACGATAGCCTGTGTTGTCGTCGGGTTGCAGTGAGTTCGTTTACGTAGCATGTCCGAAAAGAAAAGAGGAGCCAGCGAAGAGTTGGCGGAGGTATCCATGATATGCGGAGATTGGAAACCTAAGGGTAATCGTTACTACATTGGCGCTCCGATCCAAACCTGGAGTCAGAGACGCCAACCAGAGGTCCGCTCATCACTCTGCCTCAACTTCCATTCTCTTCCCCACCTCAACGCTCAGCGCTCAGTATGATTCATCTATGTAAGATGATCACAACGATGCTGCCTCTTTTTTGTCTATTAGACACACATAGGCGGTTCGTATCACGACAGGAAAGCGCCTTCTGATTCTGCCGCAGCGCTACATGTTACGCCGCCTCTCAGAAACGCAGCACGAGCCCATTCAACGGACCCGGACGATTACAGCTCTGGCTACCCAAGGTGGCCCGGCAACCCTGTAACGGGACCCCCAGAGGAGATACACATCTACACATCCATCAGTCAGTCTACTATGCATTATTTCAGGAAGCTGTGGAAACACGGGCAGTGGACCTATCGTTTCCACTCTCGATCGGACCAAAGCATGGGCGAGAACGAGGTAGGGAGGAAATTTTGCTGTTCACGATCGTCATAACACAATTGACCTCTAATAGGGCACTTGGCAGGCGAATAGCCGCGTTCCGTTGGACGGAGGGGCCGGCCACAGCAGACTTACAGTCAGCCGTATCTCCAAACTCACGGGAGCCATCTATTTTAGCTGGTCTATCAATACATCTCACATGCTGCATTTCTCGACCTGCAGAGAGTTATCCTCTCAATACGGCGAGGCCACAAGGCCGCCGGCGTCTCAATGACCTTATGCTTGACCGCCGTGGTCAGCGTTGTCTTCGCCTGCGAAAAATGGTCTCCGGTGTCGATCAACTACCACACGACACCATGCGGAACCGTGCGTTCGTCGGTAGGGATGAGGACCCGATGTTCGAGGCCTTGAGAGAGACTTTGAAAGCACACAACTCCCTCGGAGCCGGAATGGCGCGAGACACGGGCTTCGTACTCACACACTTGACAGACTCCGTCCCACGGCCACTCAGACTCCCCATGCGGCATCCTCCAGCCGGGTCTCTTTTTCTCTGGTGCGTCACAACTTACCACCGCGTCCCGTAACTCGTACTCACAGGCTGCATTATTTATATGCTTCTGTAGGCACAATGGGGCTTTGATGCACCCGTGCTCCGTCCCCGGGTCGTCTGAACAAATATAGACCCCCTGATGATCTTCTCATGCGTTTACACAACACCGGGCACAACCAGCGCGTCCTTGACCCGAACCCGGTCCCGCTGGGTCGTTTAACCTGGCTGCACCCGCCCATTGGCTATGTGATCCGTGAACGCGTCTCACCAACGGTGCGGAGCGCTCTCATGCCCGCCAGGTTTTCGTGGAACGACAATATTCATGCACCATGATTGGTCCGAATGCATCTGTACGCAAGTTCGCTCTCTCTGATCGCGCGCACATGAAATTTGCATGCATATGGTCACCTCATGTTCGTTGGAAGGCGAGGGTCGGGAGAGTATAAAGGCGACTGCAACAATGCCAGAACTCCTCAGACCATCGAGCTCTCTTCCTCCATCCCTCAAAACACCAGGCAATGGCGCTCAAGCTCTTTGGTTCATTCGTCGCTCTCCTCGCGGCCCTCCAGGTCGCTAACGGTATGATATTCTCTGTTTATAAGCACGACGAGTCGCTGACATGAGTTGCGTTTCCGTTCATTTGCAGGTGCCCTCACCCGCCGTGTGACGTGCGCCACCGGCCAGGTCACCTCGAACGCGGCGTGCTGCGCGCTCTTCCCCGTGATCGACGACATCCAGACCAACCTCTTCGACGGCGGCGAGTGCGGTGAGGAGGTGCACGAGTCCCTCCGCCTCACCTTCCACGACGCCATCGGCATCTCGCCCGCCATCGCCAAGACCGGTGTCTTCGGCGGCGGAGGCGCAGACGGCTCCATTGCCATCTTCGCCGATATCGAGACGAACTTCCACGCGAACAACGGTGTGGACGAGATCATCGGCGAGCAGGCGCCCTTCATCGCCCGCCACAACCTCACCACCGCCGACTTGTACGTTCCCTTATACTGGGCTTGATGGCATCATCCGTTGCTGACTCGTGAGTGCAGCATCCAGTTGGCCGGTGCCATCGGTGTCTCCAACTGCCCCGGCGCGCCCCGCCTGAACGTCTTCATCGGCCGCAAGGACGCGACCCAGCCCGCTCCCGACCTGACGGTCCCGGAGCCGTTCGACGACGTCACCAAGATTCTCGCTCGCTTCGAGGATGCCGGCAAGTTCACCCCCGCCGAGGTCGTCGCTCTCCTCGCCTCGTACGTGCCCACTGATCTCTATCCTTCCGTTCGGAGAACGCATACTGACACAGGGCTTGCAGGCACACGATCGCTGCTGCCGACCACGTCGACCCCACGATCCCCGGCACTCCGTTCGATTCTACCCCCGAGCTGTTCGACACCCAGTTCTTCATCGAGACCCAGCTCCGCGGCACGCTCTTCCCCGGGAACGGCAGCAACCAGGGTGAGGTCCAGTCCCCGCTCGGCGGCGAGCTCCGCCTCCAGTCCGATGGCCTGCTCGCTCGTGACCAGCGCACGGCCTGCGAGTGGCAGTCGTTCGTGAACAACCAGGCGAAGCTACAGTCCGCGTTCAAGGCCGCGTTCGCGAAGATGACCGTGCTCGGCCAGAACACACGCGCGCTCATCGACTGCTCGGACGTCGTGCCGACCCCGCCCGCCCCCGCGAGCAAGGCGCACTTCCCCGCTGGGCTCACGCACCGCGACATCGAGCAGGCGTGCCGCGCGACGCCCTTCCCGACGCTCCCGACTGACCCCGGACCGGTCACCACCGTCGCCCCTGTGTAAGTCCTCCCATCCTCTGATTGACCTCAGGGATGGCGCTGAACCGTCTTTTTGCAGTCCTCCGTCGTAAACGTTGAGCCGTGCAGTGCTCGTATTCCGTCCCCTTGTAGATTTAATCGGGATTTGGGCTGACTTGGTAGAAGATGCTTTTCTTTGTCGCGATGCTGTAGATATTTCAGACCATTGTGTGCTAATGCAAGTTCATGAATCGCTGAGTGTGTGGGAAGTTTACGAGGCAGCTGGATGATGCATGAATCTTCGTGATACACTACTAGGGTACCTGGTACGATGTACGCTCACCCATCAGATAATGTAGGGCTCGTAATACCATCACTACGCCGTTCCCGTACATCTGAATCCTAGTGCAAGAAATGCGGAGATGAGCAACTGTAGGCCGGAGAGTCAAGGCGCTGCAAGCACGTATGCTACTACCAGAGGAGTCCTCCTGGTGCTCTCGCGCAGCATCAGAAGCAATGCGGAAGTAGGTTGGGTTGGGACGCGAGGCGCACATATGTGCTGCTTCCGAGCCCGAGGGGCTTAGGACATACGGTCGAATACCCAGTCTCAGCGTCGCCCTGGAGAAGATCAGTTGGCGTGCGGATGACATATGCCCGTCAGTGCCCAACGGTGGTTCGGAACTGACTGCTGACAAGACGTGCGACGTACCTACGCCAGCGGTAGAAGCACATGCCTTACTATGCGTGCCGACGAGGTTCGTTCCACGCGTCCTACCGGGAGATGATGCGCGGAAATGGGGAGGTCGCGCGCGGTCGTACAAATCAGGTCCAAGCGGGCGTGCATGCATATCTTTCTATAGCAGCAATTATCCTATAGCGTTCCACAAGGCATAGGTAATAACCTTATAAGCTTCGTGTCAGAACTTGTCACAAATAACCCACATCCCCTCTGCGCGCAGTCCATGGGTCCTCATGTCAGAGAAAACCTTGACTCGCTGCGCCCGACGTGCGGGGAGATAGACGCCGCTTCCAAAACGCAGATTCATACCGAAAAGCGCATCGTGGGTCAGAACTTTATCTCCACGCAGCCTCGCACTCCGAGCTGGGGAAGGAAGAGGTGGTTACGTGCTCACCGAACGCGGCCGAAGTTGAATCTTGCGAGACATGCACGCCGCGACTTGGGCGATTCTCATCTTCCGGGTTGTCTCCCCTAGACAGACGATGTGTGATCCCCTCTTCGACAAGATATCTTCCGGGGTGTTTAAGCTTCTTTTACCTCAAGGACGCGCAACTCTGAACGGTGGGTACGTATCACCAGTGCATCGCGTGAAGAGTTCTATCGGACGTCGGGGGTCAGTCGCAAGCGGCGGAAATCGCCTAGAATGTAGGAATCCATGAGACAGTGCAAGCTGCAGGTAGTTTGAGAACACGGGGGCTAGTGCAGACCGATAGGGTGGCGACCAGAATTTGAGTCCTAGTTTCTGCGCGAGTTCCAGACTGAGCATCAAACGCCCTGTCCACGTAAGAGATGCATAGGAGTAGTATTCTTACCATATTTGCTTGCTGGTGCGAAGTAACCCCTCTATGTGTATATTTGCCCCACGAGCCGCGTGGGCATTTCTGCGACAACTTTGCATGGAAGCTGGCTGAGCGGCCGCTGTGATGTGTGTTTGAAGCCACTGATGGGTAGGTTGTCGCCAGATAAATGAGGAGCGCGTATATCTAGCCAGTCCGCCCATTGATACATGCCCCTGCCTTCGTAGCCTAAGCAGGTGAAGAGAATACAAGACGGGATCGAGTGAGTCGCACGACAGTGCACGATGATACTGAACGCTTCGGCAAATGCCGGCGGTTAAGCGCTCACGTTTAGCGAGACCTGCCACGCTTCCATCACAGATTTGACCGCGATCTTGCAATGTCATATAATCCAGGTAAAATGGACTTGCAATCGGTTGTTAGGTACCCAATGATCTTTAGTATGGAATCCGTCATAATATCACTCGGATGACGTTGAGCCCCTTACAACCGTCGCGATTATTCCAAAATCCCCTATTATTCCAAAGTTTCCAATCATCCTGCGCGCAAACAAGGTGTATGATGCTACCGTATTTCCTGCTTTCCAATCTGGATCGTACCACGCGCGGTGAATGCAGGGAAACCAGATAATATATATTTCGACGCCGAGAACATATATGCAACTGGACGCTAGTGTTACTATGCATACGCGCTACTGGTACTACGAGATGTGCTACAAGATAGGCGAGATAGAAGACTGCGAGATCGGACAGCTAGACAGCCTTCATCAGGAGCACCCAGCGAGCGAGGCAACGAGCAAGGACACGTAGAGTAGACAGCCAGCGATAGTCACGGCGAAGCAAACAAGGAAGACGCGGAGCCCCAGCCTAGAAAGCCAGCATTCGAACACGGTACGAGCGCGTTGCCAGGGGGAGTGGCCAGCTAGAAACCCGCTAGGAGCCTGAGTTCCAAGTGTGCTAGTCAAAGACGAGTCCGAAGTACCAGTCTGAGTACCAGCCGCTAGACGAAGATTCGAGTGGTCCAATTCCCACAAGACACACGCCCGAGATCTAGTACAAGGCTGAGAGTGGCGACAACGATATTTTACGGAGTGACGAGACAGAAAGGAGAGACCCCAGGCCTCGAGGATGGGAGAGGGAGTGAGAGAGGAGCGAGAGAGAGGGCGCGAGAGTTGCCCGTCACTAGGAGACTGAGATTCAAGCTCCGCCGAGGAACTGTACAGAACGTCCGATGGTTCCACGAGGTCCCGGTAAAATCGAGCGCGCGAATTGTAAGTGGCTGGCCAGAGATTGCGAGAGGTTGCAAGATGGGCGCAAGAATTTCGCAGGTTGCGAGACCCTTGTAAGAGCAGTGCAATGATTGCGGCGCTTGCCACCGGAGACGAGATTAGATCAGGATTCTAATACGTTGTTACAGCGGAAATCCTTATCATGCTTACCATTTGCCCGCCTTTTTTGTGATGTCAGTCAGCGCTTCTGCTCGAAGTCATCCTCGTCCATCTTGCTCTCTCTTTATTCGCAATCCATGAGGGAAATAATGGCTTCAGACGACGGGTATCTTTCTTAACTGCGGCGTTCAGTCCATCTTGGCAAGGACCGCCTCTGCGCGTCGCGTCAGGAACGACTTACAGCTCACAACGGTTCCCAGCATCATGACAGGGCCCGCTTTGCAGCGGGAATCCTTTCCGAAATCAACATCGGTCTGTACTTCGTAATTGCGTTTAACTGGTCTCCCGAGTGGCCGAGTCACAGGCGGAATTCTCATCAATTCGGACTCCGGCTGGGTCGTTTACAAGGTGGGCAGACATCCCCGCCGTTGACAAAACTGGGCTCACATATTCAAATAGGATGGCGGGCATGCGAAACGATTCGCTGCGCGGCTCTGACCTACATTTGAGATCCAGAAAAAGAGGCTTTACGGACACAACTCCCTCAGACCGGGTCGGAAGCCTGAGCGAGTGCCGTTTACATACTCGCACATCCACCACGCTCCTTGGCGCGGTTACATGGCCTCCCCATGCCCCCAAATAGCCGAGTCTCCTTTCTTCTGTTGCGCCATAACCTGTTCTAACCCCCCTTGGTGCCTGATTACGGACTCTAGATTAGAATTATATTTGAAGGTAGGGCTGTCGTACACCCGCGCGCCCTCCCCGGAATGCCCGCGCGCGTACAGTCGAGCTAGCGCTCTTCCCATGGGATACAGAACGCCGAATTCAATTACCACGCACTCGCCCCCGGTACCGGTATTGCTGAGGAACCCGCTGTGTCGTTTACCCTGGTCGCACCCAGCCATTAGCTGCGCAAGTCCATGAACATCTCTCACCGACGGCGCGGAACGCTATCATATCGGCCAGGAACTCATTGAGAGGCGATATTCGTGTCATGCGATTGGCTGTGCGAGAATGTACGCAAGTGTGCCTGTTCTTGCATGCGCAGGAGAGTTGCGCCGACATGGTTGCCTCAGGCTCGCCGGAAGGCGAGGGTCGAGGGGTATAAATGCGACCGCAAAACCGCAGGGGGTCCTCAGGCCATCGAGCTCTCTTCCTCCATCCCTCAAAACCTCAGGCAATGGCGTTCAAGCTCCTGGCTTCCTTCGTCTCTCTCCTCGCGGCCCTTCAAGTCGCGAACGGTATGTCACCCTCAATGGAGCCCGTTCACAACGGCCACTGATTTCGAGTGGTTTGTCCCGCCAGGTGCCGCGACCAAGAAGGTGACGTGCGCCTCTGGCCAGGTCACCTCGAACGCGGCATGCTGTGCCCTCTTCCCCGTGATCGACGACATCCAGGCAAACATGTTCGACGGCGGCGAGTGCAACGAGGACGTGCACGAGTCCCTTCGCCTCACCTTCCACGACGCCATCGGCATCTCTCGCAAGGCCAACAAGGCGGGCGTGTTCGGCGGTGGAGGCGCGGATGGCTCGATCGCCATCTTCGCGGACATCGAGACCAATTTCCACGCAAACAACGGTGTCGACGAGATTATCGACACGCAGGCGCCGATCATCGCTCGCCACAACCTCACCACCGCCGACTTGTATGTCTTCCCAGGCATCTCGATGTGACATATGGTTGACCTCGGAGTGCAGCATTCAGTTCGCTGGTGCAATCGGCGTGAGCAACTGCCCTGGCGCACCCCGTCTGGACGTCTTCCTCGGCCGTAAAGACGCGACTCAGCCCGCTCCCGACCTGACGGTGCCCGAGCCCTTCGACGACGTCAGCAAGATCCTCGCGCGCTTCGACGACGCTGGCAAGTTCAGCTCTGACGAGGTCGTCGCCCTGCTCGTCTCGTATGTCTCCTGTGCTCGCCCTCGCGTTAGACCAACGCTGACATAGAACACTTTGCAGGCACACGATCGCCGCTGCCGACCACGTCGACCCGACCATCCCTGGCACGCCATTCGACTCGACCCCGGGCCTGTTCGACACCCAGTTCTTCATCGAGACCCAGCTCCAAGGCACGCTCTTCCCCGGCAACGGCAGCAACCAGGGCGAGGTCATGTCCCCGCTCCGCGGCGAGATCCGTCTCCAGTCCGACTTCTTGCTCGCGCGCGACTCACGCACCGCCTGCGAGTGGCAGTCCTTCGTCAGTACGTACAACATTTCTTCTCACTGCCTTCCTAGCCCGCCCCTGCACCTTATCCCAGTGCTGACCTGCTCCGCGCGCGCCCGCAGACAACCAGTACAAGCTCCAGTCCGCGTTCAAGGCCGCGTTCAGGAAGATGACCATCCTCGGAAGCAAGGAGCACAACCTCATCGACTGCTCGGACGTCGTCCCGACCCCGCCCGCCCCCGCGAGCAAAGCGCACCTTCCGGCAGGCCTCACTCGCCAGGACGTCCAGCAGGCGTGCAACAAGAAGGCGTTCCCCACCCTCCCCACCGACCCCGGACCGGTCACCTCCGTCGCCCCTGTGTAAGTGCCCCTGCTTTTCGCACGGCACACATATACTGACATGTCGACTTGTCTTGCAGTCCCCCTTCTTAAGCTTGAGGTGGGAGTTCGCCGCATAGCGGTCATGTATTATTTTATCGAATTTCTTCGCGGAGGTGGAGTAGTTTTTAGACTGTCGTATTTGAGCGTTGACGTCGCCTTGTATCGTGTTGTCTGAAATGGGATGTTATTGTGTATGCATTATTGACAACTGGCCGCACAGGCCGATGCATGAGACTCCTTCATGGCGATTATCCTGTCTAAGTCTGCGCCTCTCGCACTCGTCTACACGTAGTACAGCGCATCTATGTGCATCATCTTACTAACAATACTTAACCAACACAGGACAGCTCCTTCAGCCCCGCAAAAAATGCAACGACACACGCATCCGCAAACTCCGCGTCCAGACTCTCCTTCCCCCACGTCAGCGAGATCCCCAGCCCGCCCGCAGGCGTCCCGGTGACGTTGATCTTGAGCGCCGCGCCCAGCGTCGCGTCCGCCTGCGCGAAGACCATCTCCTGTATGCCCCACCCCGAGGCCGATCTCACACATTCCGCGGGAGCCGTGGGCGCAGCGGCAGTGGGGACGGGCCCGAGGTTCGAGATCCCGAGCGTCATCTCGCGCTTCTTCCCGAGCAGGCCGCGCGAGTAGCGCTCGCTGGTGCCCACCAGGGTGTGCATGACGCCGAGCATGGCTGGGGTGTGCGGGGCCTCGCGCTTGAGGGTCTCAGAGAAGCGTGCCGCGGCGGTCCACGGGAAGTCGGACGGGGTGGGATGTGCAGTGGAAGAGTGGCGGGGGGGTAGGGTGGGGTCCCCACGGTCTTGGTGCGTTGCGTACGGGGAAGGACGAGTGCGCGGGTGCTTTTTTAACCCCTGTTTTACACAAAGTACGGATTCTTCTAAGCTATACACACGGTTCTAAGATGGTCCGGTGCGGATTAATGTGGGACCAAGGTCTTCAATTCGAGAAGGCGGTTGTCCACCACCGCAAATCCTCACGTGCCGTGGTGGCAGTGCATCCGTGTAGCGCTGAGGCCACACTTCCGGACGTGGATGGCGGACGGCCTGATCGTTTTCCCGCTTGCGTCTTCCGTCTTCCGTCTTGCAGCTCGAGTCAAGACGGCCTCGACCTGGTCTTGACGGGACCGCCCTCGCTCTATAAGGCGTATCATCGACTGACAGATTGTCAATTTCCGTCCCCTCAGACCCGCATAGACATCCTCTCACAACTTCAAAGCCGCTCAGCTTATCAGAGATATATCGCAACCTCAACGATGGAGATTCCAAGCACTCGTACATAACATCAGTTTCTCGCAGATACGAGCTTTGCTCACGCTAGGTATCCGTTCGATCACCAAGTGGTAGAAGAGTTCCAGCAACAGAACGCGCTCCGGCGGGACATCTGCGTCATCGGCGCCGGTCCGGCAGGCCTCGCCGCGGTGAAGATCATCAAGGATTCCCCTCAATACAAGGCAGGGCTATGGACAGTCACTGCGTTTGAGGCGCGAAACCGCGTTGGCGGAATATGGTACAGTTTCATTCTGGTGTTCTCATATTTAGGCAACGCTGACAGCGTGTTACAGGCTGCCGGCGCCGGCGACGGATGATCCACCGCTGACGCCCCTATACGACTCGCTAACGACCAACCTGCCTCACCCAGTCATGGCGTATCCGTCCTTCTCATTCCCACCGGGAACAGCTCTATTCCCGCCCGCGTCGACCGTGCTCACCTATCTTGAGGCCTACACCGCCCACTTCGAACTCGCGCCGCACATCCGTCTCAATACCTCGATCATTTCCACTTCGCGGGACGGCATCGCCGGCAAATGGACCGTCACTACCGCCCACTCGAGCACGCAAACGTCCGAGACACATGCATTCGATCACCTCATCGTCGCGAACGGACATTACAGAACCCCGCGCCTGCCGGACACGCCCAGGCTCACAGGCTGGCTCGACGCTCATAAAGCGTTCCACGCCGTGCGCTACCGCAACCCGTCCGACTTCGGCGATGCACGCACCGTGCTGGTGGTCGGTGCCGGTCCGAGCGGCCAGGACCTCGTCACGGACCTGCTCGTGTCGGGCCGCACGGTCGTGCACTCGTCCACAGGCGCTGTGCGCGAGGACATGCGCGACGGCCGCCTGAGGGTGCGCGGCCGCGTCGCGCAGTATCTTGACCCTTCTGCGGGGCGGGTGTTGCTCGAGGACGGGACGGAGGAGGCGGGCATCGACTGTGCTGTTCTCGCTACCGGGTACAAGGTCGAGTTTCCCTTCCTCCCTGCTGACATTGTTTGCCCGACACTGCCTCCGTCTGTGCCACCGCTTCCACAATCATTGTACAATTCGACGTACCACGTGTTCCCGCTCGCGCGCCACATATTCCCCTTGGTCGATGCAAACACACTCCCGCCTTCGAGCATCGCGTTCATTGGGCTGCCGGTACGCGTCGCCCCGCTCCCGCTGCTCGAGGCCCAGGTTCGGGCGGTGCTGCATGTGTTCGCACACCCAGAGAGCCTGGACCCCACGCAAGAGGCCATCGACATCGTCGCCCGCTACGAGACGCTCCTTTCCCAAGCCACCGTGCGCCGATCCACAACCGGGCCTTCCGCATCCAGTCCCCAAGGAAAGTCAGCCGAAGCCGCGGCGGACGACCAGGACCAGCCAGACGAGGCGATCAAAGGTGACCCCGTCGAGCTCGCGATTGCGCGCGCCTGGCACCGCTTCGACGGCCACGAGCAGTTCGCGTACCGCGACGTGCTGCACGCGTTCGCCGAGCACCCGCTGCGCGTCCCGGCGTGGGAGATCGAGATGTACGACGCGAAGGGCGTGCTGCGCGAGGAATGGCGCGACCTCGAGCGTGCGGGGCTTGCGGACGAGTGGGTGCGCGGGGTGGGCCAATCCGGAGGAGAGAAGGGCACAGAGGAGTGGGTAGAGCTGATGCGGCGGCTGTTGAAGAGGGCGGAGGAGCGCCATCCGGAGCGAAGCCGGCTGTAGGCGGGAAGGTGTTATTACACACAGGGGATTATAGGGGGTATAGCGTACAATATCTAGTGGCTACGGTAGAGAGCGAAGTGCGAGGTGCGAAGGACAACAGTGTAAAGCAGGTACAGAATGGATGAGGGCGCGCGAGGAATGATCGTCTCGCATTATGGTAAAGGGTCACAATAAAAAGCTGTGTGGTGGTGGTATCAGAATATGCGAGTTACTTGAGCCCGAGACCCAACGCTGACCTGAGTATATGCACGGATATATAGGCGGAGGCGGATGCTCATGCAAGTGATCGACCTCCTGAGGGATGTGAGGGTCTTCGATCCGGGGTCGGGGCGGGTGCATGACGGACAGGGGGCTTTGCGGTGCTCTCGAAGGAAAGGCCGGCGGACTGCTGTTCTTGGAACCAGCGACCTAGGTCCTTATAGGTTTTCGGCGGCTGCACACCGTTGGTTTGAGGCGCCGACGGCGGGAAGAGTGCTTTGTACAGTTCGTCCGCAATATACATGATGTGGGGATCGGAGGCAGCCTCAGTTTGCGGTACCAGTTCGGTCCTGACCTCTGCAGCAGCATACGCGCGTCAGTAACATGTTCAAAAGTGTACGACATGGTATACGGCACTTACCAGGTTCCAGCTCGTCTTCCGACTCGAGCTCATCCTCGAACTCTTCCTTAACTGCGGGTTTCCCCCAGCTAGTCTCGACGACCGGCGACGTTGGCGTAGAAAGGGGCTCGGGTGATATAGACGAGTCCGGCGTAGGGAGTTGCGAGTGCATGATCGGCGGCTAGAAGAAAAACGAGGCCGATGCATTAGTGAACGCGGTCTCGTGAAGGGATGAATGTGCTCACATCTCCTCGGCGCATGCGAGCAAGCCTGAGGTCGGCATACGTGATGATGTCATTGAGCTGCACGTTGCTGCCTAGTCGTGACGCCCATATCTTTGCGACATCCAAGGGAGGCGAGGGAGTGTCGTCGAGCAGGATATCCAGTTTTGGCAATATCGACGGATCGGTGATAAGCGAAGGGTACACTACGAAAACACGATACATTGAGCGCCGCGGGCCCATCTGTATTCCTGTACGGCTTACATATTTGCGCGGTGTTGAGGGAGGGTTTCCTCTCTGGCAACGGCAGCCGCGGCGGCTGTTTCGCGTGCTTTGGTGGAGGGTGGGCCGCCCGCGGTTGGTCGGAGGCCGGAAGTGACTTCTTCGTCATGCCCTGGTTCGTGCGCTTGCCCGCAAAATATGCATTCATCTTTTCCTGTGTGTAGTCCTCGCCGCCCGGGATCTTTTTGACTTGTTCCACGAATGCGATACGCTCCGCTTTCGTAGGGTACGCGGTGACATTTTCGTAGAATTCTGTGTATGCGCGTCGACGATAGCGAAGTATTTGTGTTAGCTATCGGCCAGTCGCGAGACGAGAAGATGGTAGAAGACGCAGGACAGCGGGAACGAGTCACCGTGGGATGATAGAAAAAACTACATACGGGTGAGGAGGTCGTATACTTCTTGGGGATACCGGCGTCGCGGAACACGACGAGCGCCCGAACTAGCGCTGGCGCTTTCAGCGGGGGAAGATGGTCCCGCCGGCGATGTTTGAAAAGTGAGGGGAAAGGTGGGCGTGGGCGTTGGGAGGGTGGCCCAGCTGGGTACGTCTGGAGTGGGCATTTGAGTCGATAGGGAGGAGGCGAGGGGGAGAGGGAAAGTGGGGTCGTCCGTTTGAGCGGCCCCGCTTTTTTATTCCCTGACATATTTATACGATTTTCGCCCTTCATGTGCCTTCTTTGCCGGCGGGTCGGCAAAACCGATCACGCTCCAAACCAAACCAAGGAAGGGCGTCGAAGACAGTGGATGATCGGCTTGATAAGCGAGGGTCCAATGTTAGGGAAGGTGATTGCACCCTTCCTTTGCTCTTCCCATTGACAACCATTTGCCCACCCTGTCTCAAAATCCCTGCATTCCTCTCACCATCCCCCACTTCCTGCACTCTTCATACGCCGTCGTGAGCTCGCACACGCACGGCAGGACGACGTACGTACGAACCTGAGGGGCCTGCAACGCATGGGAGAAAAGAAGCCGATTTGGGACCCCGCAAGTCGGCGGGCGCATATGGTCGTCTGGACCACGGAGAGCAAGCAGTCGACACCATCGATAGGCGGAGCTGCAACCCTGATTGCCCGTCCGGGCCTCTCTTTTGTGTGTCGTGTGGACATGACCTACGCGGACGTTTTAGAGATCCCGGAAGACAGGCTCGCATCACCACGAAGTGGGCAATTGTTCCAACTAGAGCATAAATGTCGGTCCTCGTGTCCTCTGCATCCTGCGCCTTACCCCCCTTCTCTCCTCTCGCAACCCTGAACGTGTGCACCACGATGGCTCGCTCCCTTGATGTCTCCACGGCTCCTTCCCTGCGCAACCGATCGACGAGCGCGCGCAGCGATTATATCGCACCCTCCAGCGTCGGCGTCCCGGGCCCAGATGCACGGCCTCTGCACGAGATGCACTTCCGAGTCCCCGCCTGCACAGAGCGCGCCGATAGGGGCCTGCAATCGAAAACCTTGGGGCGTGCGCAGCCAGGGGTGGGGAAAATGCGTGTACTAGAAGGCTCAGACGTCGTCCGATGACGTGAAAATGCGCGGCCAGCGGTCTCACACGAGGAGAACATGTGTTCACCGCGCCAACCTTGACTGACTCCCCACGCAGCTGAGACCCCCCCACCCCCCAACTCTCCTTGACCTCCTTCCACCACCATGACCATTCCCCCCGTCCTCTTGCTCGCTCGACGAGCCCCTGTCCCAGCATCTCCATACGATTCGCCTGGATGACTCAACCTCCGTTCAAATTCTCCGTTTGTGCCTCCTCGGCTCGGCCAAGTCCTATCAGCGGACTACCGGTCCCCTTGACGATTTTCTTGCGAGAGGTGGCGTCGCCCAGGTCAGTGATACACCTTACTATTCCGTAGATACATCATGCTGATCGCCCGAAATAGGCCGAGAATCCTGTCGAGATCTCGCCCTGGGCGAGCCGCGCACTCGGTCACCCTCCGAGCTTCTTGCACTGAATTGCGCACCCATATACATACGTCGAGCGGGCGGCGCGCCGTCGCACTATACATGCGGCTGCGCGCCTTCCGCAATATCGACCCCTCTCCGATATGATCGTGCCGCCAGCGCGTGTGCAGGGAAGCTACGAAAAAAACTATTGTATGAGACGTTGACCCTGCACACGCGTTTGCCGCTCGATGCCACGGTCGTGGTGTTCTAGTATTACCTTACAGCAAAGGTGTTGATTCGTTATTTCGTCAGACGCTCGCCGCCCCTCCCCTATTCCTTGGTAGTGCAAGCCCACTATCAAGGAATCTCTATATTCCCGCAATCTCCCAATCGACACCTCGCCCACTTGGCGTCCTTATCAACACATGAACGACATGAACGACATCCCACAAGCTCAGTGGAACACCACGGGTGGACACCCATGGAACACAACTCACATGTAAACACATCAGCCGCCGCCGCCACAACACTCCAAGACGGGCGCCTATTCCGACCTCCGCCGAAACTCTGCTAGCGGAGTATACGGAAGGTCTAACTCCGTGGACACTTCAAAAGGGCAAATAGTTACAAGACTCTCGTATGCCGTACGGACGGGAGCATGCACCACCCGTCACTACCCTTACAAACAGGCCGGCTACCGTATGAAGTGCCCGAAAAGTCGGCGAAGATACGGTGTGGATTCCCAGAAGGACGCCACCTGAACGCCACAACGCCCTGTCGTCAAGGCACATATAGCCGTCTGTCTACCGTATAGACGTCCGATCCGGAGCGGACGTTAGAAGGAGCACAGAGGAAGGGAATCTTCGCAAAACTGATCCGCGGGAGGTCGTCCCGTGGGGTCTCGTGTACGAGACCCTTCGGTGGAGGTCCTCACGAAAAAGCGTAGGTTGCAGACGTCCGCCGCATGCCCGTTCGCTGGGCAGCGTGGGCGATGCCAAAAGGCCATAAGAATATGACCATTTATTTTCCCAGGCCGTCATGACGCGAGGTCGTGACGGGCGATGGAATCTTATGGATAAAATGTGTAGATAATGTTCCGTCGCCCTAAAAACACAAATGTGTATGCCATATTCACGTACCTCCGCACGCTGCGAGCGGTCGAGGAGATGGGAAATTGAGCTGCTTCAAAGAAACACAGAGTGTCACGCTTGCACCAGGCCATAGTGACGTGCAGTGACGTAACGCCGTTGCGCCCCCGCAGCGGGCGGGGCGCCGAAAACGGCGAGTAGCATTCTGCTGCGCCTCCCAGACGACGGACTTGCACGTCCGCTCGCCGTCCACGGCGGTCCCAACGCCCTCCATCTCCACGCCCACAAAGACACCGGGCGATCCAGCTTCTAGCGTCGCCGACTGCGGCAATACATGGCCGTGTGAAAAAGGCTCTCCACCCGACACCCGCAATCGCACACGCACACAACATTTCATCAGCACCCCGGCTTGGAACGGTGGGGTCCTCGCCCGGCTCGGCCAAGCCTTGTCTCTCGTCTCTGTCCCTCTCGACGACCACCCCGCGACATCATGGCCCCCCGCCCCTGGACCCGCGCCGGCCCCCTGCTGGCCGCCGCCGTCCCGTACGCCGCGCTCGCGGCGGCGTACTCGTTCAACATCAAGAACACCCCGCGTCAGTGCGAGGACCTCGAGCTCGACATCACCGGCACGGGCTCGCCGCCGTACAGCGCACTTATCATTCCCACTGGGCCGACCCCGCTCGCGAACCTAGTCGAGGCACGGAAGATCACGAACGTGGCGTTCAATGGGACGAACACGACGGCGACGTTCCAGCTGAAGTTTCCGGAGAACTCGCAGTTCGTGGTCGTGGTGAGTCTGCGTTCCGCTTTTCATTTCATTTCGCCTCTCGATCGCCGGTCGGTTCCTGGATGGCTGCTGCGGGGTGCTGGTTGTGCTGGAGGGCGCGAGCTGGGTACAAGGTGAGGGTTTGGCGAAATCGGCGGAGGCGCACGAGGGCGTCATGGATCTGCTCGACGAAGACGAAGCACGCGCAACATTTCAACAAGGTTCTGTCTACGGCATCCTGCACAATCACCGTCCACGCGCTCGCCCGCAGTCGTCAATGTCGCTGGGTTCCTCCTTCCGCCCACCTCGCATTCAACGCACCGTACAAGTGCCCTCGGAGGCTAGGTCCCTCTTCCTCGTGCCTGCCTCTTCTACGAGGGCACCGTCGGACGTTGTTGGGGTCTCCACGACGCCCGTCAGCGCGCCACGCTCGTGCGGGGACGCCATCGAAGCCTCTTCGGCGCCATGATCAGCAGTACTCACGCCACCTGCCTGCTATTTCGGCCCCACCACCACGAGAGGCGCGCTTCTACGGGCTGCGCGTGCTTGCATGAGGGTGCTGCACGCGCATATAAGCGCGTAATCTTCTCTAGAGTCCATGCAGTTGCGGAGGCTGGCGTGCTGGGCGCTGAGTGTTGCCGGACACCTACGCGCGCCATCTGCTTCTCGTATCAACCAACTCCAATCTTGTTCGTTATCCCGCGCCTGATGTTCCGGAACTCACCATCTTCCAGGTCAGCGACAGTACAGGTTTCGGCACTGGCGGAACTAGTGCAATCGCCACAACATTATCCGGCGTAGACGGGTGCTTCGACAACACAACCTCAGTACAACCCGCCTTCCTCTTCCATACCCAGCCCGACGGTATCCTCCTCACTTGTTCTGCATCCCGCATATGGTGGCTACCCGGCGATGTTCAAGGGTACGTAGTATGTATAATGGAACGGCGCTCGAGATCGCTGACTCCGGATGATATATAGAGATACGTCATTTCAGGGCGTCATCCCCGGCGGCGAATCTTTCCAGATCCCTGTGGGGACGTTGACGAACGTAACAGGCACGGGCACTGGGTTTGACTGGACGCCCGCTATCCGCAGTGGCACCAACTTGCTCCTAGTCGGCGGAGACAGCCGAGGCCTTGGCTCTGCAGGCAGCAATGCGTACACCTTGCAATCAGGGAGCAGCGTCTCGTGCGTAAATAGCACTTCTCCATCGTCGACACCCGGCTCCCCCGCTGGAGGGAGCTACCCCACCTCGACCGACGGCTCTGGTATCAATACCGGGAGCAGCAGCAGCAAGTATGTCAAATGCTGTCTGTCCTTTCTATATGTGTTGGGGCTGACGGTCACTTTAGCTCTAAGACCAACGTCGGCGCCATCGTCGGTGGCGTGATCGGAGGCGTCGTCGGCGCCATCGCCCTCGGGCTCGTGCTCCTCTTCGCCGTCCGGCGACAACGCTTCCACAACAAGGGCACGAAGGAGCGCCCCGTCGACCTCCTCCAAGACCAGGACAACGAGGGCGCCGCCGGCGACGGCCGCCCGCCCGAGTACTACCGCCCCGAGCCGTTCCTCCTCCCCGACCCCACCGTCGCCTCGACGGTGCACGACGATGCAGGCCGGCCGAGCGCAGACCACCGACAGTCGTATCTCTCCCAATCGAGCACGTCGGAGACGGGCGGGGCGGCGGGGGTGCTCCGCCCGCCGCCATCGACCGCCCCGTCGTCGAATACACGCAAGAGTGCTGCACCGCCGACGTTCCGCCCGGTGAACATCATCCAGCATGATGATGCGGGCCCGTCGGAACCGCCCCCGCCGCCTGCGGAGGAGCCGGAGACGATCGAGCTCCCGCCGGCGTACACCAATATCCGCCGGAATGAGATCCCGTCGCCGAAAGATGAAGATGATGAGGCAACGGGCGGTGCTGGGGCGACTGGGGCGACGACGCAGGTGCCCCAGGCTGCAGCATGAGAAAGTCTCATGAGAGATACATATGTCACGGTGGGTTCTGTTTGTTTATGGGGGATGTTCCGGGTCAGCTTGCTCAACGCTTTATGCGGCAGACTACGGTGGTGAGGACGTTTTGGATACCTGGTCACCCTCACGGACTGCGTCCCCGAATCACAGCTGTGCCCCGGCCTACCCCTAGAACGCTCCCGCCCACGCCCCGTCTCCGTCTCCTGCTTTCGTATTCGTATCTGCCTTATTCTTAACAGCCGCGCCACTCCTATTCTATGCCTCTGGTCAGTCAGTACGCACCTTGGACATTCCTTCTTCGCACACGGCTCGCAGTCACCCCTTTCCTTTCTTGATTTCGCTACTCACGCCTAACGCATTCCTACGCAATTCTTCTCCTTCACCCGCGACCACCCACCCATGGGCATTGACCCGCACCCGCACCTGGCCCTTGTTGATTTTTTCGGCCCGCGTGTGGTCTCTCGAGCTCAAGTAGCGTATGTACACACATAATACCCTGCGTCTCGTCGAGCTTTTCGTTCAGCAAGCGAGCAACTTCGCATCGCGATCGTGATAGAGCGCGGGATGCCGTGTCATCGACCGGGTTTACGGCAAGCCTGTCGTAGGTATAAACGTCCGCAGGAGAGAAGAACGTGTCTACAAACACGGAACTAGGCCCGCATATCCGCGTGGGCCGCGCACTCCAAGAGAGAAGATAGTCGACGGAAGAGCTACACTGTTCGTGGTAACACAGGGTGCTAAAGACACATGTACAGTCCGGCGTGCGCCTGCCGCGCAGCATGGTATCCCCACGGGGGCAAGTCCTCCGAGGATGGTGATCATGGTCGTGCAAGTCATGCTCTCATACGAGTCGTCTATCGTCGCTTGAACACGAGCGGCGCTCTCTCCGGACTGTCACATCCGGCATCAGCACGCGCGGAGAGGGAAAGGGAAGGAGAGACGCACAAGAGCGTGAGGCTGAGCTTGCTCCGGAGGAGGCGCGCCCTGCGCTGCGCGAAGCTCTCGCCCGCGAACTGCGGCTCGTCACGCACCTCGACGCGGTAGCGCGAGATGAGGACCGTGAGCACCGCGATCGACTCGGTTTCGGTGAACCTGTGCGAGATGCGCTTGGCGTCAGTCTCGGTTCCGTTCCCGGGACGGCAGAAATGCGGAAAGGAATGAGGGATGGCGGGAAGGAGTGGGGGAAGAAGGAAAGGAGGGGGCGGAGGGGAGGAGAGGAGACGCACCCGCGTCCGATACAGCCGCGCGGGCCGCCGCTGAACGGCAGGAACGCGTCGCGCGGGTAGTCCGTCAGGAACCGCGAGGGCCTGAACGCGTCCGGGTCCGCCCAGTACTTCGCTGCCAAGCCGCGCACGCGTTAGCATCACTTATCCCATTATTACCCTTCGAGAGGAAAAAGGGAGGGGGAGGGGAAGACGCACGGTTGTTGTGCAGGCCGGGGGTGTGCACGGTGACGTACGTGCCCTTGGGCACGGGGACGGTGCGCTTCTCGCCGGCGGCGTTCGTGGTTGTGAACGACGCGTCTTCTGCGCTCTGCTTTGGGATGGTGATCACTGGGGGGAAGAGCCGGAGGGTTTCGTTGAATACGCTGTGTTGGGTGAGTGTAAGTATCGGGTAGGGGCGGGTGTGGGGGAGGGGACTTACGCCATGGAGTATGCGAAGGACGAGAATTCGTGATATTCCTGGGAGCAGCACGCGGCCTGTTAGTGGTTGCACGATAGAGTAGGGAAGTGGGGGACGTACGGGTGTGCGGTCGTCAGATAGGGTAGCCTTGATGGCTTGGTATAGTTTCTCCTGTTCATCGGGGTATAATGCGAGCAGAATGAACGCATATGCGAGGGTATGTGCACTCGTCTGTTGGGATAGTGGGTGAGTCTCGCGTGCGTGCAGGGAAGCGGAAGATGCATGTACCTCGTATCCTGGAGATAGGGCGATGATCAACATGCTGTCAAACTGTGGAGATAATGCGCGTACCTGCAACCATAAATATGAAAACATTGCCTGAAACACATCCCGTCAGTCCGTCCATCATACACCTCTGCGAGTATACTCACCCATCAAACCAATATCGCTCAGCTTTTCTCCACTGTCGATAAGGCCCTCGTTGGCGTCGAGTAGGCTGCTGAAGAGGTCGTGGCGCTCTTCCTTGACCTCTGCTGACCGCCGCGCGTCGATCATCTCTTGCATGTAGTGCCCGAGCTCGGTGTACGAGGCGTGAAACCTGCGCATGGAGGGCGTCCCCCATTTAAGGAGCCAGTGGGGGAAGAGGACCTGGAGGAAGAGGTTGCGGGAGACTACGTTCAATGCATCCTAAAGTTGTAGATAGTGAATATGAATATCAAACACGCAGACGAGTGGGCGCAGACCTTGAATGTGATGGTGTGCCCTGGAGGGGCGACCGCGTCCTCGTTCCAAGTTATGCGGCGACCAAAGCCGGCTACGCCGATAACAAGCAAGGTGATCTACATATACGCATGAGTTCGCAGCGGGGAGTCTCGCCCCCGTGTGCGACGTACCGGTACCGTCAAATCCGTGATATTGTCGATGACGACCGTGTCCTCTTTGCCCCAAACGTTGTCGAATAAATCATGCATAATGCGGACGGTCTCGTCCCAAACGAGCTTGTTATTCTTCTCCGAAAAAGCCGGGGCGACGAGCCTGCGCTGGCGCTTCCATTCCTCGCCCTCGGACGCCACAAGGTTCGGGCCAAAGGCAAGAAGGACCTTGTACGGGCCCATGGGCTTCGGGAAGCGCGCCCGTGCGCCGATCACGTCCTGCGCGGCATTCAGTGGCTCGATCGGCGCGGCTTCGGTGTGATCGACTTGCCTTTATGACCGCAGGATCGGCGAGGTACAGCGTCACCTCGCTCGTCGGGAACACGCTCACCTGTAGCATGGGAGAGTAGCCTATGGGGTGAGCTCGAGACGCATATAAGAAGACTCGCGACGCACCCCGGCCATGATGTCCCAGCCCGCCTCCTCAAAGTCCTGGTACTTGCGGTACAGGTTGATCTCCGACTGCAGGCCCGGCGAGATGCCGTCGACGCGGTACGGGAACCACACGAAGCGGTCGCTGAAGAGCGTGCGGAATCCGGGCAGGTTGCTATATTTGCCGCGGCCGCCGCATATGAAGAGCATGTCAGAGCCCGCCCCATATGTGACGAAGCACGAGACGCCACAACGTACGTGACGGACGCCGCGGCGCGCCGGAAGTCGAGGAGCTTCCGGAGGAGGAACATGGCGAGCACGAGCGCGGCGAGCAGGACGCTGCGGTTGTCCTCGAGCATCGTGCCAGGAGAGGGCGGGGAGGGCGCGAGAGGGCGGAGGCGGAGGCGGGGAGGAGACGTCCGGAGGCTTATAATGCGAGCGACATCACTCAGGCTGGGAAGAGGCGGGCGCTCCGCACGCCGGGGTTCCCGGGAGAATGCTCGCCGGGCGGGCGTGCCTGCGTCCTCGACGACCGTCTGCTGCTCCCACGTTCGCGGAGATCAATTCGTGCCTGGGCCCCCGCGAGCGCACCGCTTCCCCCCGGGGTCCATAATTTGGGCCGAAGCACCCGACTGCTGTCCGCCCGTGCCCGTGTCGGTTGTTTGGTTGACGCTGCTGTTTGAGCGCAGTTCCCCGAGAGAGCGAAAGTGGGGTGATCGAGACTACGAATTCCGGGCGTGGGAAGCTACTACATTGCATGCATGGGCGGGCCTTTGCAGAACAACGCTAGTCACAGTCTTCGGTTTCTTGGACGCGGGCACGTTGGCAGGGGAGGGGGGGACGTGAGGGATGGATGAAAGCGCGATGCGAGACGAAGACTGGGACATGGTTCGTGTGAGGGGAGCGGGGGCGGGGATGTTCTCGGACTTGGGGGTTGGGAACTGGGTGAGTTAGGACGAGCCCGCTGCGTCCTTATACCTCGCTGAGGACCTTCCTGCCTTCTAGACAGCTTCATGTCATGTCGTGGCGCTCTCGGAGACCGGTCGGCCTGCTGTCAATCGACGTCGCGCGGGCGGGCGCAGGGGGCGCGATCGTCAGTATGGTGGATTAAGCACCCTCTCCGCGCTGATGCATGTAGCGGGCCAATGCGGGCTTCGTGATATCCAGGTTGTTGTGTACAGGTGCGGCATGCAAATAAACATGAAATATAGACTAGTTACAGTGTGCATACAGTGTGCTAGCGAGGGCGAGGGGGCAGCGGGGATCCCAAAGGGGACGGGAGGCGGGGGTCAACAGGCGCCGGCACGGACAGAAGCGGCGCGTATTGATCGCCAACATCTGCGGTGGAACACGATCGAGCCAAGATTACGGGCTGGCGAACTCCGCGCTGCCCGGAATACGTTCATCTTCGAAACTGACTTCACGCCACTACGCCGTACAACGTACTACAGAACCCGTACAAGCGCCTCGGTCCGAGGTCATAGTCTGTGAACATCCCGCACTGTAGGGTTGCAGACCACACGATCCTGTCGAAGCCTTGAACGTCGCCGGATAACCCACCTCCTTGGAGGGCACGCTGTCCGGGCAACCGACACCGTAGCAAACTTTGCGCGAGGCAGCTCACGGGAGACGTGCGCCCGCGCACGGAGCAGGTGGTACTCGGTAGGCCAATTTGACTTGCACTTCAAACAGCGCTCCTTACGCGACTCGTACGTCAGTGCAAGCTCGCAAACGCGTCATGCACAATTCACGATAAGCTTCCCGTCGACACGAGGACCGGGTAGTGCGAACTCGGCTCTGGCCAACAGAATGTTCGTCGCGGACCAGAGTCTTCTGTGAAGTCGTTCAGCACGAGCCAGCCATGGTGACGCGCATGCCGAGAGTTTGCGTACCTCGTGCGCCGTGTTCGATGCAGACGTTCCACGGTCAGTGCTGGCCGGTACGCCCGGTTACACAGTATATCCAGTTTAACATTCAACAGCGCGCCCGGTCAAACCTCCTCGTCGTCCTCGACCCCAGACCGGCCGTGGGTGAAACAGGTCTTGAGCGGTCCAGGCGAGGCGCGACGTTGTGGGCGCACTAGGCGGTCTAGGACCAAACGGGCTAGAGGGATCTTGCCAGCCTGCAGCGCGTCCTATGTAGCTAGATTGTGGCGATGGCGCGATGCGAATTCTCGGACACGTAGGGGGCGCGACGCTAGTGCGATTCGGGGAGCGCCTTGTGTGTCTTCGAGTTGGTTGCCGGCGCGCAGTGGGGCGCAGCAGCCGCGTCGCTCGGAAGCGAGTAAGTAGTTCGAAGGGCGTAGAACTGGCATGGTATCGGTCTGTGGATGTCATGAATGAACGGTACGCGGGGGTGGCGTGAAATATGAACTGTATAGCGCGCACCGTGCCACCGATGCGACGTATGCGCCGGTTGGATTCTTCGTCATACTTGGGTCTCACATCGACACGTAGGACCTTGTCCAAGACGGCTTTGCCCGGAGGGTTCTTCAGACCTTGGTATAGTACTAGTAGTATGCTAGAGCCATTTGGAGGCCTTCTGTATAAGTATCCTCTGAAGAAGATTCGATGTGCCTGAGGACTGCTCGTGATACATCAGTCGTTCCACATGTCATAGTGGTCGCGTCTGCCTGCATAGAGCTGCTATCCAAGGCTGGCAAGTTGACACGATTGATAGTCACCGGACACCAACCGTGTACATACGGCATTTACTGGCATATTTGACGGTTTCTTCAAGGCATTGAATGAATGACCTTTCGTTCCATATGTCATGGTGGCCGCGTCTGCAGAGCAGAAGGTCAAAAGGCAAACCGGCCGGTGACGCGGGACGGTCGGGAGGAAAAGAGGTTGTGGGCGAGGAATAGAACTCTGTGGGTCGGTAAGGAGGACAAAATAGCAACTCCTGGTTTCGATCCAGGGACTTCAGGGTTATGAGCCCTGCACGCTTCCACTGCGTCAAGTTGCTATGTTACGACCACCATTACGTGTCATTATCAATAGTGCGGATCATATGGCCAACTATGATTGGCTCGCAGCTAGCCCCACATGTCGTCAACATTGCACGCCAGCCTCCGTGTCTTCTCCACCACATTACGATCACCTTCGATAACATGCTTGATGTCAAAGTTCCATGCATGTTTGTGCATGCTGTGACAGCATGCTAAACAGCACGCGGAGTACTGCGGATCTCGTGGCCCAGGTTCAATCAGACAAGGTGACGCGGGTGACGAGCGGCGCCGGGCTTGAACGAAACTGCCGATCGCAGTTCTGAATTCGCCAGGGTCGACAGCATCGTGCGTGTGGAGCGTCCAAGGGGTGTTTGCACAGAAAGTCAGGGACAGAGGGTGCTGTGCAGCATCGGCGAGAGATTCTGATCAAGGTGGGCAACCCATCCGCATGACGATCAGCAGCAAATTCACAGGCTTGCGAAAATGACGGGGATGAGCAGGGGCGTGCACAGATCTGGATCTGGCGTCATCGCGCCCGGGCTCGTCCCGCATGTTCCGGCGTCCCGAAACGGAACAAACTGTGACGTCGTGGTGGGGCCATGGAGCGGCCCAATATTGTGTTTCGCATCCGAATCGACGGGCGGTCGCACGACGCGCCGGACGCTATACGCTCTCTCCAGCACAACTCGTCCTCTGAACGGCTAGCAAAGAGCAGGAAAGAGGCATCATTGCGCAGAGAAGATAGTCGAGAGCACAGCCGGCTGATCAAGTGTGCGAACGGCACGAAGGCGCAAGCGAGCAGGCATAAATTGACGGTGCGCGGAGGACGGGAAGACCGTGTGCAGGCACACTTTTTCTGTTCGGCCCTCGCCTTTTCGATCGATCGTGGATTGTGGCTGGCAGGTCGCCCCATCCCCGACGTCAACCCTTCTCTTTCACTTTCCATATCTTCGCCCACGCACCCCGTCGCTCCTTCGTCTCATACCCCCTCCCTGGCTACTGTACCGCTCATCTAACGACCCCTCATGTGAGTGCCCCTCCGCAGTGCCCCTGCAGGCCGCTGTATGCGCATGCTGACCCCCGCGCAGGTCCTCGACTAGCGCGTCGAACGCGACGAGCGCGTCGACGTCGACGTTCATCACTGCGCTCGTCTTCAACGCTGCGGTCTTCGGTATCGAACTCGGCATCTTCACCCTCGTCCGTCCCTTCTTCCCCGCGATATACCAGCCGCGGACGTACATCCCCAAGAAAACGTGAGTTCGTGTTTTGTCGTGGCGGGTTCATTGTTTGGGGTGGGGCTGGGGGTTGGGAAGGGGGAGCGACGATCGGACAACGAAGCTAGCGACGCGGGTCCTTTTTCGGAGGTATTTGATGTTCTGGTCGCTGCCGTATTAATCCCTCTACGCCGTTCAAGCAGCGATGGGCATTCCGCAGTGCGAGACAGCGACATGTACACGCGAGGAGAGGGGTGTGGAACTTGCTCTAGGGGTGTAGCGGGCTCTTGCCCTTGCTCGCACTGCCCGTTCACGCTGCTCAAGCAAGGAGGGGCGACACCTCTGTGCAGTCGTCCCCCGGCGTTACGCGTATCCCCGCAAGGCATGGGAGCTGCTATTGGAAGCCCTGAAGTTGACGCTTCCGTGTCGTCCGCCACCTTCCACTGCCGCTGTCATTCCTCACGTTCACAGCACTCTTGATGCCGAGTACAGCTTGCTGACGGGTCTATGCAGTCGCCGCGCGGCTGAACTCTCCAAGAACATCCTCCTATGGCCATGGGCTGTGTTCAATGCAAACTACCATGAAATCCGTTCCAAGACGGGAATGGACGCCTACTTCTTCGTGCGCTTCTTGCGCATGATGGTACGGGTTCTTGTTCCCATCTGGCTCGTTTCGTGGGCCATCCTTCTCCCCGCCACCGGCGTTCGCTCGGACCCCGGCACCCTTACCGGCCTCGATCGTTTCACTTTCGGCAACGTTCCCCCCAACCAACAATCTCGCTACGCCGCACACATTATCCTTGCATGGTTTTTCACTAGTGAGTCAAATAACAGATGTTCAGCGGTTCCAAGCTGATACGACGACGCGCAGTTTGGATTGGGTGGAACGTCCGCCACGAGATGAAGCACTTCGTTACTGCCCGCCAGAAGTGGCTCATCGAACCCGAGAACGCGTCATCCGCGATGGCGAGCACTGTGCTCATCACCGGTGTACCGCGGCACTACCTCACCGAGGCCGCACTCACCAAGCTGTTCTCGCACCTGCCCGGTGGCGTTCGCAAGGTTTGGCTCAACCGGTAAGACTCTTTATCATCAAACATGGGTTTCACATGCTCACGAGTCGCGCAGGGACCTGAAAGATATGCCGGACATCTATGAGCGTCGGTTGGCTGCGGCCAAGAAGCTCGAGTCCGCGGAGGTCAACCTCGTTAACACGGCCGTTAAGCTTCACAACAAGAAGCAGAAGGCAGACGTGAAGGCCTCGAAGAAGGCAGGCAAGGGCGACCAGCGCATGTCTATGGATACTGCGAACGATGCTCGCCCGCTCACGGCCCCCAGCATCGTTGACGCCGAGCAGGGCGAAGTCACCCTCGCCGAGAAGCTCGTCCCGAAGAACAAGCGCCCCTCTCACCGTCTGCCTGTAGCCTCTTGGATGCCGTTCTCGCTCCCGCTCATGGGCAAGCAGGTCGACACGATCGAGTGGGCTCGCCAAGAGCTGACTGAGACCAACCAGCTCCTGCACGAGGCGCGCCGCCAACTTGCACGCGACGTTACGACAACCTCGAACATCCCCGAGGCGAACACCAACCACCCGGATGCGCTCAAGGCCGACCCTGGCTCCGCGCAGATGTACCCCGCGCTGAACTCCGCATTCATCCTCTTCAACAACCAGATCGCGGCGCACATGGCTGCGCAGGTGCTCACGCATCACATGCCGTACAGGATGGCCACCAAGACCGTCGGCGTCTCTCCCAAGGACGTCGTGTGGAGCAACTTGAACATGAACCCGTACGAGGCGCGCATTCGCACCGCTATCAGCTGGGCTATCACTGTCGGCTTGATCATCGTGTGGGCTATTCCTGGTACGTTTAACATTTCAGAGATGGGTCTCAGTGTTCACCAGCTAACGTACTTCCGTAGTCGCGTTCATTGGTGTGGTGTCGAACGTCCACTCGCTGTGCGCTACGTACAGTTGGCTGGCATGGCTCTGCGATCTCCCTCCCGTCATCGTTGGCATCATCTCCGGTATCCTTCCTCCTGCGTTGCTCGCGGTCCTCAACATGCTGCTTCCCATCATCCTGCGCTTGCTTGCACGCTTCCAAGGAACTACGCAGCGGACGACGATCGAGCTTAGCTTGATGTCGCGGTACTTCCTGTTCCTCGTGATTGTGAGTGGCATACGTATCGTTATGAAGACTAAGACTCATGGACCTCTCTAAAGAACTCGTTCCTTGTCGTCACTCTCTCGTCCGGTATCATCACCGCGCTCCCCGACCTTGTCAAGAACCCCAACGGGATTCCTGCCCTGCTCGCTAAGAACCTTCCTAAGGCGTCGAGTTTCTTCCTCACGTACGTCCTGTTTGCAGCCTCGCAAGCGTAGCCTGATACTGATAGCTCTCCAGGTACATCGTGCTTCAAGGATTGTCCGGTACCGCAGCCGGCTTCTTGCAGGTCGTCCCCCTCGTTCTGTACTACGTGAAGCTGTTCATCCTTGGATCTACCCCTCGCTCGATCTACAACATCAAGTACACGCTCCGCTCCGTAGCATGGGGCACACTATTCCCTTCGATCACCTTGCTCGTCGTCATTAGTACGTACCGCAATTCCGGCGTTCGCAGCTTCCACTTACCCTCTTCATAGCTATCGCATACAGCATTATCTCCCCGATCATCAACGGCCTCTCAGCGGTCATGTTCTTCCTGTTCTACCAGATGTATAAGTACCTCTTCATCTGGCAGCTCGACGGACAGCAGGTTGGCGAGACGGGTGGCATGTTCTTCCCCCGCGCTATCCAGCACGTCTTCGTCGGCATGTACCTCCAGCAAATCTGCCTCGCCGCTCTGTTCTTCCTCGCTCAGGACGACAAAGGCAAACCGAGCGGTGTCATTGAGGGCGCGCTGATGATTGTCCTGATCGTGTTCACCGTGAGTACCTTTTGCGATGCCCCTTTGAGTTCTCCCCCGCTGAACATGTACATCCAGATCTTCTTCCACATGATTATCAACAACTCGTACGGCCCCCTGAACCACTACCTCCCTCTCACGCTCGCGGACTCGACGTTCTCGACGGACCCGAACGCGGCCGCCGCTGCGCAGGAGCTCGACGACCAAGCCTCGTACAAGGAAGGCGACGCCGAGAACGGCGAGAAGCGCATCGCGCGCAAGCGCATCAGCCCCTCACGGTCGATTGACTCTCAGTCCTCGGGTGCCGCCACGCGCGGCAAGGCCATGGGCGTCTCGACGGTCGAGGACACCGCGACCCCCGGCAGCCCGGGCATCGAGCAGGACGAGGAGGAGGAGGATACCCCAAATTCGATTACTGGGGTGGACGAGGACGCGGGCCCGAAGGACTTCTACCACCCGGCGAGCGTGGAGCCGCAGCCGACGATCTGGCTGCCGCGCGACCCGCTCGGGCTCGGGGAGGCGGAGGAGCGCGCGAACCGCGCGGCGGGCATCAAGGTGTCGACGGTGGACGCGGTCATGGACGGGAAGGGGCACGTCGATATCTCGGGGCCGCCGCCCGACCTCGTGCTGTGATTCTGCGATTCTGAGGAGCGCGAGTGTTTGGTTAGAGACTGAGACTGTTGCGTGATCGTGTTACATTACAACTATCATCGTGTATTACTAGTAGTGTTCCTATGAACGATGGCCTGGCGAGTTTGTGCACCGCGCGCGTGTCTGGCTGGGGTGCCGGACGCGCGAGCTTATACCACTCTTTCCCGTGTAGGGTCCTTTTATATACACCTGCAATTCGAGTTGCTTCCTTCTGAACGAGGATGTGGGTTGTGGTGTGTCGCCTTGAGGGTGTAGCTCTCCGCACTCCCTATGCGGGTGTAACTCGAATGGCGCCTGTAGCGACGCGTCCTTGCATCAGACGAGAAGTGCTATAACATTGTACGCGGGTGAGAGCCTTGCTCTGACTCGGAGCGAGGGACTTGTTCGCTCTAGACTCGTGCAGCAAGTACCCATAGCTATAGTTTGACACATTTTACAGAGACGTACGTACGGTACAAGTACAGCCCACCTCGTAGTGTACGCATGTACTAATACTGGACAAGGTGTCGGATGTCCCCAAGCATTGATACTCCATGGGCGACCCGGCCCCTACTTCGCTCCATCTGAACAAACAAACCTGCGAGATCTAAGATGTTTTGCGCGGCGTTCAGCCCTGATGCTAAGATGTCTAGTTGCCATTGGATAACGATACTACGGACATGATGGCACCGCCGGAAACCTAGACATTCGTGAATTTAACATCTACATTATCTGAGTTCATGCGACTATGACTTACCGTGTACTGGTGTTAGAATATCACTACGCCCGCCTGTTCGTGCTTGCCTAGTCATTGTTCATGGACTTTCTTCACCTTCAACCACAGCTCTTGCTTCGTGCTTTCCGTGCTCGCGGTTGGATACGAAACCCCGGCAAGGTTCCACACGGCGGGTCTTTCAGAAAGCTCGAATGTGAAGTTGGCGAGCATCTCGGAAAGGACGACCTCTGTGTGAATCGCGGACTGTCTGAGCATAGACGGTCGCACATAGTTGACAGGTGTAGACCTACTCATCTCTAGCTGCGAAAACGTGAAGCCGCTGCGTACGGATCCCGGTCAGCGCTTTGGCTATTGAAGAGAGCAGGGCTAGCGTCAGCTCACATGCATCCCCGCGCGCCGCCGGAGAACGTCATCCTGTCCGCACCACTCATAAGCCTCTAGCCGTCATAACGGGAGCGCGGCTCCGTACTCACATGTTTGAATACACGCCGGGAATAGCCGCGCTCTCCACTTCCGCGGGCAGGGGCGCGAGCCACCGCTCTGGCTTCCACTCGTCCGCGTCGGCCCCCCAGAGTGCCTTATCACGGTTACATGCTAGGATGCTGACAAGGATATTTGTTCCGCGCGGGACAGCAATCTCGCGGAGCAACGTCCCATCTGTCGCGCGAATGGGGTGGGAAAGAGGGAGGACGGTGTCTTCGAATGCTCTGGAATGGCCGGTGTGAGATATGATTCCGAAATGAAAGGTAAGAGGTGCGAAAACGGAGTCACTACGCACTGCCGGAAAATCATGGGGGCTACTGGATGACTGACGAGGCTAGCATCAGCTACATCGTGACGGACCCCAGGATTGTGAAGAGCGGCTTACAGTCGTAAGGTCTCACGACATACAGCATCCAAGTATGGTAGGGCATGCAGCTGGTCGTAATCCAGATGGTTGCTGCCTACCTTCGCGTCGGCGATTTCACGCCGCAGTTTCGTCTGCACTTGCGGGTGCTCTGCGAGCAGCTGCAGCGTACGCGCCATGGCGTTTGATGTCGTGTCCATCGCCGCGAAGATAATGGTCCTAAAGATTATTGTCATCGGCATGCGCATGTGCCCGTGCGGGGTGTTCAAGGGAGAGACGCACGACATCTGGCCAAGGAGCTGATCTTCCGGGAGCTGGTCTTCACCGGACGCCGCCATATTCGCTCGCACTGTACAACTGTGAACATAATATCTCCAAAGGGGGATATGGGACGTACGCATGATACTCAAGATATCCTTCGAGTCAGAATCGTCCCCGGCTTCGATCGCGGCCCTCTTCGCGCGAAATATTTCGAGGGAGCGCTCGTGCAGAACGTCCGTGATCTGGACCATGCGCCGGACAAGGCGCACGGGCGACTTCTCCATAACCCAGCGGAGAAGCCAGGAAGGGCCGAGATGCTTGAGAAACGGTGCCATTTGCCGAAGGGGTATCATTTCCGGAGAGGTCGCGGTCACCCTACACGTGCGTGCAAGCAACCTCAGCAACAACTAGTATAACGGGAGTGGATGGGATGATACGCACACGAAGTACTTTGCAGCGTCAGCATATGCGTCTGAAATGTCCTCGATCAGCGGGTCGAACGAGTACCCAATGCCTCCCTGGCCGATCAGCTCGAGGGCGGCACGGCTCATCCAGGCTAGAACGTCTATGTCTGTGCTCTCGGAATGCGTTGGCACACGATTAGATATGGCCTGTATGAGCTACGGTACCGCGAACAGATACACAACTTGTCAGCAAACGAATGAAGCGGGTGCGGACGAAGATGCGGCGAGTCATACCTTGTCTGTCACCTGGTAGAAGATAGGTACTACGGTGCGGAGGTGCTTGGCAGAGAACACTGGGGTAAGCATCTTCCGTTGCTTCCTGTGCGTGTCTCCTACACAATAGAGGTGTGCATTATGAGCAACGGCCGAAAGCCAGGGGACGCGAGATATCTCATACCGGTGACCGAGAGGAGCCCCGGACCGAGCATCATGTTGTGGGTCCTGTGGCTACGGTCAGAAATTGTAGAGTTCGAATGCATAGAGAAAGATACTTACTCAACATACCAGGAAGGTTGGTCAAATTTCTCCTGATTCTTGATGATATGGCTTAACGCTAGCAGGTCAAAGACATAAAGCGCCTCGGTCTGAGCAAATATCAGCGTGAAGAACTCGGTGTGAGCGCCACGCCGTGAGTTTCACATACACCAAACAGCCAATGTAGTTTGATCACAGACCCGTACTTCCGTGCGATTGCAGCATGGAATTCCCAACTTTGCCTGCCAGAAATTTGGAGAGCGTTTCCTGCAGAGAATGTCGGTATCCACGTCGCGTAGTCAGCATCGGTACGCGACAAAAGACAGAGACATACCTAGAAGGAAGGACGCTCGCGAGGGGCCCGGCACGTCATCCATCGGAGAGCGGGAGATGCGCAATCTCCTCCACAGGAGCAAAACAACGCAGAGAAGCGCAACATACAGTATCATGGTGGGAGATGAGCTCTGCGGATGAACATCACAAGCAGGGACACGAGACGGGCTTTAATACAGAGCAATCGGTGCGCCAGAGACACGTCGGAGGAATGCAAGGGGCCACGAGACTACAAGTTTTGACAGGCATAAGCGCTATGCCGGAGCAAGGAGCACTTCTATGGATAGACTTTGTCTCCGGGACTGGGTGCCGAGCGCTCAGAGACTGTATTTGTTGTCACAAGGAGCGGCAGTTCTTGTTAGGGAAATGCAATCTCTGTGTTGCAAGTAGTGAACATTCATGTCCCATACGAGATGTCACGAGAAGGACGTACCGTCTCCACGCTGTCGCGCCGAGGTCATATGGCCGTCTTTATGGCCTTCGTGCTATCATTGTGTACTTCTGGAGCGTGAGGGCTTCAATGCGTTGACAGAAAGTTCCCGATGGATCAGATATTCCTCGTTGACCGTAAAATTCAGTAATATGCAGCTGTTTATCCTCCTTATACCTTCAATAGTTGCACGATATCCCTCTCGAGCCAGGACATAGCTGCACAAGACTCGCTTCGCACGTTACGTCGAATAAGCGTCTACGCCCGCGCCGATCGCGCCGCGAAGTTGCATTCGAACTTCTTAAGGTACCAGGCTATGCGGTGGGTTTCAGGACGTGACTCGCGAGATTTATATAACATGCTGACGAAACCAAGTTGATGTCGAGTTTGACGTGCGCTGGCTTCTGAGTTCCTTTTGGCACGAGCGGAGGGCTGGAGGCACAGCGCTCAATGTTGAAGTGCAGCATGGAGGCGATGAAGAAGAACAGTGCATCGTTTGCGAAGGGCCATCCAGGGCACAGAGAAAATCCTGGACAGAATCCGTCAGTTTGCACAAAAGCTTGCCAGTGACGTGTTTATGACGCACCTCTGGCCGAAACCCCGGGATTAGTACTTCTCGGGATCTCTGGGGTCGGAACCGCGCGTCTCGTTCTTCATAGACAGTTCCGGGAACAAACGCGTCGCGTAGGTAGCAAGCGCACGCCCACGCTGAGCCACGGAATGACGCATGCATTTCGTCGGATGATGAACCACACCCGCCCTCACGTTACAGTATTTCAGGCACCCATTCGACCACTCTGAGCATCCCCTTCGCGCGCAGCTCCGGCATCGCCGTCAACAACGCCAACGAAGTCCCCTCCTCGTCAACACAAATGCTTATCATGACCTCGAGCCGTTTCAAGTATTCATGCCGTGCAGCCAGCGCAGCGTCGAGCGCGCGCAGCCCGAGCGACGTCGCATTGTCGAACTCGGTCCCCCAGCGCGTGTCCAAGCGCCAGAACTTGAGCGTAAGCACGCGGATGGTCATGGGGACGTTCGCGAGGAGCGCGCGGCAGACCTGGGCCACCGAAGCGTCTGGGGTGTCTATCCAGCCCTCTGGAGGGCACACGTTGGACCGGGGTACGAGGACATCGAGGGTGAGGGACCTGAGAGAGGTACACGCTTGCAGGTTGAGGGCGCGCCAATGCTCTGTGCATACGTTGATTAGCACATGTGATGCGGCCAGCCTACAGAATGCGAGATACACACCTGGAGAGTCTCCGTTGGGTCCGATCTGAGGAAGGGACACTTGGAACGGAATATGGATGTGCAGCGCGTTGCGGGCCGCACTCGCCACTAGTGCGCCGAAGCTGGGCAGTACCGCCGACACGTGCACCAACGGCGCGCCGATGCACTCCAGCTCGAGCGAGCGGAGGCACCCCGGGGCGAGGGACGCGCGCAGTGGGTCATAGAGGGCACTGGCTGCGAATCGGGACCCGTGTGTGCTGAGGTCTCCGGTGATGAGCGCGGCCACGTTGAGTGTCCGGATATGACGCGCGCGTTTTGTAGTCCCGCTAGAGATTTGCATCGCGAGTAGCTCCAAGGTGTCGATGGAGTCAAAGACCGAGATGATGTTCAGAACCGTTACCAGGGACAGAGTCGTGGCTAGCCCCGGGGCGGAACAGCGCTCGACGGTTAGCTTCTCCAGCGTGCGTGTGGGGAGGGGATTGGGGGCGTCTGAGGCGGGGTTCGGCGAGTCGATCAGCCAGAGGTCGTAGAGATGAAGCTCCTGCAGGCGGGGAAGTAGTGCTACAAGAGCGATGAGTTGAGCGCGTCCGACGACAGGGTAATCGTCCTGGCGTCTCATACGGTCCGTCCATTCGGTGTAAGCGACCTTGAGCTGAAGCTTGCGTACGCGGCAAGCGATGTGGGGGTGCATCTGCAAGAATCCGTGGAAATCGACAAAGTCGTACTTGGACGCGATCTTCAGGGAAGCGAAGAGATACGGAAGGGCGACTTCGTGCCACAGGCGCGATACCCACGAGCAGGCCAGGATGGTCACTCTGTCCTCTCGTACGCTTTCCAAAACGAGATCAAGGAGCTCGACAGGAAGTTCGCCGATGCCGCACTGTAAGGAGTCTGTTTCGTTGCTGCTTTCAGTTTGGGCCGCCTCGTCCATGTCGTGTGTTGTGGGTGTATTTGGGAATGCTTGTCGTAGAGAACGGACGGCAGCGAGGGCGATATGAAGAAGATACGTGGTACTGAGATACTTAAGTACCGGACGTCAGCAGTGGCGGTGTAGTGTGTGCCACCCATCCGATTACCACAACAAACTTACCCGAAAGAGGGTGAAAAGGCTCAATTTACCTTGTATCTGAAATGGGATCAGCGAGATTACAGCTGTTCTCAGATCGATAGGCCCGTGAAAAAAATAATCATGGACAGTGGTTTCGGGCGGCGACGCGGGGAGGACGCGGATGTACGCGCCTAGGTGCGCGTACCTCTTCGCGATGCTCCCGACCTGCTAACCGCCTCACGCGATGCGTCGCCGCCTCATCTGGGTGCGAATGCCTCTGTGTGCGTTTTTCCACGGGGGCCTATCGATTTGAGAACAGCTGTAACAAGTTGATCGCTCTCAGAAATTTTGTGCGTACGACGCTGTGACAACTTGAAGGGGCCGAGTCATGGTCGTCTCATCACAGGTGTGAATACCCTGTAGAGAGTCTGGGGTGATGTTGCCTCGTAGGTTATTGGTATGCTCCTCCTGGTGGTCACTCATCCTTGAGCGCAGATGCATCAGTGGAGGAGATGGTTGACGGCAAAGAATGTGAGCGGAGAAGATGCGTGGGAGGCGCCGAGTATCGAACGGTGGTGGCAGTGTGCGCATGGGTTTTCCTAATAAGGGCATCCAGTTTGCAGGTGCGATCGGCGTGAGCAACTGCCCCGGCGCGCCCCGCCTGGACGTGTTCATCGGCCGCAAGGGCGCAACCCAGCCCGCGCCCGACCTGACGGTGCCCGAGCCGTTCGACGACGTCACCAAGATCCTGGCGCGCTTCGAAGATGCGGGCAGGTTCACCCCCGCTGAGGTCGTCGCCCTCCTGGCGTCGTATGCCCCTTCATCTATTTCTGATCCTCCCTCAGTACTGACTTACAATCGGCAGGCACACGATCGCCGCTGCCGACCACATCGACCCGACCATCCCGGGAACGCCTTTCGACTCCACCCCCGAGCTCTTCGACACGCAGTTCTTCATTGAGACCCAGCTCCGCGGGACGCTCTTCCCTGGCAACGGCAGCAACCAGGGCGAAGTGATGTCGCCGCTCCACGGCGAGCTCCGTCTTCAATCCGACGCCGAGCTCGCGCGCGACATCCGCACCTCGTGCGAGTGGCAGTCGTTCGTGAACAACCAGGCGAAGCTGCAGTCCGCGTTCAAGGCCGCGTTCGCGAAGATGACCGTGCTTGGCCAGAACACGCGCGAGCTCATCGACTGCTCCGACGTCGTCCCCACCCCGCCTGCGCCCGCGAGCAAGGCGCACTTCCCGGCCGGGCTCACGCACCGTGACGTCGAGCAGGCGTGCTTCTTCGTGCCCTTCCCGACGCTCCCCACCGACCCCGGACCGGCTACTTCCGTCGCCCCCGTGTAAGTTCCTATACTTCCGAACGGCACGCATACACTCAGCACTGACGCGTCGACTTGTAGCCCCCCGTCTTAAACGGGCATTCGCGCAGGGAGAGCCTGTGTATCAGTCGAAGGTTTTTTTTAAGTTTATGTCTTTTCTGTAGCTCAGGGCTTTCGATAGCTGTCAAGTTGTTTTCGTCTATGCGCTTGTTGCATTCGTCTCGAGATGGTGCGGGCCGCACCAGCCTGGAAAATCCGCCTAGACAAGATGAGAGGGTGCATTGCGACGTTGAATGCCTTGGCCTCCGCACGTCACATCAAGCATGTGAGGCATTCTCACCGGTGCAGAACCAATCAGCGGGTGCCGCCAAGCTAAACGAGAAGGCGGGACCGGGATCGAGGTCGAGGACGTGGTGTGTTGTTTCCGATGCGCTGTACACGCATGAAAAGTGCGACGTGCGAGTTGTATACGCTCTGGCGAAAGATATCTATACGAAGGGTGATGGACGTGGACACGGTGGGTACTGACAAGTTAAGCCGATAAAGCCGATGAGCTTTTGGGAAGCAGTCACAGCGGGCGGTCAACGACGGACTGTTCAGAATTCTCCATCCGCCCGTCTCTGAGCGCTGAGCTTGTAAAGTCCATTTCCCTCCCCCGCGCATACACGGAAACGCCGAAGAAGTGTACATGCCGTCATCAGAGTCTTACCCACTCTCGTCACTTGCAGGCTCGAACCAACTCGGACTTGCACGCCATCTTCGAATGCGTCGGCCCAGCTGTGAGAACCCTCGTCCTGTCGCATGTATTCCTTACTCAGTACTCCGTGCAGAAAGGTTTCTGTGCGTTCGAACTATCACGCAATCGCGGCCAGGCTCCTAATGCGATGCTGTTGCGCAATACACGATAAGAATGAAGGATGCGAGATACTCCTACATGTTCATCGATGTTTCCTAGGCGCGCTGCTCCTGCTACATTACTTTCCTTATGATCTTAAACATCGCCATCCTTAGGGACGGCGATGTCTGAGTTCCTAATCAGCAGAGTCGCTTTCTCTGACCGGGGCGTAATAGTGCACTCAAACGGCTCCGGATATCTACAATGAACCAAATTCAGTTCACCTCCGTCACCATCGACATGCATGTGCAGACTCACGAGAGGAAGAAATCCCTAACTATCTTTGGAGCCACAGGCAGAGGCTTCCCGTCGAGGCCCAGTGGAGCGCGGATGTCGAACGTATGTAGTACGGATGCAACTGCGAGGAACAGTGCGTCGTTGGCGAAATGGCGCCCGGGGCATATCCTGTGTGTACGGTCAGTCACTCGGGGATCGCGCGTTTGGCTTCTGTCGAGTAACTTGCCTGCGACCGAAGCCGAACTGGAACCTCTCTGGGTCCCTGACTTCAGACCCGTCTTTACCAGAGTATCCACGGAGGAAGCGCTCCGGAATAAACATCTCAGGCTGTGGATACGCTACGGGGTCCTGCGACATGGCCCTACAACAGCGTGAGTACCGCACGAACCTGGCCGTGCGCAGCAAGATTCAGGACACGGAAAAGTGCTCACCACGAATTCGGTACGATAATAGAGCCCGCAGGGATCCGATACCCTTTGTACTCGTCCTCATCTACAGTGCGATGCGCGATCGCGGTTGGAGCGACGCTGTGCCACCGCATGACTTCCTTCACCAAGGCTCTCACGTAGGGGAGCGCGTCTCTGTCTGCGAACTCGGGAAGTCGGTCGGGTCCAATAACCGCGTCGAGCTCGCGCTGTGCCTTCCTCTGTGCTTCAGGGAATTGGACCATCGCAAGGAAGAACGCGTGCATGGAGTTCAATGTCTGCGATGCGGGATGTTAGAAGGCGCTAGTTAAGCAGTAGGTAGCTGGCGCTACTCACTGTGTCCGCCCCGGCTAACGATGAGCATCGCCGTCAAATGCGCTCGTGGGGAGAAATAACAGATAGGACTTTACCGAGAAATGCGATTGCCGTGACGTCTCGGAAACGCTCACTCTCCTGCTCAGAGATGCTTCCATCCTTCTGCATAGCCTTCTCAACCAGTGAGGCCAGCGCGCAGGGGCGCGCGTCTCCTCTTGCCTACGCGACTTCGTTAGCCCTACTGTGCGCGCAGAGTAAAGGGAGGAGAGTCATACGATGGCGTCCATGGAGATGTGAAACGTCTCATCGCGCGCCGCAGCGATTTCCGGGCGCCACTTTTCGGCGTTTCTCTTGAACTGCGCGCCAGGCAGCCACGACGGGAGGAATCGGAGGGCGGGAAGGACCTCGACGAGGTATTTTCCGGGGGTGACGATGTTGCTGAATCTTGCAGTGACCTTCTCGGCGCGGGCCAATACCGGATCGTCGCGTTCCGCCACTACGATCCCGTAGACGGCATCCATGATCGTGGCGCTGAACGCACTAGAGAAAGCGTCAGTCAAAAGGCGCGAACACAGTGCAAGCGGGGAGCGTACTGGCGGGTGATGGCGAGGTAGTTCTCTGGTGTCTCCAAGAGTCGCTGCAGGAGGCGACGACCCTCGCGCAGGTGAATGGGCCGATATTGAGGAATCGCGTTCGGGTGAAAGGTGCTATGGAAGTCTTTGCGGTACTGCCGCCACGTCTGCGTGTACCCCTTGAGCGAAAACTGCCACAAGAAGCCGCATCTGGAGTAGAGAGCTGGTCCTTAGAGGCGGAGCGCACTGATGTATATATGGAACTTACAGCTCGGCCATAGGACTCTGCGGCCTGTCCGACGTGTTCGCTGAGCGACTCTCTAGTATTGTGAGTGCCGCTTCGAATGAGTTGACGACGACCATGGGCTGCCCGAGGATGTCCAGATACACCACATCACCTACAGGCAATCCGGAAGCTTGTTGAGCCCGAGAATGCAGACGTACGAGACCGTGACGACGACGTACCATACTTGTCAGCCATGTCCCGCAAGGAAGGGCCCAGCTGTTTGGTCGGCATATCGAAGAGGTTGCCTAAGATGGGCAACGGACGCGGGCCCGGGGGAAGAGGCAGAGAAGGACGCATCCGGCGTTTCCACAGCGCTACAGCAGTCACTGCGAGGAGAGCGGAGAAGGCTATCACAACGTATGGCAAATCCATCACGACGTTAATCCACTCGGCCGGGGACCGGGGTGGATGGGAGATCGGATAGGACCACGCAGGGGAGGGGGGCACTTATATCAGACGGAGGCGCTAGCAGTGCTGCTTCTATACACTCCGGGGGCCATAGTGTGGAGTCTTGAGCGTACATCTGACCGACTGCGACTGTTGAGATACCAGATCTACACCCGTATGAGGCTTGATACGGAAAGCGTCAATAAATCGCCGACGGTGACCGGAACCTACGTTTGAATGGCAGATCAAAGCCGGTAGCTTCGACAGCCATAGTCCCCGGACAGGTAATCCGAGCTGCAACTCCGTTGATAGACAACAACCTATGTCTTATCACGTACCGTTCGATGTACGATAGGCTCTAAGAGAACCGTGATTGGGCCCACGCCTCCGCCGCAAAGGAAGGGGGTATGTCCCCAAAGATCGACACACGCCGCTTCTCTTTGTTATTTGCTTTGCACGGGATGGCGCAAGTATCTACGCCTGCACCTATCGCGGCGTGAATCGGAGGAGATATTTCTGAGTGAGCGTTTTAACAGCACCATCGCCGCGGGGACATCATGTCTATAGGAACGACAAACCTTGTATAAGTCGGTATGGACTTCCTCGATAACAGGCACGTCGCTTATGAGACATGAGCTGTCTAGAGAGCAGACGTAGGCCAATAGTGTAAAAAAAAAATGGCGTCCCCGATGGCACTGAAGCACTGAGCGGAGACTTCCTTCTTTGAAACTACGGGCCAGATGACCGCCCGCCGCGATGAGAAGCAATTGGAGTATCTGTAGCCCGTAACCCGCGGATAAAGGTCATGAGGCCGCGAATTTCTCTTCGTATGTAGCGGAAATATAACCTATGAAGCTCGGAACTTGAAGCTCACATTGTCATCCTGGTGTCATACTAGGATGCTGTTAAAGGTTGCGAGGGAGTTGCAGCTTGTCATACAACTTCTCAGGATCCGGAATCTATTGGGCCTAGATGTTCTGAGGATGAAGTAGATACCGGGAAAGAGTGGTGGGCCCTGCAGCGGAGCGACACGGGTGGAGAGGAGTTGCAGTCTTTTTGCCACGTGTACAGGACGATGGGCGCTTGTAGACTTGCGTAGTTGAATAGGCGCCCATATGACTCCGCTTTTCGTGCCGCCACGCAAACTGATATTCCGAACTGGTATGGTAGTTTCATCCTTTACGCCGACATCCCAACGAAGAGACCAATATTCTGGAGCATAAGGACAACACACAATCGATGCCTGAATCCCAACCACGAGAAGGTATAGATAACGGTGAACTTGATGGCAAAATTCAAGCATTTCGCGACATCCTGTCTACAGCCAAACGTATCGTTGTCCTGGCGGGCGCGGGACTATCCGCAGGCTCAGGTGGGGTTTATTCAGCAATAAATACTTTACATTGCATGGCTGATACACAGTATTTGATAGGTGTACCTATCTTTTGAGGTAAAGACGGGGTATGGCGTAAGCACGACGCTCTCTCGTTGTCCACTCCAGCCACGTTTATCGGCAACCCATCCAGAATCTGGCAGTTTCACCACTTCTTGAGGGAGAGGTGCGTGGCGTCTACTTCAGGGCTGGGATTTAGCTGACCAACGGTTGCTACAGGATGTTCAAGGCGACGCCCAACCCAGCGCACATCGCACTAGCCAGATTCACCCTTCCTGAGCTTCGACACAGGCTCACTCCCGACTTTTCGTTCACATTGATCACCCAAAACATCGACGGTCTCGATCGGCGTGCGATCGAGCACGCGAACACTGAAGCCGGAAGACCCAACCCCTTCTCGGCAACCACTGCTGGTCCGCAGCACCGCAACGACCCGTTGCTCATTGAAATGCACGGCCACATCCGGGGCGTGCTCTGCGCGAGCTAACAATGTAGACACCGCGAGCTCGATCTGAACTCCCCGATCTGCCCGGCGCTGGCGGGCACCGAGCTGCTCGTGAGCGGTGCATCGGACGAGCCGCAAGCGGCACCTGCGCCCAAAAGCTCGAAGCGAACCCCTGCTGAGGCGAGATCGTGGGCGGAGGCGCGCCTTGCTGGCGTCAAGCAGGAGAAGGCAGGGTCTGATATCGACCCGGACATCCCTGTGGAAGAGCTCCCGCGCTGCGCGAAGTGCGGCGCGCTCGCAAGGCCAGATGTCGTCTGGTTCACCGAGGTGCCGCAGCAGATCGACGAGGTCATGCGGATTGTCGACAGCGCAGATGTGTGCGTTGTCGTCGGGACGTCTGCGGTGGTAGGCCGTCTTGCATTTGTCGGTGTTGCTCTTGCTGATATGTTCCGATACAGGTCCACCCTGCTGCCACTTTTTCTGCCAAAGTGAAGGAGCACGGCGGCACGGTCGCCGTCTTCAATATCGAGCCGGGAAAGCGGGACGCCCTAGCAGACTTCGTCTTCCTCGGGCCTTGCGAGGTCATCCTTCCGCGTGTATCTGATACACCTCAGGCTGTATGAGCCCGCTCCTGCGGTGCGTTGTGTACCAAAACCATAACCCCTCCGATGCGGGTATACCATAACTACATGGTGACGACACAGTGCGTATCAAACAGCATCCAGTTGCCGCCGCACCGGGCGCGGTCGCGGTCCCGTAACGTCCACATGCCCCTCCGCATCTACGACTGCGTTTTGCGACGACGCCTCGATACCCGCCGCCCGCATCGAACGCTCCTCCGCCTCTGCCAGCCCGAACGGATCACGGGGAATCCAGATGATCGGCTCAGGGTCGACGCTTGCTGGGTGATAGCAGTCCTCCAGGCCTGTCTCCTCATCCACGCCTAAGACCATTATCTGCGGACCCTCCAATTTCGCGGTGCTAACGACGCCCAATTCAGCAGCCGTCGTGCGTTCGCGTCCGATGTGCTCCACATACGAGGCGAAATCATCGGGCTCCTCTGGCGGCGCAACCGAAGTACAGGTCGGGTCTGTCGTCGCTCCCTTCTGGTGCATTGTATCGGCAAGGGTAAGTGGCAAGTAGTGTTCCAACACGCCGTACGAGTTGTTGATGATAATGTGGAAGAGGGCCTGCGCGCATAGGTGAGTAGAGGCAGCGAAGGAGGTAATATCGAAGCGACTCACAGTGAACACGACTAGGACAATCATCAGCACACCCTCCGCAACGGCGCTCTGTTCTCCTTCGGCGTCCTCGGCGAGAAAGAGGAGTGTTGCGAGGGATATCTGCTGGATATATAGGCCGACGAAGACGTGCTGGATCGCGCGCGGGAAAAACATTCCGCCCGTCTCACTCGCCTTCTCTCCGCCAATCTGCCATATGAAGAGGTACTTGTACATCTGGTAAAACAGGAAGAACGTGACCGCTGAGAGGCCGTTGATGATCGGGGAGATGATACCGTATGCAAAGGCTGCGGAAAGGGTGAGCGCATTTCATAGACTTTTATTTACGCGAAACGTACTGATGACAACAAGTACCGTGATAGAGGGGAATAGGGTGCCCCATGCTACGGAGCGCAGAGTGTATTTGATGCAGTGGATAGAGCGAGGGGTAGACCCGAGTACGAACAACTTTGCATAGTACAAGACAAGTGGCACGAGCTGCAGGAAGCCGGACGCAGTCCCCGACAACCCTTGAAGGACGATATACCTGGAAAGTATCAGTAACAGTCTGCGGAAGCATCCATATACACTCGTACGTGAGGAAGAAGTTTGAAGCCCTAGGGATATTCTGCGCGAGCGAGGCAGGAATCGAGGCGGGCTTGTGGAGAAGGTCGGACCATGAGGCGACGACACCTGACGAAACAGTGACGACGAGGAATGAGTTCTACTCATAGGACACACGGTAAGTAACCTCGACGTTGACCGACCATGCACACGGCACTTACGACGACTTGGAAGAGGAAATAGCGCCTCATCAAGCTGAGCTCAATCCCCGTCTTCCGTGTAGCCCCTTCGAACCGTGCAAGCCGCCGCAGAATTATCGGAAGCAGCATGTTGAGAACCGTGAGCAACGCCGGAGATAGGATACCAGAGATGAGGCCGCCAACGACGGGGGGCAGATCACATAGCCACGCCAGCCACACATAGGTAGTGCAGAGAGAATGGATATTCGATACCGCACCAACGAACGCGACTGCAATCCCAGAAGTAGTCAGCCTTTAAGCTCAAATATCACGCTTGTCTCACAGGGAGCGACCTACCAGGGATGGCGCATGCAATAACCAGGCTGATCGTGACGGCCCAGCTAATTGCAGTGCGGATGCACACCTCGTACGGGTTCATGTTGAGGTTGCTCCATACCACATCCCCGGGCGCGACACCGACACTCTTGGACGTCATCCTGTACGGCATGTGATGCGTGAGTACCTGCGCCGCCATGTGCGCCGCCATCTGGTTGTTGAACAGTATAAATGCTGAGTTGAGCGGTGGGTAGGTCTGCGCTGTATCCGGATCCGCACTGAACACGTCCGGATCGTGGGTGTGCTCTCCGGGCAAATCCGTGGTCATTGAGACGTCGCGCGCGAGCTGATGGCGCGCCTGACGCAGGGCCTGGTTGGTCTCGGTGAGCTCCTGGCGAGCCCATTCGATCGTATCCACCTTCTTGCCTATGAACGGGAGCGAAAACGACATCCAAGAGAACACGGGCAGGCGGTGCGAGGGGCGTTTGTTCTTCGGCACAAGGATATCCGTCAAAAACGATTTGTCTTGCTCAGTGCAGAAGACCCGGGGCTCCGTCTGCGAGAATGAGTACATAGTTAGTCGCATCGATGTGAATACGTGGATGTCTTTGGCCTACATTCCTGAAAGCCTTCGCGTGCGTCATCTGCTTCTTGTTGTGGAGCTTCACGGCAGTGCACACAAGACTGGTTTCCGCGGCTTCGAGCTTCTTTGCTGCGCTCAACCGACGTTCATAAATGTACGGCATATCCTTCAAGTCTCTAAGAATCTCGTCTATCAAAGAACTGTGCAGAATGTAGGAAAACCATACCGGTTGAGCCAGACTTTGCGAACACCGCCGGGTAGGTGAGAGAACAGCTTGGTCAGGGCGGACTCCGTAAGGTAGTCCCGCGGTACACCAGTAATGAGGACAGTGCTGCGCATGGGGGACGACGCGTTCTCGGGCTTCATGAGCCATCTCTGACGGGTAATAACGAAGTGTCTCATCTCGTAGCGAATGCTCCGCCCAATCCATACTGTTTAATGCTAAATTAGCTTCAGGGAGCTTCGTTGGATAACATGGCACTTACTGGTGAAGACCCACGCAAGAATGACATGCGCGGCATAGCGAGACTGTTGAGTAAGCGGTATGTTTCCAAATGTGAAGCGGTCCAGACCGGTAAGCCCATCGGGGTCGGAGCGAACGCCGGTGACAGGAAGCAGTACGACCCACGAGACGATCCAAATAGGAACAAGGAGCCGAAATATCATCCGCAAGAACCGCACGAAGAAGTACGCGTCCAATCCTGTTTTAACGCGAATTTTGCGGAAGTCCGCCATGAGCACAGCCGTTGGCCAGGAGAACATCTTTGTAGACATTTCAGGTGCGCGACGTCTACAAGCATGTATATCAGCAAGCCGCACTCTCACGCGTAACTTCGCCAGAGTGGGTGGGGATATCGCAGAAACTTGAAGGGGGCGGTCGGCCTCGTGGTGTCCATCTCATAGGCTCCGTGCCATGCGAGAACATTCCACGATACTCCAAGCAACATTATACAGAAGAAATGTGCAAAAACTCACAAACCGTTTGGAACGTAGGTCCGCGGTTGATATATTGCGGGAAAGAAAGGACGGACGACGGTGAAAATGGCCAGTTCAATGCCGAAGACTGCCGCATGGAAGACGAGTGCTGTGAAGAAAGATGACGTAGACGTATTAGTTGCCACGGCATTTGAGGTCTCAGACATGGGCCTAGTGGATGTCAGCCATGCGGGTATCGATGGTCGTACAGAACATGGAGAAAACTCACATGAAGAGGAGCTATACGACCGGTATGGCGAAGATGGCGAGGGCGTCGTCTGAGAGAGCGTGAGCTACGGCCGGCGTGACAGAAAGTAGATATAGGTAGCATGTGACAGAGAAGGTGGACGTCGGGGATGAGACGGTCTGCCACACGCCGCCAGTGCAATAGTGCAAGTTCGATGGACGGCCGAATCTTGTTCCTGGATCGCATATAACGCGAGGAGGCTCGACAAATATGTGGCACTATGTGCGTAGCCAAAGAAGGAAGATAGTAGTGAGTCTGCAGTGTTCACCGCCGCGAGAGTATAAAAACTGCAGGACGATACGGATGGACAGACGGTAGCATGCTAGTGACTATACGCGAAGGGGCCGTGCCATATAAGGTCTACCATTTATGTTAGAGGAAAGAAGGATGACTACGCCGCCAAAACCATAAAGCGTTTGAACGCCAGGTACTGCAATAGTGTACCCATGCTAGCTCGGGCGTTTGCACTGCATTCGTAAACTCACGCTCACGCAGTGGCCGCGCAATCCCGGATTTCCTACACCCACAGGACCGACCTGAAAGCGCGTACAAGCCGTGTGTTGCCTTGATTCGGTGACAAACCTGATACGACGGGCGTGGAGAGGGAGACACGGTGACATCAATAATTGCGTGTACTTTACTCCTGCTGAACGTTTAGTTCTCGAGTTCAGTGACCGCACCGTACACGGGCGTGGCGATGATCACATACCATAGTGCACTTGGCACAGCGCACACTCTTCCGCGGACGCCGTCTTACCCCTCGTGGAGTGTCCTCACCGTGAGCCAGAGCTCTTGCTTCGCGCTTTCTACGCTGACACTGGGATAAGACACCCCTGAGAAGTTCCAGATGATGGGTTTCTCCGAAGGCGCGAACGTGAAGTTGGCGATCATCTCGGAAAGGACAACTTCTGCGATAAGATAAGTATGAGCACATGTATATGGGCAGGATGCATGGTTGTTGACTTACTCATCTCCAGCTGCGAGAACGTGAAGCCGCTGCAGATTAGTCGCGAAAAACATCTCAGTCAAAGACACAGGAGAAGAAATGGCATCAGAGGCTCACATGCATGCCCGTGGACCGCCCATGAACGTCATCCTACTCACATGCATGAGCCTTCAGCAAAAGGGTTGGGTTAATGAGTCCTGCGCTCACATGTTCGAGTAGACCCCAGGAATTCCCGCACTCTCTAGCGCTTCAGGGAGAGGTGCAAGCCAGCGCTCGGGCTTCCACTCCTCTGCGTCGGTTCCCCATAGCGCGTTGCTACGGTTGCATGCCAGGATACTAATGAAGATGTCCGTTCCACGCGGTACAGTGAGCTCGTGGAGTAGCGTCCCGTCCGTCGCGCGAATCGGATGAGAGAGCGGCAGGACGGCGTCTTCTACTGTCCTAGGACCAAGATTAGACCCATAAACAAGGGTCTGACAAGAGTGAAAAGCTACGTACTTCCGGAAAGCTTGCGGGACTGGAGGGTGACTTTACCGCCATGAGCTACTGCTATCAGACGGTGGATAGGACGGACTCCTTACAGTCGCAGGGTCTCACGGCACACGGCGTCCAAGTAGGGTAGAGCGTGCAGCTGATCGTAATCCAGGTCGTTGCCGGCGGCTTTAGCCTCGAGAATCTCGCACCGGAGCTTCGTTTGCACTTCCGGGTGCTCCGCAAGGAGCTGCAGTGTGCGCGTCAAGGCGCCCGATGTGGTGTCCATTGCCGCGAATATGATGGTCCTATGATTGATGTCATCGTAACCGAGTACAATGTTCTGCAGAGCCCTGGAGAGAACGTACGACATTTGGCCGAGGAGTTGATCTTCCGGTAGACGGTTTTCATCGGACGCCTTCATGTTCTCTCGCACTGTAAAAGCGATGACATAATAGGTCATTTACAAGAAGATAGAGCACGCACGCAAGATGCTCATGATGTCATTAGCATCGGTATCATCTCCGGCTTCGATCGCGGCCCTCTTCGCTCGAAATATCTCGAGGGAGCGTTCGTACAGCGTGTCCGTAATCTGGACAAGGCGCCGAATATTGGGTACGGGCAGATTTTCCATAATCCAACGGCGCATCCAGGCAGGTCCAAGATGTCCGAGATACGGCGAGACCTGCCTCAGCAGTAACACGTCCGGTAACGTCGAGTACAGTCTGTGCAGATGCTCCTTCAACCCAGACAGCGAATGCGATAAAAATGACACGCACACAAAGTACTTCACCGCTTCTGCGTACGCATCTTGAACATCTTCAGTCAGCGGGTCGAACGAATATCCAATCCCCGCTAAACCGATCAGCTCCAAAGCAGCACGGCTCATCCAGCCTAGAATCTCGACGTCCGTTCCCTCAGCGTGTGTCGGTACGCGAGAGGAGATAGCTTGCATGAGCTACGCGAGGTACATAGTTAGCCAGATAAAGAGTGGTGCAGGCAGCGATGCGGCAAACATTACCTTATCGGTAACACGGTAGAAGATGGGTACGACGGTACGGAGATGCTTGGCCGAGAACACCGGGTTGATCATCTTCCTCTGCTTCTTGTGCGTGTCTCCTACGTGGTTAAGGGGGCGATGAGCAGTCGCGTTTATACGATGCGAGGCAAATGTATCGAACCGGTGACTGAGAGGAGCCCCGGGCCCAACATCATGTGAATCGTCCTTTCGCAGGTGTTAAAACATATTGCGCTCCAAAACATAAAATAACATCTCTTACTGAGTATACCATTCCGGCTCGTCGTATTTTCCCTCATCCTTGACGATCTGATTCAATGCTAGCGGATCGAAGACATAGAGCCCTGAGGTCTACAAATGTTAAGTGTCAGCGCGAAGACGTTAGCGCAGCGCCGGCTCGCCGCTCAACCGCACATACACCGAACAGCCAATGCACTTTGACCACAGGTCCATATCTCTGCGCGATTTGTGCGTGAAAATCCCAAGCATGCCGACCAGACATCTGGAGGGCGTTTCCTGGGGGTGAATTGAGCTTTTTATATCGGTACGTCGCATATGGATGCATACCAAGTAGGAAGGACCCTCGCAGGGGACCCGGCACTTTATCCAACGGACACCGCGCAAGGCGAAATCTCTTCCACAGAAAGAATGTCATGCAGAGAATTGCAGCGTACAGTATCATGGTGGTAGTTGAGCGGGTGCAGCTTGATGGGGAAGGATGAATGGACGATGCAGCAAGATAAGGCTTTCAGGAAGGGCGTTCGGTGCGACTTTAAGTCGCCGGCGCATTCAAATTGAACGCGTCGGGAGCACACCGATGGACACGGGTCTAAGGTTCTTTGGCAGGCCTGGATGCTCTTCCGTACATTCGGAGCGTGGTTTAGTAGCCATACGAGATGTTAGTCGTAGGGCGTACCGCAGATGCGGGGAATAATCTGTTGATACATACAATACGGGAACCAGTCCTGTCCTTGTCGGCCCCTCTTCAATGGTGATACATTGGAGGGAGATTCTGGACTCACTTGCAAGTCATTGAGCAACTTTGTCCGAGCCGGCCCGCTCATTGCAACTGTTCCACGCTGTCGTTGCGCTATATAGCCGCCTTCGCGACTTCCGCGCTATCTGCGTCGTAAATGCGGTAGTCGGCATCTTTGAGACAAAACAGGGACTCGAGGACTTACTCTATCGCCTGACCGCGATGAAGGCCTGGTTCCTCAGGAGTGTACTATCGAAATGCAAAACTGGACCCTCAACGTACCAGCAAACGTTTCGCATGGCCATGGAGAGGTGTATGCAGCTACGATGTTCCTATTGAGGTTGAGCGCTGAGGATTCTTGGGATAAACAACTATGCTTACGAGAAGACCAGTCACTGCCTTCTTTCATTCTGTACAATTTCAAATGAAACAGACGCTACGATGCACTTCTTCCTTGATGGGGGAAAGAAACACTGACCGCTGTAGCTTGGAGTGTCCAACACTGGTAGCACATGCATACGGCCACTGCCAAAGACAAGACCTCTCCGACATTCCGTATTCAAGTAGGCCACTGGAGGCCAAGAGAGCCAGGAGGAGAACCGAGAGACCAGGTCTGCTGGTGCATGAGCGTAAACTCGAGAGCGGGGGCCGGGACTCGGAGAAGCCAGGCTCGGTCACTCAGTCCAACTAGCGCCCATGATGAAGCGTACCAGGCGCCCGAACGACCATGCGCTATCAGGATCTTTCGAAGTGATGCGGTATAAGGGCGGAGTTTTTTGTACCTAGACATATCACCGATCGCTGTGAATGTATATTTAACCTCCACCGTACCAGAGCTAATGCTCTACCACTTGCCTTCAAGAGTCCACAACGTACACCCTGCCGGACCGCGTCTAGCTCCTGCTGGGCTTTCTTCTGCGCGTCGGGATACATGACCATCGCCAGAAACATCGCTTGCGTGGAAAAGACGGACTGTAGTAAGGCATCTCAGAGAAGAGACAACACACTGGAAGCTAGGACTAAAAACCTACTGTATCCGCCCCGGCTGGAAGATGCGCTACATGTCAGCTCAGGAGGAGGCTAGAGTTCAAATGAGGTACTGACTGAGGTATGCGAGTCCGGCAATGTCCCTGAAGCACCCGTCATCCTGCGGGGACACATCCCCGTGCTCGCGCACCGCATTCTCCACCATGGTCGTGACCACAGAAGGGCCGGCAGTTCCTCGCGCCTAAAATCACTTCAGTCGCTGCACAAATCATACCGAGAGGTGGCATACGAAAGCGTCCATTGCGGCATCGTAAGGCACGTTCCGCGCGGCCGATACGACCTCCGACCACCGTAGCGCATCCCGCTTGAACCCAGCGCCAGGAAACCAAGAGGGGATATGCCTGAGGAACGGCAAGGATTCCACTGGGTATTGGCCCGGGATGGTGATCTTGCCGAAGACGTGCGTCGCCTTCTCGGCAAGGGAGACGTACGGGTCGTTGTGCTCGGCGATCGCGATTCCATATACCACGGACATAATCGTCTCACCGAACAACCTGCGAAGCAATGGTCTCAGACATTTGGATATAAAGCGCATGTATGTAGCAGCGGTCACGTACTGGCGGGAGAGAGACATGAAGTCTTCTGGGGTAGTAAGTAGCCTGTGCAGGAAGCGGCGGCATTGGCCCGAGTGCACTGGGCGATATTCCGGAATGACGCTTCGCTGGAAGAATGTGTGGAAGAGCCTGCGGCGCGTTCGCCATGCTTGGGTGTATCCCAGAACCGCGAATACCCACATATACCCGGTCCTAAATTCCGGAAGAGTCCTGTCAGGCCCGGGGGACTAATGATTCTATAGGCAGCCCAACTCACAGCTCAGCCATGACGACTCCGGGCCTGTCCGACGTGTTCGCAGAGCGACTTTCTAGAAGCCCTACAGCGGCCTCATACGAATTGAGTATGATCATGGGCTGGCCGAGGATGTTGAGATATGTCAGCTCGCCTGAGTCCAGAAATGATATTAGACCGAGGACACGGGGTAGTGATTATATTCCGCCCACCATATTTTTCTCCCAGTTCTCGCAAGGCAGGAGCGAGATGCTTCTTCGGCATGTCGAACAGATTTCCTATGAAGGGTAGCGGTCGAGGACCCGGAGGGAGAGGAAGCTTCGAGCGCACTCTGTGCGCCCAAAGAACCGCCGCTGCGACGAGAGCGAAACTCAGAGCAATCAGCATCGTTGGAACAGCGATGAGAGCCATGGGTGGGGTGTCGAACTGTAATCTGGAGGGAGTGATGGGAACAGTTTTAACGATTCGTTTCCCAGCGTTAAAAACTCGAACATGACGAACCTTACCCAGACCGAAGCAGCGTTCTTCTGTCGCCTGACTGCGAAGTGCTCGCGGGTTCCGGAGCGTGAGTTTTCGAAACGCCAAAATGGACCATCGGCATACAGACAAACGCCTGGTATGTCCATAGAAAGGTATATGCAGCCACGGCGCCCCTTCTGCCGCTTAGCACCCGGGAGCATTCGTAGAAGAGAGAACTACATAAACAGCGGTCAAAGTTTCTGCAGCCTGTGAACTGTGAGATAAGACAGCCCCTGAGATGAGTTTTTGGCTTGACATGTGACAGGAAACATGACCACTCGAGATTGGGGTGTCAAACACCGGTACAACTCTCTGGATTCGAATTCCAACCCGAAGCCTGTGCGAGCCGTCAGTGAAAGCTGGAGCTGAAGGGCGAACCTCTGGGAATTCACGTACCCGACTACGCAAATAAAGTCATCATCAGAGCGTACTCTCCCTAGCATGTTCCCATACAGCAGGCGCATTGAGGGCAACGAGGTTCAGTACATGAGCGTAAAATCGAGAGAGAGCCGCCCAGACACATAGCGGGCGCCTGTTGTGCGCTGTGTGTAATAGACGCCCATAGGACCACAAGGTGTGGCGCAAGAATCTCTCTCTAGGCGCTCTCCTTGTCGCCTCCGCCCGCCACATTCTTCCGGGAGCCCTTCAGAGTCTGGCAGTCCCATCACTCCTTGCGGAAGAGTATTCATCTTAGCCTCCGATTGTCGCAATCTTACGTTAGCGTCGAGCCTGCCGCTGTCATTTGACAACCTGAAGACGTTCGACTGGAAGGCAGTTCGATCTTCGTCGTTCGAAAACACGCCTCCCTAAACACGCCGAAGCTGCAGGTAAAGGGCATGCTTGCTATCTCCGAACAGGACTGCACGCGCTGCTAGGACCTCTCAAAGTGGAAATAAGAGCGGTGATTATTAGTTAGGCCTGGTCATCCGTCCGAGCTAGATCTAGTAACATCGTGAACGTCTAGTCAACCTCCAGCGCATCGTGTCATATCTACGGGGAACTCGACTTACCGTGTAGATTCTACAGCGTTTATATTTTCGCGTGAGCCGTCCTAACCTTCGCGCACTACTCCCACGTTCAGCCACAGCTCTGGCTTTGTGCTTTCGGCGCTGACGGTCGGGTACGAAATGCCGGAGAGGTTCCAGACGACGGGTTTCTCCGAGGGCGCGAACGTGAAGTTAGCAATCATCTCGGACAGGACGACCTCTGTATTCAAGGTGAGCATGAGCATAGAAGAACGATTTGGGCTCGCAAGTATCTACTCACTCATCTCAAGCTGCGAGAATGTGAAGCCGCTGCGAGTTCATAAGTGAGCATATCTGAGAACAACACGAGGCATCGAAGGCTTACATGCATGACCGTGCACCACCCAAGAACGTCATCCTGTACACGCGCATGAGCTTCAAGTAAGAGCATGTCGACGCGCTCATAAACCCCACACTTACAGGTTCGAGTATACCCCCGGGATGGCCGCGCTCTCCAGCGCCGCGGGAAGGGGCGCAAGCCACCTCTCAGGCTTCCACTCACCGGCGTCAGAGCCCCAGAGTGCCTCATTGCGGTTGCACCCGAGGACGCTGACGAAGATGTTGGTCCCGCAAGGCACTGCAACTTCATGGAGGAGCGTCCCGTCTGTTGCGCGGACGGGATGGGAGATCGGGAGGACGGTATCCTCCAATGCCCTGAACATGCCGTCAGACACAAAGAAGTCAGACGGAAGCGGAGGGCGGAGACGTACACTCGGATAGCCTGTGGACCTGGAGGATGGCTGAAACAAATGTCAGCTACCTAGGATCGTAGCCCGATATGAACACAGTTCCTCACAGTCGCAGCGTCTCACGACACACGGCGTCCAAGTACGACAGCGCGTGAAGCTGGTCGTAGTTGAGGTGTCCGCCGGCAGCGAGCTTCGCGTCGGCAATCTCGCGCCGCAATTTTGTTTGCACCTCCGGGTTCTCCGCAAGGAGCTGCAGCGTGCGCGACATGGCGTTTGACGTAGTGTCCATCGCGGCGAAGATGATAGTCCTGCCATTAGCGTCATTTACATGCAGCGCGTTTCAGAGGTACAAGGAAAACCGTACGACATCTAGCCCAGGAGCTGGTCCTCCGGGAGCTGGTCATCACCTGACGCCTCCATGTTCGCTCGGACTATGCAAGGTGACAAAGGTGACACGGAGGAAATATACAGAAGAAATAACCGCACGTACGCAGGATGCTCATGATGTCCTTCGCATCGGTATCTTCGCCCGCTTCGAGCGCAGCCTTCTTCGTTCGGAAGATCTCCAGGGAACGTTCGTACAGAGTATCTGTAATCTGGACAGTACGCCGCACGTTGCGCACGGGTACCATCTCCATGACCCAGCGATGAAGCCAGGCCGGGCCAAGTCGCTCTAGGAATGGCGCCAACTGCCGGAGGAGTAGGATCTCAGAGGCGGTCGTGACTGGTCTGTGCAAAGACAGGTAAAGTCTCAGCCCCCGCAGAAACATCCAGAACGGTGATACGCACGCAAAGTTCTTCACCGCATCGGCGTATGCATCTGGTTTATCTTCGGTCAACGGGTCGAACGAGTAGCCAATCCCGGCTTGACCGATCAATTCCAGCGCGGCACGGCTCATCCAGCCTAGGACGTCGACGTTCGTTCCCTTAGCGTGCGTCGGCACACGAGAAGAGATGGCTTCTATGAGCTGCATGTTCCACATGAATCAACAACGAAGATAATATATGCGGCGGCGATGCGGAAGGTCGTACCTTGTCGGTGACCCGGTAGAAGATAGGCACGACGGTGCGGAGATGCTTGGCTGAAAATACTGGGGTGAGCATCTTCCGTTGCCTCTTGTGCGTGTCTCCTACGCAGCCGGACGTGACGGTGGTCAGCAGTCGCAATGACCTGTAGAATATTGCATGTCGTACCCGCGACAGAGAGAATCCCCGGGCCCAGCATCATGTGGTTGGTCCTTTCAAGTTGGCAGGGTTAGAACGTGCCGTATGTGAGAGCGGGACCTAAATGCATCACTCACTCGATATACCAGGAGGGCTCGTCGTACTTTGCCGTGTCTTTGATGACATGGCTCATTGCCAGCGGGTCAAAGATATACAGCCCTGAGGTCTACAAAGACTATCAGTGTGAACGCAGCAGCGCCAGAACACGACCGAGCCTCAGGCTTCAAGAAATGGGACATACACCGAACAGCCAATGTATTTTGATCACAGGTCCGTACTTCTGCGCGATACTTGCATGAAAATCCCAGCCCTGTCTGTCAGATAGCTGGAGCGCGTTGCCTGAAAGAAAGGTAAGCTATACTCATCGCATTCAGTACGCAGCACAAAATAGAGACATACCCAATAGGAAGGACCCTGATGGAGGTCCAGGTACTTTGTCCAACGAGAATCGCGGAGTACGCAGCCTCCTCCACATGAAGATGGCCGCACAGAGAAGCGCAGCATACAGTATCATGGCGGGAGTTAAGCAGCAGACGAGTCCTGCAGAAGCTGGCGAGTATAAGTGACACCAAAGACGCTCTTATAATGCGGAGCCCTTGGGGAAACTCGGGAGCTTGCTGGGCACGGGTCCCAGAACTCTATGCGGCTTCCTCCCATGATGGTCCCTCGGCTGTGTGCACTTTGCAAATCCTGCAGGCGGATCTGATTGGACACCTTACCCGTCGACGTGCAGATGGATCCTGTGGCTGCGCAGCGCTCAGAGGTTACTCGGACGCGTTTCGAGAACCACCAACGCCCATTTGCCATGGTGATAGTGAAACGGGATTACTTCATTGCATATGCACTGCGAGCGGGCGAGCTCGCGAGTCGCTAGCCTAGTCCTCCCGAAGACGGCGCACCCGCAGCCACATCTCAGCCTTCGTACTCTCCTTGCTGACCGACGGATACGTTATCCCGGAGAGGTTCCACACCACGGGCGTGTCAGAGGACTCGAAGGAGAAGTTCGCAATCAGCTCGGAGACGACGACCTCTGCACCCGCCCAGTTAGCGCTACAATCAATTTAAGAAAGCTGAGATACATACTCATCTCTAGCTGTGAAAACGTGAAACCACTGGGAGCATGATCGGTGAGTGTGTGAATGAGAACAAAGAACATGGGACTACTTACATGCATGACCGCCCGCCGCCCAAGAACGTCATCCTGCACACATGCATCAGCATACTCCCACTCAGCGACTCGGGGGACTACCACTCACAGGTTCGAGTACACCCCCGGGATCGCCGCGCTCTCTACAGCCGCGGGCAGGGGCTTCAGCCACCGCTCTGGTTTCCACTCGTGCGCGTCGGGGCCCCAAAGTTCCTCGGTGCGGTTGCATGCCCAGATGGCGAGGAAGAGATTCGTCCCCTTGGGGATGGTGAGTTCGGACATGAGCGTCCCGTCTGTTCCGCGGACGGGCTGCGAGAGTGGGAGAACCGTATCTTTCGACGCCCTGCGGAAAAATGTCAGCATGACTTTCTCCTGGATGTATGAGAGGAGAGAAGGGGGCACATACGAGCGGAACGTCTGTACACCTGCGGGAGCGCTGAAAGAAATCGTTCAGATCAGACACAGAGCACGATCGAAGCAATACGGCGACTTACATCCGCAGCGTCTCGCGGCATACCGCATCCAGGTATGGCAGTGCATGTAACTGGTCGTAGTCCATTTGGCCATGAGCCTTCGCTTCGAGAACCTCCCGACGAAGCTTGGCCTGGACTTCCGGGTGTTCCGCCAAGAGATGAAGAATGCGAGCCATGGAGTTCGAGGTCGTGTCCATCGCTGCGAAGATGATCGACCTGCATGAGGAGTTGTCGTCATTCACTGCAACACTTTTTCTGCGTCGAAGTATACGTACGACATCTGGCCCAGGAGCTGATCTTCAGGAAGCCTGTCTTCCTCAGACGCGTTCATATTGGCCCGGACTACACACATCCACGATCTGCTTGAGCACATCCGGAGAGCAGGGAGAATAACCGGTGCTTACCCAGAATGCTCATGATGTCCATCGCGTCCGCGTCTCCGCCAGCCTCAATCACCGCCTTCTTCGCGCGGAATATCTCGAGCGAGCGCTCATGCAGCGTGTCCGAGATCTCCGCAAGGCGCCGAACATCAGCAAGGGGAAATCGTTGAACAACCCAGCGTCGGAGCCAGCCCGGTCCAGCGTGCCTAAGCACGGGCACCATCTGCCGGAGCATCACCACCTGTGGTGAGGTCGCTATCGGTCTGCACAGGTGACGTGTAAGCGTTAGATATGGACAAGCTTCCAGGCATGCACTGACGCGTAGTTCTTGACCGCCTCTGTATAGGCATCTGGCACGTCCTCCGTCAGAGGGTCGAACGAACACCCGATCCCGGATTGGCCGATCAGCTCGAGCGCGGCGCGCCCCATCCAGCTCAAGACGTCAACTTCTGCCGCCTGGGGACCTGCTGGCACACGGGCGGAGATGGCGTCTACGAGCTAGGGGCAGCAAATCGTGTGCTTGAGCGGCCGAGCAGAATTCTGATGACGAGGCAAGCCTTACCTTGTCGACGACCTGGTAGAAGACGGGCACAGCGCTGCGTAGGTGCTTGGCCGAAAAGACCGGGGTGAGCATCTTCCGCTGCCTGCGATGCGTGTCACCTGTACAGGTGTCCGGTGAGTTCCATCCAAGATGAAGGAGAGGATGAGACTGCGCTGAATTGTAGTACCTTCGACGGACAAAATCCCGGGGCCGAGCATTATACTATTGCTCCTAAGGCAGACCTTAGCGTACGTCTTTGTGAGGGGACTAGGTGCTTACTGTATGTACCAAGAAGGCTCCTCGTAGGTTGAGATGTCTTTCACAATGTGCTGCAAAGCCAAAGGGTCGTAGACGTAGAGGGCTGGGGCCTAACGCGGACGTCAGTGGCAAGCCTGTGGCGTTGGACCCAGCATCGAGAATACACACGCCGAAAAGCCAGTGCAGCTTGGTGACTGAGCCGTATGTGCGCATGAGTCGCTCGTGAAACCCCCACCCATGTCTGTCCATCAGTTCTAGCGCATTGCCTACGCAGACGATCAGAACCTACGTCGAAATACGAAAAGCAGCAACATACCTGCGAAGAACGAAGCCGCCGGAGGTCCAGGTAGCTTCTCCAGCGACGACCGCACGCTGCGTCGAGTCTTCCACGCCAAAAAAGCCACACACAGCAGCACAGCGTAGAGTATCATGGCAGTGGTATGGGGATGGACTCGTGCCGAGGAGGGATGTCTGATATATGTAGCAACGGGTGCCAAGCGTAGGTGGCGCGTAGGAGGTCTAACGCGATACACGAGACCCTCCTTCTCCGCTTGCTGCTCCCCCGCGCTGATAGGACGTGGGACGGTGTATCGAGACCGGTCGCACTGCTTCGGCGTCTTTCTGTGGGACGATCCCGCATGAGAGCGCAGTGCATTGTCCAGTTTGAACCATGGAGACCGGCAGTAGTATCGCTGTTAGTTGAGGCTTCTGAGCGTGGTGCAGGCGTGGTGGTCGAAGCTGTCGTTTGTAGCGCCTTGTTCACCTAACCGCAGGATGATCATTCCGGAGCTGCGAAGGCCTGGAGTTGCGGGGAGCTGGATGAACAGCATACCGGTCACCCGAGTGAGCCAAGTGAATTTGAAACATGATGCTGAGCAACGTGAACACGCTATGAGCACCACCACAGAGCTTTGCGCAGCATGCAGGGACGTACGGTTAACTGCGAGTCGTACATGACCGGGTTTAGGGAGGGTGGCATTCCAAGTCCGCTTTCCCCGGCGGTTCATGTGGACCGCCGAGAACCGCCGGTGAGGTGGTGATGGCTGTCCAATCACTGCGTAACTTCATAGAGACGCAAGTTCTGCTGTTCTTTGTCCATTCCAGCGAGTATAAAATGTACGAGTGGACCCCTGACAATCATACCATAGGCCTTTTCACTCGTCCGGACCAAACTCGGCATCCCGGACGGGTATGCCATACATAATCCGGACCAGCTGGGGCCTCCGAGGAAAAACATGCCATAGTCTGAGTCGGTGTCCGGACCAGTAGTGAGGGGCTCCAAAGGAGGCCTTATGCGGCTGTGTTCCCGACGCATGGCGGCGGAGATCTAGCACCTACACAGCGGCTTGTTGAGTCTGGGATTGTTTCCCTGGGATTCGTCAAGGGTCCGGTCAGCGTATCAGAGCGAAAACGGGCCTCTGGGAAATGTTAGCCATTTGATCACATTTTGAGGGACTTTTCGAGCCCTCATACGCCGTCCGGACCAGGGAGACGTCGCCGAGGTGTCCAGACCAACTGGTCCCAAAAGGGGACCGCCAGGAAAAGGCCTCTAGTAGGATTATCAGGGTTCCTTGTACGAGTCGAAAACGCATTGTGGAGAGAGAGTAGGGCTTTGATCTGTTGTGGATCTGTTCATGTTGCGGAAGGAGGATCCAGATATCTAGGAGGCGCCCATTTCGATGATGCCCTCACGCTTGGGCGCCTATTAAACGCATGTCTCCGACCGACAACGCCCACGCCCCCGGACCCTCCGAACGCGACCTCTTCCTCCGTCTCCACACCATCGACAAGATGGTTCGCGTCAACGAGGAGACCGAACGCAGGCTACAGCGCATCGCCGAACGCCGCCGAATTCCCCCCGTCCCCGACCTGCGCTTCGAGTACTCCTACGTCCGGAGTGTCGCGCCGTACGTCCACATCGAACAAATGTCTTCGGAACAAGCGAGCATACCCACTAGCGAGAAGGGGAAGGAGAAGGCTGTAGAGGGAGTAGATGCGGTAGAGCCTACGACGGGTGCAACACGGCAGGTGACGGACGTCGTGCGTGTAGACTGGGGGCGGATAGTGTGGATTACGACGCGGGACCAGGTCATAAGCCCTCTCGTGCAGGGCGCGCTATGGTGCGTACTTTCCGCTCTCCTCCTTCCCCCGAGCTCAATGAACGGCAACGCAAACAGGGGTGTCGCCAGCCACTTCTTGCGCCCGCTTGGCGCGGTCCTGGGCTTGCACTTCCGTGCGTGGTGGGCACGGGGCGCGACGAGGAGCAAGGACGCGCCCGAGATCGAGGGCAACGGCGTGCAGTGGCTCAGGAACTGGATGGCCTCTATCCTCACACCAACTGTACCCTCCTACGCCGGCTCTGCGCGCCTTCATTGAATGATCTTGCTGGACTGGAACCCGCTCCCTTGGCCCTTCTCTGTCATTCCACCTCTGAACGCCCCCCTCTTCCATCGCAGCGCCTTCTGACATCATGTGTTCAGTGCATATGGACGGCTGAGGATATGCCGCGGCCGGGATGGGCAGTTGGCAGCTAAGCAAGAGCTGGCATGATGTGGCCGGCCGGCCGGTACCACCAGCGCGCTACGCCCAAGCTGCGACGCATTCCCCACCCATCGCACGCGGTACACACGCACCCCCGGAGATTTTGGCAGGGCGACTAGCCGTCGATCTCAGCGGTGTCGCGCTGAGCTGCGGAGGCCATTCTGGATGATAGTTCTTGGTTTCACATATTGCACGACAAGCAGCACTGAGGAGTAAGGGACACTTGCATGGAGAGCTTGTACCTGAGCCTCGGTGCCGACCGCTCACTTGTTCAAAGAAGTATTCTGAGTGCTTAATTGAGGTATTCCACCGCTGTGGCGCGAAGTGTCGGCGTTCAATGTACATGCGAGAATTGTCACAAACAGTACGTACTGTGGAAGCTGGGAACCCGCTCCGCGCTCACGTACAGGCGCTAGAGCGCCTCACTGGTTCCCCCACTGGTTCCTCCACAGTGATAGGCTCTAGGACTGCCTGTTTAAGGAACCGATGTCATGCTAGCTACCTTCGCGACCCTCACACTATCATTACTTCTCGAGAAATACGCTGATTCAGAATCCTCAATGACTCAGTTTGAACTCCGCCCTCCTCTGTATTCCAGTAACACGCACCAATGCAATCGCGCGAAATCTTCATACGCTCGCAGAATATCCTTTCTATCTCTAGCTGAGGCATCGCCGCTCAAAGCTCGCTTCGCACGTCATGGTCACGTCGTATCAGCGCTTCCGTCTGCGCCGATCGCGGCGTGATCCTGCATTCGAACTTCTCCGGATAACTGCGCAGAAGTTTCAGCACCTCGCAACTAACAAAATGCAAACGGCAGCCTTACGACAGGAAGGAGTCCAAATTGATGTTGGGCGTGACGTGCGCCGGCTTCCCATCTCGCCCGAGCGGAGGCTCGATGTTGAAGACATGCAGCACAGAGGCGACGGTGATGAAGAGCGCGTCATTTGCGAAGTGACGTCCAGGGCAGATCCTTGACAGCGGTAAATATCAGTTCCGCGAGAGCGAGATAAGGTGGCCATGACACACCTGCGGCCGAAGCCAAACTGATACTTCTCAGGGTCTCTGACGCCGGAGCTGGACTTGCTGTCTTTCATGTACCGTTCCGGCACGAACACATCGGGCTCCGTGTAAACTTGTGGGTCGCGCGACATAGCCCTGAAGATGCGAAGCTGAGACTAGAGTGTTCACAGCCCATACACGTGGGAGGACGTACCATGCATTCGGGACGAGGATGGTGCCTGCCGGGATCCGGTAGCCCTTGTACTCGTCCTCTTCCATCACGCGGTGGGAGACGCCGAGCGGTACGACGCTGTGCCACCGTATGACCTCCTTCACGACGGCGTTGATGTACGGAAGGGAGTCCCTGTCGGAGAACTCTGGGAGGCGGTCGGGGCCAATCACCATGTCGAGCTCCTGCTGGGCCTTCCTTTGCACGTCTGGATGCGTGACCATCGCCAAAAACATCGCTTGGATGGCAAAAAGGGACTGTATGCGCTACCTCAGCATCGTCCGGATGACATCGGAGCTCGAGAAAAACCCACAGTGTCTGCACCGGCTACCAGATGCGCACTGAGTCAGCCACGAACCCAGGTAATACTCGAATGATGTACTTACTGAGGTATGCTAGCCCTGCGACGTCTCGGAAGCATTCGTCATCCTCGGGGGACACATGCTCCTGCTCGCGCGTGGCGTTCTCCAGGCAAGATGTTACTACCGAAGGGCGCGCAGCCCCTCGAGTCTATAGACACATTTAGCTCCAAAGTGTCTCAGTGTAAGAGGAAGAGGCGGCGTACGAAAGCGTCGACAGCAACGTCGTAAGGCGCATCTCGTGAGGCCCTCACGACCTTCGACCACCGTTTGGCCTGCCGCTTGAACCCGGCGCCAGGGAACCAAGAGGGGATGTGCTTCAGGAACGGCAGGGATTCCACCAGGTATTGTCCCGGGACGACGATACTGCTGAAGACGTCCACGGCCTTCAAGGCGAGCGAAACATATGGGTCGTCGTGATCGGCAACTGTAATACCATATACGACGTCCATGATCGTGGCGCTGAACACGCTGAGAATAACATTAAATATCCGTGTGGTTGATTCTAGCAGAGAAGCGGGAACATACTGGCGGGCAAGAGGCATGAAGTCCTGCGGCGTAGCAAGTAGTCGCTGTAGGAAACGCCGGCACTCGCGAACGTGCACGGGGTGGTACTTGGGAATCGCGCTAGGCTGGAAGAATGTGTGGAAGAGGCGGCGGCGAACCCGCCATGCTTGATTGTATCCTATTATGGCGAACTCCCACATATATCCAGTCCTGAGATCACGGAGCGTTTTATTTGACCCTGCGACGCATCAATGAAGTAGAACGATGCAACTCACAGCTCGGCCATGACGATTTGCGGCCTGTCCGAGGTGTTGGCGGAGCGGCCTTCGAGAAGACCGACGGCAGCCTCGTACGAGTTTAGAATAATCATCGGTTGGCCCAGCATGTTGAGATATGTGAGCTCCCCTGCGTTGAATGGTATGTCAGCTAAGATGAGTTATGTCAGGATTTAGGCGAGGCTTACCATATTTGCCTCCTAATTCTCGCAGGGCCGGCCCAATACGCTTCGTTGGCATGTCGAACACATTACCTATGAAGGGCAGCGGTTTTGGACCTGGAGGGAGAGGAAGTGCAGAGCCGGTTGTGCGCTTCCACAGCATCGTTGCTGAGAGAAGAGCGAGCACCAGAAGCACAGTTAACATTGTGGGCTTGCGACGAGAGAGATGAGTGAGTAAGAAAGTCAGAATCTGCAGCACACAACGCAGGGGGTTTCAATATATATCTCAAAGCGTCAAAGGCTTGGATATGACGAACCTTGACCAACGTTTTCTGTCGTCTGACCGTGACGTGTACGTGATGTCCGGAGTATGAGCTGCACATAGACGCTAGACATGGGTCTCCGGTCTGCGGACAACCACACAGGGACTACGGGAAGTCAAAAGCAACGCATTGACTCATCCGCGCGACTGAGAAGCACTCAGATTTCTCGTAGCTCCTGCGCATCGTAGGGGTGGATCTCCATATTTTCCGGTGGGACATGCAGCAGCTATGAGACAACATAGCCATTCAGCCTGAGGGGCGTTTCGGTTTGAGGTCAAGCTCTGTAGATCTTGACCTTGAGCTCCGGGTCAAGTTGGTTTCCAGTTATATAAGTACGACTTAGCAGTTGCTTGCGGTTTGAAGGTAAAACGTCGCGGAGTCCTTTGTAGACGGGAATACCAAAAGCCCAAAGCGTGCCAGTCACAAGACGATTCTGCGTGGGGATGGATTGTCGGGCAACCGAGAGTGTGTGAGCGGGATGGAGCAAAGTCGACGTTAGAAGCAAAAAGCACCAAGGGCCAATGGGCGCTAAATAGTTCGTTCTTGCAAACAACGGCATCCGGGCAACTCGGACGGCCAGATGGTACTGAATATTCGTGCATAGCCTGAGCCACACTACTTGCTGGCGATAAAGACGGGTCATGGCAAACATTAGCTCCGAGTCGTGAATGAGTGCATACAAATAGCAGGAAACCTCTGACGCTACAGATATAGAAAGTCCAAAGTCCAAACAGTGGAGAAGAAAGCGTGAAACCATTGCAACGTCAGCATCAACCTAGCGAAACACCACCCATCATGAACGCCTCCACTCCCAGCCCGGCGTCCCGATCACCATCCGCTCGTGGATTGGTGGTGTTGCGGGGAAGCGAGGCTACCGCCGTAGAAGACTATCGATGGGCGTCAGCTAGGCACAAGCACAACACAGAAGAAACGTATACTTACTGTACTTCGAGACGTATTTGACCGATATGTCCGGAGTCTGACCCGACACGCACTGCAGACACGAGCACAATCAGCCAGCCGCCCACCACCCACGCAAAGCAAAATGCAACGTACCGAAGACGGGGGCTGCCCGCCCACCGTGTCGAAGCGGAACACCTCGCTCGCAATCTCGCCCTGAATCCCCGTGACATCCAGCCACGCAACATCGCGCGTCGAGTTCGTCGGCGCCGGCAGCGTGCCCTTGCCCTTCGCGATGATGTACGCGTTCTGGTTTCCCTGGAACGCGCCCGAGGACGTGAAGTCCCACTTCGGGCTGACGCCCTGGCCCGTGGTCGGGTTCGTGACGAAATAGTGCTGCGCGAGCACCTCTGGGGGGTTCACGAGGTGCAGGAGGTCGATGACCGCCTGGATCGGGTACGGGATGAGGTTCGTCCACGCGTTGAAGAGGTCGTTCTGGAGCGTCGCGAACGAGGGCTGGGAGACGATGCAGGAGACGTCTATGAGCTCCGCGACCGCGCCCGTGCTCCTGTATGCGCACGCGAGGTAAGCGATAGTCAGAAAAGAGGGGGAGCGGAAGGGACGTACGTGAAGTTGTTCGAGGCAGAGCAAGTGTAGTTCTGCACGCCGAATGCGAGCCCGATGAAGTTGGGCGGGACGGTCGGCGCGACGAGCTGTGTCTGCCCGCTCGGGAACGCAGGCACGAACGTGTCGATCGAGCAGCCCGCGAGCTGGAAGGACGGCTTCCCGTACAGCCAGGACCACGACGAGGTGAGCTGGGCGATCGCCGTAGCGAAGAGGGCGTTCACGATTGCGACCATTGTGGAGGGAATAGGGGCGTTGAAAGGTGGGTAGGTCGGAAGATGAAGAAAGAAAGGAAAACGGGACGGGTCGTGAAGAGGAAGGGGAAGAGAGAGCAGGAAGCTGAGGGATCGAGGGCGGCCCTCGAGGCAGCTCTTATAGCACCGACGGCATGAGTGCAGGGCGGACCGCGTACTGCAGGGGCGGCTTGCAAGCGGCCTGTTTCAGATCAACATGTGCGCGACCAGTGAGCTTGCCCCGGAGGGACTGGTCATTGGCCACCTTGTTCGGCACGCCCGGGGGCGTACACTGGCTTACAATAACGTGTTTTACTTAGCGCGCCGCGCTGGGCTCCGATTGTCGAGACGGGGCAGCGGCTCACCTAATCAAATTGGGCGGACGGGCGGCGTGCCTGAGCTTACCTCCGGACGCGACGCAGACGCGACTCCCGCCGTGTCTACGCCGGCTGAGGAAGCGGTGTCGTCTTCCTCAGCGTGTGCCCAAGTGACTTCTGGTACCGCCGCTTGTCTTGGCATAGACAGGTGCGCTCAAGCCATGTGCAGGACATACACTTCACGCCCGAGAATTCGGCGGATTCGTAGTGAGAGGTGCTGCCTTGCCCAACCCGATCGGCGAGCGTTCGTTTGCTCGACGTTGAATATCAAACACGCGACGGGCGCCCCGGAGGAGGCGCGCACCGCATTTCTTTCGGGTGTGCACCGCCATCCGCCCGTGGCGCTCAGACTGAGATGCGTGGCAGCAGCAGCCAACCACAACGAGTTTTGGATGATGTAAATTTGGCGAGCGCATCCGAGGCGAGCGCAGAGCTATTCCTAGAACATGACGGGCGATCAGGGGATCCGTTGCAGGTGCAGAAGTTGTCGGGACTCACAGAGAAGCGGAATCGGTGCACCGCGCGCTGGCGCCAAGTTCGCGCGTCGGTGGTACGTCGGTATGGATGTTGCACAACTGTCGGCGTTGTAGCGGTGTTAGGGAGTGAGAGACGGCTATGTCGACCTCTGCGCTGCCGGGGATGTTCACGACTTGCTGCTTCTGCGACCGGTGATATTTGCACATGTGTATGCATGTACTTACGGGGCAAGGCGTTCCATGACCCAAGTCTAGGATCCGCCCCTAGCCTCATGCTATAGAATGCGGCCAATTCATGAGGTGTCTTCGCAATACAGTCTGTATACAGGACGCGAAGACAAACCCATCTTGGCATACTACAAACCCCGGTCAGCACGTCTTACAACATTGAGCATCGCGTGAGGGATTCTCACCGGCGAGGCTCGGTATGCTGCGGTGCATATACGCTACTCAGCCTTTCTCAGGCTGGGCACGTCGGGCAGAGTGGGTTTCGCGGCGGGCACTGCTCCTCAGAGGTCGTGGTCGGCACGAAACAAGGAAACCGCTTGCGCATGCACTCTGAAACTGCCGCAACATAACGGGGACCCCGGAGAACGGCTCGGGCGGGACAGTGATCCGGAGCGGTTCCGGGGTCCCTACGCCTTCGCTTCCGGATCCGGTAGAGTGAGTGGGGCTTGCTCTGCACGACGAGCACAGCGATCCTCGAAATGCTGCAGATAGCTCGACTATGGCTTCCAACCCTACTCCTTTCGCTCATCTATGTTTCTCTCTCTCAGCCTGCCCAGAAAGATCTCGCTTTGCTCGCCCACGCCCCTCTGTTTGACTCAGAGAACATACTTCTTCTAACAGCACATCCTGACGACGAGTGCATGTTCTTTGCACCCACACTTTTAGCGCTTCTTGACGACACTGGGATGTACAACCGTCCCAAGATCCACTCATTATGCCTGTCTGTCGGCAACGCGGATGGTCTTGGAGACGTGCGCAGGCTTGAGCTTGAGCGGAGCCTGGATGTCCTCGGGATCGAGGACGGACGGAGATGGGTTGTTGACAGACCGTGAGTCATTTTCTCTTATTCTGTGGTACGTAACGGACGTGTCGAATGCGTACTGCTTTAGCAATGACACGACGACATTGGCATCAAGGATAGCCCTCGGGGCAGCTGCTGTTCAAAGTCTTCTAGCTTGTCAGACTGCGGGGTGCTTGACTTGGAGACTGTTGTCTTCGGATCTCCTAGTGTTTCCCTTGGCTTTACGTAGAAGCTCTCCGTCTCGTCTTGCGTGGAAGCATGTCAAGGTCTACACTTGCCTCAGACGTCGGTCACGCCAAGGTATGTGCAGCTCAAGACACTGCGAATACCACCCAGACCCAGGATTTACTGTTATGCATCGCGCAGACCGCAGCCCAATACATCTACATGTGTATAATCGTAGACGTGTGCACCGAGTGATTCAACCGACGCGTCGGATTACGGTGCGGGTGTCATACATCAGTTCGGCGGAAAGTCTACATTGATATCTCGAGAATGTAAGAACTGAACGGCATTGTTTTGTCCAGAGACCTCCAAGACAACTTTACAACCGAATGGGATCCCCAGACGATAGCCAGCGTGCTCCGACCATACGTTCTCGAGAATCGTATATCCACCGTACGCCATTCCTCCCTCCGTGTACACATCCTATCTAACACGGATTCTGCTGCTGCCAGATCCTCACCTTCGACCACCAAGGCATCTCCTCACACCCGAACCACATCTCCCTCCCCAAAGGCGCCGCGCATCTCCTCAGTACCCTCCCCTCCAACTCACGCCCGCGCCTCTTCTCGCTCATCACCGTTCCCCTGCATTCCAAATACCTCGGACCCACCGCTCCCATCGCCGCCAAACTCGCGCTCATGCTCTCCGGCGCGGGCGGGGCGCCGGTCGCGGTGTCGGGCTGGGATGGGTACATGCGCGCGCTGCAGGCGATGATGCAGCACCGCTCGCAACTGGTCTGGTTCCGCTGGCTGTACGTCTCGTTCTCGCGGTACATGTGGGTGAACGAGTGGGCGGAGGTGCCGGTCGGGGACGCGCGCGCGAGTGTATAGAGACAGATACGTGAGAGCAGGTGTCTCTTTCAGCTTTGACCAGTGACGCTCACAGGATATTACAGTGATACCACTATTTGACAAATGGATATGTGTTTAGATGCTCGAATCCAAAGCAAAGTCCGGTATTAGATCGTCGTCAGAATGGTTCTAATCCTTCGTTAATGTTTCAGTTCTTCAGGGACGTCATCGAACCCAAACCCGGTCGAGAACGCTATCTCGCACAACTGTCCCCCTGCGCACCCCACTCGCTCTCCCCGAACTTCCTTGCCGCCGTTCATTGCTTCGGGGGCTGGAACATCGCACTGTCCCGTGCGTGGCACCCCTCGAATCGCAAGGTACTAGGCGCCCCTGAAGGAACGCTGGCGGATCCTGTGCTCGCCGCTGTTGCTTCGTTGGCACTTCACTTTGCTTACGCTCGTACGCTCTCGCTTCAGTCAGTTTTTCGACGATATATCACGCACAACGACATCTTGTGACCTGCGTACCTTGACTACTCAGCGATCTAGTCCTACTATGTTTCTCGAGGGCTTGCATCTACAAATTCGACGATCAATGTTGTGCTGGCAACGTCAAGACAGATACCACCCAGCTTGACTCCGGCATCGGATTTTACTTGCAGCTGCCACACGAGGCTGGACACCACGCATCCAAGCTGTAGGAAGTCTCGGTGCCTCTCAGCCACAGACGAATGCTCAGTGTTCAGTAATACCGGCTGCAAAGATGAATTGTCTCCGGTCCCATTGCACTTCTGCCGTATACCTGTGCTCTGAATCTAGCCTCTCAATCAAGCTCATGCGGGAAAATTTGACGTACGCATCGCGGTCAGGCGACCCAATACTGAGTTCACTCCCACTTCGACTGAGGTTCGTCACTTTCATGATTTGGCGCTTGGAGATGCAAGGTTATAACCCCGATCCCTTGTCTGCTACAGATCCGCACCTAGTACCGATCCATGGCTTTCATTACTGCCCAGACGATGCAGACCGCCCTTCTCGTCGTCGCTCTCACCCTAGCAATGGTGCTATGGAAGCGCAAAGCCAAAGCAGGTCTTCCTCTCCCCCCAGGCCCGAGACCGCTGCCCTTCATAGGTAACCTATTCGATATGCCAACGAAGCATATCGCGCCGGCCCTACGAGAAATCGGAAGCCGATATGGTAGGTCCCATCTAGACTCCAGGCACTTGGCTTGGCCCCTCTGACGCTACCACTCGACATAGGCGAACTGACGTACCTCAACATGCTGGGCCAGCCGATCATTATCTTGAACTCGTACGAAGCCGCTATCGGACTTCTAGAGGGTCGTTCGGCGAACACCTCGGACCGGCCGAGACTCGTCATGGCCGAACTGTAAGTTGTACTGTTCGTGGAGGCGTGACGGCAGCGTCTCACGGACCACTGCCTGACCGTAGAACCGGGTATATGTACGAGTTTGCTGTCCAAGGCTACACACAAGAATGGCGGATACGCCGCCGACTCTTCCACACTTTCTTCCAGCCCAGCGCGATTCCTCAGTATCATCCCGTGCACGTTCGCGAATGTCAGCGCTTCCGTCAACGGCTGCTCGCCACGCCCGAGGAATTCCTGTCTCTCGCTCGCCAGTACGTTTTCGCATTCTCCCAGAATCTAGCCTACGAGCATCTGAGCCCTTTACCAGCGTCTTTAGCGCGACAATCATGGACGTCGTGTATGGGATCACTGTTACCGAGCGCGACGACCCTTATGTTTCGCTCGCGCAGAAGGCGACGATCATCTTCAGTAGAATTGTCGTCCCGGGACAGTACCTGGTGGAAGTACTCCCGTTTCTCAAGCACGTTCCCTCCCAGCTTCCCGGCGCAGGCTTCAAGCGGCAGGCAAAACAGTGGTCGAAGACTATATCGGCTGCACGAAATACCGCTTACGATGCCACCCTCGACGCTTTTGTATGTCGCTTTTCATGTTCAGCAGCATCATATCTCACTGGCTTCTCAGGATCAGGGGGCTGCCCGTCCTTCGATAGTCACATCACTTGTGGAGAACGCTATGTCTGACCATGGGAAGGTGTCCCCGCAAGATGACGAATATTTCAGAGACGTCACAGGGCTAGCGTATTTGAGTGAGTGAACTGTCGCAGCTCAAACTGACCTCTCAATTGACTCCGCGCGCATCTGATAGCCGGCGCAGACACAGTCGGTGCCACTCACGCTCCACTCACAATCAGAAAATACTGAGGTACCGCATATAATAGTCCCTATATGCTACGCAGGCGATGTTCCTGGCGATGGTTTTGAATCCGGACGTGCAGAAGAAGGCCCAGCAGGAGCTGGACACGGTGGTCGGTCCAGACTGCTTCCCAGATTTCTCCGACAGGGACGCCCTTCCGTACATCAACGCCGTCGTAAAGGAAATAATTCGGTGGCACAGCGTCCTGCCACTTGGGGTGTCCCATAGGGCGATGGAAGAGGACGAGTACAAGGGCTTCCGGATCCCGGCGGGCACTATCCTCGTTCCGAATGCATGGTAGTTGCCTTCGTGCATGGATCAGGATTACACCTTGGGCTAAGCTCTACGTCGTCATCAGGGCGATGTCGCGCGACGATCAAGCATACCCGGAGCCTGACGCGTTTATTCCAGAACGGTTCATGAAGGATGGGACGTATGGCTCCGATATCAGGGATCCAGAGACGTATCAGTTTGGATTCGGCCGCAGGTGTGTCTTAGTCACCGTGTCTCGCTTTGGCAGAACTAACGACCTCTGTCAAGAATCTGCCCCGGACGGCACTTCGCGAACGACGCGCTCTTCATCACCGTCGCCTCCGTGTTGCACGTCTTTAACATCGAGCCTCCCCTCGGGCCAGACGGAGAACCATTGCAGATCGTTCCCCACATCAATTTGGACTCTTTCCTGTCGTATGCATGCTGTGCATCTTCTACCGACCGCAATCCACTGAAAAATTCCGCCCAGGTACCCTGAAAAGTTCGAATGTAGGATCACGCCGCGATCAGGGAAGGCGGAAGCGCTGATCCGACAGGCTGTAAAAACGGAGCATTGAGCGGTGATTATGCGAGCCTTTGAAGACCCAGTATGGATGGATAGGTACGCGCTGCTAGGGTTCGGGGCACAAGCGGTATATCTGATTCACCGGAAACTCAAATCGATGAACTGAAGCCCTGTAGAAGTAACAATAGCGCGAAGGTCGCGAAGTCGAAGGAATGTGGCAGCGACAGCGCGGAAATGTTGCAATGAGCTCCTTTCGATAAGGACTGTCGCTGCGCAATGGAATTCGAATGAGCGTCAGGTAGTTCTGGGGCACGTCACTGCCAATTTTGAGCAACTGAAGCGGGACGCACTGACATCCGTATATATCCTCAAAGCGAATGTACAGTTTCCGTGGTACGTCCTTGACACATCTCGTACGACCCCTGAACGTTAACCTTCGACATTACTTCCGAGAACACCTCAGGCATGGACCAGAAAGAATTCTCCGGACCACATAGACGACCTATGAGCGGTCAGCGATCAAACTTAGGACACGATCTCTCCGCAGAAGCGCTTCTTGCTCCCAATAGTACGGCAAAGCACCCAGGCCTATCAAAGAATCGTCAGTGTGGTCCCGACCCGCCCGACCCGCACCCAGTGCTTCGCCTTAAAGCCTAAACCCCCATCTGGACGTTACTTGTCAGACCCCCTACTCACTCACGTTGCACCTGCGTAGGCCCCCAACATGATTCTATACGCCGCACTGCTCTGCGCACTCGTCTTCCTGTGGAGGAGGTCGCGCATTGCGCGATCCCTGCTGGATAAAGTACCCGGTCCCCCACGAGTATCTTTCCTGTTAGGTACGCCTTCAGCTTTACGCTTTACGTACCGGTACTGACAGCAATGCTTGAAATGTTCACTTTTCCCACAGGAAACGCGCCTCAGATCGCTGGCAGACAGTGCTGGGATTTTCATACACACATCGCGCGGAAATACGGGTCTGTGGTCAAACTACATTGGCTCTTCGGTGTACGTGAAACTTGAACGGAACCGATAAGGTTGTCTTCACACTGATGGTTTCTGTAGACCTCGGCGTTGTATATCTTCGATCCGCTGGCGTTGAGCCATATCGTCAAAGACCAGGGAAAATACGAGGAGCCCGCCTGGGTTACTGGGTATGCAACATTTATTCACGCCTGTGTGCACGCTCGAATTATCTGATATCCGCCATAAAGGACGAACCTCATGACGCTCGGCCCGGGACTGGGCTCAGTCACCGGTATGATGCGCCGTACACCATCTGGGGCACTGCAATTGCTCATCGCTTCCTTCCGCACAGGAGAGACGCACAGGAGACAGCGTAAGATGCTCACCCCAGTGTTCTCAGCCAAGCATCTCCGCACTATCGTACCTATCTTTCACCGGGTGACTGACAAGGCGAGATCTGCCACATTGCTGTTCCTGCGACGCGTTTTCTAACATGATTCGTATCTCGCATCTGGTACTATAGCTTATACAGGCGATCTCGTCTCGGGTGCAGACGCATCCCGAGGGCACAGACATCGACATCCTAGGCTGGATGAGCCGTGCCGCTTTGGAGTTGATCGGTCAAGCAGGAATTGGTTACTCGTTCGACCCGCTCACAGAAGATGTTCCGGATGCCTATGCAGAGGCTATTAAGGACTTCGCGTGCGTGTTAGTCCTACCATTTTTCTGTGCTAAGACACTGAGAGATTCACTGCGCCCGCATAGACCGGTTATGACGTCTCCGGGTATGCTTCTCATAAGACAGGCAGGACCATATGTCGGACATCTTGGACCTGCATGGTTGCGCCGTTGGATCATAGAGAAGCTGCCCCTCCGCGACATGCGACGTCTTATCCAAGTCACGGACGCATTACACGAGCGCTCCCTCGATATATTCCAAGCCAAGAAGGCCGCGGTCGAAGTTGGCGACGACACGGATGCGAAGGATATCATGGGCATCCTACGTACGTGCTGTTCATACCTCTGTGAATTGTATTTGGGCTGAATATGTGCAGTGCGGGAGAACATGAAGGCATCTGGCGAAGACCGCCTCCCCGAAGACCAGCTCATCGGTCAAATGTCGTGCGTATCCCTCCGGCAGCCTTCAATAGCTCGTTTCTCAATCACCTCGTTTGCAGGATCATCATCTTCGCGGCGATGGACACTACTTCAAACACCATGGCGCGTATACTGCAGCTTCTCGCAACGCACCCAGATGTACAGACAAAGCTAAGGCGTGAGATCATCGACGCGAAGGCTGTGGGGAGACCCCTGGATTACGACCAGCTGCACAATCTGCCGTATTTGGATGCTGTGTGCCGCGAGACGCTGCGACTGTAAGGAACCCTAATTCGGCTTCTACTTTCGATAACTGACGATGATTCCCAGACACCCTTCAGCCCCAATGTTTGCCCGGGAGTACGTGGCTCTTCGCTCTCGGGTCTCTCTCTTTCTATACCTAACCGTCATGCCAGGGTACTTGTAGACACTATCCTCCCGCTTTCCCATCCCATTCGCGCCACGGACGGAACACTTCTCCATGAGCTCGCTCTCCCCCGTGGCGCGAACCTCCTCGTGAGCATCCTTTCCTGCAACCGCAACGAGGCACTCTGGGGTGCCGACGCGCACGAATGGAAGCCGGAGCGATGGCTTGCGCCCCTTCCGGCGGCGGTGGAGAATGCGGCAATTCCGGGGGTCTACTCAAATCTGTGAGTGCACAGTTCGGCATGAGAGCGACGAGACGTGCTCACATTAAATGCCCATGGTCATGGATAGAATGACGTTCATGGGCAGTGCGCGGTCATGCATGTGAGCTTTCGAAGCCAATCTGTCTCCTTCCAGGGTTGGCGCGCTTATTGGGACCGGTCCACAGCGGCTTCACATTCTCGCAGTTGGAAATGAGTAAGCAAACACCCGCCAACCCCGCATGTCCTCTTGTGCTCAGAATCATTGTGGCCCACAGAGGTCGTCCTCTCCGAGATAATCGCCAACTTCACGTTTTCGCCTTCAACCGATACACCCGTGATCTGGAACTTCGCTGGGGTAACGTACCCTACCGTCAGCACAGAGAGCACGAAGTCAGAGCTGTGGCTGAAGATGAAGGCATACCGCGAAGGGTAGCGGGGCGAGAGCGAATTGAAGGCGGATGTGGTAAAAGTGACTGTACTAGTCAATATTAGTCGTGCAACTCAATGGGTGCGTGATACTAGACTCCAGCGTTTGTCAGCTAAACTGACGCCACTAGAATACTAGAAGAGTCCTCGTCGCACGGTTTCAGACTATGAACGCGAGCTTCTTCTATTGAGTCGTAGGTTTGAGGGGAATATGCCGCACGAATATAGCATTGCATCCGCCACAACCAGTCAGATGTCCGCCTAAAGCCCTACTGCTCCGCCGTCAGCGTTCCCTGAACTTAAAGCCAGTCTGCCCCTGGCTCAAGTAGCTTCTATCATGGAGTGCCTTCCAAGCTTTCCCCCAATGCTGCTTGACCCCGCGTCTCTGTCGACATGGCTCACCCTGCGATCCTCGTCGCTACTCTCCTCTTATTGACTGCAGTAGTATTATGGAGGCGTAGGACGCGCTCTCATATGCCTCTTCCACCCGGTCCGAGGGCTCTTCCCATCCTAGGCAACCTGCTGGACATGCCTACAAAGCGATTGGGACCTTGCTTGCGAGATCTGGCTGACAAATATGGTGCGTCTTTCCGGTAGCGCTATCATATTCTGGCCTTCCGGCGCTGACAAAGTCCTTTCGCTCATATGTAGGAGATGTGACGTACTTGAATATCCTTGGACAACCCACGATCATCCTGAACTCGTTCGACGCGGCCCACGCGATACTGGAAGGGCGCTCGGCAAATACCTCCGATAGGCCGCGGATTGTCATGACCGAGCTGTACGCAGTTCCCTACTCGACTCCCTAGGCCAGTTCATTATTGATAAACACTTTTAAGAGCTGGGTTCGATTGGCAGTTTGCGGTGCAAGGCTACACACAAACGTGGCGCAAGAATCGCCGGGCGTTTCACGACGCGTTCCACCCGAATGCGATTCCACAATATCGGCCGATTCACCTGCGACAGTGCCACCGCTTCCTGCAGCGGCTGCTAGAAGAACCAGAGAATTTCATTGCCCTTGCCCGCCAGTACGTTTGCGACCCGCGACGTCCCCGTTGTTCGTGAGGCTCATAGTTCTTGTAGCGTGTTCAGCGCTTCAATCATGGATGCCGTCTACGGGATTGTGGTTGCCGAGCGCGACGACCCAGTTTTAACCCGTGCTGAGCAGATCGCGGCCACATTCAGCAACATCATCGTTCCTGGTCGATACATGGTCGAACTGCTCCCCTCTCTCAGCTTCCTGCCATCCTGGCTTCCTGGCGCGAGGTTCAAGAGGGACGCGAAGAGATGGCGCACACAGGTCATTGCCGCGCGCGATGAGACTTACGATGTATTCATGGAGAGCATGGTATCACTTGCGTTATCCTCCCCGTACCAAGGGAACACATTGTGCTGAGCGATACTTTCTAGGCAAACGGCAACGCTCGCCCGTGCGCCCTATCCTCATTAGTCGAGACGGCCACGCAGAAAGAAGGAAGCCTCTCCGAGGAAGACGAGCAGCGTTTCCGCAACGTTGCGGGCCTAGCGTATCTTGGTAAGTAGTTACTGAAGCATTTCAATCTGCCCCTCGTAAGTCTGACGAGGGCGGATGACCGACAGCTGGGGCAGACACTGTCAGTGCGACTCGATATCTGTTATCGCATCCGTCTCTTCTGACATTCAGCACCTTAGACACTGCACTCAATGCACGCCTTCTTCCTCGCCATGGTCCAATTCCCCGAGGCGCAGAAAAAGGCACAGCAAGAGCTCGACGCGGTTGTGGGTCCAGACAGGCTTCCCGAATTCGCGGACAGAGAAGCACTGCCGTACGTCAGGGCGGTGATTAAAGAAACTATTAGGTGGCACACCGTCGCGCCTATCGGAATCTCGCATCGCACGGTTGAGGAGGACAAGTATAATGGATACCGGATCCCCGCAGGCTCGGTCGTCGTACCAAATGCCTGGTAAGTGTTGGGACTTACACTGCTGCGTTCCCGGGCCGTCGTGTTGGGCCCGTTTCGTCCTCACGAAGATGCAGGGCGATGTCGCAGGATCCTGTTACGTTCCCGCAACCGGAGAAGCTTATCCCGGAGAGATTTCTGCAAGACGACAAGGGTGCCGCCCATGTCATAGATCCGGAGAAGTTCCAGTTCGGCTTTGGTCGCAGGTGAGAATGATCATCTTTGCTTTCGCGCGAGACGACCGCTAACCTCGAGCGTAGGATATGTCCAGGACGGCATTTTGCCAATGACGCGCTGTTCCTTGCAGTCGCCTCGGTGTTGCATGTATTCGATATCGGTCCCCCTGTGGGCGAGCACGGGAAACCTCTACCCGTGGCGCCAAAAATAGTCACGGATTATTTCCTGTCGTAAGTCTAGCACACTCTTCTCTCGGCAAGGGCTTGTGCCGAACGCATTTCGTTCCAGATATCCGGAGCCGTTTCAGTGTACCATTACCCCGCGCTCGGAGAAAGCCAGCATGTTGGTCAGAGGCTCGGATCTCGTTATCATCAATGACGATGAGATGTGAATTGGCCCGAATGGTTTATACTCGTTGGCGTCGAGGACACATCTTGTATGTCCTCTTGTATAATGATATCATCAACTTAAAGGCTTGTATGCCTCGCGGAGGTCTGGAGCCTTTCGACATTTCCGAATGCGAGACTCATTACATACCGTAAAATGGACTATCCAAAGTACTTCCTTAAGTGCTTCTCACTTGCAGATCCAAAGACATAGACGAGCGAGTCAAGAACTGCCTTCGATGGATCCCTAAGGAGTAAAGTGAGTAACACTAAGTCGTCGTGTACACTTGCCCACTGAAACTTGCACACGAGCCATGGATGTATATCCAATAATAAACATCACATTTCAGCAACTCAAAACAGCATTACTATCAAAGGCATCATTCTAGTGAAGCGACCCAATTCCCAACAAAATATTTAGTGGCATAACATGCGGGCGTTGCGCAGCGCAACATTTAGGACGGGGGGCTGCAGAACCAGTCATCAGCACAAGCTCCTGTCATCTGAGGGGAGAGCTGGACTTACACAGGGGCGACGGTGGTGACGGGTCCGGGGTCCGTGGGGAGCGTGGGGAAGGGCGTTGCGCGGCACGCCTGCTCGATGTCGCGGTGGGAGAGGCCGGCGGGGAAGTGCGCCTTGCTGGCGGCGGCGGGCGGGGTGGGGACGACGTCCGAGCAGTCGATGAGCGCGCGGGTGTTCTGGCCGAGCACGGTCATCTTCGCGAACGCGGCCTTGAACGCGCTCTGGAGCTTCGCCTGGTTGTTGACGAACGACTGCCACTCGCAGGCGGTGCGCTGGTCGCGCGCAAGGAGGCCATCGGACTGGAGACGGAGCTCACCGCCGAGGGGAGACTCGACCTCACCCTGGTTGCTGCCGTTGCCGGGGAAGAGCGTGCCTTTGAGCTGCGTCTCGATGAAGAACTGGGTGTCGAACAGCTCGGGGGTGGAGTCGAAGGGCGTTCCCGGGATGGTGGGGTCGACGTGGTCGGCAGCGGCGATCGTGTGCCTGTGAGACGTGGGTCAGTGTAAGGTCTAAGAACGAGGGTATGTGGGGACATACGAGGCAAGCAGGGCAACAACCTCAGCGGGGGTAAACTTGCCGGCATCCTCGAAGCGAGCGAGAATCTTGGTGACGTCGTCGAAGGGCTCGGGGACCGTCAGGTCGGGAGCGGGCTGGGTCGCGTCCTTGCGGCCGATGAAGACGTTCAGGCGGGGCGCGCCAGGGCAGTTGGAGACACCGATGGCACCGGCCAACTGGATGCTGCACCCAGAAGTCAGCAATGCATAATGCCATCAAATCCAGCATGAGAGAACGTACAAGTCGGCGGTGGTCAGGTTGTGGCGGGCGATGAAGGGCGCCTGCTCGCCGATGATCTCGTCAACGCCGTTGTTGGCGTGGAAGTTCGTCTCGATGTCGGCGAAGATGGCAATGGAGCCGTCCGCGCCTCCACCACCGAAGACACCGGTCTTGGCGATGGCGGGCGAGATGCCGATGGCGTCGTGGAAGGTGAGGCGGAGGGACTCGTGGACCTCCTCACCGCACTCGCCGCCGTCGAACAGGTTCGTCTGGATGTCGTCGATGACGGGGAAGAGCGCGCAGCAGGCCGCGTTCGAGGTGACCTGGCCGGTGGCGCACGTCACACGGCGGGTGAGGGCACCTGAAAGGAAATGTCGCTCATGTCAGCGAAGGCGTACCCATAGAAGCAGGGGCAAATCATACCGTTAGCGACCTGGAGGGCCGCGAGGAGGGAGACGAAGGAACCAAGGAGCTTGAACGCCATTGCCTGGGATTGCGAGGGATGGAGGAAGAGAGCTCGTTGGCCTGAGGACTTCCTGCAGTTTTGCGGCAGCCTTTATACTCCTTCGCCTGGGCCCTCAGCGTTCTGCGAACTTGCATTTGCGGCGGCCATCCCCATACGGGCGCAGCCCTCATGCGCGCGCCCGGACTGCGAACTTGCGTACATACGCGCCCCAGCCAATCGCAGGGCACGAATATCGCCATTCATAGAAGGGCTGGCGGGCATGAGAGTGTCCCAAAGCGTCGGTGAGACGCGTTCGCGCCGTCCCATGGCCAATAAGCGGGTGCCGCCAGCCCAAACGACTCAAAGAGTTCCCCAACGGGACCGGAATCGGGGGCGCGTGCGCGGAGGGCGCGTCCGGTATCCTGTACACGCATGAGAAGATCGACGGGTCGACTGTATGCGTTCGGGCGTCCCGGGAACAGAGCTCGGGTGCATCAAAGCCCTATTGTTCCTGGAGACGTTAATAAAATAACCAGCCTGTGGGCAGGTGCGACAGGAGGCTGTGGTACGCTCTGACGTACCAGAGAAAAAGGAGACCCGGTTGTGAGTTGCCGAACGGGGAGGCTGGGAGGCCGTGCGAAGTGGTGTGTCGAGTGTGTGAGCAGAAAGACCTTGTTGAGCGCCTTCCCGGGCCCGAGGGAGTCGTGCTCGCAAAGCCTGTTTGCAAGCTCCGGGCGTAGATGATGGGCACCCGTGAATAGCCGGTGAGACGGAAACGCAATGCGCAGATGGGCTGTGGTCTCTGGGAGCTCCGGAGAGGACATAGTGCGCATCGGGCCTCCGTATATGGTAATTGTTGCATCCAGCCGTGTGTGATTGACATGTACATGTTTGACGTGGTAAGTTGGCAATTGGTTACACATCATCCATCGAGGGTCGTCCAAGGGTCCTCCCTGCGGTGATGAACGCTGCGGTGCGTAGGGCAGCGAGGCCGAGCTCATCTGACTCGAATAAATGGTCATCTTGAAAAAAACCATTGAATCGGGGACACGCCCATGGTAGAGGCGTCGCACGCACCGTAGGCTTGGCCCTTCCTCCTGTAGCAAGGCCGAGGTTTCCCGAAGCGCTCTTGGGAACGGCCCTCGTGTTTGTTCCCGCGCCCTCGGAACTAGCCACACCGCTTGCAGCTGGTGCGGAAGGAACGGGGTACCGAACTAGGTTCCTTAACATACGGCCGGCGTTGGAGTACAACATCATCCTTGTGCCGTTCTTGTTCCTCTCGCGGGTATAATAATAGACCGCTGGCAGGGTACGCCGAGGACGCGCGTCGCTGTCGAGTAGTAGACAGATGGATGTACCGGATTGATAGCACCCACGATGCTTCTCGAGCAACACGCCACCTGTGTCATGTTTGCCTAGTTTCGACGTTTGCGTTAATCAATCCCCGGCTATGAACAAAGAAAATTCAGCAAGTTCCCAGCAGTGAAGCTTCCTGTCGCGAATAGACAGGTGGGCGCCCGAACTGTCGGTAGGAGCCCACTGGCTGGTATGAACTAGCAGACAGTGAACGCACGGTACCGCATGGACGATGGGCAAATATTCACAGCGACGTACAGGTAATGTAAAGGCGGTTTGTGTGTAAGCAGAGTCGGCTAGACCGCTCGTGAACCTCCGTCGACGTCATGTTGTCTCAAGCTAGGAAAAAGTACCGAGTGGTTTCAGAGTTTCAGAGTGCTCGAGGCAAAGACTCACCCCACTGCTTGCGCCCCCGTCCGCACATGTAGGCAATTGACCCCGAGAGACCCTGCCTGGACTCCTCCAGTTCGACTGGTGGCAGAACAGGAGATTACGCCCGGTTGATGTCGCGATTCGCATACAGCATTGCGTCGACCGTACTGCAAGTCATCAGCAAAAACCCAAACGGCCACGGTGCGTGCAACAACGGCTGCCGGAGGACGTAAGATTATCGAGCGAATCATGCCTTGCGGATTGGAGCCTTGTGGGGTGTCAGGCACACTCCGCTGCCAGGGACACCAAACGCGATATGAAATCTGGGTAACCGAGGAGTGTGGACGCGTCCGGCGTCCCAACATAGCAAGATTGCACCGATACAAATGTACTACAAATACAGGATTGACAGATCTGTCCAGAACATTAGATTAGACAACCAGGCATGGTCGTCGCAAAGAGGGCTAACATACCATGCACAGACAGCGAGGAAGCACGGGACTAGAACATACTCGCAAACTTGGGGTCATGCCATACTTCTACGACGTCGTTCGCAAGCTTCATGTCTGGGAGCCCGGGCCCTCAGAATGCATGTAGTTGCGGGCGAAGTGGACGGCACGCACCGACGTTGAGACCCAATTGCACGCAGCCCATCATCTTAATGGTCCGCTCGTCCACCACCTGGCCGATAACCTCCATGTAGGGCGCGTCGATCTTCACGTCCTGCGATACGCTCAGACTGCGCTCGATATTTTTGGCCCGTGTAGCACCCGAGACACACCTTGAGCATCTTCACTTCCACTTCTCCGCCGTCTGAGGCTTCCACGATCGCTACGTCGTCTCGGAACTATGCCCGAAGCTCAGCGCTCAGCCCGGGAGGTGCGGTTAAGAAACTGCCGGTGTGAACGCACGTTGATGATCTTCGCGATGAGCCTGACAGTCTGACCCTTGAAGTCGGCCATGCGGGCTTTGTTAACGCGTGGTGAGCGGTGGTCTGACATGAGAATGCGGCGGAGGAGAGGAGATGGTCGTGGTGGAAGGCAAGTCGCGTACCGTCGACGCGAGGCGCGTCGCGAGGCGTCGCGTTCTTCACGTTACGTCACAGTCACTGTTAAGGCATAACAGGGCATAACCTGGCATAACGCGTTCCACAGTCACAGACGCACAGCGCGAGCTCCTCCGACTCGCATAAGTCGCAGTAACGCGAACTGTAGACCTACTTAGGACCACATACAGCGAAACATATGGGTTTACAACATCCGAAACATCTTTTCAGGCTTGCAATCAATGGTTATGCTAGATGCTGCTCTACAACAAAACCAGATCCGCTGTGGCGCGTAAGCGCTGGCAGCTGCAGACGCCTAGACCGGCGGTAATGAGCGAAAAGTTCAGCACCGGAGCAGACGCGTACGAGTACTCCCCCTGCACTTTTGGAGTGTTCAGCGATAAGGAGCTCCATATGAGCGCTGCTCAATGGAGTGTCTCTGCATCCATCTCTTTGCTGAGGGGATCTTCCGTGCGGTCCCCGCGTGCAAACACATGTGCGAAGAACGGTCTTCCCACCGATGAGAGTGCAAGTACAAGGATGGCGCGTCGAGCATGCGCCCATGCGAGTGTCTCTTTCAGAGACAAGGCGTCGGGCTCTGCGATGTTTGACAGAATGGGGATTGCGCGGCCGCCAATCTCGGTACTGCACCCAACTTTTGGCACAGCACCCAGCCCGAGCGACCCTGGGAGCCGGATCACGGCACTCGAGCTCGCACGCGCATCCGGTGCGGATGGATTCTGCATCCCCAACCCCTGGTTCGGAGGCGAGGGTTCGGTCCCGTGTGTCGGGACGCGAGAGAGAGAGAAGACCGTCGATGCAAGAGGTGACAGCGACCAGCAATGCGGTAGCAGAAGCATGCCAGCTGCCTGCTCCATGCGGGTGCGCGTGAGCGAGGGAACGGGTTGACACCCCGAGTCAAATTTCTGACCGACGTCGAAGATACGACGCGGCCCATTGCATTGGACGACCCAGCAGTACGGCAAGGCAAGGCTCTAGTAGATTCGTTTGGATTGACAGGTGGTACGGCATGGCTCTAGTCACTTCGGAAAGGCGAACACCCGTGCCCACCCACGCATGAAGCGCGGTGCCGCTTGCTCCAGCAAGCGAGGTGCCTCGTCCGCCGTCCCTACCACCTGGTCATCAGCGAGGAACGAGGGCGCAAGATGTGCTCCAAAACTCACAGTACCTCGCAGAAAATCAGACCGCCGCGTAAAGCTGGAACTCCCAAGGGAGCCGCTGTTGCGGCCCGCCTTCGCTGAACCATATCCTGCGCAACCGGCAGTTTGCGTACACCTTCACGTACGAGACGTGTGAATAGACCCCGCTGGGTACTTGGGTGGCCCGGTGCCCAGCCAGAGAAGAAGAGGAAGCACGCCCTTCTTGATCTTCGTGGGTGAGAGCGGCGGAGGAGAAGTGCGGGAGGAGGGAAGGGAGGTTGATAGCCACCGTGCACCACGACGTGAGTGGTCGCGACGAGGGTGGGGGGAAGGAGAGCGGGAGGAGAAGCAGCGGCGGGCTCCCAAGCTTTAGGTTCGGTTCTTTCTGGAGGGTTACCGTCAGCGTACGGGCCACAGGGACGGGGCGGGATTCAGGAGGTGCGGACGGGCGACCATACGTACCACAGGGTCGAACCCACAAGGGAACGTATCACTCATAGCATGAGCACATCGTTTTCAAGCCGACACGTTCGTTTGAAATGGGTACCATTGCAGCAGACATAGAAGACGTCGTCTTGCGTCCAAGGTCGTAATATCTTTCTAGCAAGACACATACCTGGAATGTGGCGCACCGTACGACACCCTCCCGACCAGACTGGTCGGCCAGACCGACCTCAAAAGCCCACTCTCTATGCAAGTTCCGCACTTGCAGATGTATCCAAGGATGTTTCAACCCCAAGTGTCTGTGAGACGCACGCGAGCCCCCCGCAGGCGGACATCGGATGTATGTCGTCCTGATGGTGGGCGACTGGATGTGCAATACGCTCTGTCCTAGCGCATAGTCTGGGGAAGAGGACTCTTCAATATCGTCGGAGAGGTCCATCAGCTTCCTCGGGGTTGGGGGTGTCGGTTGCGAAGCAGCATCATTGAGGATGCAAACGAAAGAATCGGAGGGCAAGGAGGTGTCGGCGTGCGAAGCGAAGAGACTGAGCGGATCGCTGCCCGTAGATGAGAAGAGAGAGACAATGCTGGGTTGCACTGCTGTAGCAAACATAATCCTCAGAGGTAGTGACGGTCTGGTGGTCAGTGGCGGTGTGGTGGTGGTCGCCGTTGCGAATCAAGTCGCAGTCGCAGCGCCCTAGTAGCGCCCTCCAGTTCTCCAGTCCGGCATTCTCCGAGACGCTACTCAACGCCGCCACGTTTTCGCCTGTTTTCGCAAACTCTGTTACTGCACATCCTTCAATCTAAGTCATACCTCGCGGCAGCAAGTTCTTCAAATCTATGTGTATTCACTTTCAGATATCAAGTAACTCCTCGTGAACTGTGATAGGTGTGGATTGCACTCCTGCGAACCTAGCAATTAATATTGCCTTGCTGGGGTCAGCCAGACGTCTGGTAAGTTGTGTTATCCCGATTCTCGGTGTTGGCAGGATTAGCTCAGGAGAACATGGAATTGCTGCTTCTAACTTGATTATCTTCACAGCACATACACAAACTCCATATGCCCAGAAACGTCCACAGCTTTTTAAGCCTTTGGCCAGCGTGTACAGTCACTGTGCGATCTTCTTGCTGAGACCTCCCCCATCGGCCGCGGGAACGGGTAACAACGTCTGCTGCGACAAACGATCCCTACTAGCTCCTACTGAAATAGAAGACTCGTCCAAAACAATACAATACCGGTATACTCCGGCAAAGCAAGCGCCATCCACACTTCGGCTACCCAGTCGCAGTGGGACTCATAGTTCACTTCCAACTATCACTCCTGGACATCTAACATATACCCCCCTGCTCTCCTCGCCTCGACCTCGCGTTCAAGGACCAGGCGATGTGTCGTCAAGAGGAGCACTCGGCGTCAAGTGATTAGAAGAAAGGTAGATGAATTCGCAACACAATGACCAGGCGGAGCAACCTATCCATCGCTATCGTAGTTCATAGAAGCCAAAAGCCGCCACTGAACGTGTCCCTTACAGAGATCAAGGCTGCGAGTGGCGTGGGCCACCGCTTGGTCGCTGTGGCCAGCCTCATGTACCGCAGGCCCATGCACATGGGCCTCGAGGCGCAACGGCCAGTGCACATTCCCTCGTTTTGTGCTGCAGCGCTCGTTCTGACATTCTATAACAGGCAGGAGGCGCTTTGTATTCACCTCCGCGAGCCCCAGGGCGCTGTCCGAAGGACCGAGCCGAGCGATCGCATCGCCGTGAGTGGCGTGCTATTGTACCCTGGCTAAAGCGTCGGGTGCGGGACCATAAAAGTGCGCGCCGCGTCTGCGGTAGGCCCATCGTTCTCTTGAACTCCTTCCACCACCTGCTCCTCCCCCAACACATCCAGCGCCACTCTCCCCCGCTCTGAGAGCATCGACCCCAACATCCACTACCATCATGTCTACGCCCTCGAGGGTAGACACCCCCAACACCGGCGCCTTAGGCTTTCTAAGCCGAGGCATCCGTTCAGTGTCGAGCTTCGTCTCGACCATGTTCTCCTCACAGGCAGCCGAGTACGTCCTTCCAAGCGCTTGCGCGCTGAAATTAGAGACTCATCTTAGCCACAGGGTATCGGCACACGACGTACCCGCGGATGAATCGGCACCGGCAACACCTCGCGCGTCCCAGGCATCCGACGACCTCGCGCACTCCGGCTCGTCCTCTTCGGAGGACATCGACAACTCGGCCCCCGCTCTCGACGACCCAACCAGCGAGGACGACGCTCACTCGGTCTCCTCGCAGGAGGAGCAATCGGTTGGCCCGGACGTCCTCGCGACGCGGGCTCTGGAAATGGCATCGGTAGCTGGTCCATCGAACAGTGAGTCTCTTCATACTAGGCATCTTTCCACAACTGACACGCCCTTCGCGCTTCAAGCGTCCTCTTCTGGCATGCTCGTTGTGCCAGCATCATCATCGGCGGACCTCAACCCTGACCCGGACAACCCCCCTCGACCCGCACCGTCCGCAGCGGCGGTCTTGTATCGGCAACGCGCCCCGCTCCGTCGCGAAGGCGCGTTCTACGGACTACCCGGTCCTTCGTCTACGGCGAATGAAGCGTCCACCTCCTCTGCCCCGGCCCCTCCACCCCGGCCTCGCGGGCAGCTGCGGCGCGAACCGGTTTGGCACGACGGCGAGGACCCGAGCACGGTAGCCCCCGCGAGCGAACTTCGGGGCAGGGATCCACGGACCATCCCCGAGAACCGTACGTACCTATATGCTCCATCCTCTTCTCTTGTTCTCAACTCACCTCGATCTTCTGCAGGGTACTGGCACCCGCGCTGGGGTCCGATCCCCACGCTTCGGCAGATCCACCCCGGCCCCGGCACTCCCTCCGCGCGCGACGTCATCGCCTGGCTGCAGCAACGGTACGGCACGAGCTCGAACGCGTTCTGGCAGGCCGTCGACCACGTCTTCCCGCTCCCCGACGGCGTCGACCACGCGCCCCTCTTCGCGCGGATCCTCGAAACTAGCCAGTGGCGGAACCAGGACCCGAACTGGATGGACGGCGTCGAGCCTGTAGAGCGCGTGCGCGAACCTGCGCGCGCGGACGACGCGGCGGACTCGGACGCGGACGCGGAGAGCGTCGGGTACTTCAGCGACGACGACGCAATGGTAGAGGATGCGGAGGACACCACGGCTGCCCCTCAGGCTGGCCCGTCATCGCTGGCACTGGTGCCGTTCCGGTCTTCGTCGCGCGCGCCCAGTCGCGCCTCCTCGGTACACTCCTCCCCGGTACACTCCTCCTCGGCACTGCCCGCGTCGTCGCCTGGCGCAGGAGCCTCCACGCAGTCGCCGGGTCACCTGAAGCGCGCACGCGACTCGAATGGCGATGCGTCCGACGAAGAACGGTCTACGCCGCGGCGGCGACTCGATCCCGAGCCCCAACAGTCCCCAGCCGCTTCCTCGTCTTCGTCCTCGGCCACTTCCCGGAGGATTACCCGCTCTGCCTCGCACTTCTCGCGGCGCGGCGCGTCGTTCGCGCCCGCACCCGTCGCAGGTCCCAGCAGACCCGCGCCTGCACCCCGGGCACCGCAGATCACGGTGACCCCACCGTCGCGGGACGTGTCCTTCACACTGCCGCGGCCGCCGACGGAAGGGTACCTGGCGCCAGGGGTGGGTCGGGGGATGAGGCGTAGACGGTCCTCATCGAGCTCGTCGCGAGGAAGTTCCCGGTCGTCCCCGTCCTCCTCCTCCTCCTCGCAGACGATCCTCCGTCCCCTGAGCACAGCTGCCGAGAGCAGCACTAGCACTCCGGGCGCCGGTCCCTCCTCCCTCCGTGGTCCGTCCTCCCCAGGGCCATCCGGAGAGAGCGCTCAGCGGCGCCATAAACGGCGACGCGACGAGGCGGAGGCGGAGGACAAAGGTCGCAGCGACGACAAGCGTCCGCCAGAAGACGAAGGGTCCAGCCGAAAACGGCCAAAGCGGAAGTGATTGGTCGCGCCTGCGGTTTGCTGACGCGGTGCATAGACGATTATACCCCCCGGACTTAGACGGCTCCTTCGAGGGCCCCCTTGTAGATAAATGTCCACGGCCATCAGGTTGTGGGTTTTTTTCGGATGTACTTTAGATTAACTTGTAGTTATATCTGGCCCTGGCTTGCATTTATCCTGTGGCGTGTGCGGTTTGTAGCAATAAAATTGGCTGCTCTCTGTCTTTCTCCATAACGTCTCTCAACCCTGGACCAGCATATCGTAGGATATCGGTAAGGGCGCCAAATTGTGCATCTTGTTTAAGTTCGCCCATCTGCTGTTCCTTCTTTTCTTCCATCATTGGCACAAACAGGTTTGGATAATGAAGGACGACACTAGTATCGGTGGCCAACCCCGGGCTGAACGGGATATACAAGACGCTCCTGTCGAAATCTTCGACATGCAAGGTCTTCCTGTCGAGATCTTCGACGGTATCCTTCGCAACATTCACGAGGACAAGCTTGCGATTCTCGCATGCTCCCGTGTGTCGCGCCTATGGCGCGAAATCGCCCTTCCCTACCTCTTCGCATCCATCGATATCTACCGCGAGGACTCTTTTGACGATCTTCAAGACTTTCTCGACACAAATATCGAACTTGCCCGCCTTGTGCGCCGGCTCCGCCTGACGAGCCAACGGGACCCAACAGTTCATCTCCAGTCCGACAGCTTTCCAATTCTCGATCGCACCAAGCTTCGCAACCTCACCGCAGCACTCCCCCAGCTGGAAGAACTTCACCTTTACATGATCTTATTGGTCGACTCGAGTCCAGATGCCCTAGGCGGCCCGGATCAGTGTCTACCCACACGGAGGCTGGAGACGCTGACCATCGAGTTCGTTAACCCTCGTTCCTCAAACACACCTCAATCTCTCCTCACCTTCTTCAACACCATCTCGGTCTTTACATCGGTAAAGACGCTCGTGCTAACCTGGCCCCCCATTCCCGATGCTCTCCTCGACCCGGCACACCTTATCCGCACGTTGGACGTGGGCGCACTCATCTCCCGCACACCCTTTATTGCACCCGAAGAGCGATGGCACCTTCTGTACGACGCACTGCGAAAAGCCCTCGTTCCAGGATGCCTCCGCGCGCTGCATCTTGGGGGCAGATATAATATATCAGCAGGGCACCAGCCAGCAACATTACGCAGCTTCGGTCAGCTCGTACGACATGCGGCCCCGAACGCACTGCGTATCGACATCCCGTTCCCAGCACGCTGGCCCGTCAGACCGGGCGAAGACAGTCCAGGTGCGGAGTTATTCCCTATGAGTACGCCGCGAGGCATGCTGACCATCGCACGGTTGAACAGAGCATTGGCGCTGCCTGAACCTCAGCTCGTGTACTTCCGTCACCACCGTGATGCACCGGATCCACCTGTATAGCATCGACACGCACGTTCCTCTTGCTCGGGTCTGCATCGCGATGCTCGCGAACGTCCCTACAACCCTCCGCGTATTCACGCTCAAAGTCCACGGTGACGCGACGGAGTATGCGCGAGGCGACAGCGCGGAAAGGATCGGTCTGCGGGAGCTTGACACCGCGATGATTGAGCGTTTCGAGCGGCTGGAGAGAGTCGAGGTGATGGTGTTTATTGACTTGCAGCATCGTGAAGGAGTCAGCGTCGACTTGCAGGAGTACGCGTTGGCGGTATCAAAGGCGATGCCGAGGCTGCAGGCAAAGGGAATGCTTCAAGTCTCTGTCGATGATGATTAGGTATATATGGTGCGTTACGATTACTCTATGTGACGGGAAATATCATGATGCAGTTACTTACACGAGAAACCATAGGCGACTTTTTGATTACCTCGTATCGAAGCAGCATCCTATTTTGCACACAACGCCACTACCAACGAGATTCACTCCCTCCAACAGAATCCCCTGGATCCTCATTCGATTCAACTTTCTACATCTTGTCGCTCTTGACCGGCGTGCCGTTTCGCTCGACGAACGACTCAGGGTGCTTGGTGCAGATTTTGATTTCGTCCGAGCACGCTGGTCGCTCGACCTAGATGAACACCGGGTACTCACCGATGCTGACTTTGACGTTTTAAAGCCACTACAGGTCGGATATGTCCGTATATCGATCACATTTTTCTGCGGGTGTCAGCCTCCCGCTGACCGCCGGCGGCCCACTGGCAGCCATGGCTAAATTACCGGGGCAGGGAGCATCGCTGCCCCGTTAACCCCGTCTTTCCTTCCCTCCACCTCCTTCCCACCTCAGCCTCTGCTTGGTGAGTCCTGACACTTCCTGTTCTTCCTATTCTTTCTCTGTCCCTTGTTCTCGCCCCTCCTGTATTTCACGTTCGTTTATTCTGCTCCTTTCTCCCTCCGCGTTGTGCTACTGAATCTCCACATATCCTCGAGACGTACTGATCGCACTTTATTCACCTTCTTCGAGTTAGGTACTCATTCACATCTCCGCCTCCGCCCTCGACCCGCCGCCTCCGTTCCGCTCTCGCTTTCGCCACCTAGACTCGCCTTTGCTCCGCCGACTTCGCCCCGCCCCCTACACGCTGCCTTCAAAATAAACTGACATTTACCCAGCTGACAGTCTTCAGGTCAGGCACCCTCGCCCCCGCACTCGCCATCGACCGGCTCTTGATCCCTCCTTGGCCTTCGCTCCGCCGCCCGCCGCCCGCCGCCCGCCGCCTTCGACTCGCTACCGCCGCCCCGCCGCCCCGCAGGCCCTGCACTCTCCTTTGCCTTCGACTCCCCCCCTCCGACCCTCTGCCCACCTTTGCCCTCACTAACTTAGCTAGCGTTCTTCAGATTAGATATTCTACTTTCGTTTCGACCTCGCCCTCGCCCTCAACGTCTCTGATCGACCCCAAATTCGCCCCTTGGTCCCCCTTTCCTCACAGGTAGCCTCGTATTTCTTCCCCGGGAGAGGAACTCCAGTCCCGGCGCATACCTTTCGTGGTCCTCGGGATAAGTACCCGTCCGCGCGCCGTGGCCGCCGCATCCGGGGGCGGGAAACCGAAATGCGTTTTCCGCTTTCTCTCCGTGGTACATATAATGTTCGCTGATGTTTGTGCGGCTTACCTGTGAGCGCAAGCCGCGGTTCGAACGTCTTTTTGCAGGTAAGTGCCTATGTAGTGTGGGCGCGTTAGCGAACGCGGGCTTATTTCCCATGCTTGCTGAGTTTTGATGAACGCGTACTTGGGTAGAACATCCGATCCACTTGTATCGTCTCATCACTTACTACACGCAACGATATATGCTATATATGCTATATTGGTATACAAAGAGCAACTGTATATCGCCGCAGGCTGGGCGTACAGTCCGTGTATGACATGTATCTCTCCCCAAGGTACACCCCGGTGCAAGCGTTCGCGTTCATTCATTTCTTCACCAGCCCTCACAGCCCACGCACCCACTCCTCGACCTGCCCCCACACAGTATCGCGCACGCGCTCGTCCCAGTAGTCCATCATGAGCACGTCGTGCGGCGCGTCCTTGACCCAAATCGTGTGCACGTCCACCCCATCGCGCTCCATCGCGCCGACCAGGCGCATCACCTCGCGCTCGAGGCGCTCCGCGTCCCCTAAGACGACGCACGACTTCGGGAACTCTGTGAAGAGGCTCAGTCCGCGCGGGGAGGCGATGACGGGGCGCGCGAGCGACGTCGGGCTGCGTTCCTGCTCTGGCCCAGCGGCCTCTGGAGGCCCGGTCACGAGGCCGCGGGGGACGGCGGAGGCAGTGAGGGGGGTGGAAGGTACAGGCGTAGCTGGAACTGAGGACATGTTGCGTAGGTATGCGCGCTGGCCGTCGTCGAGCTGCGCAATGGTGAGGTCCGCGACGCTGGACGCAAACGCGTCTCCGTAGAATGCCCGGAGGACCCGCGATGAGGCTGGGCTGACGTAAGGACTGTGCATGGTCTCGAGAGGGTTATGTCCGAGGAAGGTGCGTTGGAGGAGCGCGCGGGGTTCGGGGGTATCGACGAGGTAGTCGGTATCGGCGTGCGGGCGTGGGACGTAGGATGAAGGTGTGTCCGGGAATGCATGTGCTATGGGTGGTCATTAGTGATGGGTCAGTCGGAGTAAAGCGGGAGAAACGTACATGGATCGCAAGATGGGGACAGAAGCAGTAGTGCTTCGGGCGGAGGAAGAACGCCCTCGTCGCGGATCCAGCGTGCAAGAGCAAGGACGAGGTTGCCACCGGCGCTGTCCCCGATCAATACAATCTTGCAGTTCGTATTCGCTTTCATATCTGCAACGCGTGCACGAATGTCTTCGTTCTCCTTCCTGTCGCGGGCTTGTGCCTGATAGTCTGTGTTGGATGCAGAGAGGTAATCGACGATCTCGTCGCCCTTCCTCTCCGTCTCCTGCTCCTCAACGCGTGTGCTCGAAGTTGTCCGAGAGGAACTGTCTTTGCCTGACCGTTGGCGCTGGTGACGGCGGACTATATGCGCATAAACAGCCGCCGCGTCCTGGACGGCAGCTGGGAAAGGTGCGTGTTGCAGCAGGCGATACTCGACGGCATGGATCTCGGTAAACGTCTTGTCCTATCAAAGTGTCAGCGAAACAGACGACAGCACCATTGAAATTTGAACATACCTTCATGAGACGGGAGGGAATCTGAGAGGGACTTGAGCTCTCGTGCGCCGACATATGGCAGTATCCTCCGCCGTGAAGGAAGATACCAATCAAAGGGACCTCTCCGGCGGCATTCTCGAACTCGCCAGCGTCCATGAGTTGGTCTTTGGGTGGCTGGGTGAGATCGCCTGTGCAAACGGGGATGACTTAGACGTCCAGAAGTCAGTTCAGCTTGCATGTGAATGAATTCATGCGAACTCACTCTTCGGTCGCTGTTTAGGCCATACGTAGCACCCAACTCTCTTGAACGGGACTTGTGGGTCCGCGATGATGCCCGTGCGCAGGTGGTCCGGAAGCGGTTCGACCCATTCGAATCGCGTATACTTCAGGTGACGGTTCGAGCACTCCTTGTCCGGATTCCGCGTTCCAAAGGTTACGCCCGCAAGTTCGGTGACCTTGTGTATGCGTCGCATGAAGTTGACGACGATACAGCACGAGACTGACCACGAGGGTCGCGGGCGGTACGAGCGCGGCATGACGGTGTAATAGACGGCCCACCAGACAGTCATGACGAGCGTCGTGAGCATTCGTTGGACGACGTAGATGGACTTGAATGGCTGCCTCGCGAAAGGCATGTCGGCCTGGTACGCATACTTCTTCTTGGGCAGCATCGTGGATTTAAGTTGTGGAGTAGCCGGTTTTATGTCGTCAAGAGTAGAGTAGGCTGCTCGTCGTTATCGGTGGTGAGGAGGAAGGGGTCGCCGACGCGGAGAAAAGAGTCGTGCGGGGGTGGGGAGGGTCGTGGAAAGAGGGAAAGAAGGCCGAACATGGCGTCGAGGACTTAAAGTATCCAGGCTTGGGAGGCCTTGGGGCGGCAAGGCCCAGCCTGACGTCAGGGGTTGCCACAATCACAACACGTGTACATAACGCGTCCGAGCGGTGGCTGTGACCGATCGCGTCGACACCTCGGATGCCCGTGTGCATTGCAGCATCCCTCGATCTGATCCTGCGGCGGGCTGCAGCAATCGACACTTCCTCACACCACGTCGATCTGATCCCGACACACAGAACAACTGGGCCGCGTGCGCGAGACCGTTGGCCTTCTTGCTCCCTACCACCATCTCACGCCGACGTCCGACTTTCCCAGCGTCCTCTGCCGGGCCCTCCGTACTTGGATTTCTTCTGGAACTAGTTGGAACTTCGCATTCAGGCTGTAACCTCGGGCAGGAGAATTTCTGCAACTTCTGTCATCTTCCGACACTGCACACGACCCTTTGCCTAGTACAGTACTACTTGCTATACTCTCTGCCCCCATGGGAGACCCTGTCGACGTCTTGGATCGGCACTACCTAGCCATCACTCTCCTCGTTACAGTTGGCTATCAGCTGCTTGGATTTGCGATAGCTTGGACGTTCCAGGTATTTCCCATCTTTGGGAAGCTTTGAACATATTCATAACGCATCTTTAGTTTGACAAAATCACGGACTTCACCGGAGGTCAGTACCCTCAGTTTTACCTCATAGCTCGTTGAATGACCTACCTTGTACATGTGCCAGGATCAAACTTCTTCATACTAGGTGATGATATTGTGGCCTCCAGCTCAAGGTCGCGAAGGTTGACCACGCTCGCATTTAGCCCTCCTTACTCTCCTATTGGGTCAGGAGTTCAGTGCGAGGAACATCATCACTAGCGTGTTTGTCATGGTATGGGCTTCTCGTCTAGCAGGTAAGCAACTTCCATCTCCGAACCTCAAAGAGGCACACCGGACTGACAATATATCAGGCTTCCTGTTATTCCGTGTCTTGAAGACAGGCAGCGACACACGATTCGATGACATTCGGTCCCACTTCTTCAAGTTCCTCGGTATGTACTAGGTTAATCTCCGGGGTGCGGCTTGATGACGGATAGTAACTTCTCAGGGTTCTGGATTGGTACGTCAAACCTCATCCCGCATCGATTATCGGCGGCTCACGGGAACGACAGGCCAGATACTATGGGTATGTACTACACCGCTTGCCCGGTAACGATACTGATGAATTACATAGGTTTGGGTGGTTTCCCTTCCGCTGACCGTCCTTAACTCGCCTGCGGTAACGAATCGCGGTCAGCCCGCGTTTGGTACCGCCAGCGATATCCTCGGCATCATCATCTGGGTCATTGGCTGGCTCATCGAGTCCATTGCCGACATTCAGAAGGTTCGTCCCGCCCGTCATTCCTTCCTAACAGCGTTAATCCTTGCGCGTACCTTCTTTCCAGTTCCAGTACAAGTCATCGGGTGCTCCCAAGGATAGACCCATCGACGTAAGCGGCCTCGCCCTCTCATACAGAACATCCCAGAATACTCATCCTCCCGCTCCACGTTCCAAACATAGGTCGGTCTATGGGGATGGTCTCGCCATCCGCCCTACTTCGGCGAGTGCGTACCCCTCCGTTCCTGACATGCACAGTCGGCTCACACGCTGGGGCCGTCCCAGAATTCTCTGCTGGTGGGGCATCTGGACGCTCTCAATCGCCCCGAGCCTGCACGGCGCTGGGAGCGCTTCCACGCGCTCCGCGCAGCTCGGCACGCTCGTGTCCCCGCTATTTACCATGATGTACGTGCCTCTGTCCCTTCCCGCGTTCCGGTGCTTACTCGGACTGCCTGACCCAAGCTTGCTTCTCTTCGGGTCGGGCGTGCCCACGGCCGAGAAGCCCGCCGCGCAGAAGTTCCACAAGATGTCGTACCCCGACGGCGCATCGCAGGATCCGGCCCCGGAGAACGCGGCGTGGGCGAACTACCAGGCGTACCGCGCGCAGACGTCGATCCTGCTGCCGCTCCCGCCGGTGGTGTACCGTGCGCTGCCGCAGTGGGTGAAGAGGACGGTGTTGTTGGATTTGCCGATGTATGAATGGACGCCGTGAGAGGGGTGAAGTGGTGTTTTGTCTGTGAGAGTCGTATCGGCGGGGCGTGATGGCTCATGGAACATCTATCGAGCGTGCCGTTGTTATAGAGCATTAGCTCATACCTCAATGTAGTTCTGTGAGCTGATTCGGTGCGTACCAAAACAAAAATAGCAACTCCTGGTTTCGATCCAGGGACTTCAGGGTTATGAGCCCTGCACGCTTCCACTGCGTCAAGTTGCTATGCATGTTAGCCGGCAAGTTGAGCATACGACAACGTAAGGGGAATCTTCGGGTGTGTATGGGTGTTTGTGGGCGCCGGCTGAGTCAGCTGCGATGTCGTCACCATGCAGGCGTCTCGCAACTTGGACTCGTTCCTCCATCTCCTTCGCTAGACTCTGGAGCTTTCTCGTCCCTTCTTTCTGTCTCCTGCGTTGGGGCGCGCTCGTATAGGAGATAGACGTATGATAGACGGTTATCTGTAGATTTGACTCAGGACTCAAGCTGCACGGTCCGCCAAACGTTTTCTGCGTCTGCATGAACGGAGCGCTAACACATGGTCATGGGCATAGATACCATGTTCTTGACAGAGCAGGAACGCGCGCTCTACCGCCTAGAGCCCACACCCGAGGTGGTCAAGACCGCATGGGACACAATCCACGGACACAAAGCGGCCATCGGAGACCTCGAGGACCGCATCCAAGACCTCCTCAACCAGGTCCGCGACTTGCGCTATGACCAGGCGAAGCACCGCGCGTCGATCGAGCGCTGCAAGGGCCTCATCACACTCGCGCGCCGTCTCCCGGAGGAACTGCTCATCAAGATCTTCGACCACTGCGTTGCGGATGGCTGGACGCGTGCGCCCGTCGTCGTTTCGCACGTCTGCACCTCATGGCGCAAGGCCGCGCACGCGCCACAAGTCTGGAAGCACGTGTATGTGAAGTGCGACGATGCGCAGGTGCTGGACCGGACGCGATTTTGGCTGGGGATGGCGGGCGGGGCGGGTCTGCATATCACGGTCACTGCGTCATGGCGTGTTCCCGCGAGGCCGGTGCTGGACGTGATGGCCCTGCTGGTAGAGCGGAGTGCGCAGTGGAAGTCCTTGACTATCGAGACGGACTCGTTGCGTCACGCGGACATCATCCTTGCCGAGTGTAGTCGCCCGACTCCCGAACTGCGCGAGGTGGACATCAAGACGGCCGCCCTCGATCTTGCAGATGTCGACGGTATCTCAGATCTTTCGCGGTTGGCGGAGACGTTCAACAAGGACACTGCACCTAGGCTGTCCTCGGTGTCCTACGTCTCCACCGTCGTCCCTGCCGTGCCTATCTTCCCCACGCACCTCACTGGCCTCGTTCTCGAGGTTAAGGAGAGTCCAGTCAGTAGACCGCTCTCCGCCGAGGGAATCATGAACATCCTAGAGCGCCTCCCAGAGCTACGCACCCTCTCGCTCACCATGCCCTTCATATACGAACACGAGTACATCCCAGAACAAGACCCGGACAAGATGGCCTCGCTCCCCTCTCTCACCAGTCTCACGCTCTACGGGCCCACCGACATGAACGAGCTCCTCCCACATCTCCACACCCCCTCCCTGCGCGAGCTCCGCCTCCGCTCCCTCGAAGACCTCGGGTACCGCCAACGCCCCATCGGCCCGAGCCTCACGCGCTTCATCGAGACGTCCTGCCCACCTCTGCATCTCCTCGAGCTGCACGACATCGACCTCGACCCAGACACTTTCGCCACATGCTTCCGCGCGCTCCCGGACCTGCTCGAGCTGCGCCTGCACGAGTCCTCGATCTCGGATGCCACCGTGCGCCTGCTGCACGGCCCGCGCGGGCTCTGCCCCCAGCTGACGCGCCTCGACCTGCGCTGGTGCGGACACCTGCGCGGGCGCGCGCTCGTGGACCTCGTGCGGAGTCGCCTGGCCGTAGACGACCGCCCTGGCGTCGGGGCGGAGCCGATCGAGGAGGTGGGGGTGATCAACTGCTGCTTCGTGACGGAGGAGGATGTCTTGGATCTCGCGCGGATGACGGTGTGCAGGCTCGTGACGCGCGACAGCGACGATTATTGCCGTGAGTGCTCGTCCTGTGTGTGCGGGCTGTTCTAGGGAGAGGTACTGATTGTGTATCGTGCTTGTAGGTACATGCGGGTGTTGCGCGAACCAGAGATATAGGACGCGTCTGCGGTTGCGGCACGTCTCTGAGCTCATCGAGCAGGGTGCAAACATCAAGTTGATTTTGTAGAGCTCCTCGTCGCGGTACGTCGTGGAATTAGAATAGATAGACCCGTTTGTCGCCCTTGTTAAGGTCCAGATGGTGCGGGCATCTAGCAGGTTGTGCAAATATATTTCTTCACCGTTCCCGTCGCCCGCTGACTTGCTAGGAGTCAACTCACATATGAGGTTGGGTGCGTGTTGAGCCGTTCATTCTGAAGCGGGGCTCTCGGTGCAATTTATCGGGGGCACTGTTACGACGGTACGTCTCTATTCCACTTGGGCATGACATCCTGAAGCCTTCTCATTTGCTCGTCGTAGGATCCGTGGGATGTACAGCGCCGCCGCCGGCCGGCTCGTCACCGTCAGTCGCCCGCTCACACGTTCACCATGCTTTGCCCGGCGTTCACAGTCACCGCGGCTCCGTCGCATACGCACCGCTAGTACCCTGAATATCGGCCTCGAGCACATCCAAACAGAGGGTAGCGTCCACTCAGCTGGCAGCCTTACCCTGACCGACACCGTACACGGGCCCAAATCCGGCGATGTAGAGTCTCGGCGCTTGATTTTTGAACGGCTGACGAATATGATGATCTTGAACCCGGCTCAACAATTCCTCTCAGCGGGTGAATCTCAGATAAGAGAGTTTGTAATCTGTGGTGCCGCGACGGCAGGGCATGCAACGGTAAGTGAGGTTAGAGCAGGCTTAGAGACAGCGCTACCATGGCTTACACATCTGCGGCATGGACAGGCATCATCAAATTCGCCGTTTCACTTCCCGTGAAGGTTGCAATATTCATCATTGCTCATTCGCTCACTCACTCATGCATGCAGTTGTCGTACAGACGGCCAATAGACGGCTTCGTAGCTCTACCAACTGCTACGATGGCGCACCGTGGACTACTTAAGTGGCCAGGGGATCACCCTTCCAACTCGTCCCCAGGTCACCCACGGACTTAAACACCTACCGGCCGCTGTCCCTCTTTTCTACCTATTCTACAAGATGCGCAGCTTCATCGCCTCTGCCCTCTTCAGCGTTCTCGCTGTCACCGCACACGCCCTTCCCTCCACCACCACCACTCAGACCACCGCGTCATCTTGCCGCGAGGTCACCATCCCCGTCACTGTCAGCGTGCCGCGCTTCATCATTAACACCACCATCGCGAACAACTGGGATGCGGTGGCGCTTGCGTTTAACCTGACCGAGCGCGACGTCAATACTACCGCGGACCCTCTTCCCATCTCCGGCAAGACGTCTGGGCCGGTCAACAGCACGTACCAGATCGGCGCCACCCTCTGCGGCTCCGGAGGCCCGACTTTGGTCCTCACCCACGGCATTATCGAATCCAAGCTTTACTGGCAGTCGAACTTCCAGGGCGGGCTCAAGTATAGCTTTGTCGACGCTGCGGTCGCCCAGGGATACTCGGTTCTCAGCTACGATCGCATTGGCGTCGCGTCGTCGGCGGGCACGTAAGTGCATGTTTTGGCCTCGCTGTTTTGCAAAGTGTCTAACTCCGTCCGTTTGCAGAGTCGATCCCCTCACGGACGCTCAGTTCCAAGTTGAGACGGCTGTGCTGAGCGCACTTACCCAGTACGCGCGCAAGACGATGGGCGCGACGCACGTCGGGCTAGTCGGCCACAGTTACGGGTCATACATCTCTGTTGCGGCCGCGTCCGACGTGGAGGCGAGCGGTGCCATCGACGCGGTGGCCCTCACGGGCTTCAGCGGTACGGTCCAATACTTCGCGCCGTTCGTCGCTGGGGCGGCGCTGCGGGTGGCTAGTACGCTCAACCCCGCGCGCTGGGGCCACCTGGCGTCCTCCTACCTCATGTCCGCGGACCGCTTCGCGCTCGCCTACGTCTACTTCGCGGGAGACTTCAACCGCACCGTCGCCGACTGGACCTATGACGTCGAGGCCGAGCCCTTCGCGCTCGGCGAGCTCCCCTCGCTGCTCGACACTCCGATCGCCTTTGACAAGGTCGCCGCGCCGGTGTTGGTTCTCCAGGGCCGCTACGATGTCTCCGCGTGTGGTGGCGACTGCGTTGGTCTGCTCAACGCGACGGCGGCGCTTTTCACGGGCTCGAAGGGTGTTCAGACCGTCGACGATCTGCCCGCTGGGTCAGTCCTTTCTCTTCCTTTTGTTGGTGGGGCTCGCGCTGACGCTCTGGATATCACAGCCACGACCTCAACTTGCACGAGGTAGCACCCCAGGCGTTCCAAATGGTCTTCGACTTCCTCAAGGCGCAGGGTGTTTGAATGCGGCGCAAGGCTCGCTCTCGGCCCGCGTATCGATAGGACGGAAGCCCTTTTCCCGCATTACCAGCACATGAACCTGGATCCATTCCCTTCTTATAACGTTATACCGTACTCCATCTACTACTTGTTAAGGCTAATATGCTCGTTCACTCATCTGTCGTGTCCGTCTTCGTATTTCATACCGTATTGAGATGAATGCCTCGTGAAACACTTACACAGTGTCTAAGAGCTTATCAAGTATCCGGTGTGCGCTTCCGCTACTCAGTCTTGCGCAAGTCTTTCGACGTAACGTTTGTGGGACTTGAGTTGTGGGTAGTTACTCACACCTCTCTAAGTTCGCACCTGTTTGTACTCGAGCAGATCTGTTGGCACACGCTGAGCCCATCTGTATCTGCAACGGTGTATGTCCCTTTTCAACTTGGCGATGATGATCTTGAAGTTTTCTGTTTGCAGATTGCTTTGCTCGAGCTGTAGAACTCATAGGCACACAAATCCGGGCATAGCAAGAATACAACACAATAATGTATAGGCTCAGGAGCAAAATACACACGAAAAGTAGGTACGAAGCAACGATGGAACATTAATCACAGCGAAAAGACGTAGAAAAACAGATATCGGTCCGCAACTGCACACCACTAGCTCAACTGCGCGATGTTCCCGCCGCTCACCGGGCCCTGGTCACCGTCCGCAGGAGCGCCACCTTGCACTTCATTCACCTTCGTACCCTGCCCACTCACGCCTAGACCGGTTTGGGCTTGCGCAACAGCGTTCGCGAGCCCGGGATTCGGCGTCGCGCCATGCTTCGCGAGCTCGCTCTTGACATTGTCGAGCAACCGCCTCAGGTTGACGCGTTCGTTGACCAAAGCCATCCGCGCGCTCTCGAGGCTCTTCCGCTCGTCCTCGAGGAGTTCTTCAAGTTCCTCGAACTGCGCAGTCTTCAGCTCCAGCTTGGTGAGCGTGAGCTTGATGAGTGACGCGAGGGTCGAGCGGATCTGGAGGTCCTCCGCGTCGGCGAGCGCACCCGCTGCCTTCGACGCGGACTTGAGCGCGAGGTCTGCCGCGCGGACGACCTTCGAGTGCGGGATGGCCTTGGCCGCGCGCTGCGCCTGCGACTCGCCCCCGGTCTGTGCGTCGACCTGCATGTCGTCCTGCGCGGTCTGGCCGTCCGTGCTCTGCGCGACCTCGCCCGACTTCTCCGCGCCCTCCTCCTTCGGCTTGTCCTCTTCCATCTTCTCTTCGTCTTTCTTCTCACCCTCCTCGGGTGTGCTGTCCGCTTTGATACCCTCCTTTTGGTCCTCTTCCGGCGCCACCTTCGTGTCGCCGTCCGTGAGCTGGTGTAGGGCCGTCTTCGCGGCCTCCGCTGCGACGCCGGGACTGATGACGCCCGCGAGGAACGCAACCACGCTCATGACAGGGTTGTCTGCCTGCTCGAACGGAACGCGCGCGTAGCGAAGGGGGCCGAGGTCGCCCTCCGCGGAAACATAAGGATCCTCGATAGGCAGCTGGAGGAACTTGCGAATGCACTGCTGCGCGGAGCGAGTGCCTACATGTTCTTCGATGGCCGACCAGTCGTCGTCATACATCTCGACGCCTTCAAGCAGGAGCAAAATCTCCTGGTCCGTCCAGTCGTCGTCTGCGGCCGCGCCCGCCGCCTGGTGCACGCCGTTCGCACTCGTCGTACTTGTCAGCTTGACGAAGTCGCCGCTGTACATGTGGGATGGGAAGCGGCCGTCGAGGTAGCAGGGCGGACAGAGCTCAAAGTTCTTCTGCTTGAGCGAATGGTACCTGACAGACGTGCAGTCGACGCCACAGGTGTCGCACTGGTACTTGATGGTCGTGGGGTTGTCGCCGGAGATACCATTCGCGCCGTTTGCAAGAGACGCGGCCTCAGTGGAGGAGACAGGACGCGAAGACTTGGCTGAAGTCTGGTATATCGAGTTCCGAAGTTCGAGGGATGCGGGAGTGGGGGAGGGCTTCGTGGCGCCGTTGACAGCGGCCTGAGCATTCGGGTCCTTTGGCCGTGTTCCAGGGTGGAGAGACTGAAGACCACGGGGAGTGTCGAGGATGACGCGGAAGTGGCCAGTGAAGGGGGGTGCGAGCGCGGCAGGTCGCTGGTCTGGGTCGATCTGAGAGGGCCTGAGCAACGCAGGGGCCGCTAAGACACGCATATATCCGTACCTGGTAGTTTATGAGACCCCATTGCTCGAGGAACGCGTGGACGCGCATGATCGCGCACACGTCTCCCGCCAGGTTTCTGCGGCACGCGGTGACCGTCAAGTACTCCGAAGGCCTGAGACGGTACGTGTTGATCATGAAGTCGCGGTAGTCTTTATAGATCGCGGGTGTCTTGGACCGGTGTCGCGAGTTGAAGAACTCGGGGAGCGCCCTCCGTTCAATGGGGTGGATTTTCGACATGTCGAACCACGCCGCGTAGGAGGGAATGATGACTTCGTGCGTCTGGGCGGCGAGGTACTTGCGAGCTTGCTCTTCGAGACGAAGTCGCGTGGCTTCAAGTTGGGCGGGGTCCTCGTCGTCGTTCTCGTCCGCGGATTCGACCTCCTCATCAGCGGCGTCCGCGCCCTCCGCCATCGACACGTCTCCACTGTCGTCCACGCCTTCACCATCGCCATCTGCCTTGAGAAGACGCGCGGGGACCGCGCTCGCGGGCTCCGACGAAGATCCTACGTGTGCGGGTGGCAAGTTGCCAATGTCGCCGCCCTGTATCGGCTCGAGTTCGCTGCGCTTTCCCGCCGCGTTTTCAGGGTCGACGGGGGTGACTCCTTGATTGACCGTGAGGCGGATGCGCTTGGCCTCAGACGAGCTGGGCGCCGGCGACGCTGTTCGTTTTGGCGAGGACATGGAGGTTGAGGTGAAACAGCACGGCGCTTTAAGCGCCCGCTTATGCGCTGTGTCCAGCCTTGAGGCGCTGGTCCCGACGACGACCCCCACCACGACGGCGACCACGACATCGACGAGCTCGAAGGCTCTCTGGCTGTACTTTCCGACCTTGGCCCATGGCATCATGGGTGCTCGCGCACCCGCCATGGCATGCACTTGCTCGGGTACGGCTCCGTTGGGACGTCTTCGTCAAGCCTGGCACATGGACTAGCAAACAATTTCTGAGCACGCCTCCGCTCTCGGCCGAGACCCCTGCTATGCGGGAGGTGAAGACGTACCCTTATCCAGCAACGGCGCCGGATACTACGCTGTTCGAGGAGACCACGGACGAATACTACGCAGCGGAGGGAGACACGCAGGCGCATACAGGGCTCTATCCATCGCATGCGGAGGTCAATCATCCAAGCACCATGCTGGAGAACCTTGTGAAGGAAAGAAACTACGCAGATGCCACGCGAGTTCACGCCGAACTCCTCGAATTAGGTGTCGAAATACCCTTCCACCCCGTCTACCACTTCGCCGCACGCCAAGCCCTCCTCAACCCAGCGCTCTCCCAGCGGGAGCGGCTGGAAAGTTTCGTAAAGTGGTGGTCGCTCTTTCCGCCGCGGAGGGAAGTCAGGGAGCCTCTTCGGGCGATTGGCAGCGTCCTAACAGACCTACTTCGCAACGACGCGGTTCCCGACATACCCTTGATCGTACGGTTCGCCCTCCTCGCTGCCTCGAAGGGATATGCTCGCGCTGTCTACCGGCAGGTCATCCCGGTTATTGCCAGCTACGCTCCCAGCGATGTCCTATTACACTTCCTCGGAGAGTTCCTCGCCGCCGTACGGCAGTTCAAGACGTCAATTGTCCGCGACGGCAAGGCCTCCGAGAGTGCTGCAAGTCGTACGCTCCACATTCAACCCTCATTCATCTATGGCATCACACTCCTAGAGCTAGTTCGCATAGGCAAGACTGGTGTCGCCCTTGAGGTGTTACAACTAGTGCGTTCTCGTGGCATCCGCTACCACTACATCCTCTGTTTTCTCCGTGAAGAGGCAGATGCCAATGTTGTCGCCACAGTCATGTCGCTGTGTAAAGCTCGGCAGGCGCAGTCGTCGTGGCTCGAAACCCCCGCCAAGGACGCTATCTTGCCTTCCTGGAAACCCCCCTCTAGTCCAACGCGACAACCAGAGACAGTTGCCACCCCTTCCCTCGACCCTTTGCAATCTCCGACGGACGACGCGGCTGCATCTGCATCTGATTCCAACGAAATGCAAGCGTTGGTCACGATAACGAGATCTCTCAAGCATGCCCTGTCTTCAGGAACTCTATCTCTGTCTTCGGAGTCGCTCCAGCGGGTTCTAGCGGCCTATAGAGCGGCTGGGCGGTCGACGCTCCTACGCCGGCTTCGCGTCCTCGCCTACCGACACCATGAGATCGTTCCGACCTGGGCCCTCGCGGAGATGGTAAACCACGACCATTGCCACCGTTCCCTTTACACCATCATGGAGGAGTTCGAATCCCATTTCTACCTGGTCGGCGTTCCACGAGGCTTCACCGATGAATTGTGGAAAGCGCGCGGCAACGGGCCAGCGCGGAATCGTCCTCAGATTCATCGCAAGTACTTCCCTACGGCCAAGCACACACACTTTGTCTGGAGGGTCTTCCTTGCCAGAGCCCGTGGACGCGCGCAGGTAGAACGACTCTACCTGCAGCTCCTGGAGGATGTGGCAGCGTCTCGTGACATCCCTGCGCTCGCTGTACCACGCATAGCCTGCCTGCCATCTTGGAAGCCAGCCACGGACCCTGCGGTGTTCATACGCCCCATCCCTCCTCCGAGCCTGTTCGGCGTCGGCCACTTTGCTATCTTCATGAAGGCTTTCGATCGGCTTGATCTACCCAAGGTCGCTGCGCGTGTCATCATCGACATGTACTCGTTAGGGTTCGGGCCCGATTCGGGGCTCGTCGCTCCCTTCTTGTCGTCTCTGCGCTACCTGCCGTCGGACCACCCTCCCACCAAGGCCTTGGACTTTTTCGAGAAAGCCCTACAGAACGCTAGCCAGGGCGGGTTTTCGGCCGAGCAGGCACAGTCTCAGGCGAACTCGCACTCATCAAGCTCGGGGGACGAACGCGACACACTGAAAACGCGGATGCTTGCCTTTGTGTACGGCGGCGTGATGCGCCGGCTGCTCCTCGATGGGCGTGACGCGGAGGCTGTGGAAGTCGCTCGACGTTTCGTTGCTAGCGTGCCGCCCCTTCGAAACCCCAGCCGTTTCATCGAGGAAGTCCTACGTGAGCCCGTCATCGCTTGCGCATTGGCATCTGAACCAGAGTCGATGTCTCCGGGTGAGCCCATCTGCTTGAACTAGAAGTATCAATCACTCACCATCGTTGAACACAGTGCCGTAGTGCGCGCGGTCACACAGCTCGCTCCGCCTCACGCGTGTGGCACCCACGCTCGCTGAAGGCCCATATGCCGTCACCCGTCCACTGCCTCCCGACGGAAAAGGATGTCACACTAGGCTCCTGGGAATCGCAGTCTGTCGGCCCCGCGATATGGTCTCGTCGCCAAGGATAGGGCCGCGGTGGGTTTGCAAACCCTTGGGCCTTTGCGGCGGGGGCAGCATCATCAAACACTGTCGGCCGGATGGGGCCAGAGGAGCGTCCTCGTTGGATAGGAGAGGAGGACAAGCGTAGGCGAACGAGTAGAAACATGTGTAGCCCATCCATGGTATGTCCGCTCACATCCCTCTGTGTGGGCTTTTATTCACTGTGTACGTTTTCATCTTGACGATTTAGTTCATCTCAATGCAATACTCGTTGCTTGGCTTAATGGTCCGTGTTCGAATGAGAGCTAATTGCGATGACAAGCCTTCGTGCTAGAACGACGGCGACGTACGTCCTCTGCCCGACAAGAACCTCCCCCTTTGTGAGGCCGCGATCGCGCTCTGCCGGCACCCCGTTTCGCGATGCTCGGACCGCCCTTAGCGAGCTCGGTGGTAAGCCAATGTGCGGGATCTCCCGCTCGAAGCCGAGAACCATCATGGTATTCCCGTTCAATCCCATCAACCTCGGCTGCACGCTCCGGACTGCTGCTGCATGCCCGCGGGGCCGCGAGGGGGACTGTGGTTCGGTGAGCTTCCTCCACACACATATCGTGATTATCCTTCTGTTGAGTGCCGCCAGAAGCCAACATAAGTGCCTTGTTGCAAGGCACATGTCATTGTACAGTGCATCCACCGTGTCAGATGACGTCTTATTTCCGTATGGAGAAGTCGCCTTGTGTTGAATGTGTTCGATCCACGCTGCCGGTGCGTGTTGACCAACATTCGTCCGTCCTCATGCTGCCTCCACCCGTGCTTCTGGGCTTCGCCGTAAGTTTAACGCGGGCGGAGGCGAGGGTTGGACACCTCTCCTTTGCATGTTTCGTGTACGCTTATATGACACATTGATCAGTACTAACTCCAACAGCGCACGGCATTATCAGCACCCTGTGCGCTCGGTTATCGAGCACGGGCGCACGATGTGTCCTCATTCAAGGCTAGACTACGCCGCTTCTGTCTCCGCGCTGTAGACGGCCACAGTTCTGTTGATTGATTGTCACGGTTTCTACCGATGTCGGAGTTTCCAAAACCACAACTGGGAGCTTTAAGAAGCACCGACGTATCGCCAGTGAATACATCTCCCCATTCGCGCCCTCATACCAGCTCAGTGGCGCGCCTCTGCTCGAGATAAGACATGCTTCTGTATCTCGTCATCGCGGGCGGGGTCGCTTGGGGTCTATGGACGCTGCTACGTCCGCTCTTTGTGAAGTCGCCATTGGACGTCGTCGCGGGTCCTCCATCCACGTCGATCGTAGCTGGTACGTAGGTTCTCAATCTCGATATACTGCGCATCGGCGATCTAACGAGTATCCGATAGGTAATCTTGGCGAGCTCTTCGACTCGGAAGCTTGGGGATTCCACGACAAGGTCTCCAGCCAGTACGGGGGCGTTGTGAAGATTAATGCCGTATTGGGGGTGAGTCGTACTTTGTCGTATGGTCATGCTGTATATGCTAAACCACGGGCGTTGTAGCGCAAGTGGCTCTATGCATTCGATCCCGCTGCCTTGCAGAGCATCGTTCTTAGAGAGCAAGGCACATATGATCAGATTGAGTGGCTCATCCGGTAAGAGACATGAGGACAGATATCTGTATCCGCTATGGCCATTTGACCGACCTACTTTCAGATCCAACAACATGCTGCTTGGCTCGGGTCTCTTGAGTGTCCTTGGTATGCATTATGTTCCGTCATTTGCGCCCATAAAGACGCCTGACGTTTTCCTCAGGTGACACGCACCGCAAACAGCGCAAGATGCTCATGCCTGTGTTTTCGGCTAAGCACCTACGTGATCTTACACCCGTCTTTTACGAAGTCACGAACAGGGTGAGTGATATCTTCCATTAAGATAACGTCCTGCATTTTCATCGTGGACCCAGCTTGTCGATGCGATTTCACAACGTGTCCAAGACGCCCCTCGGGATCTCGACATGCTCGAGTGGATGGGCCGGACTGCTCTGGAGATCATCGGCCAGGCTGGAATGGGGCACTCGTTCGATTCTTTGACAACAGACGATGCAACGGATCCGTTCACCAGGGCTGCAAAAGACTACCTGTACGTGTTCTCTCTACGTCTATCATAAATGTCATCTGATGAACAGCCGGAAGGCCTCTGTCGTTCACTCCTGAGATGATGATTGTGCGGCAAACTTCACCACTCCTCCTTCAGCTGGGTCCAGCTTGGCTCCGGCGCTGGATTGTCGACCGCATTCCCATCCCACGGACACAGAAGCTGAAGCGCGTGGTTGATATCTTGCACCAGACGTCGGTGAAGATCATCGAGGAGAAGAAGGCTGCCCTCCAGAAAGGGGAGTATGCCGCCGGCAAGGACATCATGAGCGTGTTGCGTAAGTCCCGCTCATGACTACTGGAAGGGCATGTCTAACCGAGTGGACAGTCAAGGCCAACATGGCCGTCGAGGAGGCCGACCGGCTACCAGATGAGGAGATTGTAGGACAGATCAAGTGCGTCGTTCCTCAGGCCACGCCTCTACTAGTTTAACCTAAGCCCGCTATAGCACCCTCCTGTTCGCGGCTACGGACACAACATCACACGTCATGGCGCAAGTCCTACAGCTCCTTTCCGAACACCCCGATGCACAAGCCAAAGTCCGAAGGGAGATCTTGGAAGCGGGCGACGGGTACATTCCTTACGAGAAGCTGCACTCGCTACCCTATCTCGATGCGATCTGCAAGGAAACGCTACGCATGTAGGCACCTTCCTTCCTCTCCCGATGCTTCTGCCGCTAAACAAGACGATCATTCCAGGTACCCGCCAACTCCCATCGTACTACGCGAGTGAGTGTTCATCGCACCTTCCGCCATCCCATACCGTCTCACACAGTCGCAGGGCATTCCGCGACACGACTCTTCCTCTCTCTCAGCCTATGCGCGGTAGCGATGGGTCTATGCTCAGCCACATCCCCATCCCCAAGGGCACCAACATGCTCGTCGGCGTTCGGGCGTGCAATCGCAATAAGGCGCTATGGGGCGAGGACGCCGAGGAGTGGAAGCCCGAGCGCTGGCTCGCGCCCCTCCCAAAGGCCGTGGAAGACGCGTCTATTCCTGGAGTGTACTCCAACCTGTATGCAAATTCAGTCTCATGTGGCGCTGTGCATGTGCTGACCGTTTTGCGCAGCATGACGTTCGTTGGTGGAGGCCGGTCTTGCGTGTGAGTGTCATATGTCCTCCCATACACCTCGCAAGGCACTTACCGATCGCACGCAGCGGCTTTACCTTCTCACAGCTGGAGATGAGTACGTTTTCGTCTATATCATTCTCTGCGTGTGTTCGATTCCTGACGAATCGCCGCAGAGGTCGTATTGTCGAGCTTGCTCGCCAACTTTACCTTCCAACTGTCCGAGAAGCCCATCTTCTGGCACATCTCAGCGATAACCTTCCCGAGCGCGGCCAAGGACAGCCTGAAGCCAGAGATGTGGCTCAAAGTCGGACGGTGCACCGGCGAGGCCGCATGACGGCGCGAGCGAGGCCGAGTACTACTTACTAGTAGCGCACATTGAGGATATAGGTTTGAGTACTGTAAAGCTGTCAATAACACCCCTGATATCGTATAGTGCTGGACAATACCCAGGATGCGACGAGGTTTCCGAGAAGGCCGTTCAAAGACGTTGCGTCAATAGGGACCACTCACCCTGGCCGGCCCAAACCCGGTGAGTTACCCTCGGCGTCTGATTCTGAACAGGGCCCTGGCGGATATGATAATCTTGAAGCCGGATTAACAATTGCCCCCAGGTGAGTCTCAGATGAGAGGGTTTGTAATCGTTGATGTATGCAGATCACCTAAGCGCCGCATAGAGGAATGTAACCAACAAGCTATGTCAGTAAGTGCCGGCTTAGAGACAGCCCTATCGCTTACACATCTGCCGCATGGACAGGCAACATCAAATTCGCTGTTTCACTCCGAGCCGCATTCATGATCACTCATTCGCTCGCTCACCCACTCATGCGGCAGTTGTGCAGACGGCCAACAGACGGCCTCCTCGCTCGTGCCGTGCATGATGCAGTGGCGCATCGATGAGGCCTCCGGCCATCGTCAGTGGGATACTTAAGTGACCACGAGAAACCGGTCCAACTCGTCCTCAGGTCACCCACAAAAGTACCTACCGGCCCCTTCCCTCCTTCCTACCTTCCTTCCTATCCTACAATATGCGCAGCTTTATTGCCTCTGCACTCCTCGGTGTTCTCGCTGTCACCGCACACGCCCTTCCCTCCACCACCAGCGTCCAAACTACTGCGTCATCATGCCGCGAGGTCACTATTCCCGTCACAGTTAGCGTGCCCCGCTTCATCATTAACACGACTATCGCGGACGACTGGGATGCGGTTACGCTCGCGCTGAACCTGACCCAACGCGACGTCAACACAACCGCGGACCCTCTTCCCATCTCCGGCAAGACGTCCGGGCCGGTCAACAGCACGTACCGCATCGGTGCTACCGTTTGCGGCTCGGGAGGTCCGACTCTGATCCTCACCCACGGCATCATCGAGTCCAAGCTGTACTGGCGACCGAACTTCCCGGGCGCACTCAAGTATAGCTTCGTCGACGCTGCGGTCGCCCAGGGATACTCGGTCCTCAGCTATGACCGCATTGGCGTCGCCACATCTGGCATGTAAGTACATGTCCCGCCTCGGTGTTTTCCGCCGCGCCTGACCTGTCTGTTTCACAGAGTCGATCCTCTCAACGATGCCCAGTTCCAAGTCGAGTCGGCTGTATTGAGCGCGCTCACCCAATACGCGCGCAAGACGATGAACGCTACGCAAGTCGCGCTCATCGGACACAGCTATGGGTCGTACATCTCCGTCGCGGCCGCGTCCGACGTACAGGCGAGCGGTGCCATCGACGCGGTGGTCCTCACGGGCTTCAGCGGTACTGTGCAGTACTTCGCGCCCTTCGTCGCCGGGGCAGCTCTGCGCGTCGCGCGTACGCTGAACCCCCTGCGTTGGGGCCGCCTAGCGTCCTCCTACCTCACGTCCGCCGACCGCTTCGCCCTCGCCTACGTCTACTTCGCAGGCAACTTCAGCCGCGCTGTCGCCGACTGGACTTTCGCGGTCGAAGCTGAGCCCTTTGCGCTCGGAGAGCTGCCCTCCCTCCTCGACACGCAGATCGCCTTCGACCACGTCACTGCGCCGGTCTTGGTCCTCCAGGGCCGTCATGACGTCTCGGCGTGCGGTGGTGACTGCGTGGGCTTGCTGGACGCGACAGCGGCGCTTTTCACCGGCTCGAAGGGTGTTCAGACCGTCGATAATCTGCCTGCTGGGTGAGTCCCTTCTGTTTCTTTTGTTCATAGGGCGCTCGCTGACATTACCGGGAATTACAGCCACGACCTCTTCCTGCACGAAGTGGCGCCCCAGGCGTTCAAGATCGTTTTCGACTTCCTGAAGGCGCAGGGTGTTTGAGCGCGACATGTGCGCGTTCTCCCGTATGGGAAGGACGGGGGCCCTTGGTGTACCTTGCATCAAGACAGCAAGAAGCTGTTTCCCTTCCCTGCATACTACATTACATTGTACCTACTTCACTTAGTAGTCGTCGAGGCTGATCTTTTATTATCAGTGCTCGCTTATCTGTCGTGTCTATCCCCAAATATCATACACTACTGAGGTACAATACTTCGTGGAACATCTGTGCGGTGCCCCAGAGTTTCACGAGTGATCGACATTTTATGTACGAGTGCTGTGCCTATTGCGTGAAAGCACGCGCGATAGCCGAGAGCTGCGGGCTGGGCGTGGCGAACGTGGGAGCGGTTGCGGTCGCGGAGGACACGGTGACCGTGGTGACGAGAAGCGCGGCATTGGTTTCTGTGGAGCCCTACGACGAGCAGGTGAGAGCTTCTGTCTCATCGCTAAGTTGAGCAGGGCCACATTGCGTCGTACTATCTAATGCAGAGCAAGTGCCAGTGGGCGTAGTACGACGTTGAGCACAAACGACTGTACATGTATGAGGGTGTGGTGACGGTGGACCTATAACGTACAACAAGTCGGAGTCTCTATCTACTAGGCGACGTCCCTGCCAAATGTCTGGAAGACGGCGAATCCTCTCCCCGCTCCAGCCAGTCCGCGTCGACTGGATCCGATTGGCTCTCGTTCTGTAGATATCGCGAGGTCGACTCCTCCGTTTGCTCCTCCGAAGTACACTCGCTCCCATGGTAAACGAAAGTAGGGGGAGGGATGAGCTCAATCGAGTCGATGCGATGCGGAAACGAATGCCGGCTGGGCTGGGGAGGTGGATCGAGGGCGTACAGACCGTCTAGGTAGGAGTCAGACTTGTGCCCGTTGTGTGTATCCGAGGCATGAGCGCATAGCAGTGTCAGGTCGAGCCGTTCGCGCCGGGTGGCTACGCTACGGACGCTGAGCAACAAATGGCATCCCTGTTTGGATGTCAGCGGTCATTGCGCTTGTGCTTGCAGTGAGGCTCACAGAGTAAGAAAACACCGCAGATATCCACCTATAGATGACGCGTCAGTAGTGATCCCACGCGTGTTCAAGAAATATGCGACGAACGTAGAAGTCGCGGTTGAGGCCCAACTGACGTCCAGAAACTGAGTTACGATGCAGACGAGCATGAAAGCTAGCAGCCACCATGTCAGCGTGTACATCGATGGCTCCAAGCATCATACTGACCGAACGCGCTAAAAGCGAGGGGTCAGCCGTGCGTTCGCCCTCGGCCAGTGGAGGTACGTACATTGCGAAGTAGGCACTCCCATCCCGGAAAAGTCGGTAAATTAGTGGAGTCTGTTCCAAACGGCCGTATGATATGCACTTCGCAGTATTAAGGCAGAACAGCAGGGCTATACCCGCTTGTTAGCCGCGCGGCCGGATAACGAGGTCAGAGCGATCTCACTTTCGAACACAAGAATCGGGGCCCTGAGATTCGTTGAGCGTGAGTGTACTCTGTGATAGAATCGCACGTACCAGCACAGTTTATTCCAAAATATATCCGTAGGAAAGAAGCAGCCCTTTAGCGGCCAATCCGACGGGAACGGTCGCGACTCGGCGTAGATACGAGGGTATATTATCCCGTTGATGGCGGCTGCTGTCTGGGGAAGATTCAGAAGCCAGACACGTTTAGCTTTTCTTCGCGACATACCGCGGCTTCGACTGGAGGAATATCAGCATATAGTCTGCTTCTATATAGCGTAGCGACTCACAGGCGAAGGCAACCAGTAGCAGCGTGCGGACTAACGGCGCATCAGTACACTGATGATGTATACATGATATGAGTCTCCCTTACCTTTCTTAGACCGCCCATAGAGGGCGTCAATCCTCAGCATCAAGCTCAGCTCGACGCTCAAAATTAAGCACGAGTCGAGGATGAGCGAAGTAATGAGTTGACCATTACAGCTGTAACGCCGAACGTCAAGCTTCGGCAAGTCGCCTCGTAGTGTAAATGACGTACTATGCTGGGAGGAGGCCCGAGGCGAGCGCGCTGGGGACGCCACTTCGTAAGCACTCGTGGAAGGTGAAGTCCCAGGTCGCGAAGGAGCGAGAGGCTACTCACAATTGCCCGAATATTCCCACATATCTCGAAACAAGATAGAGGAACTTTGGAAGCGTGTTGGCAGACCTACACCCAGTTCTTCGAAAGGCTCTCCAACGAAGTCGACTACAGCGCGCACCTCCACACAAACTCCACCTAGACAGGCCCGGGGCGGCAGTTGGGCGCGTGATCATGAGCGACTGTGAACCTTGGAGTGGTTCTGGGAAGCACGCGCTCACCTCCTGGTCGAACGTGGTCAACAGGTCGTACAGTAACCATACCGCCGAGGAAACTACGAAGAGAAGCAATCAGCATCTGAATTGCACGCTGCTCCCTTCGACAGCGAACGGCGCACTCACGTGTATGGATCGACTGCCCATCATGAGCGGTCCTCACGAGGTACAGGACATCGCTCTCACTCATGTGCGCCACGGCGTGCTTCACGAAAGACCGCAGGATCCACGCCCACACGCGTTCATACGGGAGAGGAGGGGAGGTGGTCGAGGGATAAGAGGAGGCCTGGGGTACGCCCTGAGCGCCGGCGCGTCGAGGTTGACGATGGCGGCAACCGTAAAGTTGGACATCTTGCCGGCGTACTAAGCGACATCCACCCTCTGTCTAGCTAAATTTGGCAGCATTGTGGCAGGTCTCCGGTCCATTTGCAATTGTATGTCTTCATCAGCCCGCCGGCGGCCGCCTATGTTCGACGCTGTGCGACTCAGATTGGCAGGCGAGCAGCCCGCGTGAGCTATCTGCATGACCGCCAAAATGTCATCCATACTAGCAGCGGACATTTCGGCCACTCTAGACCTGGAGGGTCGGTGAACACGACGTGCACTGGCTAGTTCAGCAGCATTTGGACAACGGAGCAGCCGATCCGCGCCCTCATACCGGCCTTCGATGGGTCTCCGCGGTGTTCACTTCCCCGCGTAGCAGTGATCAACACCTTCGGGATGCCAGATTCTGTAGGATGTCCTCCCAGAATCGTCAAGGTTGACACGGTGGCTGTAGATGAAATGACCGGCGAGGCACGGCGGAGCATGAAGATGCACATGCGTTCTCATACTGAAGCCTGTCTGACATGGTGAGTGAACTTCTACCGCTGCGCTACTCGCTCCACGCTCCCCCGGACAAAATCCGGACCTTGGTCCGGGACGGGTCTCCGGGCCCGGGCGACTCTCACCCGCGCCACACAGCAGGGCCCGCTGTGACAGACGCCGTTAGCAACAGATTAATTCTCTCGGCGAGTACGAGGAGAGCACTCACGGGAGGTGTATCCGGGGTAGTTAGCAGGAAGGTCGTAGATGTTGATGAGGATCCCGGGCTCGTACTGGGCCGCACGTCAGTCGCGCAGCGCCTTCAGCTCCCGCAGTGACACTTACGCCAGTGTACACGCCGGGGATGGACACCAGGGGCCCAGGCGCGCCGTCGCCGCCATTGACCACGTTCAATTGAGCGCAGCCAATATAGAACTGGGCGCCACCGACGCTAGAAGCGACGTGCAGAGCAATCTGGCAGGCGAATGACGTTAATCACTAGCGCAATTGCCCGGAATCTGGGAAAGGCCAAAAGCGGGTACGTGCCTGTTCGCCCCGGACCAAGTATTGGCCGCTCGGGAGGCTCTTAGGTATAGTGAACGTAATCTCGTTCATGCCTATGTGGCGGTCAGGTCAGGAGCCGGGAGCCTCTTTGAAGGATGTCGGAGAACCGTTGCTCACTTTCGGACGGGAACACGAGCGCCCCGTTCTCGAAGACTGGGGGGTCCTCCCAGATCTTGAACCAGGTCTGGCCGGTCCCAGCCTCCGGACTGTTGGCAGCAGGAGACGCGCGGCTCATGTAGGCCGAGAAGTACTGTCAAAAGTGGTCGACGGATATGACACCGCTTAACGCTCATTGCATGCGGTGCCACTGTGGCTGTAGACTTACCCCTGGATGGTAGAAGTCGTTGTCCTACGTCCAGTTTGAGTTTGAGTGAGCAATGACTCTAAACATAGCTAGTGACGGCGTCTTACCGCTGCAAAGAGGATGGTTAGCCCCAGAATATGCAGCCGTGATAATCCCCATACCTTTGAACCCGATCGTGGAGCCTGCCTCTACAGTGGCGATAGATGTCTGCCCCGGAGTCGCGTTCATGTCGAGCTCATAGCAACGGAACTCGGTGGAGTTGACGTCCGTAATCTACGTCAACGTGTGTCTTATTAGAACCCTCGACGCCGCAGCGTATACCAACTGCTCCTTACCGGCGCATTGCTGTAGTGGTTTTGGGTGGTGCGCACGTACACCCAGTCGGCGGCCGTGGTACCATTGGCGATGAGGTCGGGAAGCGTATCTTGAACGGCGGTGGTCAGTAAAATGAAGAAGGAAGCTTGACGTCAAGACTCACAGTGTGCAGCAGCAAGCTGAGCGGCGACCACCGTGAGAGTAGCGAGGAAGGCCTTCATATTTTCGAGGAGGTGTTCGCTGTGTCGGAGACTGAGGATCAGGACCTGATGGTCTCGGTATCAGCTTTCATGTTTATATATGCGCTGCATCAGCACTCGTATGTATGAGCTGCGTGCCGCGACATAGCGAAAACCATGGCGAAGTGCACCAGAGAGCAGTATATCCGAGGAAAGCGGTCAACCGCACAACGACGACGTCGAAAATAACATGTGCGGAAGATCTCGCTGCGGGCGGGAGGCGTTGTGCAATCGACGAAGGGCACTGACACAATCACGGGGCCGTGTCTGCGAAGTATGTTGACATCACCTCAAGCCAACGATGCGACGTATTCTGGTCCCTGACGCAGCATTCCGAGCAATTGTAACTTGCACAGGCCGGACGGCATGCCAGCAAAACGTACTAGAATCCACGAACGAGTTCACCACCCCCATTCAGCAGTCGAATAGCGTCGCCTATATTTGCGGTGCCGACTGGTAGAGGGACCCTGGCGGGCCCGAACTACCGCCGCCGTTTGCTCGACGGTTTGCCCGACCGACACGCTAGAACGATCTATGCATAGCTGGAGCTATTGTTAGTCGGTCTTCATCCGTGCTGATGATATATTTACTTACTGCTAAATTAGAACCAACCGGCGCAGCGGATGAGACATGAATACATATCGTGCACTGGCAGTGCGTCAACACAGGCGCGCTTTCAACTTTGCAGAAATGCCAGCTGGTGACTGGTCGACTTCGAGCAAATTCGCCGCTAGCACTAGCCATATATGAGTAATTTGTCATGAGAAAGTTGAATAAAGCATATAGGCCGCCGGTTCGCAGTACTGGCGAAAGACGGTATGATGATGGTGGTTGAGTGGGAGGAGTAACCACGATTAGGCGCCCGTGGTGGCTGGCTCGAAAAAGACGCTCAGAGGCTCTGCCTTCGTACCACGATGCTACACGCAGGAAGAACGCGATACTTAACCCGTGTTGACACCTCGAGCTCTTGCCACCCGTTTTGAAGTTCAACCACAGCAGCGTGGGTGTCTTCGGCCCCTCATGGAGTTTGGACTCTCGGTATCCGAGCCTTTTCCCAGATCAAGCGCCCATTGGGACGGTCAACTACTGGTCAACTCTTACTATCAGTGTACGGGAAATGCAAATAGCGACATGCAATGCAAATCGCGCATTGTGCCTCGAGTGCTTGTCCGTTCGCATTCTAATTTTGGTGACCACCTGTATATATGCATCGTAAAACGTCTACGAAGTTTCAAACGGATTGACGAAGGATTGCAATGTGGAGTTGAGAAACAATGGTTTTGAGGGGCCAATGTATGCGCTGCTTGGGCGTCTGATGAATTCTGATACCTAGATCCATAGCCAGTTTCTCTACCGATAGAGCTGAAAATTCGTACATGGTCTTCCATGAAGACTCGGAATATAATCGACCAACCCGATTGCTTTCCTGAGTAGTGGTTCCCCACTGGGAGAGATGTTGCATCCCATGTCTACTCGCAGAGTGACAATTTTGAACTCCGCCGTGCACGCGAGCTTGCCTACTCGCAAGCGGTGGCTGAGTGAGGAGG